AGATATCAGTCCATGGTTCATCTGGTACCTCTACGGCTTGCATTTCTCCGTAGGGTGCATGGATGCTGTGCTTGTTCTTCTGACAGTCTATACACTTCTTGATAAAGTTTATGACTTTCTCCTTCATTTGATCGAAGTCATAGTTTTGTCGAATAAGTTCTATGGTCCTGGTGATTTCTGGATGACCGTGTATAGAATCATCATGGTGTTCACGAATGATTGTTTCCTATAGGTCCTCTAGTACCCTAGTAGTGATCATAGTAAGCAGGTTGGCTGAATAAATGTTTGGCTCTAATGACCCATCTTTTCCAGTCCGTAGGATCACAGCGTTCAGAGTTTCTTTAGTTTCCGCGATATCAGGTCGTCGGCTCAGAGCATCTGCTCGGCCATTGTCTTTTCCTGGGGTGTGTACAATCTTGAACTTGTATTGTTCTAGAAGTTCTGTCTATCGTACCTGTCGTCGGTTGAGTTGTTTCGTCGTCGTGAAGTTGACCAGGTTCTTGTGATCTGTAAAGATCATGAGGTCTGAACAGCTTTCAGCATAGATTCTCCAGTGCTGTAGAGCTACAACAATAGCGAGCAACTCTTTGTCATGCACATCATATCATTCCTCAGATCCTGTAAACTTCCGAGAGTAATAGGCGATCGGGTGCCATTTCCCATCACGCTCCTGGAGGGCTGTTGCTCCAATAGCAAGGTCTGATGCATCGGTTTCAAACCATAGTGGCTCTCCACTCCTGAACGGCACCAACACTGGTGGTTCAGTGCTTGCTTCCTTGAGTTCTTCGAATACCTTTTTCTGATCTAGGCCCCAATTCTATTTTGTCTCTTTCCTTGTCAATTTCGTGAGTGGCATAGCTTTCTTTGAGAAGTCCTTGATAAATTGGTAGTTGAAGTTGACAAATCCTAGGAAGAATTGAACTCCTTTGATGTTCGTTGGTTCTGGCCAATCTCGCACAACTTGGATCTTCTTCTCGCTCATCTTGATGCCATGGATTCCTACTATGTATCCTAGGAACTCCACTTCATCTTTGTGAAACTCGTATTTTTCTAGCTTTAGTCATAGTCTAGCTTTCTTCAAGCATGAAAGAATAGTTCGTATATGTTGAATGTGCTCGTCGAGGCTATTCGAATATATCAGAATGTCATCAAGGTAGACAAGGACAAATTTGTCCAGATATGGTCCAAGTACGTTGTTGATTAGACATTGGAATATTGCCAGTGCATTGGTAAGCTCCATTGGCATTACCAGGAATTCGAAGTGTCCATATCTTGTTCGGAATGCTGTCTTCCATTCTTCTCCTTTTTTCATGCAGACGAGGTAATATCCATCTCGTAGATCGAATGCGGTAAATAGCTTCACATGGCTCAGTCGATCCTGTAATTCGACGATGTTTGGTAGTGGGTATCGATCCTTAATCGTGATATCATTGAGCTTCCTGAAGTCCACATATAACTGTAGGCTTCCGTCCTTCTTTGGTGCGAAAAGGATAGATACTCCTGCTGGTGACTTCGATTCTCATATGTAGCCTTTCTTCAGACTCTTATCGAGAAACTTACATGTCTCTTCGAGTTCTTTCTCCGATGTTGCATATAATGGGCCGAAAGGTGGTTGCTTTCCTTCCTGGAGCCTAATCTCATGATCTCAGAGTTGATGCTTAGGCAGAGCGGCTGCTCCTGTCTCTTCCTGGAAGAGTTCTTCAAACTCCTTATATTCCTCGGGGATATCTAGAGGTGTGCGAGCCTCTTTTCCTCTAGCGACATGTTCTCGTGTGGTTTCTGTGCCATCGTGGTTGAAGAAGTGTATCTCTTCTTCACTCATCGAGTCCCTCTTGGCTCGGATTTCTTTCGCTGAGTTGACCACTCTCCATGAGTGCATCTTGGTCGAAGTGATGGTATTCGCCATCATCACTTTCTCATCTACTATCGAATGCTGTCGATGTGTAGGCTTGGATCTACGGGCGCAGTCGCAGTCCTCAAACAAAAGCTCATATTTCTTCCAATTGATCCGTGTATTGTGCTTTCGTAACCAAGGAAGTCCTAATACCATGTCATGGTTAGCTACTCTAGTGATGCTTAGGATAATCTCTTCCACATGGTCTTGGATGCTTAGTTGCATGGTGACTTCGGTGTCGATGATTGAGTCGTTTGGTACGAATTTCCCGTTGATTGTCTGTAGCAGGTACGGCTGCTGTTTCGGTCATGCCTGGAGTCCAGCTCTCTGCACTGTTTTCCAAGAAATGAAGTTTGTATCAGCTCCTGAGTCGAGTAGTGCATTCATCCATATTCTATTTACTGTGATTGGCACTCATCCAAGTCTTATGGAGTTGACAGCATTGCAGACCTGGGGTCGATCCCAGGTGCAAGACGTTTCCTTAAAAAAGACTTCTGTTAGCCAAATCCGTTACTCTGTTTCTCTTCCCAATGCAGTGTGCAATTGGGGTTTAGGCATGTTTGCCAATTCTCTTGGTTACACATCCATTCACGGAGTATCTTCATCTGGATAACTTCTTCCTTGCTGTGTCCTGGAAAATACGAAGCCCGGCGTTTGTCCCATAGATATTCACTGCAGATGTCATCATCACAGTTGATCTAGAGCTTCTTGCAGAACCGTTTTCCCTGTGGAAACTAGCTCGAACCTTCCTTCTCTGACTTGTGCACAGGGCACACATCATGGAAGCAAACGGTCCAAGTTAGTAATGCATAGTTAGGGTTCCAGTAGTCTCGGTCATATGGGTGGTACATCGGAGTCTTCTGATCCCTAGGCTTCCCTCTTAGCCACCTGCCTTCACACCAGTTGACTTGGCGTTGTTCGGCCCATTCCTGTGTATCCTGTGGTGGAGGTCATGTCCGCTTGGCGAACTCGTGAATTAAATGGTTGGCATCGGTTTCGCTGGTAACCTCCTCTCGAGGTAGGAATCGTATGGCAGTGGATGAAGGTTCTCTATATCCCATAAAGTATGGACTAACCTTAGTTGGTACCGGATAGGGTATAAGCGGCCGTCTTTCCTCAGGTGTTTTGTATCCAGTGGTATCCTCCTCGACATCTTCCATCAAAGGAGTATCGGCATCCTCATCCTCTTGATTCCAGGGTGTCTCTTCGTCCTCTGGCTTCCAAACTTGATTCAGGATAACGACCCATTCAGGGTCCCCATCTTGCCCAATTGTGGCATTCTCTCTGTTGAGGATGATGAGAGTATTCACATGTCGAACTACCTTGTTCTTGGATCGGCAGTTCCTTATAATGTGACCAGGCTTGCCACAAGCATAGCATGAGAGTGCCTTCTTGCCCTTTTTGTCATCGTCTTTGGGTAGACTTGGGCCTTTGGTGACTTTGTCCAAGTGTATTGGTTCCAATCCCATGGTGGCATAGGAACCAGGGGTCCTATTGTATCGAGGTGATGGTTGAATTCGGCATCATCCTATGTTGGGGTGGAACTAGTGTTGTAGAAGTCGATTGCCTCAGTGTCGTTCCGGATGTAGTTCCAAGGATAACTTATACAGGTTGCTGTCGACCCGAATTGACTCGTTGATAAGTTCATCCAGAGTGTCTATGGTAGCACTACTATACATGAGCTCAATTTTGACATTGTTTTCGAGTCCTTGTCGATACATCCTCATAAGTGCCTTGTCATCCTATTCAGTCATAACCGCATATTGTTGAAATTCACTGGCATAGTCTGTGGCGGACTGAGTCTGTCGAAGTTGTTGGATCTTCCGTTCGGCTATAGATACTTCATTGGTAACAGCAAAGGTTTGGCGAATCTTTTCTTTAAAGACCGAGTAGTCTTCGGACATATGGATGATCTCAGCGTCATCGTTGTTGTCGTCCATGTACTTGATGAGGTATGGTTTGACCCATTTGGCAGCTTGTCCTCTCATATATGAGGCAACCAAGGAGGCTTTGTCATCGTCATCGATGTCATCATCATTGAACTTGAAGAATAGGTCGAATTGGAGAAGCCAATCTTCAAGCTTGTTACGGTCTCTGAAGTAGAGGTCAGGTTTGGCAACCTTGCTTTTTCCTCCTTGGGTCTTGTTCGAGGTATGCATGGAAGTGTCGCTCATTTTGAGGGTGTTCAAAGTGTGAAGGTTCCTCGGATAATAGTATGTCCTCTAGGAATCTTGGTTAGTTCTCGGGAATGAACGATAGGGTTCCTTGCATGGGGGTGACACCGAGGGTAATGGAGGTGATACCGAGGGTAATGGGGGTGACACCAGGGGTAACGCATATTTTGAAAACCAAGTGTACTAAGGAATACTGATTGAAATTGAATATGATGAGCTATATAGGCTCATCATCTACTGTTATATATATGAGATACTCTCTTTGCTCCGTTAATATGAGTAGAGCATTGAGAGCAGGTTGCATGCCCTTGCTCCGGAGGGATCAAATGATCATTGAGCTGGCTGCGCTGTGCTCTGAGACCTTCCTTGCTTAACTGAGAGCAACCCTGGTCGGGTGGAGTCTAGCTCCTCTTGGATCGTTACACTAGGATAGCCATGTTATAGTCTGTAGACTCAATACACTTATTGATACAAAAAAAAAAAAGAAAAAAAAAAAAAAGACTTGTACATAAGTTGCTTTTTTAGCGCTTTAATCTAGCTAGTTTAGTACTCTATTTGGTGCAATAAAAGCCTATAGTACTAATATAAATACTCTCTACAACTAACTAAAAGGATGCTTTTTAAAGTACTAGGCCTATACCTACTAGCAACAAATAACTCCTATTATAGAGATAGTAATTACTTAGTACTACTGCTATCTTATAGACACTAGTTTCTCTGCTTAAATTAAGTATATAAAATGTATAGTTTAGCAGGTAGAAGTACACAATAAACCTAAAGACTAGCAGCCTTAGTTAATTAGCATATACTATATAAAAGGCTTCTTCTACTGTTGTCAGATTTGATGGTATCTGAAGATATCACAGTGATAGAAAGATTGAATAAAGATGGGTTGACTGATTGTATTCTGGTTGTGACGATCCAAGAGGAGCTAGACTCCACCCGACCAGGGTTGCTCTCAGTTAAGCGAGAAAGGTCACAGAGCACAGTGCAGCTAGCATGACACGATCATGTGTTATCTGCGGAGTGCTCTCAGCGATCATCTGATCTCTCTGGAGCAAGGAGAGCAATAGAGCAAGAGCATGCAATCTGCTCTTAATGCTCTACTCATGTTTATGGAGCAAAGGGAGCACCTCATGTATATAACAGTAGATGATGAGCCCATATGGCTCATCGTGTTCAATTTCAGTCAAGTACTTCTTAGTACACTTGGTTTTCAAATACCCGTTACCCCTGGTGTCACCCCTGTGCAAAGAACCCTATCGTTCATTCCCGAGAACCAACCAAGATTCCTAGAGGACATACTATTATCCGTGGAACCTTACAAGTTGCAGATATAGGTATAGTGTTTACTATGCCTTTTACTGTTCTTCTACCACCACTGTTGCCAATCTTCCAAGGTTCTGTCCTTAATTTTGCCTTTAAGGGATAGGAAGGTGGTAATAAAAGCTGCATCAACCCTCTTCCTATCTTTAGTGCCTTTGTTTGCTCTTATTTTAGGTATCTATGGTTTAAAAACTAGATAGTCTTCAATCTCCTAATTAGAAACTAGGTCCTTGTTCCTAGTCACTAGGTGTTCTAGTTGCGTTGTAGGCTCTAGAAGCTGTATGGCCTTGTTAGAGCACATACAGTCTTCTAGTTTATCCAGCATAGGAGCTAGATAGGCTTCTTTCACTGCATGTTGCTTGTTGAATTTTAGAACCCTAACTGCATAGGAATTACACAGTTTCTCAGAATTGCCTCCTATAATATACATATAAAGGAAGGGAATTAGGCTTCCTTAGCCTATAGCCTAGCAGACAACTAGAGCTAAAGACAGGACAAAACCTTAGGAACAGAAACAAGACCTTGCAGAGACAGAGGTTCTAAGAGCTAGGTTTGTAGCATGTTATACTCTTTGTATTTCTCTATTTCCTTTATTTAAAATTGTTTTGCAATTATAGCCTAAAAAGGCTATACTCCTTTATCTGCTCTCCTTTTATCCTACAGTATAATAGAGATATGCCTCTATTATACCTGCTATAATCTATTACACCTATAGCCTAAAAGGCTCTTGTAACTAGGATAGCCATGTTATAGTCTGTAGACTTAATACACTTATTGATATAAAAAAAAAAAATAAATGGAAAACTCCATATGAGAAGTTCTTCACACCAGTGGCTCTCCAACATGGAATCCCAACTCTGTCCAAGAAGCCAGACCTCTCTCACCTCAAGGCCTACAGATGCAAGGCATTTGCTCTCTCTAATGATACCCACAGAGGAAAGTCAAGACTACAGAGACTGGATCCCAAGTTATGGATTAGATACTTGGTTGGGTACCAGTTCTCTAACATCTTCAGGATCTGGATACCAACTCTAAAGATCATCAGTACCAGAGATGTTGTGCTTGATGAGTACACTGTGTTCAATGGCAAGGAGGAAGAAATCATAGATAACCTTATACACAGTACCACTGAGGAGATTACTAGATAGGTAAAGAGTATAGAATTTCCATTTCCTCCATCAGGTGAACAAGAGACCCAGTCATTCTATGAGGATGAAGCCATTGAAGATGCTCCTCAGGACAATCAAGAAGAACCAGACCAACCAGGGTACCACCAAGGAAGAAAGATCATAGATCCTTATCCTACTCCACCTGATACACCACTACCTATGATACTCTTGGCCCAATTTCTCTCAGGATCTGATGAACAGCATCCATCACTCCAGGACACTGGCACAGCCAAAACAGTACCATGGCATGCCACTTTTATGGCTGGAACACAAGCAGGCAATATTGGATCCTATGAAGGAAAGCTAATTGACAATGCACACTTGAAAAGGTTGCTGGCTCAGGGGATAAAACCACACAGAAACTAACTGCCACCTTCACCCAAGCACCATTGGCAACTTAAGGACCATGAGCTCAGGGTACAATTTGAGGAAGCAGGGAGAGCACATCTTAGATCCTATATTCCCATACAATCCTGGACTGAAGTCTTAGGCAAGGGAGTAAAGGATGCTGGTCACCAAATCCTAGACTGCATATAGGTGTATATCTACAAGTTTGACAAGTACTACAGACTGGACAAATGCAAAGTCTACCTGGTTGTAAGAGGAGATCAACAGAGGAACATCATATCTCAAGACATCTATGCTACAACTCTGGCAGAGAGATCCTTTAGGATGATGATAGTAATTACAGCACACTTTGACCTAGAACTCAAGCAATATGATGTTACCAATACCTTTGTATATATATCTATGAATAGAGAAGTCTACATGCAAATGTCCCTAGAACACAGGAAGCCAGGAATACTTCTTAGACTCAACAAAGCCTTATATGGACTCAGGATTTCTCTCCTGCTCTGGCAGAGAGAATTGACAAAGACACTGGTGGAAATAGGATTCTACACAGTGAAACATGAACCATGTTATCTCATCAAGGATGGAATCATTCTATTCTTCTATGTAGATGATATCATTATTGCATTCTACAAGTCCAGGAAGATGGAGGCTCAGGAAGCTATCAGGAAACTCACAGAGAAGTATACCATCACAGGAGGTGGTGATCTTCAGTGGTTCCTTGGTGTAGAAGTCTTGAGAGACCATGAAGAGCACACTCTCCTTCTCTCCCAAGCCTAGTATGCTGAGAAGATCAGCTATCTGATAGACAGAACAGACCTCAGACATGATACCCCAATGGTAAATGTTGAACTCAAGCCAAGGGAAGGCCTAGCAACACTATCTGAGATCAATGTGAGGACAGTCCCTGGGTCTCCATGAATGGCTGGAACTCCGAGGCCTACACTGCAACTGTGTGAGACAAGGGAGAATGGCTGGATAGGTTGGGATCTATTTCAAGCTATCCAAAGGTAGAGAGCAAAGGGTTGCTTCCACCACATGATCTATATATACTGAGTGTACTCATTAAGTGAGCAGTTGGCTTGGCAGAAAGCCAGTGCAGAAAAGATGGGATGGTGAAAGGGATAGTCATATGACTTGAGCCATGTGACTGATCAAAGCAACCACACAATCAAGTGGTTCAGCCAAGCGGAGCCTTGAGCTATTACAATCAACAAGTATTAGTATCAGATGGTAAGCCAGTTTATGGACATCCTATCTAGGACTGGAGAGGAGGACTGTGAGAAGGTGTCTGTACCGGTACTGTCTGAGGACATATGGCTAGTGATTCTGTAGTGGCTAGTGCTCTATGCAGCCTTGGCATCCAGAGAAGGAACATTAAAACCGGTGTCAGGCCCCAGCCTCACACACAGAAGCATACACCAGTGTAAGGTTCCACGGATAATGGTATATCCTCTAGGAATCTTGGTTGGTTCTCGGGGATGAACGATAGAGTTCTTTGTATAGGGATGATACCGGGGGTAATGGATATTTGAAAACCAAGTGTACTAAGAAGTACTTGACTGAAATTGAACACGATGAGCCATATAGGCTCATCATCTACTGTTATATACTTGAGGTGCTTCCTTTGCTCCATAAACATGAGTAGAGCATTGAGAGCAGGTTGCATGCTCTTGCTCTGTTGCTCTCCTTGCTCCAGAGAGATCAGATGATCGCTGAAAGCACTCCGCAGATAACACATGATCGTGTCATGCCAGCTGCACTATGCTCTGTGACCTTTCTCACTTAACTGAGAGTAACCCTGGTCGGGTGGAGTCTAGCTCCTCTTGGATCGTCACACAACTATACCACTCCTTTTCCATCCACCACACCAAAGGAATAGTTTTCTAAGAGGGTATACAGTGCCTTCTACTAGTTAAAGCTTGGAAGAGGCTTTTTTAAGTCTTATTCTAAGCTTATAGGCAAAAGTGACACAGCTACTTGTTTTAGAGACTGCAGAGAAAAGCAAACACCAGAACACCTTGTTCTATACTGCAAGAACTACAAGCAGGAAAGGAAGGAAGCTTTAGAAGCACTAAAGTCTCCTCTTACTCTGTATAAGCTCTTCTGCATGCCAGAGGGTAGGAAAGTCTTATTTACCTACCTTGAAAGGACCCAAATCGCTACCCAAAAGTGGCTCCTATAACAGGAATCTCTAGAGGACATGGAATAAAAGACAGACAATAGAAAAACATACAGAAAACAGATAAAACTATAAAAAACAACAGGTATAACAGGGTAAGATCTTAGGAGGAAAATGTTTAGGTTTTTCTTTGTTTATTCTATCATACTCACTTCCTTTCATCACCTTCTTCTCCCTTATACTCCTTTATCTACCCCTTTTCCTTCCTTTTTTCTGCCTTAACAAGCAGTTTCACTGCTCTCGCTTAAGCCTAACATATATGAGAGCCTCAAGAGAGGATGTATGTTAGTTAGTATAGCCATGTCATAGTCTTAGACTCAATACACATATTTTGACCAAAAAAAACAGAGATTAGATAAAAAATCTGCGCTAAGATCTCTCTGCAGGTACTGCGCAACTGCAATACTGAAATACAGGTATATTAGCCTATATAGTTATATAATTATTCTACAGCTTTAAGGCCTCTCTGTACAATGCCTACTAAGATACTACAGCTGCAATAGCCCCTTATACAAATTTGTATGGGCGGGGTTTAGTGTTCCAGTGGCAACTAAGGGGTATGTAGCAACTGATGGGTAAGTCATGGTAGAAGAAGGTGAACATTGATCAACCGGACGAACTGATTTGTGTTGGACCGATGACGACGCGCTTGGCGGCTGCCGAACCCCGCCGTGGGAACGGGCGAGGCGTTGCCCGCAAACGTGCAGTGTTCGTGGCGCTTACCGTCGAATGACGAATGGTTGACTCGCGCGTTTGTCGCAGCGCACCTGGTTTGTTTTCAAACTTAAGGCTGGCAACACAGCCGGCAGTGATCCGACTGCACACGATAGAAGTGTACATAGAAGTGTAAATAGTAGCGAAAAGGAGCCCAGCAAACCGGTCAGACTAGCCGTGAATGAGCAGTCAGTCGCAAGGGAGCTTCGAATTCATAATAAAACGTGTCACGGGGAGTTGCATTCATGGTTCGAGTGTCGTTGTAGCGCCAAGAAGCTAGCTCTCTTCACTGCGCGTCACGGGATCTTTGGGACTTAGTCTTAGTTACCACCACCAAGCTCAATTGCACCTGCACTGCGCAGATTCCTGTACCCCATCCACAACCATATTCACTGTTGTCGTCGACATCGGCTCGCTGCCCCCGCGCGCTCCTCCATCCACGTCGCCGCTTCGCCAAACGCTACATCTTCTGAAGTCATATTTCGTCTCGCGTCCCCGGCCCAGTCAACAAACAACCGACCGAGACGACACGACACGCCTGCCACCGCGACATCTACCCATATCTACTCCTTCCCTACATCTTTGAGCGCACGCTCGCGCTTCCCTACCCCAGCGATACTTCCTAACTGCTCATCAAGTGGAAGGAACACTTGCTGCATCGCGACTGCTCCGTCGAGTCCTGCAGTGTGGGGCGACCGCTGCTGTGAAAGGACCGTCCGTTCTTCGTCATAACGCCGAGCTATCCCGCCCTCCTAAGAACAAACATACACCACCACACTCACTTCCCCACACCATAGAAGGGATGCCGCCCTCATCAAGTAGGAGAGTAGGGCTCCGGAGCCGTCGAGAGCCGGAGCCACAACCAGCATCAGATGCTGACACACCTGACGCCATAGCCACCCCTTCAAGGAAGAAGAGACGAGTGAGTATACGCCGACCGCCCCTATACTAGATCATTTGGTGCTAATACTGTACAGCTGAACGGCGCTGAGCGCTCCGCTGTTCCTATTGAAGATGCGCCGCGCGCACGCATCACCGAGTCCGAGGTCAGCAACGATTCCAATGCAACGCTGCCGGATGGAGGCGATGCCGAAATACCCTCCGATCCAGTGGAGCGACAGAACCTGATAATCGCCCACCTGCGCGCTCCAAATCACTACACCCCTAATGCTGCGATTGATTACGCCAACGAGATGCAGGCGCGCCGCAACGCTACCGACATCGCCGCCTATGCCAAGATTGCTGCACGAGACTGGTGCTTCTTTGTCAAGAAGACCACACTCCTGATCGGCCGTGTCGACTCGTTGGTGCGGCCCCATCCGCCTTCGCAGGACAGTGCCGTTCTGGCTCAGGGTGAAGATATGGCTGCACACTGGGGTGTCGACATAGACCTTGGCCCCGAACGACAGATCTCGCGTGTGCACGCCCAGATTGATTACGACGGTAACGACCAGACGTGGTATATACTGGTTAACAGTCGCAATGGGCTCAAACTAGACGATACGACCATTTCCAAGGGTCAGCGAGTGCCGCTGCACTCGGGCATCTGCATCGGAATCATGGGCACCCAGATGCTTTTCCTGCTTGCAAACCAGCAAGACGAATTCCACCCCATGTTGTGGCGTCAAGTCAAGAATGATGGTGAACTGGATGGCGAGTCCGACAAGGAGGGTCATCGGCCCTCGCGCTCTCTGCCTCACGCTCATCCTGGTGGGCCAACGCCGAAGCGCGAGCCCTACGATCCGTTCCCACCATCTTCGCACCCGCGGAACAGACATCCCGCACGTTCATATAGCCAACATTTGACGTCAACTCCTGGCCGTCCTCCGCCAGGCACTCCCATGGCCATGCACTCCGAAAGTGCGCTCCCCAAGGGCTCGCCTTCTGTATACCCTCGGGGCATGATGTTGGATTCCACCGAGGATATTGACTACAGCCACGATTCTGCGAAGGATATCAAGCCGCCACATAGTTATGCACAGCTGATCGGACAGGCTATCCTGAGTAGCCCTGAGGAGATGCTTACGCTGGCTAACATCTATCAGTTCATCAAGGACCGATACGCTTTCTTCAGGCACACACGGGCTGGTTGGCAGGTGAGTCTCATGTACGCTGAACTTCAAGATATCATCTAACCGTCATGTAGAACTCCATCCGACACAACTTGTCGCTCAGTAAATGTTTCGAGAAGGTAGCACGCCGTACGGATGAGCCAGGAAAGGGCATGAAGTGGAAGATCGTCGACAGTGAGCGGGACGAGTTCGTCAAGAAGCAGCTGCTCAATCCTCGCAAAGGCGGCGGGCCCGTCCGGATCGACTCTTCGGGACCCAGCTCTCCGGCGCTCAACCAGCCTCCGTCACAAGCTACTGAACGCCTTATCGGAGCTATTGGGCATGGGGATATTTTCAAGAAACATGATGCAGCCCCTATACAGGTCAAGTCGCCGCCGCGCTCGGCTACACCACCTCTGAATACGTACCCTACCGCAAACGAGTCTTACACACCCGACCGTGGCCCTCGGGCCCATGCGTCACTGACAGCGTTCAAGCAATCGCCAGCTCAGCCGGGACATTCGAGCCTCGTGACGCCCGCGAAGAGGCTCTTCCAGGAGATGCAAGCTGGAGGGGCTTCTGCTCTACATCAGCGATCCGAAGCGAACGGTGGTGGCGCAGTAGACATTCAACCCTCGTCTCCTAACGCTGATGCCAAACCCAGCGTGCCTGGTCTTCGTGAGAATTCTACGAACTCCCCGCCTACTCTGTATTCGGATCCCGCTGCCAATGCAGCAAACGGTGCAGGACGAGGATTGTTTACGCCCCTTGTCTCGCGACAAGCACCCAGATTGGCTCCACCTTCTACCGCGCATTTACCTAGTCAGTATATGAACCTCAGTAGTCCGGCGCCTTTCTGGAAATACATTGATTTACCCAGCACGCCGGCGAGGCAGCCGCTAGATTTGAGTCCTATCAAGAGGAATAGGGACGACGTGGAGAGGGAGGCGGATGATGAGAATGATCATGGGCCTGTGCAGCCTAGTAGCCCGCCCATTGTTGGGGAGCATAGTCAAGATCCGGAGGGGAAGGACGACGAAGATGCAGCTGATGCGGATGCGGAAGTGAATGAGAAGGAGGAGGATCTGGCGCCTGATAGCCCAACTCGGCCTGTCAGCCGGCCGGCCAGTCGTCCAGCCAGCCGCGCCCACGTCTCAGCAACGTCGTCGCAGCGCTCAAGATCCAACTCGCATGCGCATCCCGTGGGGACAAGTTCCGGGAATGGCGGAAGGGTGAGGGGGGCAAGTTTGGGCAGTTTTGAGGAGTTGGAAGAGGAGGGGGGATTTGATCTTGCCAAGTAGGTTTCCTGCTTCTACGGGGAAGATTGGGCGACGGGCAAGAGTGCAGGGTGCTAACGAGTGGATTAGGGGCTTCCAGAAGATTGGCTCGTTCCATCGGAGTCTGCAGGCCCATGGGGTGAATTTGAGTGCTGGTGGGCCGCCAACCAGGACGGACTCGAGGACGAGTGTTGGTGCGAATTTGTAGGGCGTGTAGGATTTGACGAAGCTGGGTTCACAGGGAGCTCGTCCAAGTCACAGTGGCGGATACGGCGTTGTGTTCGTTTGCTGCGTTTTCAAGGTTAACGATGTTATGTTCAGGCGACGGGGCATCATCGATGATGGCTTCTCCGCTTATCCATTGGCAAGAGCAGGCGAAATTTCCAATCGAAGGTATATCTTTGACGAAGGCGCATCGATATGATTTAGGTGCTGCCGCAATGGCTTGCTTGGCACGAGCTATCGGATCCGACATGTACGCATCGATGCGGAAGGGGCATATCAACTATTGATAGACTACTTCGTCGAGCATGCGCTGGTAGTCGGTTGGGATGCATCGTCGCGAGGTTGTCTGTTTAGGTTGCATGCGTTTTCTTCGTTTTCTCTACTTCTGCTCTGCCCTACTCTACGCACACGATCGGTCGTGAACGATGTCGGCGTCTGGGGCTCGCAGTTTCACTGGCTCTGCTCAAAACGGGGGTGGCGTCCATGTTATGCATGATAGCGTATTGACTTCACTTTCTCTCTTCGTTTCCCACTCTCATTGGCGTGGTTGTCTGCTCGACTCTTTTTACATCTACGTTTTCATGCTCCTCCTTTCGCGGAGCTCTTAGCTCTAAAACGGGTGGCAGAGTCAAGTGTCAGAACAAGAGGACATAGGGGAATGAGGGTGGCAGGGCGTTATAAGGGAATTCGTGTACGCTGTTATGATGGATGATGATGATGATGTGATATGCGTCATGTTGATGAGAGTTGGTGGTTTGTTGACTGGTTTTGCTTGGAGGAGGGGGGTTTAGAAGGGTTTTCACCGTCGGGAATATGGAGAGACAATGAGGAGTTCTACAGTCTCCGCGTAGGGTGTGCTGGGTATGATGGGTGTGTGAATGAGTATTAGGGGGGGAGTCGTGCTGGACAGAATATGATTGATACTGAATCCAGTATACACAGTGATGCGATTGCAATTGAAGCTCTACCTGCAGCCGCATGTTCTACTTATCGTTCATGTCACCACGAACGTCCAAACCTGCAATCCTTGGCACCTCTTCCCCAAAGCTAACCCGCAAACTCGGCTTATATAATCCCGCCAGCTCGCAACCTCACTGCATTCCGCGTATCCACGCCCACGACAAAACCATTCAAACACAACACAACCATGGCGTCAGGTTATGGATTGGCCGGCGGTAAGTTTCATTTTCGCATTTCCGAGTCTTGAGGTGGGAGGTTCGGGGGTCAATGGTCGGGGGAATTGAGGGTGGTCCGACGATGATGCGAAGAGGAGGATGTGTACGGTGGGGAGATGCGGAGGTTGGGAGGAATGGGATGGAGCTGTAAGAGGTTGGGAGGGGGGTCCGGAGGGTTAGGGGAGGTCTTGCGTTGGGGGCATGGGAGAGGATTGGGGTATAGGAAAGGTGCTTGAGCTGCGGCGTGGACGTACGACGACACCGGGACGAAGCCCACAACCGACAACGACGACGTACCGGTTTCTCGCGCTGCGTCTGGCGTTTTGGTCCTAACGACTATTTCGGGCGATGTTCGCGGAGCGCCGCGTCCCATGGACCTATCTCGACCGCCGCGGAATCGTTGTCCACCCATCACCGTCCTGTCGCTACCACATAAACTCCGCCTGCCTCCACCTCTCCGTCCAACCCTTCCCTTTCTCCCCGGCCTTGCTGGAATCTACATCTCTACACCACCCAATACCAGATCTACCCGAGTTCGCAGACTGATAAATATCTTCTTCCAGGTCCCTCCCGCTGCTTCCCCTTCTGGCAAGAAGTCCTCGCCTGCTACGTCACCAACACGAACCCCGAGGACGACTCGGGCAAGGCCAAGTGCGTGCCCTACCTCGAGGATTACTACGAGTGCTTGCATCATAAAAAGGAGGTACGTCTTAACTTCTCCTACATTCCACCCATCACACCGACTGACTTTCTTTCCCGTCCAGGCCGCACGCGTAGCCGCCCTGCAAGCAGCATACCGCAAGCAGCAAGCCAACATCAAGCGCGACGATGCGCCGAGTGCGGGCGAGATACGCAGGTTGGGGATTCTGGACGCGCCGCTCGAGGAGAAGGGGTTGAAGCCGAGTAAATGGTTTCCGCATAAGGAGATTAACTAGCGAGGGACGGAGAGAAGGAGGCGCGCGAAGGAGGACGTGTATTATATCGGGTTGGGAAGGGATGGATATGATGGGAAAAGATGGCAGGGAAGTGGTGAATGGATGAGGTTCATACAATATACGCGCTAGTAAAGCATGCATTTCTTCGTGGTATTCTGCGTGATCTCCTTTTGGTATTAGACGTGCATTCCCCCGTCCCAGCAGGTAACCAGCTAAACTTCTGCACATCTAGCTAGACTGTAAAGACTAAAATGCTACCTGATACAACAGCCTACTATTCCCGGTGCCGCTCCCTTGTCTGTTGGAGATGTACGTCACGTCACCTGCTCCCTTTTTTGCAAGAAGGGGCGCCTAGTATCAGGTGTGGGAATCTTGATCGTAGTGGATGAGTTTGTTGGCTCTCCCTCTCTCTCTGCGCCTCGCCATTTTTGTATGTATGTATGCTGCCATGATCATAGACCAACGAAGCACAACGTGGACAAACATAAGAGTCGACCAAATCCGAAGCACAAATACCGGGATCCCCTTAAGTCCAAGTGTCTGGATCGACATAATCACAGTAACCACGATAAGAGATGAAAAGGAACGAAGGGCACGCCGTCATTGATAGGTTGCCTAGACCTAGCAGACATAGCCTCCTTCCCCTAGCGAGGAACATATATTCTATAATGTACGGAGATGCAGATGATGAAGGAGAAGGAAAGGTAAGGAGGTGGGTGCTAGGAGCTAGACGCTGCAGGTTAGCAGCAAGAAAAGGGAAACACGATATGGACGTTGTAGACACCGTATCCGCTTCTAGCTCCAACGATGATGTTTTACTAAAATCTTTGGTATATCTCAACGCGCCTTTCGTAGCAAAGATGCGTTCGCTTACCCGCAATTCAAAAAATACATCTTCTTACAACTGACCGAGTGCAGCCATCATGGCCATACAAAGCCGTTCCACGCCAAATCCTACACATTTCCACCCAACAGCCTCCAGATAAAGCAAAAATGGTTGAGAACAGCCAAAAAGAAAAAAGTCTTGATTGGTCACTACGAGGGTCGAACTCGCGACCTTGGCGTTTTCGTCACGTGACTATTAGCACCACGCTCTAACCAACTGAGCTAAGCGACCGATGATTTGATTCAAGTTATGGTAGTTTTTGGGACTGTACATTTATGAAGGGAGTACATGACTAGTTTAGAAACCTCAAGGGAATCCGCCTGCATCCTTGGCATGCACATCATCGCGTACCTTTGCCTTCACTTTCACCACCTCTCACCCGCACTGGGGAGCGTCCCAAACCGTCCCCACAAATACCTCTACCCTCCTCCTCCCACTCCATCTTACCTCTCAACCTCGATCCAACCCCATCCAACCACAACCCGCCACCATGGCGTCCCCTCCACACCTCCCCCAGCTCTCCATCCCCCGCAAACGCGGCTCCATTTCGAGCGTCACGTCGGCCGCAAAGAAACGCAAACCGTCCCAGCTCCGCAACGCCTTCTCCCCCGAAAGCGAAGGTGTGGGCTCCCCGCTCCGGTACTCGCGCTCACCCTCCGTCGACAGCGTGGCCACGGGCTCCGTAGCCAACAGTAGTATCGTTGGGGGAGTCGGCGGAGGAGGCCGCAAGCGCAGGCGCAAAGACAAAGGCGCACCCAGCACGACGGGAAGTCTACAGGGCGGTAAAGGCCAAGGATCCACGACGGGAGCGGATGGCGACGACGCAGCAGCGCGAGGAGAGGCGGACCCGAGCGAGGAGTCCTCGGAAGAGGAGCAGGACGCCGAGGAGACGATGCTCGCGACCGAAGGCGGCAAGTACACCGAGGCGACGCGCCGCCAGGAAGAGGAGAACCGCCGCATCCTCCAGGACTACATGACGTCGGCGCAAAAGGACCGCTTCGACGTCTACCGCGCCATCCGCCTGAAGCGCGAGACGGTGCGCAAGTTGGTCAACCAGACGCTCTCGCAGAGCGTCCCGTACCCCGTCGTCGTGGCCGTGACGAGCTACTCCAAGGCGTTCATCGGGGATGTGATTGATCGCGCGTTGACGGTGAGGGATGAGTGGAGCGCGGCACGCACGCATCTGCCAAACCCGGATCTTCCGCCTCAACTACTGCGCTCCGGACTCCACTATCCGCGCAACCACAAACCGGGAGCGACGCCGCAGATGCGGGAAATCGGCGAGGCGGGCTTGTACGCCCATCAGGTGCCCCCCGGCAGTCAATTCCTGGTGGAGGTGGAGAAGAATAAGGGGTTGAAGGACAGGTTGAGGGAAGAGGACAAGGGGCCGTTGACGCCGGCGCATTTGCGAGAGGCGTTGAGGAGGTATAAGAGGGATAGGGAAGGGGGTGGGGCAGGGGTGGCGGGAATGAGTTTGGAGGGGGTGGAGAGGACGATGGCGAGGACGGGCGGGAGGAGGCTGTTTAGATGAATATGGGGAATGGAGTCTCGGGCTCTCTTCTAAGCATTGGCCTTTTCTCGGTTGCTTTCGCGGTACGTATGCATAGCGAGGAGTTGGGCGTTTCTTTGGGTATGAAGATTGGGTGGTACTCTCGGCAGAGTTTGGAAGAATCTCCAAATTACCATATTGTAGATTATTGAACAGCAGAGAAAGCTACAACGCTGTCCTCAAGCCGACGCCATAGCACAGGAATAATGATGCCACCGGAGGGCTCCCTAGTAATCCCAGAACGCCATTGCAATGCAGTACCCAATGTACAACGCTGTGACCCATAACGCCGTCTCTGCAATGCTCAAAGCCAAAACCCTTTGTCTGCTCCTCCCGACTACTTTCATAACCCTCTCGCTGCCTGCCTCATGAACTTCTGCTCATAGTTGATGTGAACTCCCTCCTGCAAACTTATGCCCCGGTCCGCTTTGGATACTGCTGGCTTAGGGATGTGGTCAATGTCCATCTCGTACTGGTGTTCCTCTTGGTCCACCATATGTTGTAGGTATTGTCGATGCTCCGCTTCCTTCTCTTCTTCCCTCATCACATCCTCCATGGCTTCCTGCCACAAGGCCTCGCTCTCCTTCATCCTCGCCGACTTCCGCTGCTTTTTCGTTTTGCTCCCTTGCAGCCCGGCCTTCTGCGCCGCCATCAGCTTCCTCAGTGACTGTTCCGCCAAGATGCCCTCCTCGGTCGCCTTCTCCCTGATCCTCCGAGGGTCATTCTCCCTGGGCGTAAACACAGGCGTCGCCTTCCACGCATGCTTGGGCGGAAATGGCGGTAGATGCGGCGGTATGTATTTTCTGCTTTCCTTCTCCTCTCTTCCAGACAACTCCGGGCCAAGCAACGCTTCGAGGTCTGGAGGCGGCGGATCTGCGGGTACCGGAGGCTCGAACGGCGGTTGTAATAGCGACGGAGGGACGGTTCCTGTGTCGAGATGCTTCTCCAACATGCTGGATCCTTCGATGCCTATGGATTTGAGGGCGTATATCCAATCGTGCGGTACGCTCGTGGTGCGCCGCGCGCTCGACATGGACTTGCGGACTTGGGCCAGGAATGTGCGCATAACTATTCATCGTTAACTTTTAAAGTTCCATTATACCCTCTTTCGCACGCATGTAATGCATACATATATCGGTCATTGCACGGAACCTCTCCATAGCCTGGGGCTCCGCGACATCGAACCCCGCGGCGCGACACTCGACCGCGATCGCGCGCTGCAGCTGCTTATCAAAGAACTCCTTCGTGGTACCCGTGCCATCGTGCTCGGTGCTGATAAACTCGACGATGCGCTCGATCGGCTGGGTGTGCTGCAGTCTATGTTCCACCTTGCGCTTCTTCAAGGCCCGCTCGGCATGTGTTGCTCCCGCTTCACCGGCCAGCGCTCTCTTCATGCCTGCTGCTGCGCCCACAGTGCCCATGGCGCCGGAGGTGTCTATGAGTCCCGGCATAAACCGTTCGCTGATTGACGGTTGGCGCGTTTTAGGTAGGGAAGAGCTTCGTGGTCCTGGACGGAGCGTTCGACGGCCGCGCTGAGAGTGTATTTCTCGATATGCCAGTAAGAATGTCCAGCTGAACAGTTCCGCGCGCTGCACAGTAAGTCTTTGTTGACCTTTGATCGGTGACGCAAGAGAGGTTGTGTGCAGCAATCCGCCGTCGACGTTGCGCTTTCATGCAGGTGGAGTTGAGCCCTGGAGCCCGGATGTGGAAGTTCAGCAAACGATGCACGGGCCCTCATCAAACCTTGGCATTCGTCGTGACGGGAGTTGCCGGCCCGACTTCACACCACCAACTGCCAACGTCGAACTTCGACATCTCGACATTGACAGCTCCGCAGACCCGCAACACCGCACTTGAACGACCTCTCCACTCACCCGAACATCTCCCACAATGGCCGTCAAACCAATCACTGGTGTATGTGCTTCCGGCAGGGGAATTGATTTCGACAGGAGAGAAAACTGATGTTGGGCGTCACAGATGCTTCGGCGCAGAATCGTGCTCGATATATCCGTTGCTCTCGGTAAGTTCGAGCTCTCCGCGCAGCTCTGACCTTGTCAATTGAGCTTGCGAGATGCGTTTTTCCACCGGCAAGCTCCGCTAACAAGTGCAACAGGATTCGGTGTTGCTGCTGGCTACACCTGGTGGTATGGTACGTAGTTACTTCGCCTCTTCGAATTGCGCCATTCCGGAGTGCAGGACAACCGGCTTGGCATTTAAGAAATAAATAATAGAATGGAAACTCACATGCACAAGGCTACCACCTCCCCGCTGTCCGCCACCGCGATTCGTTCTACCAGAAGATTGAGGACGAGCGGGCCCGCGCCCTCGGCCAGCAGTAAACGGCTTTGCACTCGCTGTTAAAGAAAGGCCTTTCCTATGTTCGATATGGGTGGATGCATAGAAGGGAGGTGGAGCTTGAGGGATGGTTTTGTATCATAGGAGGGTCGGGATTCTTGGTCTTCCGTGCGATATCAAATTAAGACAAGCTTCCTCGTACGACTTAAGCTCTGATGTCACGCTACACTAGCCGCCTGTTGCCATTTTGTGCCTCTTTGCAAAGCATTGAGAAATGGAGGCCATGAAAAGACTTGAGCACTGGTGCCATCGTAAACGTTCTGCAATCACGTGCGGGTTTCATATGGCATTGCAACAACAGCTTTGTATTACCAATCGACTATTCATAGAGCACGTGCAGTCGGAACCGAGGGTAGTGCAAGATCCTGTACATCGTCTACACAGTAACTCTAATGGCTAAGAACAGACGGCAGCTTAATCAAGGATTCGTCCCTCCAACACTATCCTATTCACCCAAAAGTATTTCTGTGCCCCTCGATGATCCTTGTCTCAAACACCTTTCTCCAAGTGAAGGGATTTTGTCTTTTCAGGTTTTCTTTTCAGTCTGTTGGCTCGGAGACCAGTATCAATTCTCATCGCTTCAACTGCGTGTCTAGCAGCGACTGATTAACTACCAATGGGAATAATGATTGATTTATGACCATCCACAGCCTACCTAGGTACTTTCAACCTGCTCTGTGACTGGTAGATATCAACCGCGCTACCAACTACGCCAGCCAAGCCTCAGCGGCGGGGTACTGAAATTCATTTACATGCTCATGCAAGGTGAACAAGAATACACGGTGGTATCGGCGAGGGCCGTATAGTATGGCACAGTGAATGGCGGCTTCCTTCATCACGAGGCAGAGAAAAAGATGGCAGTTATGCAGATGCAGACAGGTTGAGCCAAGCCAGAGCTTCCCAAAGCGGTAAACAAAAGGCATGGCTTGCAGCGGGAGAGCGACGAGGCGACGGAAAGCGGCACGCCGATTGGAGGGACATGGGACGAGGAATCAGGTGACGAGCGGCATTGTGGGCGGCATCGAGGCGGCATGGGACGAGGTGGCCGGTTGATGAAGTCGCGGTGGCGGTCGCGCATGCTTCTTGCAGCCCAAAGGATGGGAATTTGGAGGTTTCTATAGGTGACGCGGTAGAGGGGAGTATTGTGTAGTTACTGTACTGGTCCATAATGACGGCGGGTGTTGAGTTGGGATATGTGGTGTGTGATTAGCGGGATCGGAGCCGATCCCTGGAGCTGCTGGCGACTTTGCCCAGGTGTGCAGGGAGTATCTGAGAAATGGGGTCGATGGAAATGCGCTTTGAGCGGAATAGCTCCGAGCTGGGTTGGTGCCTTGGTGAAAGAGCGTTAACATGATTTGAGCTTCATGATCGGGTTAGGTTTTGTAGAACGACAGAGTCCCGGGTCTAGGAATAAGGCTGTCGATTCGAGGGCTTGCCGGTGATATACACAATTGCTGTAGGTGAGTGATGACTGCGACAACAGCAAAAGATGTGAGCACCGACGGAACGGAACGCCGCGGAGATGCAAGCAGGCCAAGCTCATCTAGCGGGATCCGTCTATTCCCCAAACGGTAACGCGACGCTTCCAGCCTTGCAGGTTTTCCTTGGCGGACCAGCCCACCTCGAGGGAAGAGGAGATGCATCACACGCAGTCTTCTTCAGCAGCCTTGTCTCTTCTGCACACAATGTCGCCTCGCAGATGTGGAGCTGACTGTTCTCTCGCCAGTAGTTCACAGAGTACAGAGCCACAGCCTGGCTATAGGATAAGTGAGGTTCCCATCTCGGCACGCCAGCAGGATTGTGTGATGGTAGGAGAGATAGTGTCCAGGTGGGCCCCCTCCTTACAAGTACTAGCAGCCCAGCCGAGCCAGCAAAGAGAGCTGGGCAGTCCCTCACGCGCGTCCAGGTGCGGTCCCGCCCTCTGCCTCTCTGCCTTCGTTGAAATCTCAGCCGGTCCCCCTGCCCTTTTGTTTCCATTACCCAAAAGCTTACCTCACATCTTTCCCCTCGCGCCCACCCACAGCTCTCTCTCGCGACGTTATCAGACATTATCAAACCCAAACACTCACGCCTTCGATTCTTCGCTGCCAGGACCCGGCGCTACGGCTGCCCCTCCTCGTCGTCGTCGTCCGCGCGCTTAGCCGAGTCCCTTCCCCTTCCCTCTTTCCCCAGATTGGGACACGGGCACGAGCCTGTCGTCACCCTTGGCGTCCCCAGTCTCTGTAGACTGTGTGCCCCTCCAGTCCACCGCCGGAGGGGTGCCCGTGGTAGATAGGGCCAGCGACGGTCGTTTGCAGATGCCAGATAGTGCCGTAACAGATATGACGGCCCCCGTGGGCAAGACGGAGCCCTCCCGCGACGGTTCCGCCAGCTCCAACCCTTCCTCGCCAGACGCAGACCGAGAGCCTGACCCAGAGCCCGTGGGCACCTATCCCCAGGAAAACCCCCAGCAGCAGCAGCAGAAGCGCAAGGGCGGCCGCAAACCAGTGAGCCTCTCCTCTCTCCCCGTCACCATTATGGCCATGGCCACCACCTTGACCGTCGCCATGTCCAGAGTAGAGCTAACCAAGCGTCGCAAGATCTATGCCACCTCCGAAGAGCGCAAGCAGCGCAATCGCCAGGCTCAGGCCGCCTTTCGCGAGCGCCGCACAGAGTACATCAAGCAGCTCGAGTCCACCATCAAGCACCAGGAGGAGACGCTGCAGAACCTGCAGAATAGTCACCGCAATGCCGCCGACGAGTGCCTCATGCTCCGATACAAGAACTCTCTGCTCGAGAGGATCTTGCTCGAGAAAGGTGATTCCGCCCCATTCACTCCTCGTCGCCATTTCCCTGCTGACTCCCCCAGGCATCGACGTCCAGGCCGAGCTGCGCGCGAAGACTGGCAGCCCTACCGTAGGCCCTACCCGCGGGCCCGTCTCTGCGAATGCGTCTCCGAGCCTGGCTCCTCTCCAGCAACGCGCCATACTCAATAGACAACAACAGAGGAGATCAATTGGAGGCCTGCCCAGGGCTGACGGCAATGGCTTGCCTCTGATACAGCCCGACGGCCCCATACCGAACCGCTCCCCGCTGGCCCAACCCACGCCTGGTTCGCATATTCCCTCTCCGGCCCAGTCTTCCACACGATCTCCCAACTTCGTTGGACAGGGCACCTCTGTGTCTCCCAATTTTGGGCCCATACCCCCGCAGCAGCAGCAGCAGCAACAACAACAACAAGCACAACAACAGCAACCGCGATTGCGGCCACATCCGCCGAGACCGTCCTTTGCATCCGTGATAGCGCCCCAGCGGCCGTCAGTCATCACCAATAACCCTCCCTCCAACGGTTCCTCAAACGCATCTCCTGCAATCACGCAAAGTAGCACGAGCGGCGGGCCGCACTCATTCTACCCCTCTCCATTCGAGAGTCATATGAACCAGCTCGGCAAGCTCCCCCGTTTTCTTTCCCCTCTTAGGCATAGGGCTTTGTTCGTCCTAGGACTGATTGAGTTATAACAGACCAGGAGTACGACGAACAAGCAGACATGATCGACCAAGACGACCCCCCCGACCAGTCCCCCGCCGCCGGCCCCGCCCCGTTCCCTCAGAACTACCCCCAGTCGCAATCGATGCAGCCACCAATAGCACCAGCACAGAATACTCACTTCGCCTCCTCGACCGCCGTCGCTTCCAACGAAAACAGCCAAACCGCTGCTGTGTTCAACCCGATGAACCATCTCTTCGACCCCTACGACCCGATGCTCGACGCCGATCCCTTTGGGCTCTCAGCAAGCATGCATTTCCCGACCATGTATGATTCACGATAACGATTCGAGACGATACGGGACCCAAGGATCTTTTCTGGGAGGTATATTGCTCTGATCTTTATTAGCGGGCGCTATGGTTGCCGCAGTGTGCATATCGGTGTATCGGTGTTGGGTTGACTGGCTTCCAACGGATAATTATCAAAAGTATGGATTTATCGGCAATTACGGTGTGAAATGGCTCATTCGACTACCCAATTACCTGCTATTTGGTCACGAAAATCGTGTCGGAGCCGATGCAAAAACGTGCATCGGTCAGCATTTGCAGGAGTGTACATATGTAATTCGAGCCCCCGAGCTCTTTCACCTCTCTATTCTTATATGTTCAGATCAAAGTCGCCCCTGCCGCCATTGGTTCGGAGAACACCCAAGGCTAAAGAACGTCCTTTTGCAGGCCGAGATATGTCGGGCGCTCTGCTAATCGGTTCGGAAAGCATTATTACACAAAGCGTGCGGAGCTCTGACACCCCTCTCAAGACATGACGTCTGTCTCAAACCATGCCCAGATATGTATCTTGCTTTGTGGTCGTTGGAAATCGTGCACGGACCAACTTACTAAGCGATTATTGGACGACTCCACAAACCGCTGAATTTCCCATTTTGCACCAACCTCACTTCTCATCATCAAGCTGCGAACCACCCCCCATCTGCTCCATCGCAGTGTCACTTTACGAGAGCCCAGACTCTACTTGTTTAGGGTCAGCTCTCACTCCCAACCCTTCTCCCCCAGCAGATTGTGCGTCTAGAGGGAAAAGCGCGAAAGGCGCTTAACTCACCCCACAATGTCTGCTATTGCTTCCAAGGTCAGCCCCGCGCCATTACCAGCTCGCGAGCTTCGCCTCCTGTTCAGCATTGCATCTCGGAGCTGTCCGCTTTTACCTTCCCTGTACTGACTCAAGTCTGTAGAACCTCTATGAGCTCCTGGGTATGCCAAAGCCCCATCGTCATGACCCCACGACGTGTGCTCATCCCCATTGACAGGCAACGACCCGGAGCTCGACCCCGACAGACCGGCCGAGCCTCCCACCAAGGCTGTCGACAAGCCTCTCCCTAGGACTGGCAAGCGAAATGCTCCTGCCGAAGCTCCCGCTTCCCAGACGACCGGAACGACCGGCCGCACCCAGCGTCAGGGCCCCAATGCCAACGAGAATGGTACGTCCGGCATCACCAGAGGCATGGACATCCTCAGCAATCGATCATGAACATGGCCTACGACAATTGGACCTTTGACTGACGTACGCATGCAGCTTTCCGTGATCGCGGGGTAGGGTCGGACAAGAACCGAAGCAGGGGATCTGGCGGTATGGGCACTGCAAAATGTCTCTCTCACAAGCAACCACTAACATGTTTAGAACCCGGTGAGCACGTCCGTGGACGTGGTGGTTTCCGTGGCCGTGGCCGCGGCCGTAGCGCCGTCCTTGGTGACCGCCACAGCAGGACTGGCATTGCGTACGAATCTCCTTCCACATCTACCGCAAACAGTTTTTCTCACATCTTTCAGTGAACACGAGAAGCAGGCTGCTCACGGCTGGGGCGCACAGGACGGCAACGCCGAATGGGACGATGAGAAGGCCGGTGAGGCCATCGCCAAGGCGGATGAGAAGGAGGAAGGAGTCGTTGCTACGCCTGCTGAGGAGCCCGAGCCCGAACCGGAGGACAAGACCAAGTCCTATGCCGCCTACCTCGCTGAGCTGGCCGAGAAGAAGCTATCCCTTGCCGCCCAGAACGTGCGCAAGGCCAACGAAGGAAGCTCCGCCAAGTTCCCCGAGGGCAAGCCCGTCACCCGTGACGAGGATGAGGCCTACATTGCCGGCTCCGGAGGCAAGGCCAAGCGTGAGCGCGAACGCAAGCAGAAGGAATTCGTCGAGCTCGACGACGCCAAGCTCCACCGCGAAGCCCGAGACACTAGCTTCCGTGGACGCGGCCGTGGCCGTGGCGAGTTCCGTGGAGAGGGACGCGGACGGGGCGGCGAGGGCCGTGGCCGTGGTGGCGCCCGTGGCCGTGGAGAGGGTCGTGGTGGACGCGGCGGACGTGGCCAGTCCGGCCCCAACCTTGCCGACCCCAGCGCCTTCCCCAGCTTGGGCTCATAGCCGTGTTGACCATGTAGTCGACCATGTGTGTGCACACGATATCTCTTCGTGGAATGGACGTGTCACCTACCCTGGAGGCGGGAATCTGGCTGTATATTCACATCAGCAATCAGTGGAAGGCGAGGAACGGGTTTAAATCAAAAGCAAGCAGACGGATGGAATCTGGACAGACAAAGTGCAAATGATTTTGATTTCTCTCTCTCTATCCCTCTTACCAAGCATGGGTGCCGGGTATTGAACTAGATATATTTTCCGTCCCGCCGATTTGAATTTCCATCCGTTGTAGAAGAAATGATTTGCAGGTCCTCGCTGAACCATCTCTGAACAAGCCGAATTCATTCCATATCCCAAACGCCTCACGCCCTTTCATTCATGGAAGCAAATGAGCCCGCTCAAGCACAACCGGCTAATCACTATCCTCGTCCACTCTCGCCCTTTTCCTCTCCCTCCCTTCCCCCTCCTGCAACCCATACCTCTTCCCTCCCACCTCCCCCTTGACCTCACTGATCATCTTCTCAATCTGAAACGGATCCTCCGTGTCCTTCTCAAACTGCACCGGCCCTTCCCTTCTTTCCGCCACATCCGCCCCCTTGAAACCCCTGCCCTCCTTCACTCTGCCCAAAACCTCGAACTTGCTCGACTTGTTGATACGATCGAGCGTAGCGTCTTCATCCTCCTCCTCCTCGTCGTGCGCAACGGACGGTCGGTAGATGGAGGAAATGGCATCCTGCGCCGCGAAGAGAGGCTTGTCGTAGTGCTGATCCTCGTTGAACCCGGCATCGAACCCACTACTCTGGTTGAACAATCTCGAATCGTACATGGACTCACCGCTCTGCGTCGGCTTGGCCAACCCCAGGGCCACCTTCTCCGAGATGTCGCGGTTCTGCTCGCGCGCGAGCATCTGGATGCGGCGTTCGGTGCCCATGCGCGACTGGCGCAGTTCTCGCTGGAACTCCGCGCGGCGCTCCCGTCGAGCTTCCTCTCTGCGACGGGCGGCGGCTTCTTCTTCGTCTTCCTCCTCGTCCTCGCTGCTGGAGCCGGAGACTGAGGCCCTGGCAGAGGAGCGGCGACGGCGGCGTGCGGAAGCTTGGGCCCGCTCTTCGCGCGCTTGCTGTGCGAGTTGCCGGAGATGTTCCTCCTTCTGCAGCTTCTCCTTTTCGGCAAGGCGTTGCTGCATGATGGCTCGTTGTTTCACTTCCTCGCGCGCATGTCGGTCGGCGGCGAAGAGCGCCTCGCTGAACTGCGCAAACTTGTCGTTGATGGTGATGTCCTGGAGACCACGGCCGTCGGCCGCGAGACGCTTGTCCAGCGGGACCGTGTAGCCCTTTGGATTCTTCCAGTTGGAGATGGGCGGCGGGATCTTCCACATCTCCTGGTCTTCGGCCGTGAGTTTGCGGGGAGGCGAGTGCAGGACCGGGGGCGGGGGGGAAGGGGGTCCGCGAGGGATCTTCTTGTGCTTGAATTTGGGCGGTTCCATGGGGTCGAGCTGGCGTTGCTGGATCTTGAAGATGCGCGTCTTTCCTTGGGCTTCGCCCATCTGCGCGGTGGGCGTGTAGCGGACGAAGGTCGGCTCGTCCTTGGACCTTCCCCTGACGTTCTTGGGGTTCTGCGCCGCCGTCTGTCCCTGCACCAGCAAGGCCAATGCTTGTGCTGTTCTTTCCTTCGTCTTCTCCACCTCCTCCTGCGTTGGCCTCGCCAGATCCAACTCTCCCGTATCCGCTCTCTGCCTCAAGGGAATCAGGTCCTTGAAGCTGGCCTGGACGATCCTGGATGCAGAGTGCCCTCTCCGCGCAATCTCATCGTATTTCGTTCTGCCATCCGCGTCTGTGCGGATGGCCAGCGCATTCGAGGGGCGCGGAGCCGCGTTCATTTTTGAGGGGTGGGCAGTGGGCGTAGAAGTGGTGGGTGAGGGCGGTGATGGAGGTTGGCAGTGACGCCTTTCCAAACTTCAGGCTATGCCAAGAGATTTCACGTGACCTTATCAAGCGCCACAAATCAACTAACCGAGCGATCCCCTGTAAGGTGATTCCTTCGTAGGTTGAGTTACCCTTAGTCGGCGCATCTCAGTTGGCAACCAACTGATAGAGCCATGAGTGCAGCTTCGTTTTGAGCCTATGCTACCTAGATGGAGAGGTTTTGCAAAGCTACATGCCAGGGTCTGTTATATCTCTCCTCCTCCAGAGTCTTGATGTTGAGGAGCAAAAGCAGGGCCACCAACCAATCAACTTCACTCGCAAATACATTATTCCATCTCCGCCCAAACTTTCTCCCCATCCCAAACAACCTCAACATCCACCATCCAACCCAACGGCGAAAACAAAACCCCCCACAGTCATGCGTCCCAACACGCAACCCCTTCTCCTCCGGCGCCTTCCCCAGCAGCACCGCATCTCCCTCCTCCCCGTCACCCAAACCCGCCACGAATCCTCAACAAGGCGGCACACAAAACTCCTCCGCATCCCCGAATCCCCCTCCTACACCCCCTCAGGCGCCTCCCCTTCCCTCATCTTCAACCCCCCCTCCGCCGCGCCCAACGTCTACCACACGCCGCTGAAATTCCTGCCTCGCGACGACGAGCGCCGGAAACTTTACGAGGTGGCACTCACCTACGCGACCACGACCGCGCACCGACGACAGACATCGCCCATCGCGGCACCGGGGACTCCGCTCTCGGCGCCGTCGCACCTACCTCCTAAGCCGTCTACGTCGCTCCCGCCGGCCGTGCGTGCACCCTACGAGAAGAAGTACCATCTCACCGAGGCGGATATCGAGGAGATACGGCGGTTGAGGGCCGAGGATCCGGAGCATTGGACGAGAGTGAGGTTGGCGGAGAAGTTTGGATGTAGCCAGTTTTTCGTGGGCATGGTGGCCAAGAATGCGGAGAAGGCGGAGCGGGTGGCGGCGGAGCATCAGAAGGCGAGGGAGAGGTGGGGGGCGAGGAGGAGGATGGCCAGAGAGGATCGGGCGAGGAGGAAGGTGCTTTGGGGGAGGGATGCGTAGGGGGGTGGAATGAGCTAATAGGGCTGTTTTGCGAGGAGAGCACGGTATGGGTGATGAGGGTGAGAGCGTGGAAAGATATTACGATCATCTTGTCCGACAGCGCTACTTGGAGCTTTCGGCCTGGAGGTATATGTACAAATGTATGTGCTACATCTGGGTGTACGATATCAAAAGAGGTGGCATAGAAGGGCTGAGAGTGCGTCTGAAATTTCAGGCGAGTTCATTGTATCATATCCTTTCCATCTATATCATAGACTGCTTCGAATGCAGTCACTATCAGCCATACCTTCAGTCTCTTGTCGAAGTATCTCCCCTGAACACACCGTTCCGTATTCCGCGAGACCTGTCGATTCCACAGTCCAGCCACAGGAAATAGCAACCCCCAACCATTCACAAAGTCAACCCACCCTCTCATCCCTCCCTACCCACCCACCTCAACATCAATCCCTCCCTCCCTACCAATACCCAACACAAAGCTCTCCCCTTCCTTCCCCCCAACCTTCCAAACCTCAATCGGCCCCTTCCTCACAACCTCCCACCTCCTCTCCCTCTCGCCCTCTGCCTCCTCAACACTGATTCCCGGTGCAAACGGCACCACGTCCACGCGCCGGACGGCCAGTCTCGTCACGCCGACTCCCTGGGGCCACGACGTCGGCAAGGGGGCGCGGAAACCGGATGCGTGGGCCGAACGGGAGGAGAGCACGAGGGAAGTGGAGAGGAGGCGTGATAGGGAGAGGAGAGTGGTTGTCAGGGCGTGCGAGGCGGAGGTTAGGGGGTTGCTGCTGGTGGTGGTTGCCGTTGTTGTACTTGTCGTACTCGTGGCTATGGGGACAGATGTAGTACTGGCCCCGCCCCTCACAGCCCAGTAAAACGCATCCACGTCCTCGATGATGAGGGCGTGGATCCGGCGATCTGTGCTACGGTGTCGGCGGCTGTCGAAGAGGTAAGCGGGCAGGGAGTCGAGGGTTGCGAGGAGGCTGGGCCAGCTTTGCGGGCGGAAGATGTGGATGTGCGGGAGGGCGGTGTGGATGCTGGTTTTGATGATGCGGTGTATTTCTGAGGGGCCGGGTGGATTGTGGTGCGTGTCTGTTGGTGCTTCGGGGGAAGGCGAAGAGGGGGAGGGAGAGGAGGAGAGGCGCTGTTTCAGGAGCACGGCCATGGTGTGCACGAGGCGGGCGATGCTGAAGTGGGATAAGGGATCCAGGATGATGACGGCGGCATTGTGACCGCCTATGGGAATTGAACAGAGAGAGGAAGGCAGGACGGCGAGGGCGGTTATGAGGTAGATGAGGGAGGTTTTTCCTGCGCCGGGGAGGTGGTGAGACGAAGGTGGAGAGATGAGTTCGAGGATGGGTCCGCCTACTGCTTCTGCAATACTTCTGCTCTTCTTCTGACCTTGCTGGGGAAAATTCCGGATCGAAGCTGTAGCATTGCTAGCATCCCAGGATTCGTCGCCGTGTTGGTGTGTGTTGCGCTCGGATTGCGGTTGTGGTTGTGGTTGTGCTGGAGCCGGGCCCGATATCAAAGCATCCAATTCAGGAATCCCAAAATATCCCTTCTCTTTCTGCTTCCCCTCCTCCACCATCTCTCGCAACGAACTCAACACCTAAGTTAAGGATCAGAAATCAGTATAACTCCCGAAAAGTTCCATATCTACCCACCTCACCCAACCCCTCTCTTCTAACCTCCTCCAACAACCTCGTCCCCGCCCTCCTCGCCCCATCCCCATCCATCACTCCTCCACCACTCATCCCTCACCCTCGTCACCCTTCCTCAATAATCCACACCACGACCCCAATGGCTCCACCCATCCCCACCTTCCCAGTTCCCCACCTCCCCCTCGAAACCAGCACGCTTCCCAACGGAAAACCGCGAAAACCCGCAATCGACCTCGAGCGCGACTGCGCGCCCAAGCAACTCACGCAGTACAAGTGCAATATCGATCCGAAGAAGAAGAACAAGGAGGGGAAGAAGCCGCTGATTGTTTGCCTGCCCGTCGTGAGGTTTTATCGAGCGTGAGTTTTTTCTTTCCTTCTCGTGTCGATTCTTCCCATCGGATGGTGGGAGGGTGAGGTTGAGGCTTGGCGGGCGCGGTGTCACGTGGGAATGGGACGATGGGACACCCATTGGAAATGAGGGAGTGTGTGCTAACGGATTCCTGTTGGATAGGTGTCCGGATGGGTTACATGTTGAGACGACAGTCTGGGAGGCGTGGAAAGAGAGGATAAAGACCGCGGAGAAGGCGTGATATGAAGAGCGACGATGGAGAGAGCGCCTGCGAACAGAAACTTCAGAATACTTCAGCCACGGTCCAATCAGGAGCACAACACCATCCTATATGAAGGAGATTAAGACGAGGGAATTCAGTCATGCCGTAGCACAAGGCGAAGACAAAGGGTGTACCGCCATCCGTGCATAGTACAAACTTGCTTCTATCAGGAGCACCACTGCGCTACCATTCAGGAATACCGGAGAGCAAAATGTGTACAATATTATGTATCATCAAGCTGTCTTATATCGCTTTCAGACTTCTATTCAACTCCTCTTGATCTCGCCGGCCACGTAGTGCAAGTACGCTCCGAGCAGCTTCGTGCCCTCAATATAATTCCTCTTGTCCAGCTTCTCGTTTGTCGAATGCGCCATATCTGTTGAGCTACCCATGGGAAGCAGCAACACGTTCTTCCCAAGCTGCTCCTGGAACGTGAGTGTAACCGGAATGCTGCCACCCTCCCTCGTCATATCTGGCTTCACGCCGAACACCCGCTCCACAGCCTTGGCCGCGGCAGTGTAGTTAGGGTGGTTGGGGTCCTCGACCCACCACTTGCCGCAATGCACGACGTGGAACTTGAATGTGTTCTTGGACTTGAGTTTCGCGAATTGCTCGTTGACGTGCTTCTCAACGAGCTTGGTTACCTGGTCGATCTCCATGTTCGGCACTGTGCGAATAGAGAACTTGCCAATGACCTTGGCGGGAATGACTGTCTTCGCCCCGGGGGTGTAGAAGGCACCTTCGATGCCATGGAGTGAGAGTGAAGGGTAGCGCATCCGGTGCTTGAGGGCGTCCTCCTTGTTGGTCCAGATGGAGACGTCGTTGCCGAGCGACTCCTTCAGATCATCCATGGTGAAAGCAATAGGAGGATACAGTGCTGCCTCTTGCTCAGTCACGGGCGCAACCAAATCATCAATGCCATCGATCAGAATCTTGCCATCCGGATCCACCAGGGAGCTCATGATCTTGATCAAGTCTGTCATCGGCTCGTGCGTCACACCTCCGTGGACACCGGAGTGCAAATCCTGCCCGGGCCCAGAGATCTCGAGGGCATAGTAGTTGCAGCCACGGACGCCATACGTCAGGCACGGCTTCTCTGTGCCCAGCCAATAGTTGTCCGAGATACACACCACATCGACGTCCTTGAAGAACTTGTTCGCCTCAGCGGCAATGAGATCATCCAGGCCCTCCGAACCGTTCTCCTCCATTCCCTCAAAGCACATGATCAGGTTCACTGGCAACTCGACTCCTGCCTTCTGATGGGCCTCGATGGCGTTCAGCCAGCCCAGCACTGGCCCCTTATCATCTGTGCTTCCGCGGCCGAACATGCGTCCCTTCTCGTCAATGGTCAGTGTGAAGGGATCCGTTGCCCAGCCGTCCGACTTTTGTGCGGGCTGTACGTCGTAGTGGCCATATACAAGTACGTTGAGCTTGTTTGGGTCGTCGCCGTAGCGACCTAGGAGACAGGGCGGGAGGTCCAGGTGTTCGCGGCCAGGTTGCTTTCCGAGCTGGCGAAGCTCGACGGTTCCACCGAGGGCTTTGATCTGTTCGGCGAGCCACTCGCCCATCTTAAGAACACTGTTAGTTCCATCATTGGCAGAGCGTTCTTGGGCTACATGCCTTGACGACGTCCGGTCTCCGCGCATCTTCCGAGCTTATGCTGGGAATGGCGACAGCATCTCGCAGTCTCTCAATGAACTTGTCCTGCAGGTTGTCCACTTGCTTGAAGTAGGGGTCGAGGTGAGACATGGCGTCGAAGTCTTTATAGAGGTATGGCCAAACTGTTCCTGGTCTTTGATGATGCGGTATGGAGAGGGCACGGAGACTGGGATTTGGGGAGAAGAATCGCCGTTTTTGGTGCACGGTTAGCGTCGGGGCGGAAGAGAGGAAAGTGAGGGCAGCTGGTGAGAATCGGGTAGGTGATAACGGCCTTATTAGAGGAGCACGATGCAGCAAGGTGACGGGGGTGAGGGGCAAGCGGGGCATGGTTGAGTGCAGGTCCACGGGTGTCGAATAATGGAACGTCATGTGAGGGTGACGCTGGGGCGCATATCGTTGACCTGGCCCATGCTCCCAACCCCGTGAAGGAGCATTCAATGTTGAGGAGCGCATTGAAGGGCGCATTGAGGGTCAAGAGACCGGTACGGCGATCCATCATGAGGTGAGGAATTTGGATGAATGTACCAGCTAGCGCAATGGAATATATCATACAATACATGCAGTCAAAACGGCGGCTCAACGGTAGCAGCTCGAGGAAAGCCTACAAATGCAAACGCGAAGTAAAAACTGGAGCCAGACTGAAGGAGAAACAGCGCTCAATCAACATAATCATGCATGAAGAGTCAAACGAATATAAAGCCGTGCCCATGCCAAAAGACATATAATACACGAGGACGTAGGCCAGTTGAAGCTACTCGCTCACACCTCGAATGCGGCAAACGAGAATCAGGACACAAGGAAAAAACAGAGTAATCAAGATACCAAACCCTGCCGTGTCTGTGTGGGACTGATGTTGTCGTCAGATACCACACGCGTGGCGGGCTCGCCAAAGTCCGGCTCTTTCAGCAGTGGCTTGGAGACAGAGGCATTCCTGGGCTTGGGGGCCTTCTCTTGGCTGTCATCGGACGTTTCCTCATGACTGGTTTGCCGCAAGACACGCAATTCCTCAGGAGTTGGCACCGAATGCTCCGGTAATTCTCGCAACGGGGGGTCTGGATGTACCGGCGCCTTCAGGTGTTCGAATTCGAGGAGGGATGATCGTCGCAGTTGCTCGAGCCTTTCCTGCGGATTCTTGTAGCATGTAAAGTCAGCATCCGTGTACGCACAATCCAAGACGATTACCATGTAAAGCAATCATAGCGTAGATGCGACAATGGATGCAGAAGATGATGGCACGGAGGGATCGGAGCTAGGTGACGGTGCCAGCAATGAAGGATCTGTCAGCGATGCAAGAGGCGCTCCGCGAGCACTAGTACCGCTCCGATATTTACGTTCGGGTGGAACCGACAGTTTCTCAGAAGCGGTGGCTCTCGATGATTCTGTTCCTCCTGGAGCCTCAAGTTTCGCAGGGCTTTGCGGAAGGAGTGAAGAAGTATCATGGACAGGGGCGACGGTAGGAATATTGGGGTAATCATGGCCAGGGCGGTAGAAGTCTTCAATGCGAGCAGATTGAAATCCACATTGGGGACATTCAAAACGTACCCACTCAGCTTGATCCGGAACTCCTTCAGCCTCTGGCAGCTCAAACGCTGCATCCTTGTCCTTGCGCCACACAGTAGGGCGGGGTGCTGGCGTCACGGGGAGGCTCGGTCGTTCGACTTCAGATGGAAAATCAGTAATGAGCACGCTTTCGCGACGGCCTTTACCACTACCGTCAGATACGAGCTCCTCGGGGCTTCCGCTTGAGTACAGAACTTGGGGCTTCGCCCGTCGGCTGTGTGAGTTCATTATAGCGCGCACATAATGCTCAATCCCTGGCACAGAATCCCAAGCGTTAACACCGCTCTGATGGAACGCGTCAGCCATTTTCGGGGTAGAAGCTGGTTCAGGACTGGCAGAAGCTGTCGTTTCTGCTCCTTCTCCCGGCTTTGACGTTGTCTCTGCTCCTTCGTAGTGGACAGTAGAAAATGGATGCGTTGGAGCAGGTGCCTGAGCCGGAGCCTCCGCCAGGGCATGGGTTGGGCCTGAAGCGGGGCCTGGAGCCGGAGCCGGAGCCGGAGCCGTCGGGTTTGACATCGCTTCAGGAGTCGGCAACGGAGATGTATCTACTGAGAAGATGCGAGTGGGCTTCGGTCGGTCGGGGATCTGCTCCCACGGGAAGATGGGCTTTGGCGTCTCAGACAGCGTGGGTTTGGTATCTGGGACTTTGTACCACATATCTTTTGGAGGCTCAGGGTACGATTTTGGTGCGTGGAACAACTCGCGGCTCTCGTTGAACTCATATATCTCTTGAGGGAAGTTTGCGGCTTCCGGTCTCGACTCAGGGGGCGGGGCGGATCTACCATATCAGAGGTGGCTACTGTTTGGTGTGAGCAGAAGACTTACATGGTAGCGTCCCATTCCATCTGTGGTGCAGAGAACCTGCGTTGCTCCACGGTTGGAGTCGGCTCTACTATCCCAAGTAGAAGGTTCTCTGCCGGTTCGCCAGGCTCAGAGAAAGGGAGCTCAGTGGTCGTAAGTGGTGCTTCAGGGGGTGCCTCGGGTTCGATAACAATATCAGGAATCGGGGCTTGTCCAGCAGGTGAAACTCCGGAATAAAGATACGGCTGTGGCTCTCGCTTGGTTTCCTTGAGATGTTTATCATGCACCGCCCACCACCGTGCCACAAGTTCACTGTATACTCCTGGTCCTCCGGGCGCTTTCTTGCCGTCCATCCACGGCTTGTCTTTGCCAATGAAGTGCACGGCGCTGATATTGGACTTGTAATAACGGTAAGCAGGCTCCCACTGGTACTCTGAATTGGGCGTGCAATTGTAGGTGAAGCTCAACCGATGCCAGTTGCGGTGCTGGTAGTATTGATTGAGAAGACCTTGGTCCGCGCCGTCAAAGCTGTCACCAGCCGCAGCCATTGTCTCCAACGCCCAATAGTCGCCCATGTTTGGCGTCACGACCATGAGACCCGAGTTGAACGCGTCAGGCCAGCCAATGTCCGGAGCAGCGGCGAAATCGGCATCGAGATCAAACAGCTCGTCGAGAGCTCTGAGCGCGACCATGTCCGCGTCGAGGTATACAATTTTCCGGAACTGGGTCTGTCTCCATAGTGCAATCTTGGTAAACGAGAACGCAAGGTCGGGCCGTCCCATCAAATACAGATTCGCGGGAATAGGGTTCCGTATATGTTGGACAGGTATCAAAAAGTCGTAGAGCGTCTGCAAGTGTCAGTCCCTATTCTAGCCGTCATTACGGATTCACCTTACTCTGAGCTTTTCCACCGTATCCGCAGACAGCGTGTCCAGCGTGACGAGAACTGCCAGCTTCTTCTTCGTTCCTGCATCTCGCAAGGAGTGAGCAAGCACGGCGGCGCCTGAGGGGGTCAGTTGAGTTTCCAAGACATTGGAATGTACGTACCAGGGAGATAAGAGTCGCTCATGAGGAGCTGCAAGGTGGTTAGGTCGCGTTGTCCGTACGACATTGGCTGCAGCTCTTACTGTGCAATACACGTCTTCCAGAGGACTCGCCATGGTGGCCAAGCTGTGAGGGGGATATGAGGAGGAAAGGGAAACAGGAGAACAGCTTCCCCGCCTTATAACGAAGTTGCAGGTGGTGAAGCGTGCCCAGGTGTCGATCACAACGTCGTGTACCAAAACGAGCAGCGGCTACCCAGGTCCGTAGCCCAATTTCTATCTTTCTACCACCATAGTACCGAATGCGCAAGAAGAATTGAAGCCAAACGCCGTTGGCGAATTGACAGCGGCCTAGCGTCGGGGGAAGAACTGCCCTTTCACCATATTTTTGCCCCAAAACCCTCGACTTCGGCTTGGCACAGAGCAAGCTTCAGCACGGACAGGTTCATCAAATGTTCCTGATGGGACCCACGCATGACAACTGCCAAGACTTGAGCAGCACGTGCGGCGTCGTGCTAGCCCGATGCAGTTTGGAACAACCGCTAGCTTTGTCAACTGGTCGGGCGGGTGCGTGCTACCTACAGAAGGTACCCACTGTGATGGAATCTTGGAATTGAACAGCTGTAAAACGCGGTAGCACCAGTTCGCCGCTCAATACCACATGCGTGACGGCTTCAACAGCACCCACGTGTAGACGCACGACTTTGAAATCGAGAGAATGTTCTCATTTGGATATCCATCATGGCAGCTACATGAAAAGCCACCATTTTGTCGCTGTCCCTAAACCGTAAAAGAAGTTGTAACCCGACCCAACACCTTTGTCTTAGTCCTCCTTCAACAGCCCCTGGAAAGCCTCGGCGGGTTTCTGGGGCTTGCCCTTGGACTCCACCTTCTGCTGACCCAACTTCTCCTTCGAGAAAGCAGCCGCATACGGGTTGAGGCGGAGCTGCACCTGGAAGTTCTTGAGAGGGTTCTTCTTCTGGACGACAGTGCGCTTGGTGATGGCACCGCCGCGGACGGGGCGGAGGACGTTCTGGACCTCGGAAGAGTTGATGAGCTTGCTGAGGTCGGGCTGCTTCATGATGGTGGAAGGCAGGAGGAAGTCCTTCTTGAGTGCCGAAGGCTCGGTCGTGGACCCGTAGATCTTGTCGAGCGCAGCAAAGGCAGACGACGTCCAGATGATGAAACGGCCAAGATGGCCGCCTGGGGCGAGCTGGAGAAGGTTCAGGGAGTAGACGGACGAAGTCTCAACGCCAGCGATGTTGCGGAAAGCAAGGACAAGCTCCTTGCCATCCTCATCGGGGTTGTAGACGACCAGAGGACCACGGCGCTGCGTGTAGCGGCGGCCTCGCATCTTACCCTTACCGGCACGGAGCTTGCGGGACTTCTTGACCTTCTCAACGTCAGGGCCCGCACCAACGGCCTTCAGCAGAGCCACAGCCTTGGAGGTCTTGGAGATGGCAGCGTTGGCGAAAGCAGACGAGGAGATGACGAGGGGAACCTCGGGGACGGTCGAGACTTCGTGACCACGGGCGAGCAGAAGAGCAGCGCTGGAAGAAGCGGCGAGAGCGGATGCGGTAGCGAATCGCTTCTGGTTCAGGTTGATCTTCTGGTGCCACTTGCGCCAGACCTTGGTCGGGGCGAACATGCGTCCGGAACGGCACATGTTACCGAAGGCAGCCTGGCCGGCACGGTGGGTTCCTCCACCCGACACACGGGGGATACGTGCGACAGCACGACCTGTGCCCCAAGACTCGGCAGAGGTCTGGTGGCCAGCCTTCTCGGAGCTGCAGCACTGTTAGATCTGCAAAGCTAAAGGTGGTAATTCGTCGACATACACAGCATAAGGTTGACGCTTGTTCTTGTTCATCCCAGTGTGAACGGCATGAACAATGTCAGGGCGGATGGGTGCCTATGATCGGTTAGCTGCTGTCTTCAAAGACATCCATTAGCTCCGCTGTCGTCGGCTTTGATTCATCGTCTCGAGGGCTCGGGAATTGAAGAAGTCGTCTCCATTGTCTACGACCAAGCGTTCGAGGCCAACCCTACGGTGAACGTATCTTCCTGCAAGTCGCTGCATCGTCTCACTTCCCGTAGAGCAATCGTATCGTCGGATATTCCAATCCCAACCAACTCTTCCCGTATTTCCCGAGCTCGTCCATGTGGTCGCAAGTCGACGACGGAGAAGCAGTGAAGGATCAATGTACTCGACTGACCTTGAAGACATTGGCGATAGGGAGGGTGTCCTGGGAGGCAGAGCCATCCGCATTAATGACGGTGACGGTCGGGCGCGACATGGTGAACTCCTGCGCTTGATGAGCAATCGAATGGTACAGTTGCAGCAGAAGAATAAAATGGTAGACTTTTGGATAGTCGGAAGGCAGGAAATACGGAACTCACCTGTGGTTAGTTGGGCCTCGGTTGGTCTGGAGTCGTCGCGGGTTACGAAATGAAGTTCTCGAGGTTGAGATTTTCGACGATGGAGGGCGGTGGCCGCCAAGACTTCCTCTGCTCGCTTGGTGGAGCACTAAACCCGATCCGATAATGACCCTTGACGATCATCTTCAACACGACACCAGACCGGAAACAGAAGGGGAATGAACTGTGCCATTTCACAGCTATCTAGGTCCTGATACGGTGCGCCTAGTGGCTTTGGAAATCCGTTTATTGGAAAAATCCCAAAGAAAAGCAGAAGGGGCAACGACCCAACGTCCCCGTAGCTTCCTAGGTGTCTGATGAAGATCATAGCAAACTATAACTATTCATCAGGATTGAAGATCCATTGTTTCGGGCTTACAACATGATCAACTTCATACTGGCTTGACGGAACGCATAACCCGAGAAGCATAGTCTAAAAACCTGTTTGATTACCGGCTAATAGACTCTGCAAGACGAACACTGTGGCCGTGTGTGAGGCACTGGTCGACAGCAGGTAATAAAGGCAAGCATGATCAATGGCAGCAACCAATATGCTGTCGGTGCGCTTCGTTCATCGTTGTGGCCTCGGCTTGACGAATGCAAGGTTCCAAGAGCCAAAAGGTGTCCACAATGCGACGCACAGTGATTGCATCTATCGTTCGACTCGGTATTGTTTGTTGCCTGCGACGGGCGGGCGAGAGCCACACTGGTGGCCTAGGTCTATCCTTTCCCATCCGAGCGTTTGGAGATGAGGCTGATGAAGTCTTTCGTAGGCGTGGGGCCAGTTTGCTACCAGTGATGCAACTGGGATTGGCGGGCTACGGAGGCAGTAGGAAGAGAAGGGCAGCGGTCGCTTGCTCAAACCAATGTCGTGGACAACCAATATGTTCAACTATGAAGTTTGGCACCGTGGGACTGTGCTCCTTCAAAAGCATATGTGCACTGAACTATCGACCCGGTTGAGATGCTCTCATGTTTCACGTGCGGTGTTGTGGTCGTTTGTTATCAAGCTGTTTCCAGTTCCTGCGACAACCAGGACTAAAACTGGGTTGCAGGAGTCGGCGCAGCAGCGAGGTTCGGCAGCTCGGGGGTCTGCAGAGACCAATGTTGGTCTGCTGCTAGTAGGTTGTAACTACGATGAACATCACCATAGTATTCGCAAGGTGCGGGTGCGTCCCGTAAGGCTGATCGATGATCGGGACGGGAGTGCTGGGAGTTTGTCGCGTGTTGTTGCCTCCACAGCACACACGGAAGGGGCCAGCTAAAAATAAAGCAAGGGTTGGGTCGTGCCTTCTTCCTCGGACAGGGAAATGGGAACAAAGGCCCACGAAAAGAGCAGGCACCCCTCACACAACAACGGTCATTTCGGTCATCTTGGTGTACAGAGGTACTCCCACCTCTCTTGCCCCTCCTCCCTCTCCATCATCCTGTACTCCGTCCCCCGTACCTCGCTGGTGCTCTCCCTCGTCCTCTCACGCTGTGCTGCAGTGCCATCTCGACGCCGGTGCAGGTGGGCAGGTCAGTGGCGGCACACGGGCGCCCTCCTACTGGACGAGCGGCCGCACCCCTCAGCGCGCGCCCAGCGAACTCACGGTTCGAGGCCAAAAATAACGGGCCAATCCGCGTCCACCACTGCTGCCCTAGCCGCCCTCTGCTCTGCTCACAACCACCCTCTCGACAACGACTCCATTCCTTCAACCAACATCGTGACAGGCCGCTCTACGCCTCTATCCCCATTCCCTCCCTCCCTCCCAATCCGCCCGCCCCTCGACCCCGGCGGCTCCGCTCGCGACGACTGTTCGACTTGCAGCCCGTCTTCCCAAAGTCGTTCAACACCTGCTCTCGTCAACTCCAGGTGTCGGTGTCGCATCGCCGCCTTTCTCGCAGGCTCCTCCTTTCTCCCTTCCACCCTCCCCGCCTCTCCCTCTCTCCCGCCGCGGATTGACGACCAAACTGTTTGTTTCGCGTCTTGTCGGCTTTTCTCCTATTGCGCATCGCCACATAAACAGGCGCTACGTCTGCCCAGTCACTCCTTCAAGCGCTTACTCGAGATCTGGTTATCTCGTTCCAGTCGTCCAGCAACGAAACCCACGCGGTTGTTGTCGAGTCGGTGCGTCTGCCTGTGCCTCAATCCCTCCTGCTTCTCCTATTCCCCTACCCGCCCGCTGTTGCATCCATCAAACATGACACTCAGAACCTCTCACCTTGTTGATGTCCGCTGCCCTCTGCTACTGTGACAGGAGCACAAATCTCTTTGCAATTCCCCTCCGGTCTTCAAAGAGTGCAGTGCCTCTCCGTCGCTCACTCCACACTCGCTTCTCTTTTACCGCTCACCGTCTTCCTCTCTCTTTGTGTTGCATGCGTTCGCCTATTGTAATGAACGACCACAACCATGGTTCCCCAGGCTGACAGTACCACCTTGAAGAGAGCTTTTGCTCCTGATCTAGTACCTAATCATTTCCTTCCGTCAAAAAAGTCCGAACCCGAGTTCCCAAATCGATCCCTCGTAGCCCACCCCCAGCATCCGCCATATCGGTCCAGCATTGCTGGCAATCGCTCTCCCCGTTCACGGCACCGTGCCAACAGGACCATTCGGCCAAGCATGGTGCAAGCTAGCTCGAAAACAGTCCTCCCGCCAATGCCCACCTTCATGTCGGTCTTTGGGGAGGATGCCAGTAACGGAAACAAGATCAACTCAGTCCCTAGTACTACACAAACACATGGCGCTCATCTAGGGCGCCCTGCGTCAAGCGGGAATAACCCAACAGCTCCAGCATCATCAAACGCTGCTTTTGCTGCATATCACATCCACCGGGACAGTACATCTACGCTTGCATCCGAGTCGTCCGACAGTTCTCCCACCACCACCATATCTACAATGGATTCGTCGTCTGTCACCGATCCCTCGCCAGGCCCGTCCCCAGAGTCGCCCGTGGCAAAGGTAGCGCCCTCTTCGTTCGTGGCGGACTTCAGATCCCGCCGTACAGACCATGGGTCATCCGATTCTTCTCCCAATACCTTCTTCGAACTGCAGAGGCCAACCACCCCCGCGAAGAAGCCGAGGAATTTGAAAAACTTGGGGATCAACACTTCGACGTCTTTGAGCAATCTGAGAGCGAATCCAACTGGCTCTCTACCTTTACTCGCTACCAAAGAAAAGAATACGTCTGCTCCTACCTCCCCATCATTCATTAAGCCACCGACGCCTCCGAAGCGACGACCGAGCAACCTGAGCCTGACAATACAGACACCCGGCAGTGATAGCAAGCCGATGAGACTAGTCATCCCCTCAACACCCGCGGTCAACCGCCCCACTCTCCGTCACTTTCAGTCTTCCCCTTCGCTGCCGCTATGTTCTCCGAGTGCAGCTGTGAATGGTGGCATGAAACTGCCTCCTCTACGTCCCCTCAAGACAAATCCCCATGGCTTCGCCGAAGTTCCTTTTGAGCAGGAGGAAGAAGAAGACGACCAAGAACCCAACTTCGACATCCCTCAATCTCGTGAGGAGAAGCCCGCGGCGTACCCCAATGGACCCATATGTATCTACGAATCCGGAGTGTACCTGTACTTCGAACCGACCGCGGAGCAGGCCACGAATTTTGATGTGATTGTCAATGTCGCCAGCGAAGTCAAGAACCCTTTCACGAATACAGTGTCTGAATCGCAAAAGGATCTTGATGCACGACGTGTGGATGGGCCTCCCGCAGAGAGCGTCAACTTCGCCTCACTTCCAGAAAGACCGACAGTCTCGTCATTCGATCCGCAAAACAGCTCCCCGACCACGCCCAAAGCGACTCCGACTTTGCAGAGTGTCCTTCCGGGCGAGCAAATGGTCAATGGTACATTATCGAAGACTCCGGAGTATATCCATATGCCATGGGAGCACAACACCGATATCGTCCCGGACCTGTACAAGCTGGTGAAGATCATGGATGACAGAGTGAAGCAGGGGAAGCGGGTTCTGGTCCATTGCCAGTGTGGTGTGAGCCGTTCGGCAAGCTTGATCGTTGCCTACGGTCTCTACAAGAATCCTGGCATCAGCGTTCAGGAGGCCTATGATGCAGTGAAGAAGCGCAGCAAATGGATTGGACCAAACATGAATCTCATCATGCAGCTTCAGGAATTCCGGAACGGTCTGCTTAGGGCGAACGAGAGCCGCACACACAACCAAGGATATGGATTTCCCAGAAGGTCCGCGGGGCTCTCTACTGGTGTTTCTGCAGGAACAAGCAGGCACTCTCCTTTTGACCGACAAGCGACGTCAGGCCCTCGGACGCCCCGTACTGCTCCTCTGCCTCCTGAGACTGATATGAATATGCAGCGAGCCAGCACTGGTAACATGATTGCCATATCTCCAGGGCCGTTGTCTGCTCCTTCTGGGGCCTTCTTTTCACCCGATTACCGCCGATCGTGGGCGTCGAGTCAGACGCATTTCGATCTTTCCCCCAAATCGTCGCCCACGGCCACGCCCTATGTCGACCCGAAGGGCCATGTCATACCTATGCTTTCTATCACTGACAATGACCGTTTACCACCTGCGAAGATGGCTCCGACGAATGGTGTCCCTCAGCAGATGGGAGATTCAAACAATAACCCAGTCCCGAACTTCTCGCGGCAGCTTCCATTCCGCACTCTGCCTGGAAATGCAATTGGCGAAGTTGCGCCACAAACCGTTTCTCAAAGCGCCAGAGTAGGCTTGTCGGTGCCTGCTCAGCCCCCTGGGTTTGGGGCTCTGCGTTCCCCCGCCGCGGCGACTTTCAATATCCCACCTCTTGCTCCTTTCGGCGACCACAGTAGTGACGCTAGAGCGGATGAGTCGAGCGGGCCTCCGATGTCTCAAAGAAACACCGAGTTCCACATGACTTCTCTCAATTCGGTCCAGACTGATAGTTCGCTCGGTGTCCTATCTCCTTGCAAGGCAAGCTTTGACTTGGGACCACAACGACAGTGTGAGCCTGAGGAATTCCAGGTGGCATCGCCCATCCGAACAGAGTTCCCCAAAGATCCATGGGCACGTCTCGACGTGCAATCTTGCCGCCACAGCGATCACTCGTCCAACGATTTCGCAGCGACCTCACCCACTATCACCAGCTTCCCACGTGATCCATGGGCTCACCGCGCCGATCCTTCAGATCGTGACTGGAGGTCACCCAGAGCCGCAGAGTTCCATATGACTCCTTTGAAACCAAGCGTTCCAGCAGATGAAGATCCGTTCGGTCTGACATCGCCGACACGCTTCGAGTTTCCGACTAATCCATTCGCATCAGCAGGGCTCTCGCCCCCGTTGACTGTTGAGACTGAAGATCGTCGCCCTTCTTTTCAGGCGATCCTGCCTCCTTCGCATTTACAGCAACCGGAGTCTGTGAACGGGTTTGCATCACTCAACAGTACCGCACAACCGAATCCGAGGGTGCCTCTATCGACCCCAAGCGCGATGCAGCAAACTCTCGCTCCTTCCGATGCCGCTAAATCGAATGGTGGAGATGTAGAATTGGAGACGAAAGCCATGGGACCTGTAGAGACCGCTGGCCAAGCAGGACCTGAAGCTCCTCCCTCCAAAACTCCCGAGCAGAGTTTACTCTCCACCCCACAGAGGCCTTCCACCCTCCGCACCAGATTCTCGTCGCCAAACATGCGCGAGCAGCGCAGGCTTCAGAAATTACAGACCGAGATGGAGGCTCTGCTTCCGAACCGCTCCCTCCGTCCCCCACAAGCCTTGGATGACTTGGATGCACTCATGTCGCCGCGTGCGGAGGAATTCACCCGGAATCCCTTTCACTTCGAACTGCGGTCTCCTGTCGACGACACTAGCCCGGCCTCTTCGAATGACACGATAACAGACAATAAAAGCCGTGTCAGCTGGAAGGAACCGCTCAACCTCACGCCGCACAAAGTTGCCGAGGATCCCAGGAGTCCAGTGCAGGCAGGAAGCAGTCCCATTGTGCGAAATATCTGGGACGTTCTCTGAATTGAACATCAGCTTTTTACTTCCCCTCTTGATAACCTTCCAGCGACTATTTCATTCGCTCCTGCTTTAGAAACTCTATCATACTTGCACTTCTCAGCGATGCATTTCTGTGCATACCCCTGCGCTACGATATTCTTGTCTTCTCGACGGAATCCAGGCGCATTGGATCACTTTAATGTTTCAATCGTTAGTTTCTAGTACCCTTCTGCGGCGAACCATATACGCCATACTCTTGTTACCCACACTCTCGCTCACCTTACTTTGCTACAGTATCTGTCACATGGACTATCTCCTCTGTCTTCTCTTTTGAAAGGAAAATGCGCTAGCGTTCAGCAAGCGTGGCGTTCTTGGGGAAGACTCTTCGTTTTGCCAGGGCCCTCTATGGTCCCTATGCGGGATTTCTCTTTTGTCCTTTTTTCCTTGGGAGTTCGAAAGGCAACGGCTTTAGTTTGTTTGCAAAGGTGTTGGATTATGAATGAGGCTACTACCCACGGTCCTCGAGGATATGATTGATTGAACTCGAGCGCGATATATCACTGTTTTTCCCTGATCCGGGTTCGGCGGGATATGTAGATGATGAATGGATGGGATATATTCTTCAAACGTTTGCCTTGTGTCAATACCACATGTTCGGTGTTGGCGACGGGAAGGTGATGTGATGAGGCAGGCACGCTGTTACTGGACGTTTCGCCACTCTCGTTTGTTCGTTTTGCCTCTTCGTCCCATCTTTCTCGTGGCTGCGCTTCAGATTCCAATTCTTGAGTCCTGGTCGTCGCCTGCCTAACGCCCTCGTCTCGCTTCACTCTCACTTCCATCTACATACACCTCACTGCTGCGATTCCGCTTCTACATCTCATTTTATACTTCAGTTTTACAACACACATCTGTATCTCGTCTCTCACGTAACTGCTCCGCTCGCTGCCCTCCACCGTTTCTCACTTGAACTTCTTCACCTCCCTCACCGCACCTTACTTCAAACTCTCCGGCAGCAGCAGCAGCAGCAGGGGCAAACAAGACCATGCCTCCGCAATCCCACCCCCACAACCTGTCTTCTGCAGGCCCACCTCATTCGCCCTTCTCAGCAACGTTCCTCCCGCCTACACCGACGCGCAGCCGCAATCGCCTCCCCGCCGAGCCGTGGTCGTCGCCAATACGACCGACGACTTCGCACAGCATGGCGTCGATTCGGAAGGTGACGCCTTCTCCGGAGCAGGGGATTACGGATGGTATGAAGGAGAGGGTTAGGAAACTTGGCGATGCGATGGAGGAGGCACTGGGAAAGGAGAGGCCGGAGGCGCCTGGTAGGTTCTCTTCTTCTTTTTCGTCTTCTTACCCAGCCTCTCCTTCTGTCCGTTCTTTTGTTCGAACTTCGCGCGTTGTCCTACGGTGGTAAACTTCACGACGTCGGTTTTGGTTTTAAACAAGAAATCACCATCGCCGCCCTCCCTCATCTCCCACCAATTCGGACGACGAGGATGCTTACATACCTCCACAGTACCGGCAGCAGCGGCAACAGGCTCACTCCAACCACTCCATCCCCAATTTCCAGCCTCCAGGCTCGGGCACTCGCGCTCGCGGCACCAACTCTACAGCACCCAACACACCCACACTACGACCCTAAACGACAAGCAGAGTTTCAGGAATCTGCTCGCTACCACCCAAGCCCCCACTACAGAGACGGTAAGCGCGACGACGAGCTCCCACAATGCCAATCTCTCCTCTCTCTCCTCCTCCTTCCCATCCCCATTACCAGCAACAGCCTTACCAAGCCACCCCCTCCCCAACCCCAACCGCACAACCCAACACCTCAACTACAGTGAAGACATCGGCATCAAGTACCGTCTCGCCGTGGTCCACGGGGGGCGCGATAAGCGTCCGCGTGAGAGGATCGGCGATCTAGATACTTATGGGAGGCCCGAGACGCCGACGCCGGTGAGTGAGTGGGAGAGGAGGAGGATGTTTCGGCCTTTGTATGTTAGTGCGAGGGTGAGGGAGGGGCGGGGTGGTGGTGGTGGTGGGGTGATGAAGGGTAGGGAGGATGTGGAGGGGGGAAAGAGGAGGAAGGGGGTTAAATGTGATGGGAAAGAGGAGGGAGAGGAAGAGAGGGAGAACCAAACGAGGGAACATAGCATGCATGTCTGGGGTACCGGGGAAACTGGAGAAGCTGGGAAAGACAGAGACGTCGAGGGATATGGAGAGTATGAGCGGAAGAAAGATGGCAACCCCGACGATGACTACGACGACGGCGATCAAGCGGATCATGCGTGGACTTTCAGAAACGTCACGTACCGCCGCCGTCCGCGCGGGAAGACGAATTGCCAAGAACATCCGCAGTACCCGGCTGCGTGTCCGTGGTGGAAGGAGGAGGATGGGAAGACCATATGCGATGAGGAAGGAGGTGGGAAAGTTGGCGGGGAAAGAGGTGGAGAGAAAGATGGCTTCAAGAGGAACGAATTTGACGAGATAATCGAAGGGGTGCGGTTTAACCTGCACGGTGACGGGAAGGAAGGTAGCGGAGTTGGAAGCGACAAAGCAGAGACAAAAGCATATGAAGAGGCAAAGCAAAAGCAGCACCGCAGACCGGCCTGGATGTCCAAGGGCCTGCGCTTCGCTCGTCTGCACAGGAAGACCGGTGGCAGATATGGGCAAAGGGAGAAGGACGTTGGAAGAACCGCACAACAGCAGCGGCCGCAGACGCCTACACGACGACTCACCTCCAGCATATCTACAACCAGCAAGGAACGTGAAATCGGAGAGTATGAACGCAGTCTTGATGGGCGCGTGAGCAGAGCGGCTCGGAGGGAGCCGGAGAAGACGGAGCAGAAACGTAGAGCTCGGTGTTGTGTCATGTGAGCTACGAAAGCAGAAAGAAGAGGTGTTCGGTATGGAGTGGGGAATTGGGAGTGCTTGATGTGTGAGGTAGGGAAGTTGGGGTTGGGTTGCGGGAGGGATTTTGGAGGGGATGAGGTGGATGAGATGGGCTCGGATCGAGCGGGTAGCGGGAATGGGTGGGGTTGGATGGGTTGGATGTTTCAAGGAGGAAAGAGAGAGGTTGGAGAAAAGGGACGAGTTCGCGGTGGGATATGTGCGATACATTGTGTGCAATATGCGCGACTTTTGAGAAACATGAAGGCACGTCGAGATGGAGAGACATGGACGTAACCATCGATTGGTGTAGAAAGAGGAATGATGGCAGAATATGTACGACGTCTCAGATAGGCCTATTACGCCATATGCCTCACCGTGGAAGCAAGAAACGCGTAAAGATAGCTCTGGCGGCGGATATACTCGAGTGCTGCAAATCCCAAAGGCAACCGAAAGGAAGAAGAGAGACAACGCCTGATATACCTAAGAACCAAAGGCTTACGGCTCAACTTAGTCTCGCGTATCGCTGTATCTGTATGGCGGTAGGCTTGATGCATCAGGTTGGTCAGGCAGCGAGAAGTCGGGGCATCGATGTATTTAGAGGATTAGGGTGAACCTGATGGGGGATTGAAAATATAATGCCACGGGAGGTATTTTGGTTCCGTGCCAGGGCTGGATCTTGGAGGCATGTCCCTCTCCATGGAAACAGCCCTGGAGTCACGGACCAGTACCAAGTCGATAGTACGCGTGGACTTGAAAAGCGCAGTCTATGTTGCTGGTTACTTGAACGATCAAAGGGTTGAATTAGATGAAATGCTAGGCAAGACCCGCTCCCCGCTGATTACAAAAGTCAAAAAAGTCGTCTAATTCCTCTTCTTCCTAGGCGGCTTTGCGACAGGCTCAACAGCAATGAGATCCAGTCCTTCTAGGATATCGGAACCGAAGACAATCGTCATGTATGTGGGGAATACAATCCAGAGACCGCTGCGGAGCCGTTAGTGACTGTTTCCGAACATAGAACCGGCTGCATGGGTATTGTTGGCAGCGTTTGGGATAGCTAGACTTACTTCATGACAATGTAGAATGTGATTAGAGTTGGCCAATCATTATGCTTAATGTTCTCAAAACCACTGAAATACTCATTCAACACTGTTCATCGTCAGCACCACAACCAATATCAAGTATGCATATCTCGGCAAAGAACTCACTATACATGACCGTCTTACTCAGCGTCATAACCGCCGCCGCAAACCCAATAAGCAGCGCCCTATTCCCCCTCTTCCCCTGCACCCGTCTCCCTCCAGAAAGCCACCCTCGCGCCCCCTCCCCAACCTGCACGCCCTTGCCCCTCGCCGAAGGAACCCCATGATTCACGATAATCATGATGTACAGCCCATACAGGACCGTCTCAACCAGATTCAGCGCGCCCTGCGCCCCGCCAAACCCATCGTTATTGTTCCAACCCGGCCACCCATACACATGATCAATGGCAGCATAAATCTCATACGGTTTCCACAACGGCCATTGCAGCTTGCCGCCGGCCATCGTATGTGGTCGCAGCAGGATGTACAGCGTATCCCAGATCTGCAGCGGGACCGAAACCATGAGCCACGCGATTGTGATGTTGGAAGCCGTGTGCGACCATCCTGGGATCGACACGGAGACTGCTTCTCTCGTGGTCGCGGAGGTGCGGCTCAGGGAGTCGAGCTGGGAGGAGTAGCTGGGTAGCGTGGGCGCGGAGGCGGTCATTAGATCGCGTGATGGTGACGCAGAAGGGGTGTCTTCTTGTGCGCGCGACGGCGATCTGGTGGAACGTCGGAGACTCTTTCGCGGCGACGGTTTTGCCGGCGATGTTTCCGGTTGGGGGAAGTCCCGAGGGTGGCCGCGCGTGGAAACCATGTTGGGTATGCCAGCGGAAAGGGGTGTGCGGAGTGCCGGTTTGAGTGCTGAGTTGTTGTTGATGTTGTGATCTGAGGTGTGTATTGAGGTTCCAAGGTTCCAAGAGTTGTTATGGTCTCTCCCCCACACGTGTTCAGAAAGTGGTTTAGCCGCTGGGACTAGCTAGTGTAGTTCTTCTTCCGACCAATGACATCACTGAATGGCGGGGAATTTGTCGCTTTCCATGATGCTCAATCTTGAGGGTTCACACAGGAATGCGTTCACTAGTTGGCGGTCATCAATTCCTCGACTGATTATGAAGGAAACATTTATTGTAGGGACCTAGCATTCAAATCTCTACCAAAAAAAAAGTGGGTAGACTAGCCCTTCTTCTATTCTTTCCCAACGAGATACTCTCCAACAGTCCTCTCTGCGTTTACACCCGCACGTTGCATGTAGGCTGTAGCATTCTGCAATTGATGATTCGAAGGGATTCAAGATAGACGCCTGATATAGTACGCTACTAGGGTAGCATCATCCCCACGACCGCAAAAACAAAGAAGTAGTTAAGCTGCTCTGAAGCCCTTTTCCCTCAATGCGCCACTCTTCCACTCCTCTCCAGATCAGAGCCCTCGAAGCCGTTCGTACCACAGCGCAGCACGAACACAAACGACGGCAAGGGTCCACAAGCAGGGATGGCATCTGACCATGCAGGAGGCAGCAGAGGTGCGAACTGGGCGCTTAACAGCCCCTTGTGATAGGCGTAATCCGAGAGATCTCGAATCTCACTGTAATGAATGGTGATTGGTGGAGACTATTCCAAGTAGCCGATTGCATGTTTCTAGTATGGTAGTTCAGTTGCCGGGAGGAAGTAGGAAACTCTGTTGTACTTTGTGTACGGGGCATGCGAAGGTGCAGCTTCTAAGGCTGCCAGACCAGTCCACTGTTTGATGAAGCTATATGGTTCTCTAGTCCCCTAAAGCAGACGCACTATTCACAGTTCTTGCGTAAGATGCTTGCGCGGCTCGCGGCTTTGCTGCCCCTCGAGCTGATGCTCATTGCTGACAAGGTCATCTCACTGCGGGAATGGCTACTTATTAGTTGACCTTGGTAAGCGGCACACAAGCAAGGCTTCTAACGGTGTTCTAGGGGCGGGATTTGACCTAGTGGGCGGCGTAAGGGTGAGATGTCCCTCGTGCAGGGCTAAGCTTGGTGGTGGGTCAGATTACAGCTGGAGTAAGATGAAGTCCTTCCAGAATGTCTTGGGGAAGGTAGAATCATAGCAAGCTGCAATGTATTGTGTAGCTATGCAGAGGTGTCTTACTGGAATGTATTCCGCATTTGCGTGTCAAAATTACCAAGCAGAGGTTGTGTTGAAGTTCAGATGGATGGCCATTACAAATCGGGCCTAGCGCTCGTCTACTCCACATTCGATCAGATGGCAAAGTTGACAGTTCAAAGAAAACATGCACCACATGACAAATGGACTGGACCAGCTTTAAACGCATCTCCAAAGCATAAATCTGGTTCTTACAGAAGCTGACATGAGTTCCCTGCCCACTCGACGGTTTGCGAAGACACGTATAGTCTGCATCTCCGACACGCACAACCAGACGCCCAAACTGCCAAAGGGAGACGTCCTCATCCATGCGGGAGACCTCACCAACCAGGGGAGCTACTCCGAGCTGAAGAAGACGGTCGAATGGCTGGAAAAGGCCGACTTCGAGGCTAAAATAGTCGTTGCTGGTAGCCGTGGTCTTCTTTCCCGAGTGCCTTCGAATGCAGCCTGATGAGACCCAGGAAACCATGACTTGACTCTGGACACAGTTTTCTTTGAAAAACATGGCTCGGGTTGGAAGTGGCCGAACCCGCAGGATCCGTCTACATGCCGGAAACTGTTGTTGGAGTCGAAGTCAATCACCTACCTTGAGCACAAAGCTGCGTCGATCTATCTCGACTCTCCCGAGGGACCGGGGACCTGCTTCAAGGTCTTTGGAAGCCCATATAGCCCCAAGCATGGGCTTTGGGGCTTCCAGTACGAGCGGGGAGAAGCGTCGAAGCTATGGAATGCCATACCCCTGGATACCGACATTGTCGTCACGCACACTCCTCCGGCTGGACACTGCGATGCAGCAACCAAGGACGACCGGTCAGGCTGTGAACTTCTCCTCCAAGCGCTACATCGTGTGCGGCCCATGCTCTCTATATGCGGGCACATACATGAAGCACGTGGAGTCGAGTTTGTGCGGTGGAACGGTGACACGGCGGAGATGGGTTCCCCAAAAGAGTGTGTCGAGATATGGAAGGATCCCGGAATTGGGAACAAGAAGCAGTCACTGGTCAATCTGACAGCGAAAGAAGGGCGTCGTCTCGACAATTACAGCCTCCTCACGCCTGCCGGTACTCACTTCAGCCTTACTTCGGACGCCCTGACGTTGGAGCCGAGGGGCCAATCTGAGAAGACGACTGAGGATCGCGAGCTTGCCGTTGTTGGTTCAACCTTGCCTTCGCAGGACGACGATGAGAATGAGGCGAGGACAGCGGCTGTGTGCAAAGGCGCATTTGCCCAGGGCCAAGATGCAGCACGGAGCGAGATCGGACTGACAGTCGCGGAGCAGAGACGGGCACGTCGCGAGACCGTCATGATCAACGCAGCGTACCTGGGTCCGCGGATAGCTGGCGGTTCGATACATTTCAACAAGCCGATTGGAGTTGACCTTGAGCTGCCTGTATGGAGATTCGAAGCGTAATGACATGGCCACACAGCAGGATGGTTTCATTGCGTGATACAGGTGGCTCCACCGAGGAGAACTACCAGTAGCATGAGAGTTGGACGTTTGTCACCGGAGGAATGGTGCTGGATGGGCAACGTTCAATCAAGCCGGCACACGTATAACCGTATAGATAATGGCTCAGAGTGGCCCAGGGCGTCGTCGGAAGGGGGACATGGATGCCGCCATTGGCTGTCAGGGCAGGCCGTCCCTGCCCCGCTTCTCGCATCTTCCCCGCATGAAGTCCCTTATCTGCCACTCAAGGGGACAGAGAGGGGCAATACTGTGGGATGGTTTGGGCGTTGTTCGAGTCTCTCGACGTATTGTCGTCGGAAGCGAGTTGAGCTGGATTGCGCCAATTGACCTTGACCACTCAAGGTTATTGCAACACGCATCGAAAAGGAGTATCTCGCAGGCGAGATGTGGTGAGGATCAGGTAAGCAGGAGAAAGAGCCACGCACGCTGCCATCCATCCACTGTGGCATGTCCGTGGAGGCGACGCAAGCGGGCAGTGCAACGCTTCGCTTTGCTGGTGGGCAACATGGCTCCTCGGTCTTCTTCCTGCGGCTCTCACGGCAACCATCGAATTGCTCGCATTATTGGCGGCCCGGCCACGGTCACATCGACAAAAGGCATGCCCGTTCGGCTTCTAGAGCATCTGCAGCGTGCCTGTTTCGGTGCCTATCAGACGGCGTGATGGTGCAGGTCCCGTAACACACAGCGTGGCGGACGAGTTGGACGACGACTGATGATTGGAGAGGTGTTTCTTTTACCGCCGGCGACCGTCTAGGCGGCCCTGGACGATGGTGGACGATGCATGCGCATGGTTGCGGATAGTGGACTACTGGCGGCCAGGGCGGCTTGCGCGATGTTGTGAGAGGGTTGAGGGTCGTTCCAAGAGTGGCTTCACTCTGTGTCGCATCACCTCCACAGTACAGAGCGAAGGCGCAGAGCCTGACTGGCTGCTCCACTTCGCTCTGCTCTCGAGCTGCTGCGAGTCTGCGCGTGATGGCAGCATACTCTGTACTAATACACGGACTAGACAAGACCGAGACGAACGGCTTCACCACGGTACTTGTACTTGCATAGCTCGACTTCATACTATCTAACTAGTAACTGGCTGCGACATCACCGGACTGCCTCGTTGCACCCTCAGTCCCGTCAGGCTTATTGCTATACCTATTGTCACCCCCCTTTCGTCGGGCTTCCCATACAGTAATCTTTCTAAAATTCGCAGCACCGTACCACACCAACACCTCCCACACCCCCCTCGGAGGTGCAGCAGTCGACACACTCGATACTTCAGCTTCGTGGGGCCCCGGCTGCATTTCATACTGTGGAGTCGTCGCAACGAGGAGCACCAAAAGTGACGTTGCTCACCGCTTCCCCCAACCCGCCTGCGCCTGCCTCCTTTGCGATTCAGGACCGACCGCCGAAAACAAACCCCGCAGCCAACACTGTCCTCTCTCACTCCAATCTCCTTCGCAAACACGCAAGCTGTGCACTGCCTCTTCGCTGGACACGCCTGGATCCCTCAGGAACGCTCCAGCAAGTTAAAGTAATTGATTATTCCTCACGGACCCTTCAGTCATCCTCGTCAAGCGATCGCGTTGCTGCGAAGTTCCCCGGCCTTCCAAGTTCCCGCTCCCGTTCCTGCCGTTCCTGACCCTAGGGCCAAACAGGGAAATCCCCCTTACTCATACAACTTCACTCGTCTCCCCATCTCCGCCATCGTCAAATCGTCGTCAATCCAGGCACCCTCTCCAGAAACACATTCTTTCCAAAGACCAACTTCCCGCCACAGCAACTGGCTACAAAAAGCTCGCCGCGCTCCGTTCCATTCCTACCCGACATCCTGCCCACGATCGACATCGCCCCTCCGAGGCGCCACACTTATCACTGCCACCGCCTGCCCGGCTCTCCCAGCAACCGACCTCCAACACCCCAGACATCAGCCTCTTGCATGTGCCTCAGACACGCCCCGAGGTCTGAGACGCCGTCCTGCTTCGCCTTATCATTATTATAACATCAAGGACACGTTTCCTGTCCTTCGCCGTTCCTTCACCACCACCGCCCAACAATCACCATGGCCGCTACCCTTCCTCCCGATCCCTACCTCGCCCTTGGCGTGTCCAAAGATGCCGATGCTGCGACAATCAAGTCGACATACCGCAAACTCGCCCTCAAGTGCCACCCGGACAAGGTCACAGACGAGTCACTGAAGAAGCAGAAGCAGGAGGAGTTCCACAAGATTCAGCAAGCCTACGAGATTCTATGCGACGACGAGAAGCGCAAGAAGTACGATGCAGAAGTGCGATTTATGGAAAAGCTACGGAACGAGCGAGGACCTCAAGCGGACGTGAAGGCCGCGCGCTATGAGACCCGCACTGCAGCTCCCGCAGGGGCTTCCTTCGGCGCAACCGGTGCTGGTCGTTATGAAGAGCGTAGACCGAGATCGTATGAGGACGATCGGTACTTCGAAGACCGAGCTGCGAGGAAGTACGATACCTACGAGGCCTATCCTCGTGCATCCCGCTCCTCACGCGAAAAGGAATCTTCGCGTTCCACCAAGGCCTCCACAGACCGAACACGATCAGAGCGCACCAAGACACGAGATCGAGAGGAAAGGAGAGAGCGCTCTGGAAAGTTTGTCTATGTCGAGGATGACTCGTCGTCCACGGACGAGAAGGCCCGCTATGAGTCGGACTATCGACGACGCAGCGACGACGACCGCCGAAGGCACGACGAGGACGAGATTCGGAGGAAAGCTGCAGAGGATCGCCGCAAAGCCGAAGAGCGACGATCCTACGAGGAGGCCAAGGAGCCCCGACGCCACCGCAGCGGAGAAGCCGAACTGGACCGCCAGCGCAAGCTGAGCGAACTGGAACAGGACGCAGTCCGCTACATTCACCTCTCCAGAGTGGAGGCCGAGGCGAGACCATCCGCCAGCAGGGCCTCGTCGTCACGGGACACACGCCCGGATCCCTACGAAAGCCGTTCCTCGCGCCCGCGACCAGACACGGTGCGCCGCTCGTCTGCTCGCCCGAGGGATCGCCCCTCGTCCTCAGGCCGAGACAGCCATCGTGACCGCAGGGGCGTGCCCGAGATTGTAGACTGGGAAGAGGAGCGCAGGGCACCCCCATCCTTCAAGCACTCCTCCTCCTCCCCGGCCGAAATCCACATTCCCCGCGCCACTCCCCAACGCTCGCATACCGACTACCCTGACGGCCATCGGGGCTCCACCTCCCCAACACCCCAATTCCGCCGCTCCGAAACCATGCCCACCGTCCCCTCCTCTTCCTCCTCACGTAGGAAGGAAGCATCCGCCCGTCCCTCCGGCCTCCGCACGTCGGAAACCGCAGACCTCCCACCCTTCACAGAGTACCCCTCTGTACCTCCCCCGCTCTCCACCAAATACTACCACTACCCGACTCCCGGCGGCGGCGTGTCTCTGCGCCCCGAGGACGTGACCGCTTCCAGCGGGCATCGCACCGTCCTGCACGAGCCGTCGAGATATCGGGCCCGCTCGCCGAGCCCGCTGTCGAGACCGCCCATGGGAGCGAATCGCCCCGCTGTCGCCGAACCCGTGCGCATGACGTCGAGTAGCTCTTCGTCGGCGATTCCGCCACCGCCTCTGGGGAGGAGCTCGAGTCGTGTGAGTCCCACGCGGGGCAGGGGCGAGAGGTTGTACGGCGAGATCTCTCCGGATGCTCTGCGGCGGGAGCGGGAGCGGGAACGGGAGAGGGAGAGTGCGAGACATCAGACCAAGTTTGACAAGGTGTCGTATGCGCCCAAGATTGGGCCCGAGGATATCCGGTGGAGCGCGAGTCGAGGGAGGGAAACTGAAAAGGAGAGGGGAGATGGGAGTTATACGAAGCCGAGTCTGTCGAGGTATGCGACGTATGTGTATTAGAGCATTGGTGATAAGGTTGGTGGTTTTTTGCATGCATCGGTTTGGGAATGGTCGGGTGCATCAGTGCATATGGCACGGAACGGTATGGTTTTTCACGCTTTCCTCTTTTCTTTACTAAGGGGTTGTCTCTCCTCTTATTCATACTCATTTCACCTTTTTCCTTCGTTTTACCACTGAGGCCCTGCCACGGGTGGGACCGAGTGAGCGAGCTATCGCCCATGATGGTTGTGTATATCCAGCGCAATTTTGCTTATTGTTTTTGGAGAATGTCTTGTGCTTGTGGGCTTTTTGGGCCTTTTTGTCATTCGCTTGGTTGGGATGGATATTTGGAAAGAATAAGAAATGAAGGCCTTGGGCCTAAGGCGTCGGTATGATTTTTGGTATAAGATAACTATAACTCGAAATAGGGAGGGGAACAGGACGGAACTTGGACGGAACTTGGCTCGGAATTCTTTGTACATGATGATCAAATGAATAAATGAATGAGATGAATAAACACTGCATTCCCCCGTTTTTATCTTGGTGATATGTCCAACCCTTGGGAAAATTCAGGAAATCCCCTCAATATAGAAGATATTGCGATGATTCCGTGATTCATGTCCCTGGATATCGGAGCCTGGCAATCAAACCCAAACTGCTTCTCGGTCTCGTTGCGGACCTGACCGACATGGTACGAGGAAGCCCGTATCCGATATATCGCGGATGATGCTCTCACCCCTGGCTTCCACCCCCCTTCCTTCCCTACGTCCTCATGCACCCCTCCCCCCAGCCTTCCCCAGCTCATCTCTTTTTCAACCCCGCAATGGCAGCGAGTCCTATCTCTCACCGCTACCGCTTAACACGCCGTTCTCAATCCTGGATCCTCTGTGTCCTGGGTCCTCTAGGTCCCATCACACGTCCTGGGATCCGCACTCCAAAGGCCCAGAGCATGTACGTGGGTTTCGGCACGGTGCGGCGTTTCGCCCATGGCCCCCTTGTCGATGTCGGTGGCTTGAGATTCTCAGTGGGTTGTTGTACGTTGGGGTTAATGATGGTGGTGGTGGTGTAGCCGGGTGGTGGAGTTTGTGCGAGGGTTATTTGGTGTTGGTGTTGGTCTTGTTCACGGGAGATGTGTTGTTTTGAGGAGCGGAAGGAGGACGAGGGAGAGGGTTTACAGGTAGTAGAGAAAGGAACGATGGAGTTAGATGAGTGAGGAAGGGCAGGACCAGATATTCCAGGCGAAGAAATCGAGGACGAGACAGCGTCGCGGGGGAGGGTATACGGCAGGGCTGGGGGAAACAAGGCTAATGTCTTGTGCGGTGGAGGTGTGGGCGGTGAAGGCGTAGGCGTAGGAGGAGTACACCTCCCAGCTGGAGAAAGCGGTCTTGATTCCCTGCGACTTGTCGGGATTTTGGGAGGAGGAGGAGTAGTCGTGGTAGTGACAGCGTCAGAGCGGTTGCAAGGAGAAAGGCAAGGGAGTGGAGAAGAACTCGGCGACGGCGCAAACGTGACGCTCTTCTTCCTCGCGATGGGTATGTCGTTTACATCGAGTGCATCGATGTTGGGTGATTGAGGTTCAGTGCCGGTCTCGAGATCCTGCCACTGTGACACATTTCCTCCTCTTGGGCCAGCGACGACATCCTCGCTGAATTCATTACCGCCACCGCCGTCGTAGTTGTAGCCGTAGCTGTAGCCGTAGCCGTGGTCGGAAGACGAGTCGTCCGCGCGGTCAAGGCAGTCCGAGTCGTCCCGATGCCAATGCACTGCATCGTCTTCCCTCGGCGTGCCCAGCCCCAATGACCCATTTTCCGGACAGAAACCAGGGCTCCAAAGCTGTACATGTGGCGGCGGCGGCGGTGGAGAAGGAGAGGGAGAAGGAGAAGGCGAAGCTGAACGGGGCGGATAAGGCAGGAAGAAGTGATGGTGATATTCCCATTCCCTGTCCACAGCCATTCCATCGCCGATGGCAACGTCCATTGTCTCGGACAAAATCAGGGAGGAAAGAAAAAGAAAAAGGAAAAGAGAAGCGAAGAAAAAAGAGATTGTAGATGGCTACATCTCAGTATACCTACTTTGCCTATCCGCCGTACACGTTTACCGATGGTGTCCATCGTGGTACCATCCACGTCCCAATAAGGCAGGGCACTGTGACCGACCTTGTCATTGGCGAAGTCATAACGGGTGGAGCGTTGCACGTAACGCTGCTAGAAGAGCATCCCGTGGTCTTGACTGTCTTCCTTTAACTGAGAGACTGTTTGCTGATATTCATTCGTGGCCTCGACGAAGTGGCTCAGATATCAATCGATTCTCAGGCCTGTTGAACGTGCCCATGTATCGTACGAAGATTTTTCCCACCAGGTCACACGGGCAAGGCGCACACGACCGGTCAATGAGGTATCTGGAAAATCGGATATCTTGTATTCCCCTCTACGACTCTGCTCCTCTCAGCTTCGAATTGTGTAGGACCGGCCTCTTTGTACTCCGCCTCTTCAGCAATGCCATCCATCAAGGTAAATCACAGACTTTCGACTGCACTCAGTTCAGCGTCCCTCCTCTGTGAACTCCTCGCCGTATTACGAATCGAATGGAAGCAAAGTGGCAATGCACAAAATCAGAGAAACCAATGCTAGGAAAGGAAATAGACGACTAGGAAAGTGGTATAATTGGCAAAGACACCCGCACGTACGCGATGAAACCCTCAGGGAATACAAAAGAAAGAATCCCGCTTTCTTACGGCACCGGAAAACGCCATAACATAAGAAATCAGAAACAGGTCGCAGGCGTCTATACAATGATCCACGCTTGGAACGAGAATAGAGACAAGTGATCAAGGATCGAACGAAGAACATATCGATGGTTGTCCATCACATCACAATACACATACACCTCTTCTTCTTCTTTTCCCCGTCGGTAGGGGGTTCTGGCAACCGAATCACATCCGTCGGCTTCGGCGCCATGCCCGACGTCCCAGGACGCACATCAGTACGCGACGCGGCGCGAGATGGCGCGCGGGGACTCTGGGGAATCGTAGGAGTGAGTTTGTAGTTCCCGCCTTCGTTCGTCGGGGACCTGACATTGGTATCGATACTTTCTGGCGCTGGTGGTGCAGTGGTCTTTGTGGGGCTGGGGAGGGGCCATTGCTGGTCATCCTGGAGCTGTTTGAGGTCTTTGAGATCGAGAGGTTGGATTTGAGAGGCGCGTTTGTCCTTGATTTCTTGGGCGTTCAGGAGGCGGAAGTCGCGATCGTAGATAGTACCTGTTTTCCCTTCTGTTTCCCATTGTTCTTGCTGCATCCGCTTTGCGTGTGTAGGGATGATTTGCTGGTCTGGGGGAAGCATCGGATCAGGTTTGTACATGGTCGCTATCCAAGGAGCTTCGCCCTCTGGTCTGTTGTGACTCGTTGTAGGTCGAGGCATACCACCACTGGTCCCGGGACGTTTGCCCGAAGAAGTTGCGGACGTGGTACGTTGTTTAGTCTGCGGTGTTGACTTTTGCGCGCTCGCCTTCCGTGCACCCGACACGGGTGTCGGTTTAGCAGGAGTCTTTGCCTTGGTTGGAGACGATGGGGCTGGAGAAGTGGGAGTGCTGGCGTTCTGTTGCGCGCGCAGAATCTCCTCAGACGGTCTCGACGGCTTAAAATCATCCAGCAGAACTTGGCTGGATACACTTCCACTCCTGACTCGGGCACCATTGGCTGCTATCGCGTCTCCAGTCAAATTGGCGCTGCCCTTACGTGATCTGGGAAGTGGCGCATCCCTCTCGACAAATGTGGTGGGTACCGGTGCAGGACTGGTTTTTGCGATAGGTATTCGGGAGGTACTAGGCCGCACAAGATGTGTAGTCCGCGTAGCGAATATTGCCTCCCTTTCTGCTGCGATTTCCTCAGGAGTTCGAAGATCCCAATGCGTATTGTCTTCGGCAATGCCTTCCTCAGCTTCGGCCAGCACAGGAGAAACCATCCTACGATGTCCAGGCTGATCATCTCCGCTGTTCATAGGATCCGTAACTTCAGAGTCCTTCCGGCTTCGGGCAGCGCGTGATGCGCTTTGAGACCTGCTATTTGAGCGACTTGCACGACCCACTCGGAGTCCAGCCTCGATCAGCTCCCGGCTCTCGATTTCTTTGAGCTTGTCTCGGTGTATCCAGTAATCGTTGTTCTTTTCAATTTCGTCCAGTTGCCCGCCTGCCGGGTCCTTCCTCTTTCTGTCTCTCTTCTGCCGCGTTTGCGACGTGTTTCGACTTCTCGGTTTACCGACTTCTGGAGCCAGCACACCGTCGAAATCATCTCCATTGGCGGCGAAGTCGTTCTCCTTGGTGTGCGTCTCATGCGGGTGATTTCGTTGGAGATGTGTTCCGTCTTCCCCTCGGAACGGCCGGGGATCCAGTGTGTCGGACGGAGACGCATGGTGGCTGCCATTCTGGCGTGAGTTGAGTGGTTGACGCGAAGAAAGTTGTTGGGTAGGAGGCTCGTCGTCGGGTATGTGGTCACCGTAGGGCTGTTTCTAAGCGGTGGGATGTCAGTATTGGCCTACCAATGTGCACCTGAGACCCTAGCTCTGCGGTGAAGAGGAAGAAAGTAGTCACACACCATCTCGCTCAGAGGCACAGCTAGGTCCCACATTCCACCACCACCGTGAGAGCTGCTTGGAGGGGTCAAGTGCGGAATGCTCTGCAGCTGGTGAGTAGAGGTCACGGCCATGTATGTCCTGCCGTCTGTCCTGCCGGGCGGTGGGGGTTTGGAAAAGTGGATCGAGTGTCTCAAGCACTAAGGAAAGGGCGTTCGCGCCGACGTCACCGGAGGTCCTCTGCGCTGTGGCTGCTTCGAACGCGTATATGTCGCAGTGTGATCAGGGTTTCCCGTCTGTGGGAATAGCGGCTATGAGCGATCGGCCATGGAGCTGTGAAAGAGAGTTGTATGCCTGGTGTTTGCGCAGTACTCCTGCCCCTGCTCGCCGGCGAGGGAGCGATCAATTGTCGCGGCGTCTCGAAGAAAGGGGGAACGAACGACAGCGGAAAGGGTCCCTGCGAGGCTCCTGTCCAATATCAGGAATCTTGCTAGCCGCAGAGTCGACGGCGAGGGGGGCGGAGAGGGGAGGGGATAATGAACGACGGGCGCGGTGCTTGGGAGGATGCTCAGTTTGGTCGATGATTGGAGAGGAAACACACACAGCGCTTGGGCCACGTCGCGGGCGAGGCCGAAGAGATCAGCGAGGAAGCGGACACAGGAAATCCTACTAACCCGCACAGTCTGGATCTCAGCCCTGTTGCTGTGTTCAGGAAGCTCGCTTCAAAGCACAAAGATTCTTTTCAAAAGTCTTCGTGGTGCTGTGTTTACCATTTCGATGCGGGGTTCTTGAGCCACGTGCCCCAACATTGCATAGTAGGTTCACTAGTGGAAGCACGACATGTGCATACATCTCGCCATTAAGGTGTTGTGAAACCTTTTTGTGCTCCCTCGTAAATCAACCTCGGGTCAATATCGTGTGGGTATGGTTGAGTTTCGCGGGAGTCAACATTTCCCCAGACTAGAGAATTCGAACCATTCCAACTACCAACCAAAGGTCTCCTCATGCCAATACACCTCCTCACCCTTGCGGACCCATTGATGAATGGCCTCACCTAACTCTTCTGTCATGGTCTTCGGCCCGCAAGTAAACACCGCAGTTCGCCCTGGCTGCCTGAAGAACTCGTCCACAATAGCAGAAATCCCAGGGCGTCCAGCCCGCACGACCACTCCATCGTGCGGCTTTCCCATCTGACCCTCCGCCGAAAACAACTCCTCATTTTCTGCCAACTCGATCTGATCAGTGTACTCTCCAACCTGCAGCTCTGGACCGGAGGCACGCGTCACAAACAATTCTAGCACGTTGTTGTGAGCCGAGGAATTAATGGCTGCGACCCCCGTGTAACTGGCATCGAATGCCCAACTGGACTCGGCGAGTTTGCGAACCGCCCAGACGAAGCGTACTTGTGGACGTCCTGACCCTATGAACTCGTCTGATTCGACCACGCTCCGGTAGAGGGGCAGTACAAAGGTAGCTCCGACACCCCCTGCAACAAAGAGGATCTTATCAAACTCCTTGAAGGTTGGAAACCGTATGGAAGACCCGTAAGGTCCTTCAAGAGCTAGGTCAATTCGTGAAGCGTCCTCGGATTTCTTTGTAGAGAATGATTGTTCCAGTGATGCTAGACCCGCGGTGTTACCCTTCAGAGCTCTTGCAACCAACATGAGCTCCTTATCTTTGGCAGGAACCGAAGCAACGGTGAAGGGATTCATTTGCCATTTCCGCGCAAGCTGCCTGAACCTGGAGGTCGAGTCCAGTCTACTTGCCGGGCGAGTAAGGTACACGTGTTGGCCTGGCTTCCACTTTAAAGCTGCATCTCCGGCTCGTAACGGTATTCGAATCTGGACGAGATTCGTGTCGGCTATCCTGCTGATCGTACCTCTATACACTTTTGTACTTCGGATGCGTAGGAGAAAGTGCAATCCATTGAACACCAGAATCTCGTAGACGTAAGGGCGAATATGCGATACGTGGACAAAAAGCGGGACAATCAGCAGATTTGACAGGACCACGTGCGTTGTGTAGAATACTCGGTAGTTCCATCTGCGAAGAAACCCCAGAGCGGTGGTGGTAATGACGGAGAAGAGGAGGATACTGACGACGCCGAAAATGACATCTCTATCTTTGATCCTTTTGGAGAGAAATCCCGAAACGACGAAGAAGTTCAGATAGAATACCGTGTGTAAGGCCAACAGAAAAAAAATAATGCGTCCCAACACCTGATGTGAGGCCTTGAGCTCCTCATGAGACCGCCGAGTGAGAATTTGAAGCGGTGAGTATGGGGACCGCATAGCAAGTAGGTAAAGCAGAGGAAGCTGAGACACTCCAATGATACCGAATCGCTTTGTGAGGTGCAAATAATCTCGTGCTCGTCAGTGCGCGGGACTCAGCTGGCGTCGGGAGTGAGTCGCATACCATTGCCAGTCTGAGCCACGCAAAGATACAGTAGCCACACAGTCCATAAACCTCCCAGAATCCACTCCCCCCTGGTTCCGCACTCCGTCATCACAGGCTTCCTCATCCACCACCTTAGCGTCTCGAGAGCATGCTGGAATCTGCGCACCCAAAGTGTATTCCTGGAAAACCGCTTTGATAATGAGGGTGATCTCGACCTCTCAGAGACTTGAAAACGTCTAAGCAGCCAGCCTAGGATAATGGAAAGCTGGAAAAGGCCCAGAATGACAAGAACAGAGAGTTGAGCCACGACTGGGTAGTAGTCAAGTAGGATTCTTCTCGCATGTTTGTGCTGCTCATCCAGGTTCACAAACGCGTATCCGAACGCCATGATAACGCCCCTGAAACGTTACATCGCCTAAATGCACGCATCTAGGAGACAACGGGTTGGAGTAAAAACGCTTCTAAAGAGTGTTGTCGAGACATCGACGATGAGCGTCGTCAGATCTTGGCTCGCCAAGCCCGCTCCCTCGTCCCTTCCGAGGTCCCGTTGCCCCACAGGGCTGTCTCCAGATCCACGGCACTCTCCACACCACGTCCTTGCATGCGTCCCGATCCACAGAGCATTGCTTTCTTGTGGCTTTGATCCATCGTAACAAAACCATATCTTCTGGTTTAGAGTCCTTCTTTGATTAGCAATTCACCCGTTTGAACAAATCACAATGGGGTCTGCTCCTACACCACTGCCGTTATGGCTGGACTGTGTGTGTTTGTACATCTGCTCCATTTCTGAGTATACATCTGCTGACATTCGGTTATGTAGGACCCAGGACACGACGTATGCAATTTTAACTGCCATCGTCTCATGGTACGGTTGGCTTACAATTCTCTAGGATGCTTATGCTCTTCTACTCGCCGCACACGACCCCAACGTCAACCTGCTCGGTGTCACTACTGTCCACGGAAACTCGCCTCTCGAACAGACGAGCTACAACACCAGGAGCATACTGGAAGCCCTAGACAAGCGCGATATCAAAGTATACCCAGGAGCGCCCAAGCCCATACTACGAGAGGCGTTGCATGCGGTCGACATACATGGTAACTAAAACTTAAAAGAAGAAAGAGTTAGAAAACCCAAGACTGAACAGCATCAGGCGAATCCGGCCTAGATGGAGTTACATTACTTCCACAGCCCCTTGAGCCAGCTATACCCGGCGCCGATTTCCTTGAGGTTATGTATACGGCACTGATGGGAGCCCCACCAAATACTGCATGGCTTGTGTCTACTGGTACTCTTACAAACATCGCATTACTGTTCCAGAAGTATCCTGATTTGGCGCACCATATCAAAGGATTGAGCATCATGGGAGGTGCGGTTGGTGGCGGCTTCACGAATGCTCCGATGGGCAGAGTGAAGGGCGAAGGCGAGCGCTTTGGTAACTGGACAGCATTCGCAGAATTCAATGTAGGTATAATGCTTGTATTTTCTATTTGCATGCATTTCGTCGACGTGGCTGACCATTTCGTAGATCTACGTAAGTCTCTCGTATCACCAGCTTGCGAATCCTCCCTAACCAATCGTCAGTGCGACCCTGAGGCTTCACACTTCGTACTTACACACCCGGTGTTGAATCCAAAGACCACGTTAGTGACGCTCGATCTTACCCATCAAGTCCTGGGTACTCAGGTCGTCCGCCATACTCTGTTATATGGCTCCGATAAACCATTGGATTTTGCATCTGCCGACACAAAGCATACCCCTTCTCCCCTTCGTGCTTTGTTCACGCAGATCATGTCTTATTTCGCCGGCACCTATGCTGAAGTGTTTGACATCACTGAGGGTCCTCCGCTGCATGACCCGTTAGCGGTTGCAGCTGCCGTGTATTACGACATGTTTGACGACAAGGGAGGCGAACGCTTCAAGGTCGACATTGTCACCGACGGCACCCACTCAATCGATCAAACTGTCGTTGGACAGCTCGGCAGAACGGTAGTCTCCAAGTTGCCGCCTGGCCAACCGGGATGCCGGATCCCAAGAGGCATCGACCTCGCGAGGTTCTGGGAGCTCGTCGAGAGCTGCCTTCGAAGAGCCGATGAAGTCAGCCCGTTGCCTAAACTCTCTCGTGAGGAGCTGGAAAAAGAGGGTGTATTCAAGGGGTTGGCGTAGAGTGAGACGTGGGGCCGCTAAGTGCAATCCAAGGACTAACACGATGGATACACAGTAGAGCCATTGAGGTACCGAAGCCACGAGTTCGTGTTATTTACAAACCCGATGTTGTCATGATGCTCGGTTGCGGGGTTACGAATGATGTGCAGGCTTTCTAGAAGGATACACAATTTAGCCTATTGTTATTTGAGATTTCCAGGGCAGGCCTCAACCCGTTCCCGCGGCACATCATTATGCTTTCAAATCTCCAGTCTTCTGCAACGCCACAACACAACAGTCAGCGGATGGATGGAAATTGGTTGCGGGGAAAATACCAAGTCCGACTGACGACCGGACAGTTCGGAGTACTGTACAGACACATCTTGTCGCCGTTCAGGTCTGGCCAAAAAGGCGTTGCAATCTTCGAGAATACGAGTCCAAGACATCACTGCCATCGTCATGCAGTCATCCGAGTTTGGCCACCAACTCCATATGGTGTAGAAGGGTCCTTACCGCAAGCCCTCTCCATGCGGACCCAAGTCCCCGGCTATATTCATCAAGATTAGATGAAATGTCATTTACAAAAAGGTACCAACCAGTCGACTATGCACAAAAGTAGGTCTAGCCTTTCCATGGAGCTTCTGATCCCCTGAACCATTCCCACGATCCCCATTTATCCGCAACGATCTACCGTTCGCACCTCGGCCACGGGTGACGGCCTGGGGTTTGGACATGCCATGATGATGAGGAAGACAGGTACCCGGATCAATTGACTGCTCCATGGATCTAGATTGTGGATCCCGGAATCGTGGGCCTATGTTCCCATCCTCATTGCCGGGGTAAAGGTGCAGGTATATATGATGGGCATGTCCAGACATCTGCTCTCCACGACACTTCAACCCTCTTCGTCCATCTCTCCAGAATGAAGGTCCCCGCTGCCCTCGCGGTCCTCGCCGCCATTCCCCTCGCCACCGCCGCCCCAGGTGGTCCTGGAGGCGGACCTCACGGCCCTAAGAACAAGGAACCGGGCCTGGACGTCCTAGCTAAGCGTGCAGGACTCCTCTACTTCGGCACCGCCATCGACAACGTCGTCCTCAACAACACGAAGTATGTCTCGATCGCGTACAACCGCTCCGAATTCGGCCAAGTGACTCCCTCCAACGGCCAGAAGTGGCTCTTCACTGAGCCATCCCGTGGTGTCTTCAACTTCACCGACGGTGACGAGATCGTCAAGGCCAGCATCAAGGCTGGCCAAATGCGCCGCTGCCACAACTTCGTGTGGCACTCGCAGCTCCCCGAGTGGGTCGAGAAGGGCAACTTCACCAAGAAGGAGCTCACCTCCATTCTGGAGAACCACATCAAGCACGTGGGCAAGTACTACTACGATGCGTGCTATGCTTGGGACGTTGTGAACGAGGCCTTCAACGAGGACGGCACGTACCGCGAGACGGTTTGGTACAAGACGATTGGGCCCGAGTACATTGAGCTGGCCTTCAAGTTCGCGAGGAAGTACACCTCGAAGCATACCAGACTGTACTACAACGACTACAACATCGAAACCGTCAACAACAAGTCGACCCGTGTCGCCGAGCTCGTCAAGGACTTCAAGCGCCGCAACATCCCCATTGATGGCGTCGGCCTGCAAGCACACTACACGACCGGCCGCTCCCCCAGCTACGAGGCCCAGATGAAGACGATCAAGATGTTCAACGACCTCCGCGTAGAGGTTGCCCTGACGGAGCTCGATGTGCGCATGCCCTCTCTGCCCGAGACGCCGGAGATGGTTGCGCAGCAGGCCACGGACTACGCGAATGCCGTCAAGGCATGCAAGGACAGCAAGGACTGCGTTGGCGTGACGGTGTGGGACTTCTGGGATCCCGTCAGCTGGGTGCCGTATACGTTCCCCGGCCAAGGCAATGCATGCTTGTGGGATGAGAAGTTCAACAAGAAGCCGGCTTATTATGCCATTGCTGATGTGTTGAGGGAGTAGGTGTATCGGGGAGGAGGTAGATAGGATGGGAGGATTGAATTATACATATGATAATTTTGAATGTTGAAGACATGTTTTGTCAGTGTCTCTGTGATACGGGGGTTAGCATTGTTGGCGTTGATTGTTCAAAGTGCCTCTTGCCAGAGATACGAGCAAGGCCGCCTACCTTGTCCCCAAATAGCCGTATCATGCCGGACATTCTGGGACCGCTGTGCTCACCACTGCTCCTATTTCTCTCAATCTACTTCAAATATCGCCTGTTGACAGTTGCCGTAATGGCAAGCAACGTTCGGTGCTCTAAGCCTCTTGGCACAGAGGGGCGCTCTTCATGAATAATCAATTTCCGCTCTTGGGTTCCAAGACGCGAAGCTCGGCATTCTGCCCAGGTGATATTGTTGAGGAACTGTCGGATGGGAGATGGAAGTGGGTACTAGGAACTAATGCCGGGATCTCGATGCAAAACGATAAAGGAGTTTATGAAGCACAAATCAAGGCCCAAACGCTGACTGAAGGCGAACTGGATTTCGGAGTTCTGACTTGTGAGAGAGTGTTTATTAAGGTGGTAGGGAGAGGGATTCGTCGGTGCGGAGCGAATCCGATTAGTGCTGAGAGGCACGAGGGCGCACGCGGTGCTTGGTTTGGCACTCATAAGCGTTCGCTTCCCCGCAAACTTGGCAAGTCAACAGTTCACAAAAGCCTTGTGGCTGAGAGAGCTTGCCCTCCTCCTTGGCCGTGAGGTTATTAAAATTACCTGATGGCAATGGGGCTCGCCATGCAGGGTGATGAGGCGTCTCGGCATGTGAGAAAGGCGTTTCTCAGAACTGGTAGGGAGGTATCACAGTACAGTTACTGTGATGACATGCTTCTTGAGGTGAACTGCTCTGGGCCTTTCGCACAGCCATCGGCCATCAACCCCTTTCCCTGTTGGGGCTCGGCATCGTTGATTGAAGGCCGTGGCCAAGCGCTCCGGAAAATGGTTATGGTCTGGGCATGGGGGGGTTTCTTGGCCCGCTGCAGGTTAGAGTATGTAGAAGACTGTGTGGACATGGCGAGACCGTGGGGTTGGAAAGGTTCGTGTTTGCGGATATCTGGGTATGATGTAATGAACTGCGGTTACTCAATATTCTTGAGGCCGTTGTTGCATACGAGTCGGTAATGACGGCCGAGGCGCGTTATCTGAACACCAGAGTTCCACTGTTATAGGGCCAGGCAAAGCACACCGCCCAAGTGCATGAAAGGATGTGGTCGTACATTCGGCAGGATGTTTCCACACTGTGTAAATGGAGATGCCATTCGCCATGGGCAATGCTGCAAGGATGCGTCAGCCTCTTGCGAATTTGATGATTGACGGCAATTAATGAGATGCCCCCCAAGGCTCGATCAGGAACTCCCAGATATGACCAGCTTTTCCGCCATCGCCCAGAGATTCCGAGACCCAAGACTTTTTTGAGCGGAAGTCTCAGCTGTTCTCAGCCTGATCTGCCCTTCGCTCTGACGCGGCACACAAGCTCGCCCCGCCGTGTTCGCCGCTTGGCCGCTCCTCGATCTTCCATCCCATCCTTTCCTTCCCTTTGCGATTATCGATATCTCTCCCTCCTCCATGCCACCACACATCACGAACCGAAAAGACGCACAGTATGCGGGAGTGCCTGGCAGCGCACACAATAGACACGATGCGCGACAGACTTCGCGTCCGGCTGGCTGAGGAACCTGCCCAGGTGGCCGAAGCATGGCGCAATCTGCCTATTTGGTGCGCGCACGCGGTTGGCGGCCACGGCAAATGCCAAGAAACCTAAGACCTTGGCACAGCCGTTTTGGGGCATAGCGGCGCGGCGAGGTGCAGTCATCCCTCGCGCCTGCTAAGCTCCCCGGCCCAGCATTGGCGAATTGGTCGAATGGTCGGGCTCCGCTGCCGTGGCGTCTGGCGGGTCCAAGCCTTCCGCCCTGATTCCTTATTTACTGCACAACGCCTGCCTCCTCCTCTCGCGCGCCCCTTCTTTCACTCTCTCACCTTCCACCCCACCCAAGGCCTTTTGTACGCGCCTTCTGCCCATCGCGGGTCATATCATCTCCACAGCCGTGGACGTTGCAGAATCCTCGTCGCAGATTCATCTTGGACTGGGCAACGCTCTTCCAAGCCCCCGTCGCCTCGGTTCCATCTCTTGCCAAGCTCGCCATCGCATCCCCACCACACACCGACCGACTTACAACCTTGACCATGAGTGAACCGGCTCCCAACCAGCAAGCCAACTTGCCTCCTCCGCAGGTCATTGCAACGCCTCAGCAGCAGCAGCAGCAGCAGCAGCAGCAGCAGCAGCAACAACAACAACAACAGCAGCAGCAGCAGCAGCAGCAACAACAACCCCAGCAGCCACTTCAGCACCAACAGCAACCTCATGGCACTCCGACCCAGCCGCCCGCCCCAGCGCCCTCGTCGAGCAGCATCCCCAGCGACCAGCTGATATGCCAGTGGCAGAACTGCGGCGAGCGCTTGCCTTCTGCTGAACAACTCTATGTAAGTCGTCCTCCACCTTCGGCGCGTGCTTGTGCGTGGTGTCGCCTTCTCTCGAGGTGGCGAACTACGCGTTCAGACATCGTGTCTGCTTTTTCACGCGCTTTGTGTCACGTGATCGAACATTCACTCACGATGCCTCCCAGGATCACGTCTGCGAGCGTCATGTTGGCAGAAAGAGCACCAACAATCTCAATCTCACTTGCCAGTGGGGCAACTGCCGGACCACTACCGTGAAGCGTGATCATATCACGTCTCATATCCGCGTCCATGTTCCTCTGAAGCCACACAAGTGCGACTTCTGCGGCAAGGCTTTCAAGCGTCCCCAGGATCTGAAGAAGCACGTCAAAACGCATGCCGACGACTCGGTCTTGCTTCGTTCCCCCGAGCCCAATCGCGGCGGTCACCCGGGTGCGCCTGGATACCAGGGCCAAGGTGGTAAGCGTAAGTCCCCCGATCCCTCCAACCCAGCCACGACAACAATTCTCTGTCCTATCCCATTCCACGTCTTTCCTCAAATACACTCCCTTTCCTTCCAGTCTAACTTCCACAGTGGTCGCTGACTTGCAGGCGCTTGCCGCTACAGCGAGCGGATACTATCCAGATAGCGCCATTGGCCCCAACCCCGGCTATGGTCAACAGCACCCAGGGGGTGCGCCCGGCTTCTACAGCGCTGGACCTCCTCAGAACTCGGCCTATGGTCCGGTTTATTATGCCGTCAACCAAGCTCAACAGCTGAACAACGACTCGTATGAAATCCGCAAGCGCGCTGCCTACGATGCTTTGAACGAGTTTTTTGGGGACGCTAAAAGACGAGCGATCGATCCCACCACTTACTACGATGTTGGTCAGAGGCTCATGGGCCTCCAGGGCATCCAACTTCCCGTTATTGGTGCCTACCAAGGCGCTGTGCCTGAATATGCCGCAGCAGGAGGAACCCTGGTTGCACATCCTTCCCACCCCCCGATGCACCCCTATGCCCTGCCCCTCCCTACTCTCAGATCAAAGAGCGATCTCCTGAATATTGATCAGTTCTTGGAGCAACTCCAGACTACTGTCTACGAGAACCCGAACCATGCTGCTGCGGCAGGAGTTCAGCAGCCTGGCGCCCATTATGTTCACACTGGTGCTGCAGGGTTCCGTACCAGCAACTCACCTCCCGGGCTTTCTACGACGCATGCCCCGTCTTCACATGCCACCGCTGTTGCTTCTGCAAGCACCGAGACGCCAGCCTTGACGCCAGCGTCCAGCGTTTTGTCGTATGGCTCGCAACAATCGCCTAGCTCTGGACACGCTAATAGCACCGTCTCCCCGACCTCGAGGGGCAACAACATGTATCCCACGCTTCCGTCGGTTAGTGCCATGTCCGACATGTCCGCAGCTGCTCCTTCATCCGGCCTTGCTCCCTCTTTTGATGCTGATGGTCGTCGGCGATATTCTGGGAATCTTCTGCAGAAGGCTGCCCCCGACCGACGCGAGCAGATGGAAACCGAAGATGCGCGCCGCGGCTCGGAGCAGGAAGCTTTGCATCACAATGTCAATCAGCTGGCTATCCACTCCCCCAAGGTGGACCCCGCTCTATCGATGCGCTCTCCTAGCCAAGTGTCATCCACTTCCACGGAGCAGCCTGCGGACGGGGCTCAGCAATCCTGGGTCGAAAACATACGGACTATCGAAAGGCTTCGCCAATATATCAAGGAGAGACTGGAGCACCACGATTACATTGATGACGATCAGGACGTCAAGCACGAGTCACGCGTTAACGACGACGCTCAAAGTTTGTACCCGGTTCTTCAGGCTGTGCGCCAGTCCGACTAGTGTCAGAACTCCAGTAATGCAGTATGGGGTGGCGTTGTGGCGTTGCGAGGACGGCTGTTTGGGCTACTATCGTAGTTGTGTATTTTTAGCTCCGATGATGGATCCAGCAGCTACGGACATATTGGCAAGGCTGGCTAGGGCGGTTAGGTTGATTCCACATGGTTTTTCTTTTCTTCTTCTCAGTGTTCTTCGATGACGCTGTGCTATCACTGTTTGATACCTGCTATTCTCCATACAAGTGCGAAGGCCGGCCACTTGCGTCGAGGTCATCCGCTCTATGTACCTTCATTATCTCTCTGGATCTCTGTTTAGAGGTCCAAGCGCTCCTGAATGGTCAACATTTAGTTTGTGGTTCGAGAGCTCCATATCAAAGTGCTTGATGCTCTGTTCGTCTGCCGTGATCAGTGTTCCGAATCTGTTAGATGCAGAAATCAAGATAGTTCTTGGCGCATCTCTTCCGCATTTTCTCTCCCCGTCCTCTGTAGACTGTACTTTTAACATACAATAACGCAAAAATAGAAGGCTAAATCTATATAGTAGTACTCTTACGCAAATAAGAAAGTAGTTTTATTTTAAACGCAGATAAGAAAGTAGTTTTATTTTAATATGTATATCGTACCTCACGGGCGAGCCGTCCACACGGGCGAGCCATCCACTATGCCAAGACCCCACCAAATTGTACTGTCAACTACAGTATATTCGTGATGCCTCAACAACACAATAATCTACCTTCTTCAAAAGAAGCTCATATACAGCTTGCGATCCAGGCTATTAAGCAAGATGTGAATATCTCTGAACGATGTGCTGCACAGATCTACAATATCTCTCGAACAACACTACGAGACTGATATGCTGGAGTGATCTTTCGATGTGACTGTACACCCAACTCAATGAAGCTACTAAAGATGGAAGAAGAGGTGATTGTTCGGCATATCCTTGATCTTGATATGCGAGGATTCCCTCCCTGGCTTACTGCTGTCAAAGATATGGCTGATTCCTTGCTGGCTACACAGCACCGAGACCCAGTTGGCCAGAACTGGGCTGCAACCTTTGTCAAATGCCAGCCAGAGCTTACAATTAAGTTCAATCGGAAGTACGATTACAAGAGAGCTCGCTGTGAAGATCCTGAGGTTATACGAGGCTGGTTCCGGCTTATAGAGAATACCAAAGCCAAGCACGGTATCCAAGACAATGACATCTACAACTTTGATGAGTCTGGCTTCATGATGGGCATGATATCAACAGGAGCAGTTGTCACAGGCTCTGAGTATCGAGGCAGGCCAAAGAGCATGCAGCAGGGCAACCGGGAATGGATGACAGTTATTCAAGGCATCAACGCAATGGGTTGGGTGATCCCGCCCTTTATCATCTTCCAGGGCAAGCACCACCTCTCTGCCTGGTACAAGGAGGAGGATCTACCTCACGATTGGGTTATTGCAATCTCTGAGAACGGCTGGACAACAAATGAGCTTGGTCTGCAGTGGCTAAAGTACTTCAATGAGCATACAAAGCAGCGTACTATTGGCGCAGCATGTCTACTTATTCTTGATGGCCATAAGAGCCACAACTCACTCGAATTCCAGCAGTACTGCAAAGACAACAAGATTATCACTCTCTGTATGCCTCCATACTCATCCCACCTCCTACAGCCACTTGATGTAGGGTGTTTCTCACCCTTGAAGAAGGTATATGGATACTAGGCCAAGGATCTAATGCATAACTGGATCACCCATATTACTAAGATTGAATTCCTACCTTGCTTTATTGCTGCTTTTAAGGCTACAATCACTAAAAGCAATATCCAAGGAGGCTTTCGAGATGCTGGCTTGGTTCCCTTTGATCTAGAAGCGGTGATATCAAAGCTTAATGTCAAGTTGCATACACCTTCACCCTCTATTGTCAATGAGGACTCCTAGCAGTCACAAACACCAAGCAACTGTAACGATCCAAGAGGAGCTAGACTCCACCTGACCAGGGTTGCTCTCAGTTAAGCGAGGAAAGTCTCAGAGCACAGCGCAGCCGGCCCAATGATCATTTGATCCCTCCAGAGCAAGGGCATGCAACCTGCTCTCAATGCTCTACTCGTGTTAATGGAGCAAAGAGAGCACCTCATGTATATAACAGTAGATGATGAGCCCATATGGCTTATCGTGTTCAATTTCAATCAGTACTCCTTAGTACACTTGGTTTTCAAAATACGCGTTACCCCCCGGTGTCACCCCCATTACCCCCGGTGTCACCCCCATGCAAGGAACCCTATCGTTCATTCCCGAGAACCAACCAAGATTCCTAGAGGACATACCATTATCCGAGGAACCTTCACAATGTATAAGAAAGAAGTAGAAGTAGATTCAGAATAGATTGGCTTATTATGATTTTTGAAAATTGTTCATGGTTGTATTATACTGTCGTAAACAGTATGGATTTTGGTAGGGTCTTGGCAAAAGTGGACGGCTCGCCCGTGTGGACGGCTCACCTGTGAGGTACGTTAGTAGTTATTGCACGAGAGATAGAGAGGGTAAAGAGGCAGCTATTAATATAAGCGTGCCTTGCTTCTGCAAGCGTGCCTCGCTTAGAGAGGCTTAGCAGAATTTATCTTATAATTTCTACCCCCTCTAGCACCTCTAATATTATATCTAATAAGTTAAAACTTTAATAGTAAAGTAATTAAGTATAGTAGACACTATATTATAAGTTATAGGCCTTTCTTTCCTTTAACTATAGAGTTGTATTATAGGTAGGGGGGATAATGCAGGAGGATGCGCCAAAACTATCCCGATTTCTGCATATAACAGATTCGGAGCAGGCCTTGGCAGAGCTTCCTGTCAACCTCCGCTTCATCCCCGAGGACTTTAACGGCACCCCAATTGTCAGAGCGAGGGACGGTTCGCAGCTACAGCCGCCATCATGTCTATGTTCCGCGCGAAAAAACTTGACATTGGATGTTATGTCAACATTCGCAACATCCGCGACCACACCAAGCGCAAGGTCTTCGCTGCGAACGAGCCGGAGAGGTATGTATTCCTCGGTCTCCGCACAATTGAACACACCAACTTTTCATGGAATGTATATTGACGTCAAAAATTTCTTCTAGGCAAGCACTACGATACATCATTCGCAACACGAGCCTCCCCCAACGCGTACGCGCACAAGCGCAGCTCCAGCTCTCGCAAATGCACTGCTACACACGGTTCACACAAGTCAAGAACAGGTGTATAATGGGAGGAAAGGGTCGCGGTGTTTTCAGCGATTTTAGATTGGGCAGGGTAAGTTTCCGAATGGAAGAAGTGGTGAATCTACGCCGCCATCTCTCCTCACAAACGACACTTGAAGATGGAGCTGACGTTGTGTTTTTATAGTATCAGTTCCGTATAAATGCGCTCGCTGGATATCTCCCCGGTGTACGTAAGGCTAGTTGGTAGAAGGGAATTGTGGACATAGTACGGTCGGCCGCCGCTGCGAGATGGGTGTACATTACTGTTATTTTGGCCTGTGACCACGAGCTTGGAAAATGGGCATTACAGTGGCGTTGATGGCAAATATATATATTCTGGACAATCTGAGTATGAAGGGACATTAGAACTCCAGGGGATGCATCGATCCGGCGCTTTCTCCACATCTCTGAAGCGGGAGGGCGTTTGCGTGTGGCAAACGCCACAAACACCTGGACATGCAGTGCACATATTTTCTGAGGCAGCTCACCGCTTGTGCGAGAAGTCTACCTAGGCATGTCAAACAGAGCTCCAGCTCCTTCCAAACCTCACCTGCCGCCTACCAACTACCCACCACCGCCTTTCGCCTTCACCATTGACCGCACGACCACAACTACAATTTGTCCACATCCCAAACTCACTCAGCTTCTCACTCACTTTTCGACACAACAAGTACAATACCAAGATGTTCCGACTTCAGGAAAGCAATCTACCAAAAGACCCCAAATTCCCTGCGGATCTGAAAGAGCTAGGGTAAGTGGCGCCCGATACGAACATCCCACAATCACGCTCACACAATTACAGCTTTTTCATCAACGAAGCAGGCCAATTCTGCATGATCAATTACCCAGACAAGTTCTTCCAATACTACTACAGCAACAACGAGCGCGTCAACAACGCCCGCCGCGAAGCATATCACCGTACGTCGGGTCGACCGTCCTAGCCGGGGAAAGCGTGTACTGACAGAAATGACATAGAATGCCAACGTCGCGAAGTTGCAAAGCGTTTGTCCGCGCTTGGACTAGTGAACCTGTACCTACCTCAACTCACATCCGTCAAGCCTGAGGATGAAGCATCGGTGCCGATTCTCGCCCCACCGGCCGAGATACTCAGGACGCGCAAGAGGGTCATTGTCATTGTGAACAGTACGCTGCAAGATCTAGGCATTCTTGCATATCGAGAGCTGCAGCGCGCAGCTGGCGTGAATGATGGATCGATCATCGGTTTCGTCAAGGAGATCATTCGACGGTCCACCGGAGCGGACGATACAGCAGACCTGTTTAAGGATGGTGCTGGGGTAGCGGATAAGAGCAAGGAAACTCCCGGCATCATAGTCATGAATTGCGGCCAGCTTCTCTACTCGTACAAGTTCGGTGAGGCGAAGACTGTACGGAGCTGGAATGATATGCCCGTCCAGTCGGCTTGCCATGAACCAGTTCAGATTACTGAGGATAACAAGATTCCGGGCAACAGAGATGCGACAGAGCACATCAAGTTCGTTATTGAGAACGTGCTGCATAACAAGGATTTCGTAGCCGAGGATGCGGAGATTTATATGATTGGGATTGAGAATGGAGGAGAGCACCTCGTCAGGGTCCTTGATGAGCATCGTAAGTTACACAAAGCACATGTTTGAGAGTGCTTCATACTAACAAAGTACAGTGGAAAGATATGGCCTATGGCTCACGGCTATGGCCCTCATTGAGCCTCGTATGCACTCGTCTCATATCCACAACCCTCATCTACGAGCTTTTCTGCGCCGGCGGGCGCGCCAATGGCGGGTAGAGTCATCAAACAACCCGGCAGAGTGCGTTGCAGTACCGTCGCACTACGCCGAAGAAGTCGCAGCATTGGAGGGCTCGACTGGGGAGAAGGTTGATGTCACACCGGCAGAGAAGGACCATCTCAACTGGCTTGACACTGTCCAGGCTTCGGGTACAGTGTCAAATATTCTCTCAGCGATCCCAACACAGCTTGCAAACCTGAAAATCTCCCTTGGGCCTGACCACGGGACAAAAGCAGCAGATGATACCCGTCCTCTGGAAGACTCCATCTGTCCCACCTTCTGTGACGACGAGAACCCACATGGCGCTGGAGAATGCATCTTCATAGCACGCTCGGTGCAACGATGCGTCTTGCAGTTCTTCGAAGAAGTCGCAAAGGACCCAGCCAAATATCATAACCCTGTGTTCGAGGTAAACGCACCGGATGCCCTAGAGGACAACGGCTGGGGAGAGGAAGAGACGCCAGCGGACGCTTCTACGAAAGCAGAGCTCAAGATTCGGAAGGAGGAGCTTGAGCGGATGAAGACCGCTCTTCGCAATACGCCGGAGACTGCAGAGTTTCGAGAAGGGAAGGTGGCTCTCGAAAAGCGTATCCAGAGACTCGAGAAGGAGTATCAGGAGTTATCGGAGAAGAAGTCGACTGAAGAAAATACTGGGACCACGGCAGCGCAGGAGAAGAAAGAGGTGTGGGAACCGGTTGGCAGGGGACCTAAGGTTCCGTTCGCAGGGGATATGGTGGACAGCGAACTGGTGAAGGCTTCGGGATTGGATGACTCTGCCGAAGACGATGAGGATGTGGCCGAACTTGCCCCTGAGGTCAATGGGCAGACGTAGAAGTGCTACCTCCGAGCCGTCGAGGACTCGAGGAAATGAGTCCGGCTTGGGTTGGAGCATTCATCGGTCTATGAGCTTTGCGATTTGTATGCTTTTGGGATCTCTTTCATCCTGCAGTAGGTGGCTCAGGACATCCGGAATAGGCTTCAGCGAGGAGATGACGTTCTCCCAACAGTGCTAATGGAATGATATACCTCTTAACGCCGGAAAATGCATGTTCACTTCCCACAGTTCCTCGGAGCTTCGTTCCTCCTGCCATCATCTCCTTCTACCATTCCATCCTCACCCCTACCTAAACATCCTTCAACAGGTCATCCAAATCATCATCATCGTCCCACCCGCCCCGTCGATTCACCACAATCTTCCCCGTCTGCCCGCCCCTCTCCTCCTCCGCCTCGCTCACCGCCCCCAGCAACTCCTTCAACTGCTCTTCCGTCACTTTTGCTCTAAGCTGGCCCGTCCGTGCCAACATAATCAGTCGGTTCTCGATATCCGTGGCGCGGGATTCCTTGACAAGGCGGATGCGGCCGAGGCGGTCAGCGGCTTCGGGGGTGAGGATTTGGGTGAGGAGGGAGGCGCGTTGGGAGGCTTCGCGTTGGCTGGAGGGTTTAGTGTCTTCGGATTCCAAGGGCGCGGAGGTGGACGTACCGTTGTGCTTCTTGTTCGTCTTGCTTGGCGTCGCCGGAGGCGGTGCCGCGTTGTTGTTGGAGTTGTTGGAGTCGGGCACGGCGGAGTTCTTCGAGGTCGGAATCGGCCATTCTGTTGGAGGGTGGTGGACTTTGTTCAAGTCGTGGTTTCGTGTGATTTGATGTGAGGCTCTGAGAGGGGTAGTGAGAGCGGGGTGGGATGGGAATGTTTGGAGTTGAGGCGGTGCAGGATCTTTGGAGTGTGGCGGAGGAAGCGCAGGCTAGAGTTGCCGTTTTGCGCCTACCATACTACGATGTATGCTGTGATCTATCGCTCAGCGGAATCGTGGATTTCATTTTCAACGGCACCGGAGGGCATATGGATAATGTGTGCTCTATGGTTCATGCGGCTGCTCAGATAGGCGGCTCAGGAGCCGAATGATAGATTGCTCCGAAGCTCGCGTGGTTCATATGGGCGTCAAATATATTATGCATGGCTCGGGGCGGAGACAAGCTCATGTATATTTAGCAAGGGGCTATGGTTATACTGCTGTTGACCGTTTACGGATATGGAGTATTACCCGCTGCATCCCGTATAATCTTGACTAATCTTTTGGTACTCTCTGCAAGCTCCGCAATTCGGACGAGGTAGTGGCTGCGCAAAGTCTACTGTGTATACCATCTGGGTGCGTACGGAGTACAATGTGGCCTCAACCATGGAGCAGGATCAAGATGTTTCCGAGATGGGAAACGTTATGTAGCACGGCTAAGTAAAAGTCGTTTCCAATGTACCTCGTTTGGATGCGGAGTAAACGTTTTGTGTCACACATGTTAACGGTGTAGTACCGATGGTATCTCCTGCTTAAAGCGGCACCCACCGTCCGTCTCCCGCCCTACTTGTTCCACCACCGATTCTCCTTCATAGACAGCACCACTCCCCCGAGACTGCACACTTTCATCTGCTGAGTAGAGAGCAAGACTCCACACCGGACGAAGAAGACGTGCAACTGAGGCTGGAAAGCGACGCCCAAGGCACCATCGGGCCCTAGCGGCAACCGCAGCGCCTGCATCATCATTCCGGCGCCAAACCAGGTTCCCAGCAGCAGTCGCCGCCGCTGCCACTCTCGCCCGCTGCCACGCCTCTTCCTGCACCACCTCAACTGCCCGCTTTATTGATGTGCTTCGACATGTCCCTCTTGCGCCGATTCTGAGCGTATTCTTCCGCCTATTCTTTCTCTTCTGTCGTCACTCCTTTGTCTCTGGTTTCCCCTTTACCTGCTGCAGCACATATCCAGTCCGGGTCCTGCTTTCGAGCGAGGCCTTCCGTCGACATGGCTGAGTACGTTCTCCGACGCTGTCCAGACGAATTCCTCTGCCAGCCACCGCTACACACGGCCCGGTTGGTGAGCTTAGACTGACATGACTTGCAACAGATATGTCTCTGCTGCACCTTGGTTGCATACCATAGGATCCTCGGGAACCGTCACCCCTTCCCGCCTGAAGCTGCGCTCCTTATCCCCTCCGAGTTTGAACAAGCAAGTCACAAAGTCCGTTTCTACGCCGCAGTTGGGGAAGCGGGCGCATTCGAGCCCCCTGGTGGCCTTCGACAGCGACGTCCTGAACACCATACCCGATCCTAGAACCGCGACACCTGAATGCTCTTTGTCACGCTCTAATTCCACCGACGCCTCACCTCACCCGGATCTAAGTCAAGAAGTCGCGACGCTGAGCACGAAACTGGTCAACGCAATCAACCACCAGGACACTTTGGACAATGCACTACAACGGACAAGGCAGGAGTTAGATGCGACAAGGGAGAGGTTGGAGGAATATGAGAAGCGAGTCATGGAGCATGAGAAACTGGTGCAGACGGGTCGGCTGGTAGAGAAGGAGGTGTTTGACAAGATGGAGAAGCAGTTATTGAGCGACCTGGAGGACGAAAGGAAGCGCCGCCGAGACGCTGAGAAAGCGAAGAGGAAGGTGGACTCCGAAGTCGAGACTTTGACTTCTGCGCTCTTCGAAGAGGCCAACACAGTAGGTAACAAACCCCGCTGGTTCGAAGCGCTGCTAATATCTGCAGATGGTGGCGGCTGCTCGCAAAGAGACTGAGGCTGCAGAGAAACGAAACGATCAGCTGAAGCAACAGTTAGCGGATGCCGAAATCCTTCAGCTGTCCCTTCAAGAACAACTCCAGGACCTAAAATCTGTAATGGAGAAAATGAGTGAGCGCGATGACATGGAGAGCAACACACTTGCAACGACCACGGCGCCCTCAACCCCTGGGATAACGCCTGCGGACAAGCTCAACAAGCTCTTCGAAGCTGCCAACCTGACACCAAATACCCCTGGATCTGATGAGATTGCGCCAGAGCACCCCCTCCACTTTCACCATCTGATACACCCGGTCCTGAGGACTGACCTGCCCTCGTTTAGGGACTTCGAGGAGATGATCTGGAATAGCACTCGCTCGGCCCCTTCAAGCCGTGTATCAAGTGGCAATTACGGCGGCCTCAATGTGCTCGGTCTCGGCGCGCTCACCAACAACTCGACTTCATCGCTGCCAGCAGCCAGCCGATCGCCCAGCTCTAATGGTGGTGATTCGCGGCGCGACTCTACTGCAAGTACAACGGCCTCAAACTTAAAAGACGAGAAGTTCTACAAGCGCGCCCTGTCCGAGGATATTGAACCCACTCTGCGCCTCGATATCGCCCCCGGGTTGTCATGGATGGCCCGGCGCACTGTGATCAACAGCATTACTGCGGGGTCTTTGGTCATTGAGCCCGCGCCTCCGCCTCAGAAGTTTCGCGGACCGGTTTTCCCTTGTTCCTTGTGCGGCGAGTGTAGGAAAGGCGACGAATATGCACGAAAGTATAGATTCAAGTCATCGGAAACTGATGAAACGAAGCACCCGTTGTGCGATTGGTGCGTGAATCGCATGAGGGCTACTTGCGACTACATTGGCTTCCTGAGGATGATTGCAGCAGGGCATTGGAGGGCAGAGACAGAAGCGGAAAAGAAGAATGCTTGGGAAGAAAGCGTACGGTTAAGGGAGCGTATGTTCTGGAGCCGAGTGGGAGGAGGTGTTGTTCCCGCATTCTTACCAACGAAAGAAAGTCCCACGAGTCCTGCGTTTGCTACCAAAGACGGCCAGACGAGGACGAGCGAAGAGAGCCAATTATCAGATGCTAAGGCGTTGGATTCAGCCGTGGATATGACGCAGCCGACTAAGCGGACCTCAACGATAGTGGACGACCCTTTCCGGTCGAAAGAGGAGGATAAGGCTAAGAGAGTCTCCATAGGGAAGACCATTATCATGAATGAAGGCGCGACCGAAGGTCTGACTCCGGCGGAGGAGAGGAAGATCGAAAAGGAGGTTAATGAGCAACTGCACAACGAGGTTCGGAGATCTATCGAAGCGAAGAGAGAAGGTGGACTGCAGCGCACTCGAGCGGTCTCCACGTCCATATCACCATTGGGAACACCGAAGAAGAAGGACGAGCGACTGAGCCTTACGATTCCAGGAGCCTTTGAGTGAGCTCGATAAACCCATGATTTGATCACGCTCTGCCTTGCCTTGCCCACACTACTTCCAGTCTTGCACGACTGTACGCGGGTAACGACTTACGACACATAGTGCCCGACATTCCAGCACTAAATTCATCCTTCCATTGATACTTTTCGGTCCCGACAGTGCGCTCGCGGTTGCCAACAGCATCCTAATTTTCAACCACCAACCGGTACCACATATCGTAGGAGAAGCCCCGACCAATACGCAGACTCACGCAGGCCATGATGAATCAATACTCTCATCGCATTAATTTCATTGTCACTATTCGAATCCGGTTATTGCATTTATACAAAAGGGGTTCCTCCTCACTTGGGCTTTTCTAGATATCAAAACCGTCCGCTTTTTCTAGTACTTGTACGATACCAGGGTCTTCCGCTCTACATGCGATATTCTTTCCTAGGCGTAATGAGGGTGGATGAGTTATATATATTGCATCATCAGGCTGGCTGGACGCAATGAGCTTTCCTTGGGAGGCAGTGACGGATGGGATGGGAGATTTTCACGTCAGGTTGATCTGGGGCTTTGACGAGGAAGTGAGCGATGCGGCGATACACATGGGAGCGGCCCTTGAGAATGGTGCTTCTTGCACCAGGTTAATACATTGCTGCTTCTATCGAGCAGGTGGTCAAGTATAATGAGACCCTGAGTGTACACTCGACCGCGCTCTGGGGTTTGTGAGAGCCCAGTACACTGCGCGATTCCACCCATGGTTTTCCAACTCGTGATCCGAGACATTCTATCACACTCATCTCTTACAGACTTCTGGGATGGGCCACTACCATTGGCATCTTCCATCATGCCTCATCTACGCTCATCTCCCCTTTCTCTTCCCTGACCCCTGCCCCTTCCCATTGCCGTTCCCATTCCTATCTTTCTTCAACGGCCCCTCCAATAACGCCTTAAACGTCTCTCCAGGCGTTCTCGGCGCCCCCTGCTGTTTCGCCGGAATCAGCGTCTCCTCTTCCTCCCCCGTGTTGCCAGCATTGCTTGCTTCAGCCGCTCGTTGCGCCTGCCTCTGGAGTTTGCGCTCCCTGCGCTCGGCACGGTTTTCGTCTCTGGTCTTTGAGCGTTTCTTGCGATGGGGAAGGGGTTGTGGGGGTTTGGATGTAGAAGGAGCATTGGTGTTGGACTCGTCGTAGGCGGCGTTGATGGCATCTTGCATTTCTGCGTCCTGGTCTCCGTCGACCTCGTCTGCCTCCTCTTCGTCATCTGCAGACTCATCCTCCTTGCCCTCAGTACCTCTTGTTTCCTTCGGGAGGGCAGCCATCCGCCTATTCTCCTCGTCCTCATCAAACTTGATATGTTTCTTCTGCTTTCCGCCCAATGCGTCCGCCTTCCGCTTCGTTCTCTCCCTGATCCCCTTCTCTCGCTCCTCCCTCTCCCTATCGAACTGCTCATTCCCGGCCAATCCCGCTCGTACAAACCTCCCCGCAGCTTCCTTATCCAACCGCATCCTCCCCTCCTCCTTCTCCTTCCCTTCCTTATCTGCCGCCTCCGCGCTTTTCAACCCCCGTTCCTCAATCTCCTTGACCTTCTGGAAATACCCCTTCAGACGTGCCAATTCCGCGAAAATCGCGTGTTCGCGTGGATTCTGGCCGGACAGGAGTAGAGAGGAGTAGAGCAGGGATTCGATGGTGTAGGCGACGTGGATGTGGAGTTTTGCCCTTGAGAGGAGCGGGAGCGTGGATGTGGTTGTTGAGAGGGGCGTTGTGAGGAGGGGTTGCAGGGCGGAGGTTAGGGTGTCGATTTGAGAGGAGAGGGTGGGGAGGAGGGAGGGCGGGAGGTTGGGCGGATCCATGGTTGGGAATGTGTGGTTTCCTTAATAGGGTGAACCCAAGTGGTGTTTACGGGTTCCTATTCAGATCTGGGGTTTGACGTTGCGGAGATCGGCCCTGAAGGGCGCTGTCTTCGTGGTTCTGAATGTGAACCGAGCTTTGAGGTGCCGACGCAATCGATTTCCCAGAATGATATGTTACAATGCAGGCAATTCCCGCTGCATCTGGTGTGGAAACTGCGACTGTACTTGTGCTTTGAAAGTTGTCTTGGTAGTGTTCAACATTTCTTCGCATCTAGATGTAGTCGGACCGACTGTTTCTCCGCGCGGGAGCTAACATTTCCCTTGCTAGTTCCGCAAACATCAGTCGAAGACACATTAATGAGACGTCTCCTTCCCTTTTATTGGCACTGTATATAACAGAGCGTGTTCCTTGAAGGTTCTCATGCTCATGTGACTCTTTCAAATCTCTTTCAACCTGTCTTTCCTCCCTTCGTCTCAGTTCCTTCCCAGGCTTCGGCCTCCAATACCGCACATCGCTTCGCAATGCTGTCGCGGTAACAATTCCGTGGGCCGGGTGGCCTCTTATCAGTCGGGAAAAGCGCTGAGGAGTTGGTGGGATTCGGAAAATGCGGAACTCCAGGCGAAGAACGGCGCCAAGTGCGTACCCTCGAAGCGTCACATAGCGGAGGACTAACAAGCAATAGAGCTCAGGAGGACGCTACTAGGAGTGCAAGCCAAACTATGGACAACGGCGGACGAAAGGAAAATGGCTTGTCCAGATCCCCGTACACAGAGCGAAACCTTCGGACCGCACTGCAGTTCTATCGTCGGCAACGTGTCGTTGATCGCCGCATTCACGTCTTGGGCATGGGAAGTTTGGGACTCTTCGTCGCGCATTCGTTGCGCAAGTTGCCGAACCCACCCCCAGTTACGCTCATGTTCCATGCATGGCAGACGTTGGACACCTGGAATCAATCGAGCAGGACTATAAAGTTGGTCACAGATGATACGGCAGAGAGGACTGAGGGTTTTGATGCAGAATTGTCCTACTTACGTAGACGATTTCATGGGAAAGAGATTGAGGAAGAAATCTACAGTAATGAGGCAGAGTCCACGGAGCCGATCAGTTCGCTTATTGTCTGTACAAAAACACAGATGGTTCTTCAGGCCTTGTCTCGGGTTAAGCATCGTTTACACAAGGAGTCCGTGATACTCTTCTTGCAAAATGGCATGGGAACAATCGAGGAGGTCAACAGAGAGATCTTCCCCGATCCAGAGACAAGACCACGGTATATGCTAGGCACGAACACGCACCACACGTCACTGCACCCGGATGAGCCGTTTGTATCTCTATATAAGGGATACGGCACTTTGGCCGTAGCCATACTCCCCAGCGAACGAGATGGCGGTACCGGTCCTTACACGTCGATGCCTAGATTTGGCCCAGCAAGTAGGATGCCTCTGGCAATGCAATACCCAGAAGAGCCCGACTTAGAGGCCGGTGCGCCTCAACAGCCCGGCTTTCATTGGACGCCCAACCACCGATATCTCTTGAGAACTCTCCTCCGCTCAACGTTACTTTCCGCCACAGGGTTTTCACCTCCGGATCTGTTGCAGATGCAGCTGGAAAGACTGGCAATCAACAGCATTATTGGGCCCCTTACCGTTATGCTGGATGCTCGCAACGGCTCTATCCTTTACAACTACTCGCTTACACGGACGATGCGCCTGCTTTTGGCTGAGATTAGCCTCGTCATTCGGTCACTTCCCGAACTTCGATATATACCTAATATTCCTCAACGATTCGACCCTGGTCGGCTCGAAACGTTGGTCGTTGGCGTGGCGAACAGGACGAAAGACGAGATAAGCATGATGCTCCGGGATGTAAGAAGGGGCCGCTTGACGGAAGTTGAGTATCTCAACGGATGGATCGTCAAGAAGGGAGAGGAGCTGGGAGTAAGGTGCTTCATGAATTACATGATGGTCAACCTTGTCAAGGGCAAGGCGAACATGATACAGATGGAGATGAACGAAGAGGTTCCATTATTGCCTGCAAAGGCTGCCGAGGGGCCGATAGTGCTGAAGGGTGAGGCCCAGGAAGCATCGTCGAGAGACCCTCTGGAAGATGATGATTGAGATATCCCAGTCACTTTTTGGGGCATTGTATTATATTGCAGCATTGCAGCTGCTTCGTCGACTGTACATATTCAGAGAGTGACATTGCTATACATAAGAAGTTCCATTTCAATAAACACAAACATCCTTCCATCCATTCATAGTTTTAGCTATCTCACTTGTGGTAGCCAATCACATGAGACCTTACAGTCCACGTGATTACACCGCGCCTCGGCCCGTCTCGCCCGCCGACGTTTCTCGAACACCTTCGTGAAAACCATCTACTTCTTTGCCTTCAACGCCAACAACCAGCTCACTGCCATCCGAAGACTCCGACAAGCCTCTTAACTACCTCAACTACTTCAACTACCGCAAAAACAATCACAATGCCTCGTCAACGTGGAGGAGCTGCTCCCCGCCGTCCCACGCCCGCCCCCGCAAAGCCCGCCGCACCTGCTGCACCTCCAGCCAGGCAAGCTTCTACCATGGCCGCGCCTCCTGCGCAACAACACGCCGCTCCTCCTGCTCAGGCTGCTCCTGCTCCTGTCCAGAGCCAGGGCCCGGGACTCTTTGGCCAGATGGCTTCGACCGCTGCGTAAGTAGCTCCGCAACAATTCCTCAAAAAGCTCATCGGGATTCATCCTGATGCATCATTCGTCCTTTCCGTACTAGTCTTAAACGAATACAGAAGCTAACCCATCGATAGCGGTGTCGCGGTAGGCTCCTCCATCGGCCACGCTATCGGTGGCTTCTTCAGCGGCGGCTCCTCCTCCTCTGAGCCCGCTCAGCAGCAGGCCGCCTCCACCGACTTCGCGCAGCAGCACCAGACCGCCAACTACAACACCCAGAGCGGCGCTTGCCAGGCACAGATTGGCGACTTCAGGAAGTGCATGGACGAGAACCAGGGTAGCTTGAACATTTGCGGATGGTATCTGGACCAGCTCAAGGCTTGCCAGGCGGCGGCTAGCCAGTATTAGAGGGTATGGAGGGATGTAGGGGGTTGAAGGGAAGTGATAGAACATCTTGTATACCTAGCAGCATGGTTGTCTCTTGGTAGCAAGTTTAGACAGCGTATCTGCATCTGCATTTGCATCTCAACCGGAACGTCGTGGAGTGGTCATTGTACAATATTGATAGATCGAATCATAGCCACCTCTACTCCAATGTACCCTCTTCACTTCGAAGGCAGAGTTCTCGCCACATTTTTCAAAGTTCCAGAGCTACCAAATATATACACGCGTAGAAGCGGCATGGCTAATCGATCAATACATTATACGTAAGGTTCCACTTGCTCCGTATGCCAGCCGGCGAGGAAAAGCTGCTCAGTCTGTACCTACCAGCTTGCTGACCGAATAGCTTAACCGCATGGGCAATGAAAACATATGCCCGGTCCCTTGACACGCATCAAATTCACACGCGTTTCCAGCTTGCCCGTGATAAAAGCTCACTTATGGATGACATCGCTTGCAAGTCATGTTTGCACTATCTAACTTTGGCCGTGAGATGACTGCGGTCAACGAGATGACACAAGAGAAGGGGATCATGTACATAGCTGCATATGTGCATACAGTACTTCAACTCTACCTCTCTATAACACCCGCTGCGGTCTCGTATCGTGGTTTTCCCATTGTACGACGGTGTGCCGTTCCCAATCCCTCTGTTCGTTTTCTCTTTCTTGCTTTCCCTTTTTTTGTTCGTCACGTCTTCCCGGTAGTGCCATGGGACCTCTTCCCAGCCGCACTCTCCGTAGATGTTACCGTATAATTCGTCTTACTGTCGAGCGGTTTTGTTTTAACTTAAATATCATGTGCCCGGAAATGCAGCAGCGGGAAAAAAAAAGAGGTACAAGAACGCAAGAGCCTGAGTCCAGGCATAACTGAACGAGACAAAGACGGAGACGAAACATACAACATATGCACTCCCTTGACACCGATCAGGTGTCGCTGATGCTGAGATTACAGTTGATAATGGAGTTCCGGAGAAGGGTGACGTGAGTGGAATTGTTGTCGCTCATGTCGCTTGCCTGCGCAGAGCAGCTGGATCTATGGCGGGCTGGGGGACTGAGCATGCAATTGGTTATGCGGATACGGTTTCCGACGATATCCCAAGCAATGAAGCAGTAGAGGAAGTACGATCCACGGGCGATGGCGTTCTACAAGTGTGCCAGTAACATGGACATGATACATCAAATGCAAGCTGGTAAGGGGTAGGAAGGCTCTGCAACGAGCGCCCACAGATCTGGCTTGGAATTGCGGAGCAACAAAAGTTGGATGAAAGATGCATGCGGTAGTACCTCGTGCAATTTTAGGTACGGTGAGAGCAACGAAAATCTGCACATTCTCAAAGTATACGATAATCTGCAAGGTGCACTTTTGGGCCGTGAAAACATGGCCGCTGTCACTACCATAATACTGAAGGAAACCAACACAAATATCACATTTGATTGCCGTCACTCGTACAACTGTGCACCTTGGTAACTTTTGGAATGGCCATCAGCGATAAATACATTGACCCGACCGTGTGGAAGCTCACTGTTCCTTCAATACCAAGACATGCCCCTCCTCGGTTCCCAACTGATTTGGCACAGGTATAGCATAAACGAGTGTGTCGTTTTGAGCTCTTCAATGGCTAAAACCTTTATGTTTTCAAGATAGGAAATGTGTAGAGTGGGATGTGTTATGAGGAAGAGAGAAACATGTCACACTACACAAAGCGTACCACAGTACACGTCCACGCGGGTAGATGGAAAGCTGCAAAGCGATGACATATGTGGGTGAGACACAAGATTGTTCATGTACGGAGTATTGCAAGTGAGATATCTTTGGGAAAGGAGCAGAGTATGAAACATGGAATGATGCGAAGTTGGAATTGTGCGCGCCGCCCTCCATCTGGGCACGCGAAGATGCCGTTAGATACATAGGTTGGCAGACCCGCGGTTGGCAACATTCCACTTCGGCTATATCAGCGCGTATTATGAGCCTGGAGGACGTAGAAAGTTTACTGTATATTAAATCACCCGTCTCCGGCCTTGTCCAAGTACTGTGCCTCATCCAGTAAATGCACCATACAGGCGGCCTGAACCAACGGCGATGCAGAAGTTGACGGTGTTCCTGACGGCCTTCTTGTTGGTTGTCGGCCGAGCAATCTGTTAATGTTCCATAAATGACTGGCTCGCAGCTATCTCCAACGGCGAGAGGCGCAGGATATGAAATCGTACTGGATCGCTAGGTGAGATCCAGAAGTTGTCCGGCAGTTTCTGACATTGAACCTGGAGGGTGCCATGCGTCACACGCAGACACCAACGGTGCCGCGCTCTTGTCTCAGGTGTTTTCATCCCAGGCCGAGACTGTGATTCACCGCAGTATCATGCAGCACTGCACTTATAAGCGATTTGCGCAATTATGTCAAGCGAAACGCTATTGCGGATAGCCGCCCATTGAACCTCGAATTTCCTACCTCCAACAACTCGCTTCGAGGTCCCCAGATGCCGTGCCACCGGCGCGCCTGGGCATCCGCAGTTCGTCGAGTCTCGGTTACGTAGGAATCTGGGGAAGCAAGGGCCGGAGCTCCACCGGTAACCTAGACACTTCACATCATTCTGTGTGCGGTATTCTTCCACAGGCAAAAGTGTGATCTTGTCTTTCTCTTGTCTGTCATGCTTCCAACCCCCCAAGATCACGGCGTCGTATTAGCGCATTACTGTTAGGTGGATTCCTAACGCTGTGTGGGTAGGAGCTTGTCCGGGTAATACTGCACGTTGATCACGCAGAAAGACGTTTGCCTGTTTCAGCGCCCTCTGTAAGAATCTCTCCTCCGCGTAAGATCACAGGAGATTCCCCGTCATGTTGTCAACATACTTCAGTCCAAAGACTCAACATGTGATTCAACAGGTCGTGCGGAGATAGAAAGATGCCACCGGAATTGTCTCCGTCCCCGGCCAGAGTCGGATATGACCGAGGATTCTCAAAGGGCCCAGAGTCATCGGCATGGTGATGATCCTAATCACCCTTGGAGGGGACCCCGTTGAAGGTCTTGTTGTCGATCCTCGAACTCGGCGAATGTGATGAGTTCCAGCCCGAAGACCAGGAACGGTTTCGCTTTTCCCTCGATGGGAAGTCTGCGCCGTTGCTTATCATCAGCTTTTCGCGGGGTAGCATAAGGTACCCCGGACGGAGTTTCAGGCGCAAAATGCCCCAGCGGTGAAAAGTCTTCATGTCCGGACCCTCACTCCGCTGTGCCGGTACCTAACCTCGTTCCTGACCGATGCGCGAGTCAAAAGCTGTGAAGAGGGTGACACGCCCAACTGGAGTGCCGCGTAGTCACAAGCATTCGGCGACGATTCCAATTCGATCATGGGAGTTAATGAAGCGGGGAGATCGCACGGGGCAGAAAAGAGGGGCAACCTCTCCCATTTTGCGCAATGATAACCACTCCAGACAGCGTTGCAGGAAAATCACTCAGGTTCGGTTAGGAGAAAATTTCTCATTCTGGAGAATCAAGCTCTTCTCATTCGCTTCTGTGGTCAGGTCCTTAGATAGGAGTCAAGAGCAACCCCCATCGCCCTCCCCCTCCCTGTCATCATCCCAGAGCTGATTCCTATGGCCCTTGATTGGGACAGAATCCAGCGCCGAGGGTCAGGAGTGTGCAAATCCTGTACCTCGCACAGGCTCGCAGTGCACAGAGGCCCTGGCACTCTTCTTGCCGGGTTGTCGGGTGCAATACGAACTCGACGGTCCCAATACCCTATGGAGTTTGTAGTTTACCACGTACAGCACTCGGCTAACACCGGTTGTTCCGATCTGAATCTACACATCCTTTTGCAACTCGTTAACCACGTTGGCAGGCAAGCGGAGCAACGATGATGGAACATTGGGTGGTTGTGGAGCCTGTCCTTCTGCTTTCTTTCTAACTGATGGGCCAGGGATTCACTGCCCTTGCAGGCGGCACCTCCGGGCCGGGGCTTAGTGGGTGCTCCCCCGAGTCAGTGCCCTGGTAAACTGCGCTGAGCTGGTCTTTGTCCTCCCTTCCTGAACCTCATCTTATCGGCTGGCTTTGACGGTGGAATAGAAGAATGAAGTTGGCAAAGGAACCTATGCATGTGGCTTTGAAATAGACGCCAGCGTGAACGGTGGTGAGAGTAGAGAACATCGCGCCTAATGTGTTTGCATTCCAAAAAAGGTCCCTCTGAGCCCTAGATGGTCTTGCGCAGGAAGATTTTGCAATTGATGCATCTCCAAAAGCAGTCTATTCCACGCGACACACCACATGGGCATGGTACCAGTACAACTGAGGAAAGTCACACAAAACCCACGCGCCCACACGAAAATGAGAACGACCGACGACCGTCCACTTTGCTTGGGAGACATGAGCTCGGTTGCTCATCAGCTGCCTCATCATGCGTTTCCATGCGGTCTTCTGCAGGGGCCACCGACAACGGCCAGCCTGGACACTCTGGCATGACACTGTTGCCCGTGCGCTTCGCTGCACCTCCACCACGCCCATCACTCCCATCTTGGTACAAGGGCTTTTAGTCCGACCAGGGCCCTAGACATGGCTGCCAGCCCGCGGAAAATAGAGTAAGTAACTGTTGCCTCGATATTATGAAAAGATCATGGCGCCCATCCCCAGGTCGCGGCCCCCTCAATTCTCCTTCCGGGTATCTGGTCGCTCGACCTACTTCATTTACACTTCCATATACTCCACCGTGCTCAACCTCCCTTGCCGTGTATACCACTAATTCTCCCACATTCGCAACCACGAAGGCCACAGGTGCCTTCCTCCCAATCACAACAATAACAGGATCCGGCGTCCCTCGACAACCCAGCCTCGAGAGGCAGAAGACGACACCATATAGATTCCTTCACATTTATCGCACGATATCGGCCGCTTTACCGCTCACCATGTCTTGAGCTCTCTTATATTCTATAATATACCCTTCGCCTCACTCTTTGCTAGCGATCCCTAGCCCTCTAAGAGTGGGCAACAAACATGGCTCCATTCGAGATGGATCTCCTCGTGGTTAGGGATACGCTCCACAAGCGATACTTTGCATTTCCTAACAGTCTGGATCCGCTCCCACCCGTTTACAAGCAGGGTGAGTAACAGCAGGCCTACTTTTTGTGGCGGCGCAAAGCTGACGATTGAATCTTAGGCCTCATTCCAGTCGCACTATGTGCCATGTTGTCTTTGATGTCAGTAACAGCGCTGCTCGCATTCATAACGTATCGATTGATATCGTGGCGGCGCCATTATAAAGAATATGTTGGTTACAATCAATACGTCGTTCTCATCTACAATCTGCTGCTGGCAGACCTGCAACAATCGATTGCGTTTGCGATATCGTTCCATTGGTTGCGACTGGAAAAGATTATAGCGCCCACCGCGCCGTGCTTCATCCAGGCCTGGTTTCTGAACTTGGGCGACGTGGCAAGTGGTTTCTTTGTCCTGGCTATTGCAATACACACATGGTTGGGTGTAGTAAGAGGCTATAGACTCTCGTACGTCTGGTTCGTGGTGGTAATTCTCTGCATCTGGGCCGCCGCCGCGGCATTGACCATAGCCGGACCCATCAAGTTTGGGACCCGTTTCTTTGCCCGAGCAGGTGGATGGGTAAGTTCAAAGTTGATCCAAGATATAACCAGCTGACGGAGGAATAGTGCTGGATATCTACCGAATTCCAAGACGAACGCCTGTGGCTCCACTATCTATGGGTCTTCATTGTTGAATTCGGCACAATGGCTATCTACGGTCATATCTTCGTCCACCTGCGAGGGCGCATCCGCAACGTCATCCACAACGATGTCAGCAAACTGTCGAGAGCTACCAAATTCATGATCATGTATCCGGCAGTCTATGTGCTGTTAACCCTACCCATCGCTGTCGGACGTATGGTTGCTATGACGGGTAAGACAAAGCGTTCGCACCTCATGTAACCGTTCAGCTCATCGCTCGTAGGAACGGAACTTCCAGACGCATTCCTCTGTGTTGCGGGCGCCCTTCTAACCTCTTGCGGATGGATCGATGCTCTTCTCTACACTCTGACCAGGCGTGTGTTCATTACTAACGAGCTGTCCTCCGGAGGCACTCACAACCATACCGGCAATGTCACTGCAATTTCCCACAACGGTACAAGGCCCGGAGACGACTATGGACTCCAGACCATGTTGGATAAAGACAGGGTAGCTCCACCACGCTCTGTCACAATCGTTGGTGGTAGTACCCGCATGGGTCGGATCGTCGAACGCGGGCGAGGCCACATTCGGGACAAGCGCAGCCAGCCCGGTTCTCTACGAGAACACAGCCCTACTGGCTCCCAAGATTCCATAATAAAACTTAACACAAACGCGATTGGGATTGTAACCGAGACGGATATTCACATCGAATCGGCATCCAGCGATGAAAGTGTCCTCCCCAGACAGTTTGAGTCTAGAGAGAGGTCGAGCTGCGATATAAAGTAACAACAAACGGTACCTTGGTGAAGGTCCGCTCATGTATTCCGGTACCTTCAGATGACACTTATTACATACCCTTATATAATCTTCTCGCTCTCATTGTCTTTTTGTTCACGTCAAAACTTTCATAAGATACCAGCATCTCTCTAGATGTACGGCAAGCGGACAAGGAGGAGAGCCTTGTTCCTCCCCTGGGACTTTGGGTTCTTTGTAACGGCGGACATCGGAGTAGTATAAGGAGAGACTTTCCTCAGATACCCCTGCAACAATCTTCCTCAACATATGTATATACCCGCAGATTTAATGCTATCGTCCCAACAGCAGTACATGGTCCCTGCAGCATGATCGAACCATGCAAGTATATGCACCGCAACCAAACAACATCAGATACTCTCTAAAACCAAGATTCTCTTCCCGACTCTTTATTTTCCTATTTGCGAACTGCTCTGCACCGACCACAACCGCACGTCCCGCCTCCCGACTGGAAGGATTCTGACCTTGAGGCGTGAGCACACTGTCCCACGGAAACCTTCCAGCAGATCTGAGCGCCCTGACCTCCGCCACATCGATAGCGCAACATTCGGGAGATTGACCTTCAATCAAGCCTCAACCGCCGAGCCGCCTCCTTTGTCCCGTCCCAAATGGCGAATCGTCGCAGAAAATATAGTCTTGGCGACAGCGCCAGGCGTGCAGGTTAGGCGAAGACGGATGCCTTTCATTCGTCAACATCTCGCCTTTTGGCGATATGTTTGCTTTTGAGCCGGTTCGGTGGGGTTCATTACCTTTACACAGTAAAAAAGCGAATTCCAATGTGCTTGGCGAAAAAACCCCTGCCGCTCGTGAGCACTCTGATTACCTGATTAGGAAGGAATGTACGTTGTGGTGGAGATATGCGGTGTAGGGGCTTTCACGGACGGGCACGCGCAGGACAGGAGAGGAAAGTTTGCCAAGGTAAGGGTCCTCGCCTGGGTCCGCGGAGTGGGGTGGAGTGGTGTGTTGCAGGGGGGAAAGAGTGTTCCAGATTCACATCTGGGATCGACAGCGTCACTCCATGAGCCCGGCGAAGGTCGATGTATTGGTAGGTGCGCATCTGCGCATCATTTACGATAAGAAAGATGGCATGATCCTCGGAGACCAGGATCGGTGCATGGACAAATAAAGGGTGGACGATTGCTACCGGTCTGTCACACTCATGTGCTGTTTGTTTTTGTAAGCTAGGTAAAGGACACATTGTTGCATTGTGGACGGCGACCCTTGGGAATCGATACGAGTTGTCTCCTCACCGGAAATTGGGAACCATTCGACTGTTGACGGTGACATGTCATCTGCCAGCCAAAACGAGCAATCAGGACTGAATAACGCACCTTGTAGCCCTTGGCAACGCCTGCTGATCGGTACTCCGTAGAGAGACACCATTATCCTCACGGAAGACGCCATACTGGGGCATCCACCTGGTTGATTTCTGGTCCGTTTTCGCACTTCCTGCAAGTGTTGGGGTCACGCGGACTGAACAATAAAACAGCCAATACAGCGCGTCAATTGTAGGTCTGTAGTGGCGGAGTCAGGACAGCCAACATTGAATCCAGCTTTCGTACGTATCTGACCTTTTTCGAATGAGGAGAAGCATTTGTGGTATAAACTTCCCATGTTCATCGAGAGCTTCTCAGTTTCCTCTTAAGTTTCCTTCTCTAGTCTCCATTGTCCGTTCCTGTGTTACGCATTCTCCAAGTTTTCACCAATCCCTCAAGCTCGAATAAGTTGCGACTTGCTACCAATGTCATGAAGACGCAATCTGAACCGATATTTTCCCTTAAGTGCACGGCAGCAGATGTACGTCTATTCAAGATCGAATTCTAAAGGGAGTGATATCTCGTTCAAATACAACTTTTTTCCCTCAACCTTTACCAAAGTGCCCGCTTTACATGGGGTACTCGGAGGACTCGACCGCAGAAGACCAAGAACGGTATCAGTTACATCACGGAGCGGATCACAGCTTATCTCCGCCCAATCTCTACTGCCTTTCACTAGTAATTTGACTAGCAATTAGTGTTTTCTACTAGCAATTAGTGTTTTCTATGAATATTCTTAAACTCTGAATGACAAGCCATACAAGATTGTGTTAGCTGACGAGTCTCCAGGCCACCTATTACAGCGGTATCATATGAAGGATCGGAAGGTTAAGGGCTTCGGAAGTGTTGGGATATTTGCTGTGGGGTGAGCACAACGCCAGTTAAGCCCAAGTAGGGTCCCTCACGTACTGATCTCACCATAATGTGAGAGCTCACATGCGTAGAGGTGTTTGACTTTGCAACATCGAGCAGCTAGAGGTACAAGAACTTGTTCTCCTTTCGCAAAGGGGAAACCGTGGACTACATGTATAATTGGGGAAACTTGCTGCTTTAAGTGTCGTAGAAAAGCGCTTAGCACACAGAATATGTTGTACTCTCTAAGAACTACAATGAAATTTGCTTTTTACCGGTTTACTACGCAGCACCCTCCGTTGGAGCTCTTTCGTTTCCGTCTGCCAGGAATGCATTATTTCCTTAGTGTTCTCAGGCCTCAGCAGAGGCGTAAGACTCTCCACGCACTTAGCATCTATACTCAATCGTTGGAGCCTGTGTAGAGGTACCCCCGTGGCGATTTTGCTCTAGATGTTTCCCAAGATGCCATACATACAAAGTGCGTAGACTGCCTGAACGGAGATGGAAAACGTTATTACAGGAAGCCGAGTGCAGGAGGGGGGACTACAAAGGAGAGAACTACTACCTTCTCTCTGTTACAAATCATATCTGGTAAAGCTTTGCGAGACCCAACAGGCTGCTAGGAGTTTACCTGGAGTCGCTTTCTTTTTTGTTGACGACCAAGCAATAGTATGAGATTCTTAGCATAATCCCACCTCGCGTCTGGAGGACATTTACGGAGGAAGCACTGCTATAAGAAGTGGATATCCTACCATCATACGCCCGGCAGGGGCTCTTGAAATATGAAGGATGCGAATCGCAGCAAGTGGCTTCGAAGGACGCAACTTCGGAGTGACGAAATTAGGGGCACGGACCAGGGGCTCCGCAGCCTGAGGATCGACAACGCACGAGGCGACGTTAACGAGGCGTGCTTTAATCCGACTTCATTCCTTCACTTCATCTCACTCTCATCTGAACTGGCCGGAGAAGTTCTGGTGGGAACTTATTCAATCGATTATAGCGTCGTGTTCTACTGGAGAAACGATTCTTAACCCCCATCACCGTCGCCTGCCCTACCAAGCCCAACGTTCCAAGCAATCAGTTTGTAGTGTTGCGAGCAAACAACTCAGTGCGCTTGCAATTATAGCGATCTCGAGGTACTACTTTTCCAGTACCGATAAGTCATATCTTGCTTTTTGCCTCCTTCGGCGTGTCCCAAGCCATCAATCACTTTTTTCCTTTCATAGCTGAGGAAGCGGTTTCACTCGTCTGCTCCATCCTCAATCCTGCCCACCCCGAACCGAAACGACCGACGAACCTGGTGTCTTGTTGGAACAGGTCTCTATTCCCGCTTCACACTGATGTTCTATCACAGCCGCGGCTTCCGCATCTCTCATTCCGTTCTTCCATCTCTCAAGTTGAGCATTAGTCGACAAGGCTGTCGATTGCCATTCGTGTCGACGGTGTCGTGGGCGTCACTGGAGCTTTGCCATCCCTCTTTATAGGCCCTGGGTACGCCTGAGGATGCGGTAGATGTCGAGGTGGATTCGGCTGGATCTTTTCGCTTTCGAGTTGTTCGTCCTCATCCTCTCCAACAACCTCTTGCACCTCTCTCAGCCAGTTCGCCTTCAGCACTTCCATGGGCGGGTCGAGCCGGCCATTTACGTCGGTGTCACTCATCCTCCTTTCTCCGCGCTTGTGAGGATGAAAGTGCATCCGACGCAGATGACTTGCTGCGTTGTAGCACTCGTTGTACCTCTTGCCTGTCTGGCATGCTTTACAGTTTGCCAGGAACGATTTGTCGGGTGATGTGTCGACGGTTACCCAGACTGTACGGATCTTCTTGTGGACGCGGTTGGTGTGCCGACGCAGCTCGTGTTCACTGCGGAACCCATCAGGATACTCATTACAGATGGGGCATTTGAGACGAAGTACTCTTCTCGAACTCGACCGTCCTTGAAACGTTGGCGACCTCATCGATGTGCTTGTCGTTGGACTGTTCAAGACCGTTCTCATCGATGGGTCTTCTGTCGAACCTCTTTCGTATCCACTGGAGCTAACTGATCCTGACTTCTCGTTCACTGGCATTTTTGGCAACTTCAGGACGATGTTCCCAAGCGCTCGACGACGGCTCTAGTTTGAATCTTCAAGGCGGATGCGGGGATTGTCTTCTACCTCGGTGGGGTGATTATGTGATCATTCAGCGAACGACTTGGTTGCGCAAAGTATCAAAGATCAAGAAGAGACTTGATATCGACCATTTAGCGACCGGCTGCGGAACCTTCTTTCTTGGACACATACTCACCAGGGGATGAAACCGTCCAAATACCTTCTGGCTGGGGTCCCGGTCTCCGCTTGAAGGTGGAGGTCAAAGCGAGGCTGACGTTCAAGGGCTGAACTCAGCCTCGTTCCGACCGTCTTGGGTGACTGCAGCCACCACCTGAGAAAGCGAGCTGACGCACCTGATGGGTCGTGAGCCTCAGCCTGAGTGAAATCGACATGAGGCACCAATTACATCTAAGGATGCTACAGATGAGGCTTGCGATAAACTTGTTTCGTTTCACAGCCAAAAGCAACAGACGCTCCACTCAAGTTGACGACGGATTATCCCGTGCCTATGATATCGAATGCGAAGAGAAGGCTTCTGCTGCTCGGAAAGAGGGCTGCTGTGTTCACGGTTGAGTCAGGCTTGTCCCTTTTAGGTACACTAAGAGAAAGTCTCCACTTGTCTATTTTTACGACATCAGGTCCCGAGTCGCATTCTTCACCATGACCACTCATTCTTCACTTCGCACTTCTGCCTGGAACCAGTTGACAAAAGCACGCGGATGAAATTTCCTGAAACGCTAATGCCTCAAGAAAATCTGACGTACATTATTTCCCTTCCGTCAAGCATGATTCGCTGGGCTGGCCGGATGAAAAGTACCTACTATCAACTGTTGCCACTGAATCACTTCAAAGCCCACTCTCAGCATTTGGAAATGGCTCCCAGTCCAACTATCGATCACCAAGAATGTCTCAACGCAAAACATCTTCCAAACTCACCCGACAGCGGACCATGTTTCTCGAGAAAGAAAATGATAGGAGAAACATTCATGTACGGTCAATGCTGCAATTCCTCCGATACGGATACAGGCGTCAGCCCGGCGGCTTCCGGCTCCGAGGCTGACGAATACCATCACATCCCAGCCAGCCTCGTCAGCAGCTCGGAATGGCGCCTAGCTTTGTTCTAGCGTTGGCAAAGCGCTTGAACTTGCTGTTTGAGGGTTCCGTCTCGTGAATGCTTGAGAGGTTTCGCGTTGAATACGATGACGACGCAGGGACCAAGATTCGATAAACCGTAGCCATAGGATAGACTGCCCTTCGTCACGGCCACGGTATTCTCGAAACATCAATTCCTCATGATGATGGCCGGGTATAGGAGACCTTCTCCAAGAGGTCACTTTTTCCGGCAACACGTCAGTTGCCCATTGTTGTCGTTCTGGGACGCCTTATTCCTCATCTAAATACCTCGGACGAAAAGTCATGCATGCATGAAGGCCTTTCTTGCGACACTTCTGCAGCCGATCCTCATGAGGACTGCACATATTGTTGCTGGATGTTCTCAAGACTGCCGAATCCTGAGGCTCAAAATCGTGTCGAAACTCGGGATTCGCACTTGATATCCGGAGCCTGGCAGACCGAGCCCACCTTAACTAACATCTTAACTAACATCTACCTAGAACATCCCCCTCACTCTCCCTTCAAATCCTTCAACAACCTTTCCAGCAACCCTTCTGTAAACGCCCACACACTGGAACTATAATACGCACTGAAACTCCTGCCAGTCCACCACGTACTCCTATATCCCTGCAACGCATACAACCTCTGCACGAATCCCTTCTCCAACTCCTCCTTATCTTGTGTCGGCCACATTACCCCCGTATGATCTGCAAAAGCCTTGAACTCGACATCACAGCTTCCCGACCACTCAACTGTTCTTTGTTCCACCAGTTTCTGGATGTCCCCAGCAATAATTTGCTTCGCTTCCTCGACAGTGAGGGAGTAATTGGTAGAGAGGAGGGCACGGAAGAGACCGAGGCCCTTTGGTCCTGTACTGTCTAACCGCAGTGTATAGCGGTGGTCTCGCACAGCGAGATAGTCGGCCGGGACTGCGGCGGGTGCTATATAATCGATGGAGTAGTTCTCCGGTATGCAGGGAACCTTGAGGACGCCCACGAACGACGGAGAGACGATCCAACTCTCAAACACATCCTTCTCCTTCTGATTGACATCGAACGGCACCAGATTCCTGTCGAGGCTGGGATACGGCGTCCACAGCACGCGTTTCGCCTTCACAAGGACGTCGCCTTCCGGGGTGGCCACGACGAGCCGCACGCCTTTGTCACGGCGCTCTGCCTTCTTGATCCGGGAGCGGAGTAAAACGTCTTTCTTCAACACCTCGTACGCTCGCTGATACACCAGACTGTTCGACACCACCGGCACGATGAAGCCGCCCGCAATGACATCCCGCGTAATCGGCGCTCCAAACGCCACCACCACATCGATCGTCAACAGCTGCTTAAACCCTCCCGCACCGATGCCGGAAATGGCGGCAATGCGCGGTATAGAGGGCGCGATCTCCGGATGCCGGGCCACAAATTCACCAAAAGGGAGGAGCAGGTCCGACGGTATACGATCCGGCGATGGGAAATCCCAATACCCAGGGCCGTCGAGGATCGTTTCGAACCGTGCAACGAAGGCAAGCCAAGCCGCGAAACCCGCATTCGTAGCGTTCAAGCTCGGTGGCGTGTAACCCGTCAACCTGGCACCCGTCTCGATGTCCACGGGCACGCTCGTGAGTCTGCGCGCTGCAAAGGGTTTCGTCTCGACGCCGAACCTGGCGAAGAAGTTGGCGGCGGGGCCGTAGTTGATGTACGATTGGACGCCGTAATCGATGGGCGTGTTTGTGCTGGGCTCGATGTACGTGGATACGTGGCCCGAGAGGTGGTCCTGGGCTTCTATGAGGACGATGCTGGTGTTGAGGTCCTGGGAGAGGCGGACGGCGGCGTAGGTGCCGCTGGCGCCACCGCCGATGATGGCGACGTCGCGGGTGAGGGCTTTGGAGAGGGTAGAGGCTCCGTGGCCTACGAGGGCTAGTAGAAAGAGAAGGGTTGTGAGGAGGGATGGAGACGAGGTCATTGTGCCTAGCAGCTTCAATCCCCAGTTTGCAGCTGGACAGACTGAACGGTGCGGTGAAATGTCAGCGCATGTTCGGCGGAATAGCTCGAGTTTTTGTAGCTTGTAGATAATTCGAGTATATTAACAATTGTTGAGTGGGGTAGTGTACCCTTCGCATGATTTCTCCTTTTTCTCACCGTTGCATCTTTCGCGGGGTGAGCTCGCGCATAAGCGGGATATTAATTCACCTGCAGTCAAACTGCCGCTTGGGATCGATGCTGGGATGACGGGCGCTGCACACGGCCGTATATGCCCTGTATGCAAATCATGTGTGGATAATTCGACTAGTCCACCATGCTTTTCGATCAACAAGAATGTCTTCTGCTCGGTATAGTATTCTTATTATTGTACAAGCTATCTCGTGAATGAGTACGAAAGTAGTACCTTGAAACCTGTCCAACCGTTCCGACAATATGGAGCCATCAAGGTAGTGATGAGAAATCGAGTGTACAGTGAGAGAGTATTCGGTCTCGAAGACATCCTCTCTGCGATAACGCATGCTAGGCATGTGCTGACATGCAAGCGAAGCACTGCAGCGCATGAAGGGTTATACTGGCTGTCCCAATTCCCTCCCATCCCAATCACGTTCATCTACCTGGACTTGGTAAGGTTCAGTGATCAAGTTTACCATGACGTGCTCACATCGAAGTGGTGAAAATACGTTCGCTACCCTACGCAGGCCAACCTGCTATACGTCCTACCTCTTCCCCCTACCTCTTCCTCTTTGTAACCCTCGCCGGCATCCCTTCTCTCGGCTTCGCCGCCGCCAACAAAATCTGATACATCTCGTCCCCAAAGCACTCCTGCGGGCCGTCCAACCTCCCCTTGACCGAATTCCAAATCGATCCATCATTGCTCAGACTCTCCAACTCATCAAACGCCGTCGAAACGTCGAATTCGCGCACCGTCATGGCCAGCACCACCTTCAGCTCAATGTAGGCCAATTCCTGGCCGATGCAGTTGCGCGGGCCGCGCTCAAAGGGGCGGTACGCGTCGGGGTTGAACTTGTCGGCGTTCTCGGAGAGGAAGCGCTCGGGGATGAAGGCGTCTGGGTCTTCCCAATTGCGGGGGTCGCGGTGCACGGTGATGACGTTGATCCAGATGACGCAGTCCTCGGTGGGCAGCATGTCTCCTGTGACGGGGTCCTTGATGAAGTAATCCTTGCGTCCTTGTTTTACCCCCGAGGCGGGGGACCAGAGTCGCAGCACTTCTTTGATGACGGCGAGCAGGTAGTGGCAGTCGTTGATCAGGTACGGGTTCTGCCTCAACTGCTCGGCGACGGAGACCTCGGTGCCGAAAACGGAGTCGAGTTCCTGGCACACTTTGGCGAGAACGTTGGGGTGCTTCTTGAGGAGGGCGTAGCAGTAGCAGAGGGTGGAGGCGGTGGTGTCGTGGCCGGCGAAGAGGAGGACTTCGAGGTTGTTGATGGCGTTTTGGCGGAATTCGGCGTCCATTGTGGCGGTGCGGGAGTCGACGTCTTGTCCGTTTTCCTTGAAGTATTCGACTATGGCGAGATCGATGGCCGTTTTCTTCTTGACCTTTCTATCAGGGGCGCCCACTGCGAATCGCTCGTCCAGCATTCGGCCGATGTAGTTGTCCATCTTTTTCTTGTAGTATCTGTGCATGATGGCGCGCATGGGGTCTTAGGTTTATCATTAGCATGTGGACTTGTATCGCAGATAAGGAGAGAAGACAGTAGAATCAAGTGATTACAGTGAATGCGGAGAGCTTATACTTACTGTATCGGTCAAAAGGATTCAAAGTTTGCGTATCTGGCATCCAAGAAAGCGATTTCCGCATCGTCTTTACAAACTCATTGTCATCAGAGTGAAGACACTTGAAGTCGTGGGCGCAGATGGCCTTTCCAATCACATCTATCGTGATCTTCGTGGCCTCTTCCTCCATCCTGAAGAGGTCATTGTGGGCTGCGTGGTTATCGAGGATCCGCACGAATGCTGCCGCGCAGTCTACGATCATCGGTACCTTTTCAGATAAGCTAGGTTTCCAGTCCAGAGAGAATAAAACGTACCTGACTCATGAGTTGCTGTACTGAGAAGCCCGGGTTGAAGATTGCTCTCCATTTCTTCCACCGCAGTCCATCGCTGCAGAGAATGTTCTCTCGACCTGCCAGCGGCTCTACCACATCCAATAGAGCTGGATCCTTGTTTAGTTTGGCTTCACTGAGTTGATGCGCCGTTTCACTAGAATCAGGAGGGTCAACCAAGGTTCATCTGCGGCTAATCGACTGTGACGTACGGGTGCAAAACGACCAACAGTGGAGCCGAGACAGGGTAGATGTCCAGGTAGAATACTGGAGGCAGGTTATACTTCTCCCTCAGACTGTTGAGTGTTAGAATGCTAGCGATCGACGTTTGCCTTTGCAAGTATGATACGCACTAATGAGCATATACATGGGGATGGACTCTCTTGGGGAGAGCAGCAGCAATCTCGCCCATGACTTTCAGGTGGCCGAGTATAGGATGGTGGGGTGGTCCTGGCTAGAAGTGAAAGTCAGCTACGGTTGTCTTGAAAAGCCAGGTCACGTCCAAGTCCCTACCAATTTGCTAAATCTCCGTCGCATTTGAATGGTACGATAGACAATCTTGAGGAAGTAAGAGGTGACGACAACGGCGACAGCCGTGCCGAAGAGATTGTTGATCAGGAACGCCATGGTGGTGTTCCTGCACCTGCACCTCGACTCGGAGACCCAAATGCCTAAGTTGATGTCGTGGGACTTGGTTGCAGGACGGGGATGTTTGGAGAATTAAATAAGAGTCGCCAGCTTTTTCGTCAGCCTCGCGTGCCCATGCTTTCCATGGCGGGCAGGCGTCTGGCTGATATCTCCTACTGGACGGCATGAAGCTTGTTGGTGCTGCGTGCTGACGGGGCTAGGTTGCTAACACAGGGCTGGGAATCAGCCGAAGACTGAGTGCAGTTAGTGTTGGCCCCAGCAGACGCAAGGCGCTACATGATAGGTTTTGAGGCACGTCTTCAGTTGCAATCAAAAGGCCTCATTGGATCAATAATCTCATGTCGTTCGACGTCAATTGGAGATACTGTAGGGCTGGGGCGGGGCATTACAGAGGACGTATGTTAACGGAAAGTGTGAGGACAGTATAGGTCCAGTTGTATGTGTTTTCGTTATATTTCATGACCTCGAAGCGTGCCCAATATTACCGTCCTCTGATTGGGTGGTCAGTGCGAAACCATCGTTCAAGAGACCTGATTCCAGCTCAATCAGCAGAAACCCGCTCTCTCAGCACCCACCCATCAGATGGCAGATAGCCTTGTTGATGAAACGCCTCTTGTGGTGCGAGAATCTGGGTATGCTCGTCAAGTCGCACGGTTCTCGTATCCGGAATCGAATGTGGAGGATTTGAAACGTCCTTGACTTTTCAGTGTCAAGTGTTGTCGTTTCCGGTGCCACAGCCGGCCCTCAGTGAATCTTGGAAAAATTGACTGTGTACTAGCAGCCGCGCTTCTAACAACAAGATGGGCAGTTGCTAGAAATCGGTGATGGATATTTGCAAAGGCAATTCATCAACCGGACAAGAAATGTTCCTGAAGAATTGCCCAAGTGCGCCCACAACCGTTGGGCGCCTCGTGTTTCATCGCCCTAAGTACACACTTTGGGGCTAGCTGGCCCCGTGCCATGCCCGTCTCGGCGACTTCTGATTGGCTCTGCGAAAGTGTTTCCCCTGAGCCAACTTTCCATCAACGCCGTGCTCTCCCCTACTAATCACTCTTCCCCACTGCGTCCTTCGTTTTGCCCTCTCACTCATTATCGTTATTGCTTCAGCGCCCAGGCTTTGGCTGCTCTGCCTCCTCGGTCCTTGTCTCAGAAGCAGTCCTGGCGACTCCGTTTCCCCAGCTTCCGACCCCAATCCCAATCCCAATAATCCCCCCCGCATCTGTCGCTGTGGGGACCGAACAAATCGAGGGTCTCGACGCGTTTGCAGGGCGTGTTCCTCTCACCAGCTGATCCCGGCCATATTTCACCTTCACCCCCTTTTGCGCTTGCCGCCCACAATTTCGCCCCTTCACCCACACCCTGCTGCCAGTAGGGTCCAATCCGGCCCGGCAGCGCACCCGCTCAACACCCACTCCTGATCCCGCTCAAAATATGGCCAGCACCGCTACTCCTACGCGCCCTCCCGTTCCTCCTGTACCCCAAGACGATTCACCCGAACCTACGGCTTTGCCCAAGATCCAGACACCCCAATCAACCGGAGACCAGAACCCCCCTGGGCCCCGTAGGTCGAGCTTCAATTTTCTGCGTCGCAAGAGCTCCAGCGAAACCCGCGCTGGACAGCGCTCCGCATCCGGAGGCAAGATGAGCAAGAAGCAGAGGGCCCTCGCCCAAGAGGAGGCTTTGCGCAAACAACGAGAGGCTGCCATGCTCCCTAAGCAGCCACCGCGACTGCCCTCACACTCGCCGCTTCCTCAGATTGACAACTTTGGCGGCGACGACGGCCGTCCCGACTCGATTGCCATCATCTCCAACAAGGCAGGTGCTTATCCGTACCTGCACAACCCCAGCAGGCCGTCAATGGACAACAGCATGGGTTCGAACAGTCAAGCCACCGGCTTGCCGGGTGCCGCTCCCTCCTACATGGACTTCGACCCGTATCCCCGCACCGAGAGCATGACCAACCGCGGCCGTTACAGCTATGCAAGCAGCGCAATCAGCTCCGTCAATAGCCCTCGTCGCGTGAGGAGAAGGAAGGACCCGACGCCTTTCAAGTGAGCGCCCCCGATTTTGTACAGCACCTGCTAGCTTACTGACCTCGCTCACAGCATCCTTGTCATTGGCACTAAAGGCTGCGGCAAGACATCTTTCATTGAGTTCCTGCGCACAGCGCTTGCTTTGCCGGCAAAGAAGCGCCCCCATACCCCCCCGCCTCCTCCAACGGCGACAGAGTCTAGCTTCACCTCCGAATACCTCGAGTCCGAAGTCGATGGCGAACGGGTTGGCGTTACACTCTGGGACTCTGAGGGTCTGGAGAAGTCCATCGTCGATTTCCAGTTGCCTGCCATCACCTCCTTCTTGGAGTCCAAGTTCGAAGACACTTTTAGAGAGGAGCAGAAAGTGGTGCGAGCCCCAGGAGTCCGCGACACACACATCCACTGCGTCTTTCTCATTCTGGACCCGTCTCGCCTGGACACCAATCTTGCCGAAGCTCGTAAGAGGGCGAATCAAGGTCTCCTGGGCCAGGTCACCGGAGGCCTGGATGAGAGCCTAGATCTCAATGTACTCCGGGAACTCAAGGGAAAGACGACTGTGATCCCCGTCATCAGCAAGGCGGATACCATCACAACTGCGCATATGCGTTTCCTCAAGAAGATGGTCTGGGATACCATTAAGCGTGCCAAACTGGATCCTTTGGAGTCGCTTCAACTCACCGACACGGACGATGAGGATGATCTCCTGGACGAGCGAGACGAGGACGCTTATGTCTCATCCGATGTGGAAGACAAACCAGCTTCAAATGCCTCCTCGTCTCCTCGCGCTCCTTCTAAAGGGACGCCGCCCACCTCACCTCCAAGCGCTCGGAAGACGCACACCCGGAAGCCCTCCGCAATGTCCGCCTCGATCCAGAACGAGGATTCCGAGACCCCGTACCTCCCTCTCAGCATCATCTCCCCAGATCCTTACGAACCCGACGTCGTGGGCCGCAAGTTCCCTTGGGGCTTCGCAGATCCTTACAACCCCGAACATTGCGACTTTGTCAGGTTGCGAGAGAGCGTCTTCAGCGAATGGCGCGCTGAGCTTCGTGAGGCGAGTCGTGAGCAGTGGTACGAAGGGTGGAGGACGAATCGGCTGCAAAGAGGACCCGCCAGGAGGGTTGCTACTGCCGATGGCCCCGTTCGACAACAGCTTACCGTTCCCAATACCAACGGACGTGCTGCGAGCGCCGGCAGTCCGGATCGTCGTCAGGGTAGTCGACCATTCTGAGAGGGCCTCCAATTCCAGCGCCACACCCCCAACAGCCGTGCTGCCCTGTTTCTCCGTCACTGAGGATGGGCGCGTATAGAAGTCGGAACGGGGAGCCCAAAATGTATCCATCACCACCTCTGTTCTTTCCGACACCACCTGTACCCAGCCGTACGCCATCTCCTCTGTTTACTCGCCTGTATTCTTGTCTCTTGTCCTCGCATACTTATACCCTTCTTCTTCTCCTTCTTCGACGTTCATCCCATCACATCATGTAAGACCGAGACATGGCTGAGCAATCTCCGTTTCCCCTTTTCTTTCATTTCGATGCAAGCATCATACCCCCTTTGTACTCAGTTTCTAACCGACATCTGAATCCATCTCTCTTCTGTCTACTCGAACTCGCTTGAGCTGGAGATGTGCTCGACCCCTTGCGCTTGGGGCGGCTTGGAGTCGATGTAATTGCGTGGCTTGTGTGGCTCGAGTTTTCTCTGGTTGGCTACGTTACGTGTATGTATATGTTTGAGGCGGTGGTAGTCGCGAGTAGGAAGAATTCTTTCGTGCCAATGTGCCATTTTCCTTGAAGTGATTAATGTGTTGAGGGTCGAATCGGGTCGAGAAACAAGTTGGAGAAGAGGAAAACGAAATATTTGGCGCAGTCCCTTTGTTCACCCTGCATGCATGGCAAATGCTTCTGCACCTGCAGGCGACGTCCATGGGTTGGGAGACACTCGCGCACGTGACGAGTCTTCCTCCCAGTGCCTGTCCCGAGATCCACTTCCACTTGCACCTGGGCACCCCTACGTGTCCGTCAGCATGTCCCGTATGCAAGTACTCTATAATCAGGCTCCAAAACCAGTACACACAATATACCTTACATGCAGATGTGAATACAGTAGATTCAGTGCCGACCCCACCACCTAAGGCAACTCTGGCATCCCATTTCCTTAACATCGTGTATTACTTACTGGACTACTCTTTTCCCTTTCCTCCTGCGTCTCCTTGACGCCCAACTAGAATCGAGATCCAAGAATCCTGATCCAGGATATCAGAATGGTTATAAGCCGAAAAGGAGAAGAAGAAACAATATGCCATTGGCCACACGAAACCAAAACAAAACCAGACGAAACTCCAGACAGAAAAACAAAGAGCGCGGGGTATATAGATAGATAGATGTAGTGCCGCCCCAAAGCCCCAAGGCCCGGTATCATGTATGGAAAAGAGAGAGAATTCGAAAACAAAATGTTCCAAAAACACCTCGCTATGCCCATGGAAATTATCAATATATGCCAAAAATGCAATGTATGCATGAAGTTGAACAACAAGCCGCCGTGAATGATCGAACCAGGTCGGCGTTTCCCACAGGTCAGTCCAGTCCCTGACATTAGAATCAAACCATAATCTGAAGATACAACGCCAACGAGCTCGGACTTGATGACTTCGAGGATGCCGTGTCGTCCATACGCTCAGGGAAAGCTTCTTGCGGAATCCGTCTGTTCAGACTCGTCTCGTTCTGCTTCTCCCAGGTGCACCTCCAGGTCTCGTATCGTAGATCCCACTGGTGCATCATTCGTCTTCTCCTGGCCTGTATGAGCGCATCTAGCCGGCTGAGATCGTTGAGATGTTGCGTTTCCTCATCCCGTTTCTGCTGCTCGTAGCTGAGTTTCAGTTGACGCAGTCCTTCCTTTTGCTTCTCCAGCTTTATTTTCATGTCCTTTTCCTGACGTGCGCGGAGGACGTTGATCGCGCTTTTATGCTTGGCTGGGAGCTTTTGCTGAGTGACATGCTGCCGAGCGAGCTTTTTACGATCTTCATCGGTTACTGTGTGCGCGAGGCTAGGGTTTGCGGGATTCTTCCCCGAGCAGTATGCCTCCATGTACTTCAGGGCTGTTGCGACGTTCTGAGTCTCCTGGATCTGCGCCCTGCGGAGATCATGCTCGGCGACGACTTGGGATTCCTCCAACCGCTCCAGCTGGAGACCGTGCTACAGATGGAATAAGCTACCGCCGCGGAGACATTGTGCAGGCACTCTTACCTCTCTTACCATAGCCGCATGGTTTGCCTTGAACTGTACGGTAAGCCGCTTGATAGTCCACTTGTGATATGCTGACAAGGCTTGTCGCTGATGGGCTTCGAATGAGGCGACACGGCGGTACTGCTCCCTTTGCCGATTTCTCAAATCCTTGAAACCCTCATCCATGAAAGCTTTGCTGAACTCGGCATCGGGCTCGCTATGTGCTTCAGAGAAAGGGTTCGGATTCCTGAAAGTGGAGTGGGCCGCTCTGGAAGGTATCTGAGTTCCGGACAGCTCTATTGATGATGCGCCATCCTCGCTGTATCCGGAGTCCTGCGGGGAATTTGTCGTTGATGAGCCGCTTGTGGCTAGTATGCTTGCTTCTTCTTGCGTCAAAACCGTTTCTAAGACTGACGTGGGCAATGGCTTTCCGCAACAGTTAGGAGTGATTTGGTCCTTGGTATCCAGAGCGTCTTTAATATGCACTTGCACGGCATATCTGGACAGAGTATGACCGCACTCTAATTGGACACTCGCTGATCTACTATGATGGCTGTGATGTGATCGAGACGAGCAGGTACTGGGACTCGCAGTCAGCAATCACTATCAATGACCAGGCGGGTGCACTCACCTTGAATCCTTCCTGAAGATTGAGAAGAGTCCGCTCGCTCGCTTGAGCTTGCGGGGGGCCAACTTGGGTGACACAGAACTCCCATAGGGAATGGCGTCGGGAGCCGAAGCAGACGATTGATGACGTGCATTTGAGCGAAAGCGCTCCATCATACTATCGTAATAGTCTAGGGAAGAGAAGGAGGACCGCGGGGCATGAGATGAGGCGCGAATTGTTAACACGCCCTCTAACGGTGGGCCAGGGAGATCTCTCGAGGCTCGTGAGAGGTGCGATGTGACGCCTGTGGATTGGGTGTCACGGGAGTAGAGGGACAGGGAGCTCCTATGGGCACTCGAAGCACTCGTTGCAGAATCCTCTATAGCGGTCTGCTGGGTCTCGGCGCAAAGGAAACGATATGGATCTTCAATGCCAGCCTTTCTCGCCAGTGCAGCAAGACGTGCCTCCAGATCGTCTTCGGTCTCATTCGCGGGAAGCTCCAGGACCTCAGAGAGGTAGACGGCGTCGTCGAAGATGGGCGCCGTAGTTAATTCGGCGAGGATGTCGCCTGCATCGTCAGGCATCTTGTTGGTCCCTGGTGCTGGCAACGCTAAGGAAATGCTGGGTGAGAGGGAGGCTGGGAGATTCCTAAGAGGTCGAACATGCCGCGCCCACCACTGTCGTCAGTGAAAGGGAGAGGTGAGAGGAGAGAGGAGAGGGAGAAGGACCTCGGGAGAGGAGATGAAAAAGCAACCACCTTGGAAGGCCATGAGAGGTGGGACGATATGTGGGTTCTTACCTCATCGTCCCCCCGGTTTCCTGTTTCCCAAAGCGGTGGGCACATCCCGCGCGGCGCGCTTGCCCTGAAGCGAACGATCTTCTACCAATACTGTGTATGGGCGGCGCAACGATGCGAGCCACTCATGAGGCGCCGCATCCGACGACCATCCATCTACCAGGAGTGACTCCAACTCCCACCTCACAAGACACCTCACCAACACACCTCGCACCTCACCGCCGGATTGCATACTTACGCTGCCAGATTATTGGCAACGTCGACAGCACTAACTCTTCATGCAGCCACCAACTGCCTACCCCCCAACCTACCCCCCCTAGCCGCCGTAGCAGTGCTGTGCAGGTACGCTCCCCCCGGCCAAGAGGAAGAATGATTATCGATAACTGGAGATGGTTTCCCTGCTAAGCCCTTCACCGCCCTCTACCTCCCCCATCCTCGTGACTTTCACTACAGTACTTCTGTTTCGTACTTCCCGTATTCACCCCACCCCTGGCCCTCCCTCATCCCTTGAAAGGTGACAATATCCGAGACTACCGAACAAGAACCCACCTCTGCTCTCTGATGCTCTGCAAGGATAGTTACGCACAAGCAAAAGCAGAAGCACGACATGAGCGCTACTGTATCATCTTTGCTGCCGGAAGGCCATGCAGGCCAACTCTTGTCTCCTCTGCTGCTTCAAAGGTCCCTAACCGTGTCTGTGCCACTTGCAGTCCTTTTGTGGTTTTCGTACTGTGTTCTGCCACCTCCTAACCCCTGGCACATGACCCTGCCCGGTAAGCTGTAGTTTTCCACTGCTGCGAAAACGCATCTTGCTTGTACGAGTAGAAGAAGTAATCTGTGCTCACGCCGCCTCATGTGGTACAGGGTGCACGGCAGCCAAGATGCGGGACGAAACGATGCTCCTGGATGCATGCATCGTTTCTCGCTCATGTTGCACAGGACCCGAGAGTGACAACACATTCAGAGGTCGGGGTACGGAGAAGGCCATATTGAGACACCTGGCTGTTATTCCTCGGGGCTCCAGCCCTTAGTCTTGACAATCCAATCACCTTGCAGACAAGATGGGTCTGTAACGAAGAAAAAGGCCAAAATGTGGGCCTTGCCAGACATATTAAAGGGAATAAGCGGAACACCGTCTTTGGTTCCTGTACCAATACTTGCAGTGAAGAAAAAAAGGAAGGTTTAGTGATACAAAGCAATGCTCGCTCGCCAAAAGTATGCAACGCCTGCATAGGTCTGCAACGCCATAGAACATACCCGCTGTCCTGGGTCTAGGAACGCCACTCAACGCCTTCAAACCTGCCAGGGACAGGACGAAGCTCTTATCCAGCAATCAACACCCACAACAGGAAGACTGGATACGTCAGTGACGAATCTGCGAATGACAGCAATCAAACACTTACATATCATCAATACACCAAACATCTTCGCTACCAACCACCTATTCCCTTGCACGCGATTCCAGTACTTCATGAGCTCTCGCTGGGCGCCTTCAACATTGTCCACCACATCCTCGGTGTTCGCGTCTATGCGCTCAATCTGCTCGCCTTGTTCCGACACCATCTGTGCTAATTGACTGAAGATGCTTCCGAGCTCATTGATCGTGCTTTCAATTGACTCTATCGCCCGTCCTCTTTCTTGGATATACGAATTCTGAGGCTGTGCTTCTTCCATGAGCAGGAGTTGCGCATCCGACTGTGGTCCCGCACGCATCAGAGCCGACGATCCCGAAGGGTCCAAGGAAAGCAAATCTTGCTGCGCCGCACTCGTGGTCTGAAAACCCGGAGAACGGCCTCTTTGCGGCGCCTGATAGAGCGGCGAATCCGTCCTCGTCGGGTCCATCTGCGCCTGCGAATGGCTCGCGGCGCTAGACACAAATGCCTCTGTCCTCGACCTCGAGGCCTGGATGTTCTTCGTCCGCACCTCCAGCACATCCTTGAAGTTGACCCCAACAGCTTGCACCTTCTTGTTCAACATATCCACCACCTGGTGATTATGCTCCCCCTCCTGATCAACACCAGGCTTTGTGGGCGGATGCTGCTTCGCCGTCAACGCCTGCAACTCCCTAATCTGGCCCGTCAACGTGGCCAGATCCTGCTTAATCACAAACGTGAGCTCGTTGATCTCGACGGGCCGATCGTCAAACAGCGTCTTCCGCCTCGCCAGCTGCGCCAGCCGCTCCAGCTTGCCCATGGTCGCGCTAACGCCGCGGCCAATGTCTGCGGCGCGGCGCGCGAATTCGGAGCGCTGCCGTTTGGTGGTGGTGCCATTTGAGGGGGACTTTTGCGACGAGGTGACGAGGGATTGGCGCGAGGCGAGGGGTTTGGACAGGGCTTGTTTGCGTTGGGCTTGCGCGAGAATGGCGCGGAATTCTTCGGTGCGGTCTTGGATGGAGACGGCCATGGTGGGGTCGAGGGTGCGCCCGTCGAGGGCGAGGGCGAAGGCGGAGGATTCGGACGGACGAGGCCAGGCGGCGATATGCAGTATCCTGGAGTCGTGCTGGAATTCGTGGGTTATGGTATGTTTCGTAAGGAGGTTCGGCTAGAGGGGCAGACGGCAGAATGTCGTGAGAATGAATGGGCCGGAAGGTGTGTATGGGAGACGGTTGGAGCTGATTCTAGGAAAGTGGTTCCTTTCAGGGAGAAAGCACCACGTTCACTTTCACTACGCCGAGCCGCACTTGGCGTGGCGGCTGTCCTGTGGCTGGACCAGGGTGTGGCGGGGCAGGAAATGCCGTCCATCCTCAGTTGCTGGGCAATCGAGTTGGGACGTGGAGGGATGATACAGCATCTTGGAGAGAATAGAATTATTTCCTTTTCATCATTCCGTAGTCTTTCGACCTTGAGCATATGGTTCTCTTGCATCAGTCTTCTGGGTGTGGTGCTCCTAATGTCTACAGGTTGTTCGTTCAATTGCCCGCCGATTGACCCCGGCTTGCCCGCCTCGTCCAACTCTTGCCGCGACACCTCACCTCATCTCAAACGGTCCAACATAACCGCTCCACTCACTGCATTGCAGGCTGCTTGATACCTTTTACCACACAAACGCATTCTTACGCGGGACCCTCCTGCAAAACCCTCGCTTCTCCGCCGCTTCTCTCGTTACCGCAAACGTAAATTCGTCTTCAACACCCCTGTCTATGCTTCATTGCCTCAAGCTTGTGGACTAAGGGCGTCGCCCGCACCAAGCCGGCCCTTTAAGAACAGCGCCTCACGAGGCCATAGAAACTATGTCGGGTCCCTACAGATTCGAAGGCGAGTCCGCCAGATCCCCACTGTACGTCCCACCCCATCTTCTTTCAAACTCCGCCGCATTGATTGGACACTGACATCATCCCCTAGGGACCGGACGCCCCAAAACCTCTTTCCCGCAGGACAACCCCCTTCTTTCAAGACGAATGTTAATCGCATGAAGACGAAGAAATGGGTCGAGGCTAAGAAGAATGCATACGACGGCGACGACTGGGGCGAATACGACGAGTTTGATGAGTACGGCGTGGCAGCGGATCCGGCTCCCCCGGTACCTACGGGGTATCGGCAGCCGGGACACGGGCTGGAGCAACCAGGTAGAAGCTTTACGGATCCCCAGCAGGCGAGGAATATGGCTCCCATGGCGCGCAGGAACTCATTTGAGGCGGGGGAGGAGAGCAGGGCTTTCTCCGCTACGTATCCGCAACAAGGAGGGAGTAGACAGGTCAGCGGTGCTCAATCGGAGGTTAGCGATACGCCGCAGCATCGGAGAGACTTCAGTCCTTCAGCGATGCCGCAGCCGCTTACGACACGTTTGGCTGGACCGCAAACGGGCCCTGAGCGCACGGCTTCGCCTGCTGCTATGTCTCCAACTAACACGGATAAACCGCTGCCTTTTGTTAGGCCGGCGGATATCTACAGGCGCATGGAGGAGGAACGTCAGAGGGAACGCGCTTCTTTGGAGGGTTCACGGCCGAGCGTGGAGCTGCGAGAGAATGATGGCCAGCAGGCTCCAGAATCTGGCCATCCTGGAGCGAACAACACCACCACCGATCCTCCTGCAGAACCTCAAGCGTCGACGACCATTTCCGCCCTCAACAGCGATTTCGCTGGACCGCAGTTGCCTGCTCTTGGGAACGTGGGGCAGGCACCGGCGCAAACAACCTCACCAGATGGTGACCACAATCTCCGTGCTGTAGTGGATCAGGCATTCACAAGGACGGATGACCAGCGATCTATGCCGCCCACTCCCATATCAAAGCAATCCGAATCCGATTTCTCGAGGAGCAACACTACCAGTACCACTGGTATCAGCCCGATTATGAGCCGCGTCCCAAGCTCCGCTGCAGCAGCAATCAAGCTTCGGAGTGGGGCCGAAGGTAGTACACCCGCCATTGCCGAAGAGCCCAGTGGAAGCAACACACCTGAATCCCGGCCAACCTCTGCCTCGATGCCAAGCGGGGTGAACCAGGTTCCACAAACGCCACACTCTCGAAATGTTTCGAATTCGTCCATACCGCAGACTGGGATGGCTACTCCAGGCTCTGTGGAAAATGTGCGGTCACCCAAGATTGAGCCGTTGAGAGTATCTTCCAGGCCTCAATCTGCTATCATTAGCTCCACGCCAGGTTCACCGGAGAGCGCCAGAGCAGAGTTGCACACGTACGCTACCCGGGAGGCGGACATTGCCCACGCCATGCGGAGTAGTCCGGACAAGGCCGTCTCTGACCTCGGAGCAGCAGAAAAGGAGTCTCAAGCTGCTTTCCTGGAAAGACACCAAAGCACACACTCCCCCACTGAGGCGGCCATTCCTCGGTCACGCTCAGAATCACCCAACAAAGGTCGCGTTCACGAATTGGCTGGGAAGTTTGGTGAAGTTACGAATTCCAGGCGCGGGTCCACGCAATCGAACCTGTCTGTCCAGTCATGGGAGCGCAGCCGAGAGAACTCACGCCCAAGTTCACCTACCAAGTCCGAATTGCCCACCGAGAGACCTGTTGCCACGCGAGAAGCCAGTTTCCGGCCCAAGCTGCCGGGGCAATGGGAGTCTTATGCTACGTCTGTTCCCACTCCGTCTGATCAGGGCGAGAAGCGTTTGCAGACCGAGAACGTACCTCAGGACGGCCGTACATCGTTACCATTAGCCGAGGTGGATCTTGCTCCCACAACAGCAAAGTATCCTGTGGCCAGCCCGCCTGAGCCGGAAAAGAGCACCGTAGAGTCGCTGACTACTGATCCGGTTGCAGCCCTGAAAGCTGCGGGTGCTGCCATTGGTGAGGCGATCCAATCCTCCGTTAAGGGGGCGGAGGGCTCGCCTGAGAGTAACGCAGCCATAGCTAGGGAGAAGAGCGCAGAGCCGCCAGCTGAGTCCTCTGGTCAACAACCCACTCCGGTGAGACCAACAATGCTACCGAAACTTAGCACACAGCCGTCCGAAGATGATCAAGAGAGTGACAGACTTCACAAAGAGATCGTCGCAAGCCTCGGTCCTCCTCCCATGGAGGCATCACCCCAGCAGAATCGTACATCCTTACAACCTAACCTCACGAATACTAATCGCGAAAGTTCTATCCTTCCCAGCGAGTATGACAGCTACTGGGACGATAGAGACGCTTCTTCCCCGCAGCGTTCCCAGGCCGCCCCCAACTCAGCGGAACAGCCACATCCGTCTTCCCCTGGATTCACCTCTGGCCCGACAAACCCAGTTCTTTTGACCAGATTCAGCTGGGAGGATGACAAAGCAACATCTGCGGAAGAGCAGGCCTCAGCGGGCGCAGTCGCGGAACTAGCTGTGGGTTCACCAGACGACGGTCCAGCTGCGCAACAGGTGCATGAATCAGCAGGATCTGAGCGTAGTTCGCAAGTTGCCCCAGAACCATACTTTGGCCCTGCCCATACCGCTGCGAGTTCTCAATTCGAGCCATTGGGCGTGTCCGAATCCACCGAGACTGCGCTTACGCCCTCAGTCAGCCTGCCCGACCAAAAGGAGGGCCTCGCGGAGCCAAAGTCTCTCCGAGAGCCCTCGCCCACGTCGGGGCTGCATGTCGTCAACTCAGCGGTAAATCCAGAAGCAGTGGATATCCCACCACGCCTCAGTCAGGAAGGAGCAACTACCCGGGATCCGCCACAATATAACCAGGCAGAATCGCTAGTCTCAGGAAGAACTCAGGATAGTAAAGTCGCGGAGCCAACACAGCAACATCCTGCTGCCCTTTCAGCTGCGATCTCGGCTTCCGCGCCAAAGTCCCCAACCAGTGCCAAACCCCTAGGCTTCCGAGACATCCTCAACATCAAGTCCGCATCGGAGCGCATCCAAAGCTACAACAAGACTCGCGACTACTGGGCGAACGCGGATCACGGCTTGCATGACTGGATAACGCGCGCAGTGGCTGCGAATCCGAACCTTGCCAATGGACCTGTAGCTGCGATCCCACCCTCTAACCCGACTGTGCGACATAGACACACGGGCTCCCTGTCCCTATTCGGCAAACAGCACGGCCATAGCAGCAATCTCAGCCAAAGCCAACTCGCATCGTACAGCGACCCCAGCAGTCCTGGCGGTGCCAACGCTCCCGTCAATGCGGGCTCTTCGACGACATCAGCAGAGGGTCGGGATCGAAGCTCCAGCGTCGCGAATCAGGGCCACCATACCGGTCTGCACATACACGCCAAGGGGAAGGACTTGTTGCATTCGGCGGGGTTGCTGGGCGGGAAGGGTGTGACGGGGGCGAAGGGGTTGTTTGCAAAGGGCAAGAGTCGGTTTAGTCGGGGTGGGGGTGATAAGGTAGAGAAATGATCTCCTCTTCTGCTCTTTTCATTTTTCTTCTTTGATTGATGATGACGTTTAAGCCGCTGGAGGATGTGTAATGGCCTTCTTTGATTGGGCGTGTTTTTGTTAGGCGCTGCTCGGAGAGGTGATGATTTTGTCCACCCTTTTCTTTAATCTCTTTTCGTTTTCCTTTACAACACGTTTGCGGTGTGTGAATGTCTGTCGGAATTATTTTATTTTCATCATCTCTATACTGCTCGGTAATGACAATGTAAACGCTTTTTTCCCTCCCTCGGACAGTCTTGCGGTTTAAAAATTTGATGGTACGAATGTTGATTCGTGATGTAGGCACCCCAAACACCAGCGCCAGATGCACAAGCAACACCACATGCACATGGACAATATCAGCCCTTGGACGACAGCCCCGTCGTCCACTCGTCGGATCCGCAAGTAGACCCCGTCCCGACTCCTCTGCCAGCTACTCCACCGTCGTCGTGCTCAAGAGCTGTGTCCGAGGAACCGGACGAATTCGTAGGGGAGAAGAAGAAGAGAATGAGGAGGTTCTCGTTTGCCGCATCGCCGTTCCATCATCTTCGCCGGAGAGGGAGTAGTAGGTCCCGGTCGAGACCGAGTAGTGTTGTTGTGGTGGGTGCTTCGCACGTGCAGCCGGGTTTGGATTCCGGCATGGGAGGAGAGGAGGGGAAGGACGAGGGTCGAGTGTCTTCGTATCATGGGCCTGTGGAATGGAATGTCGATGCTGATACCGTCTCCGGGGCTGGGCCGGGAAGGTCGCAGCAGGGGAAGGATAGGGTAGCTGAGGGGTTGTTGTTATTGCCGCCGGAGAGACTGGGCGTGCTGCCTAGTCCTGCGAAGAGCGTGTTTGAGGATGGGAGGTCTGGGGTGGTGAGACGGGATGGGGAGAAGGGAGAAGAGGTGTTGAGGAGTGTGGTTAGGAATTCGTTGGTTGTGGGGGGTTGTCAGGAGATGCCTGAGGAAGAAATGCATCAGGGAGAGATGCCCCGGAAGTCTGAGTATCAGAACAGTAAAGAAGTTGAAATGCACCAGATCGAATTAGCAGATCAGGGCGGAGGGAAGATGGATGAGGTCGAGTTGGGGATGGAAGAGAATGATGGGACAGGAGATGCGGCTTCGACAACCCTAAGTTCTACTGCGGATACTGGAAATGTGGAACAGGATGAGGAGGAGGAGGGTCTAACAACAACACCTACCTTTAGCATGGCCATCCCTGGAGAGTCTGGAGATGACAGTATGGAGACGCCTGTTGCACTTGGTCTCCCGGGAGACCCGAGGATGCTGCCGGGAACGGATACGAATGAAGAAGACGGAGATGAGGGTAGAGATGCGCCGTCGAAAGTGGTAGAGGATACGAATGCTGCGGCTCAGAGGCAAGGCATTGAAGACTCCTTCGAGGCAACTGCACCTGCACCACAACAGAGTGCATCCGATGCAATAGAATCTCCACCGTTGGCAACCGCAGAATCATCGGAGTCTGCCGCTTTGGATGTCGATGGACATGGTACTTCTTCTGAGATGTCGCTGAACAGTCCCGAGAGTGGGGACGCGGAGAAGACTTCTCCTGCTCATGGAGACTATTTCAACACTGTGGAGTCCCAACAACGGCAGGGCGTGTTCGGGGACGCGGAATGCGTGCCATCAACAACAAAGGTTACCGCTCTAAATGTCGAGGTACACCCTGCTTCAGGGGGTTTGGTAGAGACCCGGGACGGTTACCCAACGCCTGTAGTCAACTCCAACACGACCAAATCCCACCTCCAACAAACGGCATCCGAGGAAGGAGAATCCAAACCCTCGACAGCAGAACCATTCATCAACGTCAAACAGACGTTCACAGAGTCGCCGGAGCTGACCCTAAAACAGGCAACTTCAAGCGAGATTGCCGGCCCCCGAACACGTGAGCGGCTGACTGCAGAACCCCGTCCTCGCCTCTTGTCCGTCTCCCTATGTCGTGCATGCGGTGCAGTTGGTGCCCTCGCAGTCGCAGTCATCCTTTGAATCATGCGAGTTCGATAGCATCGTTGCGCCGTCGCAGTCTGATGGCAGTCAATTGGGCGATCGATTCGATGAGAAAACAATTGCCACCGAAGGGAAGACGCAGCAGATAGCCGCACCAACGATGGATTCGCGTGCCGCCAGCCTGATGCAGCGCGGACAGCATCCCGTAGGTCACCCCGGTTTGGCTCACCATTCGACCATTTCTGGTATTTCGCGAGAGAATTCCCATGTTGGCCATCCTCCTACATCAGTCATGCCTTCAAGCCAAGCCCTGCATTATCATCACCATCCTCCCCTGCACGCGAATCCCAGATCAACACCCCAGGCTCCAAACCACACATCCAACCAATCCCTTCTTTCCGCCATCTCCTCTGCCGTCTCGGTCGATGGCTCCGCCATCTCTCCTGCATCAAGCCGCGCAGGCAGATCCTCCAGACCTGATAGTCGGAGTCGCCAGTTGCAGCTCGAGGGATCCGCCAAAGTGTCGCCTGTCACACCAGTCATGACTATTGAGGAATCATCGCCTGTCGAAGAGCAAGTTATTAAACCGCTTGCAAGGCCTGCCTCCAACGACAATTATGATCTCTATGCTGACGCGGATGGCGTCGTCATTGTGGATGGCAGAGAGATGCAGATTCCACTGTCAGCGAGGGGAGAGGGCGTCTCACCGTTACCCTCTGCTCCTCCTTCAGAAAATGGAGGAGACGAAAGACTTACCACTGCCGATGCTAATGAAGAGCCAGCAATTACCCCGGCTCTGGAAGAGGAGGAGCCGAGATATAGCGTCGACCGGCCCATGAGCTTTATAATGGGGCCTAGGGACGAAAGCGGGAGACCTCAAGATCAGATCAACAGTGAGAGGTCGGTGTCGAACCAAGCAGTCAACGGTGTTCGGCAGCAGTATGGTGCGGGATATGGCCCGCCCCTACCACCAAGCTTTGCGTCACGCCCATCACAGGCCATACCTCCTCAACCACTTGCTCATCGGCAGTTTTTACCTGGAACCATGGCACAGAGAGAGGCTGTGAATGATCCGAGAATGAGAGATCCTCGCCAACAGCACCCCCAAAGCCAGCGAATGCAGCAAAGGCCTGTCCACGCACATGATCCCCGTACGGAGATGCAGATGCAGATACGGCAAGCCAATCCTCCGATGCAAAAACCGGCCATCAGACCACAGCCCGCGCCAGGGAATCAACACGATACTCAACCTCAAGCCCAGAGCCAGCATCACCAAATCCCCTTTATACAGGGAACCAGAATACATCACTTCGGTACGGCGCCGTCAACCTCCGAAGAAAAGCCCTCCAAGTCCAAAGTAACCTCTCTGTTCAAAGGCCTGGGGAACAAAACCAGTTCGAGCCACTCTCAAGCTTCCCGCATCCCCGGCTCAGTTCTCGATGCCCCTGAACTCACCAACCACAAAGCCTCATTCCTGGCGAGCTCCAACGGTCTACTTCCAGACCAAGATGCGTTGAAGAAGAAGAACAGAAGGTCTTTTGGGATTCTGGGTGGTAGACCTGAAAGCGTGGGTAGAGAGTCCCACATTTCCCATGCTAGCCATGTCAGCCACGACAGCATGAGAGTTCAGGCCACCGATTCACGGCTTGATCTGCGCTATCCGGCAGACCCGTCGCCTTTCCAGGGTATACCCCCACAGAACCCGCCACCTGTAGAGAATGCGGAAACTGGAAAAAAGAAGAGATTCTCTGGGCTGGGGAACATCTTTGGTCGGGGTTCGAGTGGGAGCTCCGCAGATCCATTGAAAAACAAGTTATTGAAGGAGGACAAGAAGAATCAGAAGGCCCAGAAACGCAATACGGCTCCAGCAACGCAGGTACCCTCGCCGCAACAATGGCCTGGTCATGCTCAGCAACAGGGTATGCAATTTGGACAACCTTCGCTAGCTCGATCCTACACAGGAACGAACGGAGCGCCACCTCAAGCGATGTCGCTTTCACCACAGGCTAGGTTGCCCGCTGAAGAGATCTATCAAGGACGGCATGCCAGCAACCCGCTTCCCGTATATCCGCCACAACAGCATCAAAACCCAAGTCAGGCTCATAATCAACCGTCTCATAACTCTGGGTTTATGACCACCAAACAAATGGCTCAACAGGCGCGTCTGTCATTGCGAGCCGCACCTCCATCTTCCGGACACCCTCCAGTAGGTGTGGCCGAATATAGTCAGAGGAAGCCAGAGCACCAACATCCGCCGACTGGCTACTTTAACCCTGATAAAAAGCTGCCTTCACTGAATGAGGGCACCCCAGCGAATTCCCTTGGTCGCACTCCGCCTCCTCAAGGACAGACTATGCATAGCCAGCCCACAGCATACAATCGCAGCGTCTCCTCGCCAGTCATGACGCATGGTGCTGTGAATCACGACTTCAACCGCCAAACACCTCCAACATCCACTGAACCCAAGTATGAGACTCCTCAGATACCAGCCGCGTATAAACACGTTTCCGGGGCGTATGTTGCGACCGGCTCTGAGCCTGCTGCCGTCGCGGTGCAATCTCCTGCCACAGACGCTCGAAATGCCGCACCTTTTCCGACACCACAGCCAGGTATGGGAGGTCGCCAGTACTCCGACCCTCGCATGACGCCTATCTCGCCCCAGATCTCTCAGATATCGGGGCGATCGCAGATGCCTGTTGCCCAGCGTACACATTCCGACAGCAGCGTGTCTGTCGTATCTCCGATTACGAGTCCGTCGCCCACAGTGGAGCCCGTACAGAGTCCGCCGACGCAGCGGCTGACACAGCCGCGGATGGGCAGCATAACGGAATCTCCACGCCGTGAACGACCTGGCAATCTAAATCTGCCATTCCGACCATCGGATGAGGAATTTCTTCGCATGTATCAGAGACAGCACATCGAGCAGCAGTTGGCGGCTCAAGAACGACTGTATACTGAGCGGACTGGCCAATCTCCTTCACCTCATTCATCTCGCCATACTGCATCTCCTAGACCTCATTCCGCCGTCGAGCCGCAGCCTCCGCAACCTGCACCGAGTTCAGTGCAAGGGGGCTTTAGGGAGGTGCTCCCTCGTAACGCTGCCCCGCCGCATCAGGAATTGACACAGGTTGTCCAGGAACAGGGGCAACCGCTATCACATCCAGCCTCTACTTCTCAACATCTGCATCCAGGTCCAGGTCCCTTGGAGCAGGCGTCAACGCCCGCTGTATATCCGCCACCGATGTCGCCAGATGATGCACAGAGTCCCTTGAACGTTCCACTCAGTGCCCATCCGCCGCCTCCTCCACCCAAAATCCCCCACAGTCCGATGCAGCCTGTTTTCCAATCCAGCCCTTCACCTCATCTTCAAGCGCAGGAACGGATAGGCCTACAACCCACCTTGGGACCACCCGACCCATCTCACCAGCAATTCGCCCACCCTCAGCAATTCTCCCCCGACTACAGCGATGCTCCACCCCCAGACGAGCCACCGCCGTATGACGGGCCGGCCCTCCCACACCCAGGCATGGACGACAAATCCGCCGACGCCACCAGCCCCAGCAGCCGCGCGCCGCGACCGCCCAACATCGTCACCAACGCCCCCACGCTTCCCCGGACTGCACACCCACCTCGTTCTCGCCAACCGTCGCTCGGCATCCTGCAGCACCCGCAGCCGGCGTCCATGGCAGCGAGTCCGCAGCGCAGCGCGGCGGACATGGGAGCTGCGATGATGATGCGGCAGCTCAGTGCGCAGGAGGAGGCGGAGAGGGCGGAACGGGCGAGGAGGGCGGTACAGGAACGTGAAAAGCAGGAAAGGGAGAGGGTGGAGAGGTTGCGGAATAGGGCGCGGGCGGAGGAGTTGGAGAGGATGGCCAAGGGTGGGGGTAGGGTGGGCAGTTTGCGGGGTGGTGAGGGGTATGTGGGCGGGAGGAGTAATAGTAGTAGTGGAAGGGCTGCGGGACCTGCTGTAGTAGGGACAGGAGCAAGAGAAGCTGTACATCACGGTGTGGCTATGTCACCGGGCGGGATGGGGTGGGAGAGAAGGGGAAGTGTGGCGAATAGGCAGGTATTTGAGCTGCCGGCTGAAGAGGACGATGAGCCGGTCATGCGAGCGACGAGTTTCCCCGGCATGGAGTGGGTGCCGACTGTCACGGAGGACTGAGATGGTCAAGTCTGGACCACAATTCGCGACGCCGATGGGATAGCGACGGATACCCTCTATTTCCCTTTCTCTCCTTGTATAGTTTGTGTTGTCAGTCTGGACTTTTGTCTACACAGCGCTGTTGGATGCTGGCTGGTTGGGCGTACTGGATACCCACCTTTTCCTTGGTATATGTGAGTGGATTGCTAGATGCAGATATTTTCGATAATAGCTCGATTAGCTGAAGAGCGGTATATGTATGTAATCGAGTCTGATGTACTAGACCGATCAAGAATAGGACGGAGAAGTTTACCAGGATAAACCAGAGAATGCACGTTACTCGCGTCAGCATTCACATCGCTACCTAGGTCAACGAAACAGCTATCCCAGGGTACATGAAGCGATCAGCGTTCTACTTTGCGCGAGGCTTCAGTCTCTTCGAACTTGACGTTCACGACGAAGTTGAGATGAGATGGAAAGCGGATCTAAGCTAAACCACATATGGACTAGCGTAATGTGGAGGTTCGATCTGAGATTCCCGAGCTCTTCCCCATCCCACGATCTCACGTCACGTCTTACAAGAGATCAACAAACCCAGGACTGCATCTCGCACCCATCATTATTGCGCGCTTCAAACCACAGTAAGCGCAACCCTCCATATCGAGGTGGTATGCGGGCCTATACCCCACGTCGACCGCATGTCCGGACCGGCGGCAATGTAGTATCACGAGAGTGAAGATTTCAAATAGGTGCAGATGCATGGAGACTACAAGGTGAATTATTCCTTTCATCTGGAGTTTGATTAGTTGTCCCTCTCCGTTCCTCCCTTTACACAGTACTCCGTTATTAATCAGACCTCTCTGACTTTTTATAGCACTCGTTTGTCATCGTTGTTTAGCGTCAGGCACAGGAACATTGCGGATGGGATGACGTCGCATTCTCCCCCGCAGAAAACGATGGGACCAGGGAGAAGAGCCAGGTAGAGGCAGAGCAATGGCACCATGATTTGTCACCACGGCCGGGAGGGTAGCAGAGAATTGCCTCTCCTCGAAGCCGGCCGCTGCAATTGGTGGTGGGCGAAGCAGAGCCTTTATGTAGGCCCATTTGGGTTTAGCGCGGATCACGCCATATGATGCCTTCACAACATGCCCCGAATGTGGATTTCAAAGGCAGTGGGGAGGAGCCGATTTCGCTGGTGGGTATATACTCCACCGAGGGGGAGGGCTTTCCTCTCCGTCCTCTCCAGTCTCGTCTTCGCTATATCCAGCCGTTGGCCTTCTTTTACCCAAGAGGCGCAAGGAAAAAAGCAATTGTACAACTCTTCCTCGATCACTGCCTCCTCCTCATCCATTGCACGTGCCTTCTGTGCCCTCCTGGCGTCTACGAAGCACACGACCACCGTCAATATGTCTAGAAACTCTTATGATCTGTCTCAGTCTATCCACGACGATGAATCCGGTTATGCATCGGCATCGTCGAGCACCGAGAGCCTTCCCGAGGTCTACTTCAGCAAAGCTCATCTCAAGTACTTGAACGCTCAACTCCAGAAGCTCGAGCCTGAGGGCATGTCCATGTCTCGCTACCCCTCTTTGATGCTGTCAGCTAACGATATTTTCAGACATTCTTCGTTGGTGTGTCACTTCTCTGCCAGGACTCTACCAGACCACTGCCTTTGGCCTCACCGGCCTGGTAACACTGGACATGCTTTCCAAACTCTCTGGACCCATCAAGCCCAAAGTGGACCTCATCTTCCTGGATACTCTCCATCATTTTGACGAGACCCTCGCCTTGGTCGAAAAGGTCCGCAAGCGATATGGTACCACCATCCACGTCTACAAGCCCGAGGGCTGCGAGACTGCCGACGACTTTGCCGCCAAGCACGGAGAGAGGCTGTGGGAGACCAACGACGAGCTGTACGACTATGTGGCCAAGGTTGAGCCTTCGCACCGTGCCTACTCGGAGCTCCAAGTCAAGGCCGTCCTCACCGGCCGGCGGAGGAGTCAGGGAGGCAAGCGGGGCGATCTGAACATTGTTGAAGTCGACGAGACGGGCCTCATCAAGGTGAACCCCCTTGCCAACTGGTCGTTCAAGCAGGTCCAAGAGTACATTGAAGCGAACAACGTCCCGTACAACGAGCTGCTCAACAGGGGTTACAAGAGCGTGGGCGACTGGCACTCGACGCAGCCCGTTGCCCAAGACGAGGACGAGCGATCGGGAAGATGGAAGGGAAAGGCCAAAACCGAGTGCGGCATCCACAACCCCAAGTCAAGATATGCTCAGTTCCTTGCCCAGCAGAAGCTGCAGCAGCAAGAAGCGGAGCTGAGCCAAGCCCTGCAGAGCGTGGTGGTTTGATGCTGAGGCGTTATGTCGTGATCTACGGCCCTTTCCAGTGGTTTACTCTCTCTGCATTTTAGCACTGGCGTTGGGGGTTTCTTGCATTTGGTCACGGTTTCGAGCCGTGTGTTGCTCTTGTGGCTCCACTACTGTACATACACACATGAGGGAGTGCAGCATGATTTCGATATACCCGAATGCAACGGGGGAGCGAGTGAAATGCTTCGGTTCCATGATTGACGAAGAAAATAGAAGATAGATTAAGAGATCTGAAAATTCCAAATCTTCCGCATCCTGCACTGCGGGGCAGTGGGTGACATTCTATCTCCTAGTCGAGCAGACTCTTACCCTTCCCGCAGAATCCCGTGCTATTGCGCAATCGCTTCCAAGGCTTCCAAGAAAAATGCCGAATAATAAACGGTCGCACCGGTTACAGTCTAGTGGCTGCCCGTCTCCCTACGGCCTTGGAGGTGCCCCTACCAGACGATCTGTGTGTGTGCTAAGCAAGTAAATCTGCATTGCAAGGGACAAGGCCGGAGCTTGCCCGACAGATACATAAAGACAAGACCGTTCCCACGCCTTCCCAACCTTGAAGGTGTCGAGCCCGTCTCCTAGCTTCCCGTCTTCAGTCCTCTTCCTCTCGACCCGTTCCTGGGCGTATATGACGTCGGACCGATCACGACCTTGACAGAGGAGCAAACATTTTCCATCGAGGAGCCGTGAAGAGGTGAACCGATATTTTTCTCCCGACGTATCATTACAATTCTCTCCCGACTCTCCTTTTCCAAGGCAACTCATATCCCTAAAGGAAAATGGCGAATCCTCCTCACGGTACGTCCTGTGCTCGGCTTCCGGAGACCCCAAACTAACCAGTTTCCACCGCAGGCGGCGTCCTCAAGGACCTCATTGCGCGCGATGCCCCGCGCCGCAAGCAGCTCTTCGAAGAAGCCGAGACACTCCCCGCCATCGTGCTCACCGAGCGCCAGCTCTGCGATTTGGAACTCATCCTGAACGGAGGATTTTCTCCGCTGGAGGGTGAGTTTGACATCTTTTTGGGTTTGGCGGGGCAGGCGGACAGGGGGTGAACGGTCCCCCGCCTGTTTGACTCGTTTGCAACGGCCGCGACGACATGCGTTAAAGGAGGCATGGCTGACGACGACGACTTGCAGGTTTTATGAGCCAGAAGGATTACGATGGGTATGTTTGCCTCCTCATACATTGTTCTGTAGCTGTTCTGACTGTTCGCAGCGTCGTTAGTGAAAACCGCCTCGCCGACGGCAATCTCTTCAGCATCCCCATCACCCTCGACCTCTCCAAGGAGACGATAGAAGAAACCGGAGTCAAGCCTGGCGCTCGTATAGCACTGCGCGATTTCCGTGATGATCGCAATCTGGCCATCATCACGGTGGAGGATATCTACCGGCCGGACAAGTACGTGGGATGGCGGACATACAACCGGAGCGTCACTGACGGCTTATAGGGAGAAGGAGGCCAAGGAGGTCTTTGGAGGCGATCCGGAGCATCCTGCCATCAAGTACCTCTTCAACCAGGCGCAAGAGTACTATGTTGGTGGTAAAATCGAGGCCATCGACCGGTTGATGCACTACGACTATGTCGCCCTGCGATGTATGTGCGAACGACTTCAAAGAGACAACCCACAAGCTAATCCATTTCACAGACTCTCCCGCTGAACTCCGTCTTCACTTCGACAAGCTTGGCTGGTCCAGGGTTGTCGCTTTTCAGACCAGGTATATCACAGATCACAATTTCGTCCATCATGGAAGGATCAAAACTGACCCAGAACAGAAACCCCATGCACCGCGCTCACCGTGAACTTACCGTCCGCGCCGCTCGCGCCCGTCAAGCCAACGTCCTCATTCACCCCGTCGTTGGCCTCACGAAACCCGGCGACATCGACCACTTCACCCGCGTCCGCGTGTACCAAGCCCTGCTCCCCCGCTACCCCAACGGCATGGCCGTCATCAGCCTGCTGCCTCTGGCAATGCGCATGGCCGGTCCTCGCGAGGCCATCTGGCACGCCATCATCCGCAAGAATCACGGTGCCACGCATTTCATTGTTGGCCGTGATCATGCTGGGCCCGGCAAGAACTCCAAGGGCGTGGACTTTTACGGTCCCTATGATGCGCAGCATGCGGTGGAGAAGTACAGGGAAGAGCTGGGCATCGAGGTCGTGCCGTTCCAGCAGATGACCTATCTGCCAGATTCGGACGAGTACAGGCCCAAGGACGAGGTCCCTCCTGGTGTCCGCACGCTCGACATTTCCGGAACTGGTGCGTAAACCCCTCTTTCCACGTTCACGTAAGCCGGCGAGAAGAATCGTACTGACTTGGATAATCAGAACTCCGCAAACGCCTCCGCACCGGCGCCGAAATCCCCGAATGGTTCTCCTACCCCGAAGTCGTCCGCGTCCTGCGCGAATCCAACCCACCCCGCAACAAACAAGGCTTCACCGTCTTCCTCACCGGCTACCAAAACAGCGGCAAGGACGCCATCGCGCGGGCCCTCAACGTCACGCTCAACCAGCAAGGCGGCCGCAGCGTCTCGCTCCTGCTCGGCGAAACCGTGCGCCACGAGCTCTCCTCGGAGCTCGGATTCTCTCGACAGGACAGAGACAAGAACATCGCTCGTATCGCCTTTGTGGCCGGCGAACTCACCAAGGCGGGCGCGGCGGTGATTGCCGCGCCTATCGCGCCCTTCGAGGCCAGCCGCAAGCATGCGCGCGAACTGGTCGAGAAGTATGGCAGTTTCTACCTCGTGCACGTGGCCACGCCGCTCGAGTACTGCGAGAAGACGGATAAGCGTGGCATCTACGCAAAGGCGAGGAAGGGGGAGATTAAGGGCTTTACGGGTGTGGACGATCCGTATGAGACGCCCGAGAAGGCGGATCTGGTGGTCGATGCGTCCAAGCAGAATGTGAGGACCATTGTGCATCAGATTGTGCTGTTGCTGGAGGCCGAGGGCTTGTTGGAGCAGCTGTAGATGGGGGAGATTTCGAGAGGAGGGGTTGGATACTGATGGTGTCGGGGAAGGGGAAAGGGTTTAAGGGAATTTTTTGATATGATAGATAGATACATGATGGATTCAATGGATCAAGACATATTCTTCCAATTTCTTCGTCTTCCCTCACCGCTGCTTGCAACGAAATCCCGCTCCACCATTCGTCTCCTCCACCACGCCGCCAAAAAATCCCACTCCATGCCAAAAATTCAAAGCCCATAGAAAGCAGAACCATTGGCCCACAGCCCTCCAACACGCATCCACCGCCAGCACTACTGTAGTACTCTTAGCATACTAAACGTGAGCCTCTAGGTGCGTGTGCCCCTCTGATTGGCCCAATCCACAACCTGGTCCGTGCAGCTCCCCGAACAAGACAAACCACTTCAGCTCAGCATATGTAATATGTAATAAAGCTCTCGACGACCTGTCGACGTAGCGTTCCCCAACTCTCCCCACCTAGACACCTTCCTCCCTCTCAATCAGCTTGACGCCGAAATGAGCGGCGCGGGCGACAATCGGTATGTTGGCGGTCCTCATCATCTTCCAATCTTTCTTCTTGTCTTTTTTGTCAACTTTGCGAATGAATGATGTAGAAGTATCCAGCGCCGACGAACGCTTCTCTGACGTTGACAGATGGCGGCGCTCTGGACAGGGAGCAGCGAATCGCGATCGCGGGCAGAATCCAGAGGGGCGGAGTAGTGGGACGAGTACGCCTACGAGGGAGGGTGGTGGTAATAAGCAGCAGCAGCAGCAGCAGCAGCAGCAGGGTGGTATGACGGCTGTGTCTGGCAATGTATGGGGCGGTGGTGCGGGAAAGGTGAAAGGTGTGGGAGGTGCGCAGGGAGGAGGAGGTGGTGGAGGACAGGTGGAGCCACAGCAACAGTCGCAGCAGCAGCAGCAGCAGCAGCAGCAGCAGCATGTTCCAGTCAAGGAGTTCAATGCCGAGGAAGTGAGGGAGTTTCTGAAGAAGAGTACGTTTCCCAGTCCCCGTTCCCTGCTATGCGTGAAGCGCATACGCAACTACTCATTGGAGTAGCGTGCTTCGAATGGCTAGCTAACCATTTCCTTTAACAGGATACCTAGAAACCATCGGAGGTAATCCGCGACTCTCCTTCCTTCTCCTTACCCGCCCCGTCTACCCACCACACGACGGACGTTTTCATACAGAATCTAACTGGCCAACAGACCTCCCGGCGGTACACTACAAGGTCCAAGGCGACTCGGTCGCGAAGAGGGGGAGCGGGGTTTGGCAAACGAGAGGTATGCCTCTAAACAAGATCGAGCTCTACGAGCGAAAGCGTGTATTGACGAGGGGGAGCAGGGAATATGAGTCACCTCATGCCGAATGGGCGCGATTTCGTGCAGGAGTTGAAGAAGCAGTTGGTTTCGCTGGAGCAGAAGAGGGCGTCGTAGCGCATTGGGACTCGTACAACTCTATCACGCGCGAGAGAGACTCAGGAGGTAGCCGTCGCTGCATCCGCCCATCCTCGTGCGGCGATGGCACGCCCATGAGTCCGGAGAAATGATGGATGATGGATGCTCATGAACTTGGGCGCGTTCTCGGTCAATGGGCGTTAGCCGGTGCTTTTGGGAATTTTATATGTCGCTTCTCTGCGGTTCATGGCGCTGCGCTGGAGCAATACCCACCCGGATCGGCGCAGAAGTTATTCGGTTCGAGACGGTTTCTTCGAGGAATGTTATGGAGGATTTTTTGAGAGCTTGACTTGGAGGCTTGGGACTGTTGTACAGTAGCGGAGGCGCAACGTACAACATTATGGTTTTGGGCTAGCTTCTGGGTGGGTCTCGTCGAAAAGTGGATTCAAATATCAACTGGGATGCTATATGTGGTGCCACAACCTTTGTTGTGAATACGTAGCACAGGCTTTGCGTTGATAAACAAACCCCCTTACCCTCAAGTAAACACGTCAAATTCAACAGCAGCAATCGGAAGATTGAGATCGCATTCGCATACACCACATTGAATAACAGCATTCCCGTTTCGAGACGTTGAGTCGGGTTCCGCACGCCAAGCAGAACCGGGGAGGGACAACCTCCGCGGTCAGACATCCGCATCCTCAACACCGAAACTGCATCGCAACCATTATTCTTCCCGCGCTGCCGCCCTTCACGTCCGCTGATACATAGGAAAGAAGGAAACAGACCAAGTCCAGGGCGAACAGAAACACGTCTCACTACCTAGTGACACAAGTGGCCCGGCAACAGAAGCTGAGGCACACCGCGTCTTCACCCTTCCCCACTACCACTCCTCCTCGCTCTCTCTGAACCCGAAAGCACACCCTGAGTCCCACCTACCTGCTCCAAGGCTCTTCCCACCATGTCTTCACCTCCTGTCACACCTACCCACCGCCCGGCCTCCTCACATCGCCGTCACCCCTCCAGTCTCGACATGTCCCACAATACACCTTCACGCCGGCAGTCGCTGAACCGGCGCTCTTCAGGGTACTCACCGCTGACGCCGCAACTGAGCCAGGAGTTCGAGCACAGTAGCCCGCACCACAACTTCGACGGCGGGGGCGATGGGGGCTTGGGGAATTTGGCCGACGAGCTGGGGGATGTGTGGGACGAGGACGAGGAGGGTATGGAAGGGGAGTACATGGATGACGGAGACGTGCCGCACGACGGTGACGATGCGGATGACGTTGGCGTGGCGGCGACTCGCGACGGCGGCGCAGATTCGCGTCCTTCCAGTCCCGCGGCGAACGGCGCAAGAGATAGTGGGGTCGCGATGGAGGCGTCGCCGGATACCAAGACGACGCTGAGTCCGTCCGCGGCCAAGCAGGCGGGGAGACGGCATCAGAGGCAACGGTCGCTGTATGATGGGTCGGATTATGGGGGTGACTCTGATCTTGAGGAGAATGGGGGGATATCGGTGGGGTTGGAGAGACAGATGGCTGCTGTGGAGGGGTTGGTAAGGAGGGGATTGGAGGAGAATGGGAGTGCGGCGGATCAGGTCGTGCAGAGGGTGGTGGAGAGATTGAAGGATCTGGGGAGTCAGACGGGGATTGAGAGTGGAGCGACGAGGTATGGTTATCATCCTTTTAACCATTTTCACTCAATATCAGTATGCTAACGATTCATACAGACTCAAAACCGCCCACGACGCCCTAGCCACCCATCTCACTCACCAATCCCGCACCCTCACCTCCCTAACCGCCTCCTTCACCGGCCCGCGAGCCATCTACCCCTCCCCAGATACCATCGAGACCCTCCTCCCCCTCATAACCAGCACCCTCGAGCTCCTCCCCCACTCCTCCCCGGACCCCATCTACTCGCTCTCGCAACTCACCGCCTCCACCCGGGAACTGCTGCAGCACCTCTCCAACGTCTCCGACTCGCTGCACATGAGCCGCCAAGCGCACAACGACGCAGCGCGCCGTCTTCGCGTCGCCAAGGAGCAGGTGGCGGACTGGAAGCGGGACGTCGAGCTGCGGGAGCAGGGGATCCGGTTCCTGGAAAAGGGGGATTGGGATCGGAGGTTGAGGGAGAGGGAGGCGAGAGGCGAGTGTGGCGAGGTGGTGGATGGGTTTGAGGAGGTGTGTGGGGTTTGGAGGAAGAGGCTTTGTGAGGGGTTGGGGGTGGCTGCGTAAGAAGTGATCATTGGGGTGTTGTGGATTAGCATGTTGGGGCTTGGGGAGGTTGTTGTGAGGGACTAGAAATTGGGATCGGGTTTCCGGTATTGTTCGTTGGGAAGCATTCGTGAGAGCCAACTGGGAATGGCAATACCCGTTCATCGTCGGTCATTGTTGGTTTATGTAGACTGGAGTTGGGGCTTGGATCGGTTTGGGGATGGGGCGGTCAAGAGCCATACACTGCGCTAAGACAACAGCATAGCATTTCTTCTGTAGATTGGTAGAATTACTCTGATTAAAGACACGGTACCTATACCAGACGAGAACGATACTGTGACCGTAAGTGTAAGTATAGCGCAGGTATCTAAAGGAATTGCCAAGTGAATTTCGATAGGCTACCAGTATTCCAATACACAGTAGAAGGCCGCCAAGATGTGAATGCCTTTCCCACGTGGCTCCGTTTTCCGTCGGGGAACGAGAGTGGCGTTCTGGCCCGATGGAATCAGATAAGATTAGATCTGACGTCCCCGACTACATACGGAGTAGATATGCGGGGACTCCAACGATCTCCACTCTTACACCTCCACTCCTAACACGCGATCCATCCTAAGCACAGCAATCCACACAGCACATGCAGGTGTCACGCATGCATATCACTCGCTACAATCAGAAAGCATGGGTCAAACGGCCTCCACTAAGCGACCCCAGGTCTCCCTAGGTAAATCCAATGCTCCCGTCACCCATGTGCCCTTTAGTCCCTTCTCTGTATTTCATGTGGACACAAAACTGACTCGAACTATGAACAGAGCAACTGAGCCACACGCTCGCCCAAACCTTTGCGCAAAAATGTTACACCCCGCTCGAACTCTACTGCTTCAATTCCGTCTTCCGCTCCCTGGCGGACTCGGAATCGGGCCTCCGATACTGGTCCGAGGCCACGCTATGCCGGTTCCTCGAGCTGCCGGACGCGCTGGGCGTGGGGCCCGTCGTCTTCCAGATGGCGAGTTATCTCGGCGCGTTTCCGTTTCCGAGCCAGGCGCCTGCGATTCTGACGGGCGAGGCGTTGCTCAAGGTGGTTACGGTTTTGACGGAGAGGTATGGGGTTGTGGTGAAGAGGGCGGGGAGGGAGATGTGGGTGAGGGAGATTTATAGGAGTTTGGCGGTTTTTGATCGCGGGGTGCAGAGGGGTTTGGATGAGGCTAGGGGTGGGAATGCTGCGATTGGGCATGGAGGGTTTGCTGTGGATATGCCCGAGGATGATGACCCCGGGGGTGGGCATGAAGAGGATGATGAAGAGTTGGTGCTGGCGGCTCTGGAGTCGATGGATGCGATTGAGGTGTTCAAACATGGTGAACAGAAGCAGACCAGCATCCATCGGCACATCATTCCCACGGACAACCTGCTGAAACTCATTGAGCTGCTCCTTCTCATCGCTCCCATCGATCCATTGCAGAGTGTCTCGGAACTGGCTTCGGACCTCTCCGATGAGCGGATTGAGGAATTGAGGCAAGTAGCCGGCTATATCATGTCCTCGTTCGGGGTGATCGATACCCCTGGCGTCATCTATCGGACGTTCGTTACCGTCGTATCCTCCTCGCTGCCGTATATGTTCAACCCACTGCGTCCTCTCTTCGAACACTTCCTCTTCACAAAGGACTTCAACGCCAACCGCACGCCTGACCCTGTATCTCCGAGCGTGGAAACGCATCCCGTGATATCGCCCCCGAAAGTCGTCACAGACCCGGAACCTATCCTTCGAGAACCAGGAGAAATCCTGACCGTCACCGTCCTCAACCAGCTCTCCTTCTTCATCAAAGGAAGCAGCCTCTTCCGCCGCCTCCGCCCGCTCTACAACGCGAACAAGCACGGCTTCAGCATGGGTTCCTTCTCCAAACAAGTCTTCCACTGGGACGCCCCCTCCATCCTCCTCGTCTCGGGCCGCCTCTCCCCAGACTCCCCGTCCACCGCCCACGAACGCACTCTCTCAGACCTCCTGCCCCCTAAACGCCTTCCCAGCAGCATCCCGGAGTCGCTCTCCTCGACCACTCGCCTCATCTTCGGCGCCTACATCCCCCTCCCCTGGAAACAAACGCACAAATCCTGCTTCTCCGACCCCTCGACCCTCCTCTTCCAGCTCTCACCCGTCCACGACGTCTTCCCCGCCTCCACCCTCGCCACCGACCACGTCTACTTCAACAAACCCCCGACCAACCCCGCGGGAATCGGCTTCGGCACCCCAATCCCCCGCCAATCCGCCTCCTACACGCACACGCACAACATCATGCACCCGGGCCCCGTCTCGCTGCATCTCGACGACGGCCTCGAATTCGGCGTCTTCACGCACCATGCCGAGGGCGGCGGATCGTTCCGCGCCTCGCAGCTTCCGGGCCGCAGGGGCAGGGATTGGCAGGACCGGTTCGAGGTGGAGAGTCTCGAGGTGTGGGGGTGTGGCGGCGAGGATGTGGCCGAGGGGCAGAGGAGGGAGTGGGCGTTCCAGGAGCGCGAGGCCGAGGCGAGGAGGAGGGTGAATTTGGGGACCCAGGATCGCGAGGCGGATAGGGAGTTGTTGCGCTTGGCGGGGTTGGTGGGCGGGGAGATGAGTGGTGGGAGTGTGTAGTGTTGGAGGTTGGGAACGATGGTGGATGAAGAATGAGGATGGTGTATGCTTGGAGTTTTTCCTGTGATTGAATTTTTGGTTGTTGGGTGCAGTCTACCTCTCCTCTTTCTCCCCTCCTGAGTTATGAGCGTCACGAAATCTATGATATAATGGAATGGGTCGGGCGTTCACGGAAATGACTTGTGTATGCGTTTCTTGCCAATGGTTGCCAATGGAAACATTGGACAAAATACACCCAGTCTTTCTATCATCATAGCGGAAGTTCTTCTTTCATTCCACGGCAGTGAATGATACACACAGATCCATTCCGCCATTTCTGGAAAAAAAACATCCTCAACATCGCTTTCCATTCCGCTGTGCTGCGTTTCCTGGCTCGCTGTCTAGAATAATGAATGTCTTTATGCTACGGATATCGTACATGCATCGTACAGCCTCGCTCCTGCAACTACTGTCGCGTTCGAGACATAGATGGGGAAACTCGACTTCGAAATCGAACGGGAAACGCGCTCATCCTTGCCTACGGAGCTAGTTCAGCAAAAGTGCACGAAATCCGCCAAAAGAAAAAAAAAAAATGCGATACGACGCCCAACCAAAGGGGAGGAAAAAAAAGTAAAGAGAGAAGCGATAGAAAAGACGTACCTCTGCTTATGCTTCGGATTCTTGCTACAGATGATGTACACATATCTCCCCTTCTTGCGGCGCACGCTCTTGCACCCGTCGCACAGCTTCTTCACGGAGCTTCGGACTTTCATGCCGCGGGTTTGCGTCTGCGTCTGCGTTCCTGGCCATTGTATCCTTGAGAGCAGTGCCGTTGGGCGCGGGGTTTGGAAGAAGCGCGGGTTGGATACGGAGAGGGAAGGCCGGAGAGAGGAGGTGTGTAGGGATCTGGTAGACGCGCCTGCTCGTGCGGTTGCGCTTGCTCGTGCAATCGATGAGACGGAGGAGGAGGAGAAGAGGAACAGGGTCCGGCGAACGGGCAGTAGGAGCGGGGATGCGAGCATTGTCGCGGTCCTCGCGGTTCTCGCGGTTCGGGAGAGAGGAGATCAGGTCCAGTAAGAGGTGGAGGGGAATTGGCTTCGGAGACAGCCGCTGGGAAGAGGGTGCGAGACGCGCGTGCGGTTTGCACTGCGGGGTTGAGGGATATAGCGGAGTTGGAGGTGAGGTTTGGGAGACCTGATGGAAGGACGCTTGGACCAGGGGGAGTTTGGGTGGATGCCAAGATTTATTGGATGTCTGCACATGCGGAGGCATTTCAATGTTCTTCACCACACCTTCGATGGCACCGATTCCAGGATAATAGTGATTAAATAATCAGACAAAAGGAATCTTTTCATAGAACCCGTTTGGATTGCTCCAGACTCCGTACTTCGGACCCCTTTAGTGAGTTTGCGTGCAGAGCCGTCGACTCGAGGCTTTCGACACGTGCGGATGCAGATAATAGTTTTGTGAATGGTTCAAGGCGTATGTGTGGGCAGAGTGATGGGAGACGGCATACCACACGTTTTCAGATTTCTTGACACCTCAGGCGGAAATCCCTGCTGAAAACACTCTGATAGCTTCAATGCATTATGAGATGAATGTCCACATCAAATCCACAGTGAGTTGACAAGAGTCGCGCACACTCAACTTAGACGAAGAGGAGGAAATACGGGCCACGACGGAGTGAAATTAAAAAGGGCAAAGATTAGGAGAAGACTGAGCATTAATACATCCCTATCCCTATCCCTATCTCATTCAACCATCATCTTCTCCTCCACCACCTCTCCCCTCCTCCTCTTCCACATCCCCACTCCTACACTACAACCCCCATCTACGAAACCAAGACAAACTGGCCGATGCCCGGCACTCCATCCATCAGCACATAGACGACATACGGCCCGGGAGGCGCCACATTCTTGTTCGGCGGCATCGTCACCGTAATCGTCTGCTGCGTCTGGCCCGCCTGGAAGCCCGTCGTGTCCAGGAACGCCATCCGGTGGCCCATGTGCACAGAGTGTGTGACGAAGCCGCCATAGTAGAGCGTGACCTTGACCGCCTTGGCGGTAGCCGGCGACGTGAAGCGGATGGTGAATTTGCTGCCGTCGGCGACGAGGCTCTTGGAGGAGAGGACAATGTTGGTGGGGCGCACGGGGTTGCCCTGGAGGTAAGGCGGCGTGTAAATCTCGTTGCGGAACTCGGTGGGGAAGGGCGTCTTGGCCGGGTCGGTGATGGGCATCTCGACGGGGTTGGAGCCCGAGATGAGGAGCGTGCCGTCGAGGAGGAGGAGGGCGACCGAGTGGTACAGGCGCGGGATGGTGGACTTGGGCCCCGTGGTCCAGCGCTGGCCCTTGGGCTTGACGGGGTCGTAGATGAGGACTTCCAGGGCAGGCTTGCGTGCGACTTCGAAGCCCTGGGCTCCTTCCTGGGCGCCGTTGACCCAGATGACGGTGCCGTCGGGGAGGAGGGTTCCCTCGACCATGCCACGGCCTTCGGGCATCGAGTCCATCTCCCACTTGGGGGTGGCAGCAAGCGGCGAGATGCGACCGCAAGAAGGATCGGCGGGAGCGCTGATATCCTGGTAAGGACCACCACCGCAGATGACAATATCAGGGTTCCACTGGTTGGCGCTGGAGAAGGGGAGGATGACGGAACCTCCAGTGTTGGGATATGTGCGGTAGTCCCCGGGCAGATCGGGCAGCATTTTTACGACGGTGTTGGTGTTGACGTTGAAGATCTCCGAGGACTTGGATGTGAAGACAAAGAGGTTGCCGTTGTTGAGGAGATGCACGAAGGGGTACATGTAGTAGGGCTGGTTCTTGGAGAGGATTTCCATGTTGATACTACCGCCCTGGGGAGCGCCATTGCGGTCGAGCATCTCATAAGTGGGGTTGTTGTTCTCTGGCTTGGAGGGATCCAGGCCGTTCAAGCTGCCGGAAGCAACAAAGATCCTTCCATCGGGCATGATCTGAACAGAAGCATACCAGCGGGCAGTGTTGAGCTTGGTACCGGGCTCTACCCAGGCTTGACCATCCAGGGATTTATCAAGATGGGATCGTTTCAGGAGGCGGATACCCCTGAAACCATCGCCGACGGTGGGGTCAAGCCAGTCAAGAGGACCATTCCCGCCAAGGGAGGCGAAGGTCCCGTCAGCAAGGAAGATACCACCAGAGCAGAAAGCATTGGTCTTGTAGGCGAGGGGAGTGAGCGCCTGGGTGCCCGGGTCGTACTCGGAGGAGTAAGCGTACTGGCCGTTGGGCAGCTTGAGTTCGGTGTAGTTTTCAACCTTGTCCAAGAAGACAACCTTTCCGTTGGGCAGCAGACCGGCGTGCATAGCGGGCACACCGGAACGGCCCTGGATGCGGAGAGTACCAGGAGTAGCGGCTGCGGGAGCCGGGCTTGGGCCAGGGGCAGGGACTACGGGCCCGTTGAGACAAGGACCAGATTGGCATCCGGCGCCGCAGTGAGAGGCCGTGTTTCCGCAGTATCCGTACATGGAGCAGCAGGAGCCCTGGTACCAGTTGCCGCAGACAGTGTTGCCAAACTTGGCACCACAGGTTCCATCCGTGGTGGGCGGACCTTCGGGAACGTCAGGATTATCAGAAGGTTTGCCCAGAACAGGCTCGCCCGAGGTGGTCGACGAAGGGGGTTGGGTAGCAGACGGCTTAGGGGCAGCGGTAGTCGCTCCGCCGGTGCAGCCATTCTGGCAGCCATTGGCAGGGAGGCAGTGACCATCAGTCTTGCCGCAATATCTGCGAAGTGTAAGTATGCAAACGGAAACATTGGAGCGGGATATCGACATACCCGTACTCGGAGCAGCAGCCTCCATAAGCCCCATTGGGGTCGCAGGTGGCGCCCCCGAAATCCTTACCACATCTTCCGTCAGGTCGCGGCGCAGCTCCACTTGGGGCGGGAGAGGTCGGCTGAGGGTTGGTACCCGTGCAGCCGCTCTGGCATCCGTTGGTTGGGAGACAGTGTCCATCTGATTTTCCGCAATAGCCATATGCGCTGGCCACAATTAGCTCGTGGTCCATTGATCTTTGCTCGGATCAGACGTACCTGCAGCATCCGCCAAAAGCACCATTGGGATCGCAGGTGGCTCCTCCAAAGTCCTTGCCGCAGCGTCCGTCGGCCCGAGGTGCGGTAGCCGGAGGGGTGGTGGTGCCTCCTCCGTTGCAACCTGAAAGACACCCCGTTCCGCAATGATCGGCAGTATTTCCACACTGTGAGGATCAGTCAGTCCACGTTCAGGTAATGCGGGAATCAAGGGGATAACATACCCAGCCATACTGGCTGCAGCAGGTACCAGTGTAGACTTTGCTGTTAGGGTCACAGATCAAGCCTCCGTTTTGCGGTCCGCATTTGCCGTCGAGCGAGTACTGCCCCTGCCTCTTCTCGACCTGAGGAAGCTCAACGTCGGGAACATAGCGGCGGTACGACCTCGGGTAGAAGTTGTCCTTGTTTGTGTATGCAGCGCATCTAGCCGGTGTCAGGAACAAGTTGTTAGGAATATGCACGAGTACTTACGTGTTGTTGGCCAGACATTCCTGTCCCTTCAAGCAGGTGTTGGGCCCGTCGAATTTGCATGTCGGCTGCACAAAGTGAAACTTGATGTTGGCTGCGGCGAGCCCGGCAAAGGCGCCGAGAGTAAGAATCGTCGCCTTCATAGCTAGGATCGTGTAAGTCTCATAAGCCGACGGGAAGGAGGCTCAGGACCCCGGTGAGCGAGGATTGGGCGAAACCGTCTGACGAACGGAAGTGATGCATGGGTAAGGACGAAATGAAAAAGAAGCTACGGATAGGTTGTAGAGAATGGGTCAAAAATAGATAGTGAAAAGAAGGACGTCAGGACGTCGTGTGACCACGCTGAGTGACGGCCGCCGACCAGCTGGGAAGGGGTGAAAACTCGGGTATGGGAATATCAGGGACCAATAGCTGGTAAATCTGTACATACTGTTGTATTAGGAGAGCGGACGAATCTCGATGGCTCTTTCGACTACACTCTACGTAACGTGAAGAACTTGGCTATTGATGCAGTGTTTGGCGTCACGACTTCGTAGAAATTAGCGTAATACGGGAATCGAGTATCAGGTTGTAAATAGCGAGTGTGATGGGAAAAAACGAATGACTGTGGTGAAGACCACGAAAAGCAAAAGAGCGAATGCTGGACGGCAGACACAGCTGTCTGCTTGCCAACAGCAGGAGAGCGGGTGGGAAAAGGAGAAGGTCTGGGGAGCAGCGAGGATTTGTATACGCGAAGTACGAGACGCCAGTAAGGCAACTGGGCTCTCGGTGGAGAAGCCCTCGAACGCCAGTGGCCCCATGGTGGACCACGACGGCGCCGCCTTGTACGGCAGCAGCCAATAATGGACTGGCGACGGGGCTAGGTGTGATCAGCAGCAATTTCAACTGAGGCGGTGCCGAGATCTCCACAGGGGACGCTGTTCGCTGGTCGAAAATCTATTTCCATCACCCTCGGCACTCCACATTGGGGGAATGCCCTATGCACGCTTTCCCTTGGCCGGTCACTGCCCCTGTCTCCTATACTCCGTACGGAGTACTCTTCCCACACAGGGTGCGTTTGTCTGTTCCTCCTCGCCAAGATATATATCCCTCACTGCAGTCGGGTGTAGAGAACTCTGAGCCGTGAGGAGATGGGGACAGCCCTGTGTACTGTGTACTCTCTCACACTCGTTTTTGCGTGGCAGTAGACGTGGACGATCCCCGGCGCAAGATGACCGAGGGGCCCAAATGACGACTCGCGTACGAAGAGCCGGGTCGGAAGGATGGGTTCGGTTTGGGGAGGAAAGCTTGATGTAATCAAGCAACCACTGACGTTGCTGTTGAAGCTCTCCACAGTGAGACATCGCTTGGGAGGGTTGCACCGAGCCAGCGCCTTTTTCTGGCCCACCTTAAAGGGCATACCACTATCGAATCGTGGGCATCCTACGAGCCATCCCTTTTGCGCGAGTCAAAGTCACTCTTCTCTGCCAAGAAAATGCGTTGGAAGTGGTAGATGTAGGTTTTGGAAGCCGCTTTTTCGATGTTCTTAATAATTCCACCTTTTTTACTTCAAACAAATGTAGAGTGTGAAAAGTTTCTACTAGTGAGGTATTGCTGGAGTGAATGTTCCCTCGTGCGAAGAGGTGGATTTGCCTCGCTGACACATCACTTTCCACCAATAACATCCTTTCCCAGGTCCCTCCAAAATGCCCGCTATCATATTCAGGCACGCCCGTCAACGTCTGCCCATTTGCCTTCCTTTTTCGTGCCGCCCAGCCCAGGAACAAGCTTAGCGCTGGCCCCTGACCGGTCAAGTCCTCTCCTTCTTCAGCTGCTGCGTCATGTTCAGCTGCATCGTCATGATACGGGCCCTCCGTATCAGGAAACCACGCGCTGCCTCCCGTTACCCCCGTAGTCTCCATTTGTTTGTCCTCTTTTCTGGCTCTCCTGAGATTCCGGCCCGTCGGATGCCATATCCTGCTCGTCGTCTCGATCCGAACTCTGCACAGTAAACAGCGAGAGAGCGTCAAAAGCAATCCTCCAGTGGCCGAGCATTGGAGTGAGTGCATTTGTTCTCTTCGGCTGGCGTCCTATGCAGCCACCACGGAGCCAGCACGCAGCCACGAGGTTTGGATACCGAATGGTTGAACTCTGAAATCTCCACATTCCCAGATACCATGCCGTAATAGGATGGTTCCTAGCGAGAGATTCACAATGTCCCGCCACGCAGACTCTCATCCGTTTTGCCAGCAGCCATAAGAAATTCCAATCGCCTTTGTATCTATGTAGTCGCTCGTTTCGCATGAGAAGACACTTGCTACGGAGTACTCCAAATATCCATCAATAATGGGTCACAACGGACATTGTAGCACTTCAAGACCGGACTCGCGGACATGAATTCGATTCCTGACAGACCTCGGTACGCTGTCACTACTGAGTACCTCCAGTAGCATCCTTCGAGAAGAAATAGACAGCGCTAATGCCAGACGAGCGTTAGCGCTGTATCCAAACTTGGTATCCAACTATTGCCGCTTACTGTGATAGACTACTGTTGGGTCATGGAAGTGCTCGTTGATCGGGGGTTGCCCTCGCCACCAAAAGTCGAGGATCCTCCATCACGGTCGCGTCTCTCGCACCGGTCGACTTGGACTTCCCGCTCTGGTCCGCATGTGGCTTTCTGTGCTTCTCTCCCTCCTGAGCCACGTCGCCTATCTCTGCCCTATTGCGGACGCTACTGTGTAGCTCAGGAGGCGCCTCTCGGGCCCTCGGCAGCCAACAACAGATCGTTCCGTGACAACCAACTCACATGACGGATGCAGCTTATAGGGCACCACTGGCATTTGGTAATTCCGCATGGGGTTTGAAGAGCTGGAGCGGTAGTGGCCGCGGATCATCATTCGAAGTCCATCTGGAAAAGGAGACAATAATAACACGAGTCCCAACCTGGACAATATACGAGACCAGTTTGTGGCTCCAAATTTTTCGAGTCCAGTTTGCCATAACCGCCGCCCCGGCCGCTATCACACCACCAGAATCGGGCTTGCCCCTTTCCTGAGGGAACGGCTCTAGATCTTAGACATCACCTGATCGATGCTCTTTTCCTGCGACCATGGGGTTTGCAGTTTCTGCACGCAGCTCCCCAGTACTCGTTTTCTCTGCATTCTAGAATATGGCAAACATAGGCAAGAGGTATCACGCAGTCTTCCAAAGCTTATACTCTAAACATACTCTCTTTTTTTCGACCCACGGCGTTGGGTTACTACTGACACCGTGGAGTGGCAGCCTTGCTCGCGAAATAGAGCCGTAGGTTATGGACAGTGCCCTAACGCTGCATGTCATGACGCACAGTGAACTGTCCCACCCCCTCCGAGTTAGCGGACTGTCCTTGAAGTTTCGGTAGTTGCTCTTCCTCTATCGCCCATCGCCTCATAATAAGTCATTACGCATCAGTTCGTCTGCGAAACACGTAAGCTGTGCAGCACAGGAGGTCAAACCGGAGACGCAACAGCAGTATCCGTAAGTATCCAGCTAACCCTACATGCATTTGCAAGCCTCTTTATGTACGCTTCCAATTTTCTGTTCTCAGAGAAACAATCGACTCCAAGCTGCAGCTTGATATCTTGTGCCCATATACCAGACCACCAGTATTGCCAATATTGGCACTTATAATCAGAACATTGGAATAGAGTGCTTGCCCCCACCCCCCCCTTTTTATCAACGCTCTCGCTCCCACACCTTCTCTCATTCTAAAAATCTTGTCGACATACACAGGCTACAGCGTACCACTGGGTTGTGTATCTTACACAGAGTCAACCGATTTATAGTGTCACCACGCTTTCGCCACACTCCAGTCCATATCAGCACCTAGACGCCGTGTTCGGCCCGTTCGTGTCTTCTCGACTTCGTGTCCCTACCCCGGCCCCCGCCTTGCGGCGGAAGAAAATAACGGACTTGAACGCACGCGGTATTGTTCCCGAACCATGAGGGGTAGGGCTGAGGTTGTACGGCCGTGGGTGCCTCACATCATGATGGCTGGATCTGTAGTTGAGGGAAATGGAGGACGCCAGTGTGTGAATCGTTCAACTCCCTTTTCCGCAGAGGACGTGGTGCGTAGCTCAATGCGGGATCTGGCAGTAGGCGGCAGGTGGGTGCGTTCGATCTATTTCTACCGTGTTATCAGACCTACTCGACATATTGTAGCGTGTAACGTGGCCCATGACATGTATGCGGATGCAGTACGATAAGATGCCGCCGGCTCCCGAGTATACGATAGTCACCTCTGCATTGTTCCTGCCGGTGGCATGAGTCTCCGTCAACGAGAGGGTCTCAGTAGGAGCTTCTAGAGCTTGCAGTGCTACGCGTTGTGTCAACCACAGGAAGAGCTTTACCAACAATTCGTTCCGCGATACAGAATTTGCCATTATTTTCTTACATTTTGAGTCTAGGGCGGACTAGTAAGAACTTGACGGCGTGTTCATCGGCTACTAGAGTTGCGATTTGATATAGGGATGGGGTACTGCCGCTCTGCCTCTCGGCCGCACTTCCACTTCTTCCTGTTAGGGGTGCGCAAGCTACGCATTTATAGCTTTGTCCTCGCCTTGCATTTCTATTCCAATCGGTATACGAGGAGTGTGTTCCGTCTGCACCAAGCTTTTCCAGCTCGTCTATAGTACTGCTCCGGTCTCGGTCCCGGTCGCAGATGTATCCAGCACCGTATGTATGAACGGGTTTGGTAGCTCAGGAATTATATAATAGATCCGCCGCTGCATGTATGAAGGGGTTCAGTAGCACAGAATATATATATACATATATACATGTACATGCCGACTTCATACTTCTGCAGCATGGCTGTCACAGCAGCGCGCTTATCGCAAGTCGCAGAAACCACTAGACTACGAGCCGCGAAGAAGGGACAAGCCACAAGGACGGTTCGAAGACCTGCTTCGGGAAATTGTGTGTACAGACAATGCTATTTTCCAAAGACACCAGGCGGGTATATCGAAATGCTTGCTGGAAGGAGTACTTCTCCGCGGGTCACTGATACAAGTCCATGCCCATGGGCTTGAGATACGCTCAACTTCTTCATTGTCGATATTATATTTGATAACAACCAGAAGTCGACAAAGCGCCGCCGTATTTTCCAACTGTGCGGAAAGACATTAATGTCTGCATCGTACTACGCGCCACCGCTCCTTGGCCAAACCCAACAGGTTCCAGATACAAGATAATCAATCCTTTTTTCCATCTTCTTGCCCCCCGAAAGATGTGGAGGAGAAGCCGGGATCGCCGCCCAAAAACGCCGCGCTATATGAGGTGCCGTGACCCTCTGGATTGTAGGACCAACCTCCCGCTCCGCGAAGAGATGGACATGCAGCAGGTCCCCAAGACTGGTATCATCGTTGAATGACTCCTAACGCGGAATCAACCCTTTTCAAACTCCCCATCTCATCTCCTACTCCCTTGCTGTTTCTGCTGCTGCTGCTGCCCCTGCTTCTGCGCCGTATCCGGCTCCTGCAACCCCGGGGGCGAAACCACCTTCCCCCCATCCACGACAATCAGTGGGTCCAACCTCCCTCCCGTATCTCCCCACTCGACCCTCTTCCACGTCTCAATCCGCGCCTCATTTGTATCCACCTCCCACACCCGCGCTCGTCGATGGTACCCGCCATAACCCCCGTACCCGCCAAACCCCGCTCCACCCGCATAACACATCCACAGCTCGGGTTCCCCTGAGTTTTGATTCCGCGCGAGCGCGCAATACTCATTGACGTGGTCGTGCCCGCACGAAACGGTGAGCACGCCCTGTTCGACGAGCGCGTCCTTGAAATGCGAGTTGAACCCGGGAGCGGTGACGCCTTCTTTCCATGCCCCTACGCGAGGCTGATCCGCGGCCTTGTATTCGGGCAGCGGGATGTGGATGAACGCCATGTCGAGGTGTGTTTTGGAGTAGTGCTTGTGGTTTTCCTTGAGTGCGGTCGCTGTGTCCCTGAACCATCGGATCTGATTGTCTTTGAGCCAGTCGTACCCCTTGTAGGTGGCTTCGTCCGGTGAGTAGGAATGCGTGTCGAGGAAGTAGAGAGTTAGCGCCGAGTGTTTGTTGTTGTTTCCGTGCGCCAGGATTTCGACAAAGTAGTTGCCTACACCGTCGACGGTGTTGGGGCCGGCTTCGGAGAGGCTGTAGGGGAGCGACGAGTATAGAGACATTTGTGCTTGGCGGGAGAGAGAGCCTTCGTCGTCGTGGTTGCCGAAGATGGCGGCATAGGGGGTTTTGTGCTCAGCGAGGAGGGCGGCGATTTTGAAGAGGGCCTGAGTAGACAGGGGTCAGTAGAAGTAAAGGGGGGGGTGAGGAGGGAGGAGGGAAGAGGGACTTACGGACTGAGCATCTGGGGCGGTTTCGCCGTTCACTTGGTCGCCAGAGAGGACGACGAAGTTGGGCTTCTCTTCCTCGAGCAGGCGATGGACGAATTCGAGGGTCCGGGGGTCGGCGTCGCATTTGCCGCCGTTATGGTCCTTAGGTTCTGCGTCTCTGCATGCTCCGGGGCCGGTGCTGAGATGCAAGTCTGATAACTGCAGAATCTTGAACTTTCCATTGCCGTTGATCCGGGGAACGGGTTTCTCGATCTTCACAGGGGATCCTCTGCGGATGCTCAGGTGCGGCTCCCGGCCATCTAATGCCGAGTCCAAAAGTAGAGGGCCGGGCTTAACCAGTTCCCAGCCAGGACGAGGTTCAACCGCATCGGCGCCGAAAAGCACATCTACGGCTGTTATTGCTTTCTTAGAGTCGCTCGCGTGACGTTTGGAAGACCGTTTCAGCCAGATGCCACCAGTACGAGACTCCCATTTCTCTTTCGTTTGAGACTTCTCTCCTATAGAAGGGTCAAGCTTCCCGCTGCGTACGTCTATGATGACTTTATCGTCCTCCTTGAGCTCCTCTTCTCGCTTGCGCTTCACATGCACATAGGCCTTCGAAAACCACCCTTCCTTCAAGTACAAGTCCTTCTCAATGCGGTTCCACTGCTCGGGATCCAGTCGACAGGTGGAAAGCGGGTTAATCTTGGAACATGTCTTCACCGTAATGTCGGTGATGATGAGGCCTTCGTGGTGAAGGGGGAGGTGGCTATGGATAGATTGTGGAAGCACCCGGTAGCGGTTATCGAGGAAGAAGACGAGGAAGAAGATAACCGTGACGATTACTCCGAGCTGTAAGCCCGTGCGGACCTGTCGTGCTGTCAGCGAGTGCGCCAGAAGTGCAGATGGAGAGTCAATACAATGCGACGAGCCATAGAGGATAGGAGGGTGTCAAGTCGGATCTACGGAGAATGAAAGGGGGAAGTGAAGCTTCAGTCTCATCTGTTACTACGCAGACACCTCCGCGAGGCTCTCATCCTCATATTCTGGTCGTGATTCGGCTAGGAAAGAGGTGGATGGAGCGTGGTGTTGGATCTATGCCTGCAAGGGAGCTCTCCTACCTAGATCTCCTCACGGACACGGGTTGGGCTCCCCCGGATCTCCGCCCCACCCTGCGCGCCTCGGCTTGGCGACCGCGGTTCAACACATATCCTGGTATGTACATATTTGCAGCTCTCCCACAGCGGTGCAGACATGCGACAGGCACTCCGTCTTGCACGCTTGGATTTGTGTATTGCCCGTATTTCTCAGAAAAGGCGATTCACAGGGTGCTCTGCTCTGCGCAAAGTATTTCAAGGCAAGATATCCGCCATTGATGTTTCTGCAGCTTTCTGATGATTGTACAGAAGGAGATATTGTGCTCCTCCGAGACAAGAACGAGACATCACACGATACTGGAAAGCTTCTGACACTCGATCGATCGAAGACCACAGGCACTCGGAGAGGACTGATCAAGCATGATGATATCATTGGCAAGCAACCCCGCCAGACTGTCCAAACGCACAAGAACCATACGCTCCGGATACACGAACCCACCCTCGGCGAATATGTTCGACTGACGCCTCGAATCGTCACTCCGGTACGTCTTCTCTCTACGAAATACGCACAGCTATGGTCGTAGCTGAATTGGCTCCAGGCGCAGCGTGTTGACAGTATCAGATATACCCCTCCGATGCCAACCTCGTAGTATCACTGCTCGACATTCACGTTGACACCTATGGCTCAACAACCGGAGATGAGCCTACTTTCGAGATACTGGAAGCGGGCACCGGCCACGGAGCCCTGACCCTCCACCTCTCGCGAGCTATACACGCGGCCAATCCTCCTTTCCCCAGAAGCTCTTCCGCCTCAAGCAACCCCACTCCGCAAGCCGTGGAAGATGCCATGGACGGCGCTATTTACGAAGGAGCCCCAGTTTCGGACATTGAAATAACCAACCTAGAATCCTGGAAGGCGAATCGTCGCGCCATCATTCACACGCTAGACATAGCGGTGAAGCACACCAAGCACGCAAAGCAAATCGTCCAAGGTTTCCGCCACGGCATGTATGCCCGCAACGTGGACTTCCATGTCGGTGACGTGAGCGAGTGGATTGCGGAGCAGAAGGAGTTGAGAAATATAGATGGCCCCTTTCTGTCGCATGTATTTCTGGACATGCCCAATGCGGATCGACATCTGGGAAATGTGGCGGAGGCACTGAGAGCCAATGGCATACTGGCTGTTTTCAATCCTAGCATCACGCAAATTGCGGAATGTGTTGCGCTGATCAACAAGCAGAGACTTCCGTATCTGTTAGACCAGGTTGTTGAGTTGGGAGTAGGAAACATTAGGCAGTGGGACGTAAGGCCCGTAAGACCGCGCGCAACGCTGAGGGAGAAGGGAGGCGCTCGTCAGCCGGAAGCAACCCTCTCCGATTCGCCGGTGCTGGCAGCTGTGAACGAGGTCGAGGGACAGAAAGCAAGGGACCGCGAACTGGCACAGGATTCGGCTAAGCAAGGGGAAGAATTCGTCATGGTGTGCAGACCCAAGGTCGGAGAATTGGTGGTAGGTGGTGGGTTCCTTGCTTTGTGGCGGCGTATGGAGCCTGCGCAAAGGAGGCGTTCCGGGGATTCTATCGACGGATCGTGACGGAGTCGGAACCGTTGTCTGCTGGGGAAAGGTGATTGTATGATACCATTATATATATATATATGTAGTTTTATGAGTCTCAACGTGGTTTGACCATTATAGTCTATAATGTTCCACCTTCCACTGATGTGTCTTGAGCGCGTATCTCGCGGCAAAGCAATGACGTTCTTTGTTTGTTCACTTCAGAGAGTCCGCGGATGTGGCTAATAACTAAATTCTGCTCATCCAAAGGACTTTTCGGAAGCTGCTCGCCCATTTATGGTCGTTCACGTGACTAGAGCATGACCTATTGTTCATGAAGGGCTTCACTGCTGTGGATATCCCCACTTCTGAATACATGTGTCTCATTGTTCCCATTTACAGTTTACATAGAGATTGTATAGTACCCCAGCACGGAGAAGACTCTGGCAGTCGCTACACCATCGAAACATCAGCTCATTCGTGACCATAAAGGGGACTTACGTCATCAGCAGTGAATATGATCGATCACATTGCGCTGCTGACGCAGTCGGAAGTTTGCGCCTGAGAATGCAGTTTTATTCTACAGCCTACAGAAGTTGCGTATCGTGATTTGTAGGGGAATGCTTCGTCTTCTAGACGGGAGCTCTTGGCAGAGCTATAGGGCGGCACACCGTCGTTTGTTCAAACCGTGGCTGATCAAGGTCGATTTCTCAAGATCGATTTCGCTAATCCTCTTTCCAGATCTTAATATAGCCGTTGTCCGGTTTATGAATCCAGGCTGCACACGCTCGATCCGTGAATCACAAGACTGTTCTTTGGTCGCGTGAACAGCTTCCGCAGTGGTTTACACTTTGCTGGGGAATCCAGCCACACACTATACGCAACTTTGGAACATTGTGCGCATGCCGCCTACGATCTTGGGTTCTCCAATGACGAGGACATATTCTCTCTGTCATAACGCATACGCGTCCACCAGACAGCTACCAAACCACTGATTGTAATCAAACAAGCGAATCCGTATTGTACCGTGTTGTCCGGAGAACGATCAGGTACGTTGAATACATTTGTTCTCCATCTCAACATCTATAGCCATAAGAGAAACAGCAGGCCTGACTTATTGTCGAATTCTATTAAATTTTTGTGATTTCCCAGAACAGAAGCAACTCCTTCCATCAATGCAAGCCCATCCGGGGATAGCTAATACATAGTATACTCCGTACATAGGTATTTTATGTGTGCACTACTGGCTGGTTAGGGAAGTCGCTTAGTTTACCCCACTGTATCTAGGTCCCACACGTCAAGTCCTTTATATTTACCTCGTCCGGCCTATTTGTTTATTCTTGCTGCAGGCTGTGAACGTGTGCGCCGATTTTGCGGCGTCGCCAGATACACCGATTCGGTGAAATACCCATCTGCACTGATCTGGTACATGTGGATCGCATTGTGGTGGTTCCAGACCAGGACGACAACACAACAGTGAACTTGGTCAGCTTCCCAATACATTTGGGCAGACACTTCACCTCGAATTGAGGGAAACCCAATTTTTCTAGGGCCATGAACGAAGAATAATAGAGCTGCTAAATAACAAGTCTGTGGTAGCCACAAATGATGTAAAGATGAGGACACTCGGGGAGGTTACCGAAAGCGGTTCAGGCGGCACTCCGGGATTCATCACCCATCATGCCACGAAGCACAAAATGTCTTGAACACAGATCAAAAAGGAAAAATTACGTTGCACTCATATTCAGTTGAATTCTTGCTTTAGACCTCTTCCCGGGCCCGTCTCCTCCAACAGCAGAGGGCTTTTTTCCCCTACCTCTTTTCTGCGTATTCCAGCCTTGTATCCAACATCTTTGTTGAAATCGGCTGTTTCCCATACTTCCTCCTCCTCTTCTCATGCACCTAACATGTTCAAATATTACGGAAGCATTTATCGGGACACAGCCTGTTCGATCTTTATTTGCTTCATTTGATTGGACACAAAGTGTCTGCTAAGGATGCAGAAGTATGTACTAAACCTTCTGTTCTTTGCAACATTCTAAAACCAGGCTAAAAGGGTATCTAGAAGCCTCTCAACGCCATGTCCCTCGCCGATTTATTAAGGCCCAAGTGGATATTTATCTGCTCCAAACACCCTGAAGAAGAAAGGACGATTGATACCGCCAGACTAATAGCTCAAGACCCGAGGGCATATTGGAGAAAAGACGCGAAACCGCACAAGTCGCCGGAGTCAGCGGAAAGCGTACTCAACCAAGTAGCCGGGCCTAAGCCCTTGCAGACAGAAAGTGGGAAATTTCGGTGGTAGACTCGAACCATTCGTCGAAGCCACGGTCAGGGTGCAAGTACGATTCGGGAGGGATTTCGCCAGGGAAAAAGGGATATTGCCACACACCTCCACCTCCCTGGGGATCGGTGTCAAAGAGATCCAGACCTTCCCCTAGACTTGAACCCGATTCGCTCGGATCTGCTGTTGCTTCTTGGTTTTCCGGTTCTTCGGGTTCCGGTGTGGGTGTAAAGGGCCTCCAATTCCCAACGAATTCCTCCGTTTCCGATGCATCCTCGTCGTCGGTGATATATATTGAATTTTCGGGACTGGGCTCGACAGCCTTATCTTCGTCGTCGACGGCGATATGTACTGGAATTTCGCTGCTGGACACGACGGCCTTATTCGAACCATCTTCCCGCTTCCTCTTCAAGTCCTCCTCCTTCAAGACCCTTAGCATGGTGGCGAACTTTACTTTCAGCACGCGCAGATATGCGTCCAGACGGCAGTATTTGTAGGTACACCTAACATTTTTCTTGGATTCCAGGATTCTGACCGCTGATGTTGCCCCAAGGATATACTTGTATATGGTGCAGATCGAAGCGCACGTTGGAGGAGGGAGTCTTTCCCAATCCTCCCACTCCTCTTCTATTGTTACGGGCACTACTTATTGATCAGAATTGAACGCATTTTCCGAAAAACGTTGGTTTTGGGACGATGGACACTTACTGAAAAATGTAGGATCTTTGAAATTGAGGTCCCACTGTTGGAAGGTGGGTATGTATCCTTGGAAAAAGGTTAGACGAGCCGAAACTGCCTTCAGCGGAACTCAGTCTGAGAACGGTACTTACCGCCCGGTTGGATGGGAGGCTGAAGCTTCTTGCACGCTTCGACTTGCTTCATAACATATACCCGATCTGGAACCACCCAACCGCCAGTGAGTGGCGATTTCTCGAGCAGAACCTTTGTGCACTGAGGACAATTCAGGCTGGGCAGGGCGCTTGCATTGTCTGGTTCTTCTATCTGCACAGACTCGACCTTTCCAAAATTCTTGGGGAGCCCGGTTTCCTCCTCTACGTCATCGATCATGGTCGTGTCGGACCAACTCGAGACGGATTCTGACGCCGCAGATTCCTGGGGAACAGCGCCAGTAAGTGCAACCAGACTCTCGGCCGTCAGAGGACGTTGGCCAGAGAGCGCGTTGTTCTGCGCCGGTTGCTGTTGGACCGCCCGCACTGGAGGCACATATGGTCCGCCGAAAAGTGGGTTGGCGGCTCCGCTGTGTGAGAACAGTCTCGCCCACAAAAGCCACTCTGGCATTTTGTCAAGAAAGGAGAAGGAAGTCAAAAAGATAAAGTGAGATTGTGATGGAAGGGTGACGAGGTTCCAACGTGCGTTGCGGACGAGGAGCGATGGGTGAAGGGGTAGGCCCGCTTTGCTGGACGAGGTTTTCGAGACTGGAAAATGGAGGGGAAGGGGAAGGAAAGAGCCAGTTGGAACTTCCTCTGAACTATATACGTGGGTGCTGGTCAATCGGTCCTTTGATCTCGTACACCATCGTCACGTATACATCGTTGGCTCTGGCCAAGGCCGATTGGACGCCCAGTAAATGAGACGACGCGAACGATGATGTCGAAATGTACGCCGAAAGCTCTCCGGATGGCACTAGATTAGAAGCGCCTACGAGCAGGACTGAGCCAGAAGCTGGCACAGTTGGTCTAGGTGTACGGGTCTGGCTGTGAAGAGCATGGTATCGAGCTCCGCTAGGATGGTAGGGTACCTCCTTATTCTCTCGAGTGGACGCACATGCGGTATACGACATACCCCCTCAGGATCCGCGTATGGCACGATTTCCTATTGCTTGCTGAATCAGCTAGGCCGGGGAAGCAGTTTTCTCCCAGGTAGGGGGCGAGATGCGATTGGTTTGGCAGTCACATGCAACGAGATCGTTTGGCTTCTGCACCGGAACGCGTCGACGATTCCTCTACGTCTATCAGGTAGCACTCAATAGGCTGGAGCCATGGAAGATGCGAACCAACCTCTGGATCCCCGCTTCAACGAGGCAATCCCTTGTTCGATGACGAAGAGCGGAGGATCTAAGGAAGAAGGAACGAACTAAGCAGCTCCCCAAGAGTATATGCATCAAAATCCAATACTGCAGAAGGTTCTGTCTGTTCTGCAGATGTCTGTTCTGCAGATACACAACGGAGAGGAAATGTTGTGTGGATAGCTTGTTGCGGAGTGTGCTGGGAGTGGGAAGCCGGGCGGCACGGCCACCGCTCGAGAACGGAACGCTTCCACGTATCATCATCCCGGCGCCACGACCTCAGGCAAGCCACCGCTGGAAGGTTGCGCTTGCCTCACCTGGATCACGTTGAGAAGGGGCTCTTCCAGTCTTATACCTCATAGAGCAGAAGGGAGTAGGATACTGCAAGCCATGTTACCCTCCTTGGACTGCTCAGCCCCTTTCTCCACCGCCCAGACGTAACTCTGCCTCCGATCGAAGATTATGCCGCCACTAGCGCCCATTGCAGCTGCTATCGCGTTGCGGCCTACAGACCGATCGACGAGCGTGTGAGCAAGTGACGGCAGGACAACTACACTACACTCTGCTTACTTAAGCGGCGAACTGACGGTTATGGTGACAATATCGGAAGAGCAGGAAGAGGAAACAGCATGGAGGAGCCGCTGGGATAAGCAGCAACTTCCGTATGTGAAGATTGTGAGGATGCCAGCGCGACAAGCGGCTGATGACGTTTCTATCACAGACTGCGTCAACTCAGGGCATACAGAATGCTTTGAGGCCGCCATTTCTTCTGACCTAGTTCGAGGGCGAGCTTTGAACCTAGAGTTTAACCTTTCAACTTGACCTTCATTGCGACGCGTTACTTGGAACACCTATCTCGAACCTCCTTTCGCACTCATTTCGTCGAACCCTGATACTCCCTTCAGACCCCTTTTCGTACTCCCGTCTGGTACTCCTTTCAAACCCTTCTTCGCACTCCTCTACAAATCCGTATTTCAACCGGCTCTTTCGACCCGCTACCTCGATCGGCGCAGTCAGACCTCTATCCCAAACCACTTCTTCAAAGTCTATCCCAGACTCCAAATCCGAACCCCTATTCCGAGACGCGCCTTGACCCGTCATTGCGAACGCCATGGAATCCCCCATGTCGAACACGAACTCCAAGCCCTTGATCCTAACCGTCAATCTCGATTACGCGTTAGGCGCATTCACAATATGGCGTTGCGTTACGTGGATACCTTATATAGGATTGGCTGAATGGAGTTTAGTTGAACGAATGCTGGATACGGATATTCCTCTACGGAATCGTAGAGGGTCTAGCTAAACAGGCGGGACGAGCGAGAGAAGCGTTTGGAGAACGGAATCAACATAAATATACACATACTACGCAATCACCATTTTCGTTACTGTCTTTCACAAATCTCCGCTTTAAAGCACCAAAGTAAGATAATACAATACACCCAAGAAGTCGCGGTAGCACGGAACCGTAGGGCTTGCATAAACTGCGAAGACGCCAGACACTTGAGCAGCTTGCCTGTTGAACCATTCAGAGAAGATCCAGATACCAATGCATTCACCGCCCTACTACGCCTCGCCTTCACCCCCTAACGGCAGCAAAAGAGAACGTCCTACCTGATGCGCTATCGTACATAGGAAAAGGGTGGAGAATGGAGAATGAAGCACGAATGCCTCCATAACTTGCGTCGAGAATGACACGGCCCAACTTCGAAGATGCCACGCCTTGCCCCATTTTGATTAGTTTTCCGTTGCGGCTTGCGCCTCGCTCGCCGGTTTAGCGTCCTTCTTCTCCGCTTCGACGCTCCTCTCCTTTTGCTGATCCTCCACCGCCTCTACGGTAGGGGGTGCATCGCTCGCCTCGGCTTCTCCCTTCTCCTCCTTTGTCTCCGGATTTCTACCCTCGACGTCGGGATGAGGAGGAGCAACGGGGGATCCGTCCACGACTCGGGCATCTATGAGCTCGTCGCGGATTTCGTTCCCCTGTGCATCCACTACTCTAGTGCGGGTCTCATAACGGGTCTTAAAACTTACCTTTCCTTCGAGTGCTTTGACCTCCTCCTCGTTCAGTATGCGTCCGTTCTCGTCACGGTATTCTATTCGCTGTTCTTTGGACAGAATGGGCAGCTCCTTCTCAGGCGGCGGAGGCGATACGGCGGCCTTTTCGGAGACGTTTGGGTCCTGGGGCTGCTTCACATCTCCGCCATGTGCATTTTGGACAGGCGGTTTGGCCGCTGGAGGTGCTACTGGCGCCGGCGAGGAAGGAACAGATACAGCGGGGGTGGTAGTGGTAATGTACTGGTCATACTGCAATCTGTGTCAATAGCTACATCGAGCGTGAACTGAAAGCACTTACGGATGTGAGGAAATTGTTGCAGTCCCAGTCCCAGGTGTTGAACAGTTTCACCTTGTTACACTGAGCCCTTGTCCACGGATTTCCGTATGCAAGTGGCGAGTAGATGGTGAAAACCGTGATACTGGCAGCCAAGAACGCCACAGCAAGCGCTTGTCCGACGGCGGGGTACTTCTTGATCCGAAGGGCGCTGAACCTGTAGCTGATGAAGTCGTAGACTTGGCAGAGTGCCATGACTGCGAAGTACAATGCGGGGAGATAATGATGTAAAAAGAGCTGCCGAGCCATAAGATAGAACGGGAAGTAATGGAATGCCCATCCGAGGATGGACGTGCCGACCTCGTAGTCGAAGCGCTTGAAGGTGACATTTGAATAGTCTTTGTACCCTCGTTGCCAACGAAGTACTGCAAGCCCCTTGATGATGACATATAAACCAATGATAGCGGTGGACGTCCACCAAATCAGAGGATTGCCAATGAGATAGATTTGCCTGTTGTGCTTTCCCCAGAAGTTGATCCCACGGCGAAGGATAGGCCACGAGGGGGGCCTGGAGTCCCAGGCGTGCGATTCAACGAGGCCAGCGTTGGTACGCCACATGACCTTTTGTAGCTCCCAGAACTTTCCGAGGAAGCCCGGTTTGCGGTAGTTGACCTTCTCGGCGTCCTCCTTCAGTTTAGGGTGATAGTTCGCCTCGATGTACCAGACGCTGTTGGGAAGAGTGCCTCCGCGGGCGCAAGTTACCTCCTGCTGTTCGTATCCCCAAGCGGGCAACTTGACTTTGTGCGAGAACAGAACACAGCCTGTCATCATATGGACTAGCTTGAACTTGGTCTGGATTGTTCTCAAACGCTTCTTGGCCTCGGCTCCGTCGGACATTGACTTGATAATCTCAACGCGGAAAAGATCATTGGCGTCTCCCTCAAATCCTTCGTATCCATAGGCAGACACTTCATTCTGCCAATCTGCTTCTGTGACCGGCGGTCTCACGTCATGAGAGTGGAGCCGTCGATGCGTGGTCGAGTGATACAACCGGATTATCGCGCCATCTTCCACAAAGAGCGGCCCCAGGTTATCCCATGCCATTGGCCCGGACGGTTTTGGCCCATTGGGATCCAATGGTTCTGGTAACGTCTGGTTCTCCAGCACCCAGATATTGTTCTCATCCTTGTGAGGGTATAGTGTAACCTGTTGCTGTTTGCTACCCTCCGGGTACATGTGACTGTGCGAATGGAGATAGCCACCCTGGGTGTTGTGATGGCGGATAGAAATTCTGCTACCGAAAGCAACATCCGCCGGCACATCCTGCATCCCTTTCGAGTTGAGAGTGGCCTGGAATTCTGACGACATGAAACCATCACCGTCGCCGGGATTGACGAGGCAAAGAAAGTGAATACCGAACATGGCCATGTAGAAGGAAAGAGGAATGACGATGAGGCAGAAAAATCGGGCGAAGAAGTGTTTGAACCAGATGCGCTGTGTGAAGGTCAGTAAGCAGAAGTTCTCAGGAGACCATTCGCACCTACAGGAGTGACATTCGTCGTGTCCCCAAGCAAGACCCATAGTTGCAAGAGAGTCAAGCTGCCGACCCAAGCAATGGTAAAGAGGCCGACCCACTTGACGCTCACAGTCGCACCTAGCCCGAGTCCCGTAGCCGCCAACCAGAACCACCATGAAGGTTGGAAGGCTTTGGAGGGACCTTGCTCATGCTGATTTGTAAAGCTTGTAAACGCTAAGGCAGTGATAGCGGTGAAGATGACAAGGGGTGAGTCAAGGAGGATAAGTCGTGATTGGGTGACAAGCGCATTTTCTAGATATTGTTAGAAAGATGGCATGTATCCTTCCCTATGAGGGCTGCGTACCAAAAATGATCAAGCCAGCTCCCAGAGCAGCCGTCGTGGTTCGACAGCCGGTAGCCTTCAAAGTCAGGAACATAGTCGGGATCGTCAAGACACCCAGAACGGCGGGTAAAAGCCGCATAGCAACATAGGGAACTCCAGGTCCGATGTAGTCTTTTCCGATCTCCTTGAAATCAAAGTTTCCATCAAAACCAGCCAACCAGCCCGCGAGAGTAATTAGCAATTTCGCCAGAGGTGGGTGAACATCCATAAAGAATCTCCCTTTGATGTATTTCGAAGCAAATCCGCCGAAGCTGCGCAGTCACGGTCAGCTGTGCCCAATCGCGCTCTCATTGTGTCCGAGCACTCACTGGACCTCGTCGAATACAACACTGCTGGGCTGATAGATCCTGTAGAGACGTACTACGCAGGCAACCAGCGTCAGGAGACCCAGCAATTGCCAGTCAGAGCTCGGAAGGTTGAAGACATTATGATCGCTGACGCCCTCGGAGGTGTAACGCATTACTTTCTCCTGTCGTTGCGACTGTTTCTTTGCCTGTGGTCTGGGTGATCGTGAACGCGACCTGGCCGAACTCTTCGTACTCGTCTTCTCTCCTAGAAACGCGCTCGTCGGGGGACGGTTCGCCATGATGGCGAGATTGTGAGTCGTCAGGCCAATACGGCGTTCCGAAGCTACAGTCAATCCTGGATGTTTGCAAGGCGATGAGGAGGCCAAACAGTGGATGCGACTGTAAAGGAGGCTTTGGAAGCTCCAACAACAGGAGACAACGAGAGTAAGAAGGAGAAGGTTGGCAATTTGAGGCGGGAGCGATCCGCGGGGATATATTTAGGGGCGGACTTGGTCGAGGGGCGGCGTTGAGCAAGCACCCTTGCTCGACAAGTGGAAAGTGAAATGTGGTCGTTTGATCCTGCCAAGCAAGGAGCTGAAGGTTGTGCAAGGCGGCGCAGACCTATGAAGCACCAGCTTTACCGCGAGTAGGATCCCTAGCGTCGTTCACCGCAATTGCTTGAAGACCAAAAGGCAGCTCCAGCCAACATATGGACCAGGCTAACAGACGACAGTACTGTGTATACTGTATGACGCGTTCGAAATGATGAAATGAACGCCAAGCTCTTCCACTCCGCTCCGCCCCGCGAATCCCGTCATCTGGAAAATCATTTCACCGTCGCCGGAGCCGGGGGGGTGGGCCAGATCCTCCTTCACCCAACAAGCCGCCCTGGAACTTCTCCCACCCGCAGCATCCGAACCTCTGACTGCGAATAAACATCAAAATGGCCGCAACTAACGGGGTGGATGGCGCCGCAAGCAATGGAGATGCCTTACAGCCTCCCGCTGATATGGTCATTCCCCCGCTCGGAGTCCGCGAGAAGATTGCGAAGACCGCGGATTTCATCTTCCGCAAAGGTCCAGCTATGGAACAAACCTTACGAGACCGCTCTGGCCACACATCCACATTCAGCTACCTTAACCAAAGCGACCCTTATTACGCTTACTTTGCGTGGTACCTCCAACAGCTACGAGAAGGCAAAGCTCAAGAAGGCGGCCGCGCCGCCCTGGGGACTCGCAAGAAAGAGGCGGCAGGGCCACCTGAACCTCCCAAGTTTCGGTTTTCCGCTCGCATGCCCAACATCAGCGCCAAGGACCTCGAGGTACTCAAGCTGACGGCTCTCTACACTGCGAAGAATGGGGAGAACTGGCTAAAGGAGCTCCGCAACAAGGAGTCCGGCAACTTCCAATTCGATTTCTTGCGACCAACCCACAGCTTCTTCCAGTTCTTCCGCGCCATCGTTGATCAGTACAAGATCTTGCTTGAGGAACAGTCAACCGTTGAGGCTCGCATAGAGGAGCTCCGACACAACGTCAGGGATCGCTTCCACGTCCTGGACAGGGCAAAGCAACGCGCGGCATACACGAAGTATATATCTCAGCAGAAGGAGAAGGAGGAAAAGAAAAAGGAAGAAGAACAGAGAGAGTATGCGTCTATCGACTGGCACGACTTCGCTGTTATCGCCACGGTCGAGTTCGACCAGGCGGATGACGCCGCAGACCTACCACCGCCGACCACGTTGAACGACCTACAGTCAGCCTCTTTGGAGCAGAAGGCCCTCTTCTCCCTCGATAGGCGGCTGGAGGAAGCTGCGCCTGATGAGGAGGTTTACTACAACGTGTCTGAGCAGCGGGGCGCTGCGGGTCACACACCTGCGCCGGCCCCTGTCGCACCTCCAGTTCAACCCACTTATCAGCCTTCGCCAATGCCCGCACCGGTGCCTGCACCAGCGTCCAGCCGACCGGTTGAGCAGGTTGCAGACCAAGAGCAAGCGGAGCGTGATAGGGCGCGGGCCCAGGCTGCGGCACGTCCGGTGCCAGGCAGTGTGCGCATTCGCGAGGACTACGTTCCACGAGCCCGAGCGGCTAGAGCGGCGGCGTCAACGACAATCTGTCCCAATTGCCACCAGCAAATTCCTCTCAACGAATTCGATGAGCACATGCGCATCGCTCATTTGCTCGACCCACGTTGGAAGGAACAGAGGGAGAAGTCCGAGGCCCGGTATGCAACAACCAGCAATTTTGTCGACGTTGCTGGAAATCTCAAACGGCTTGCCAGCCAGCGCGACGATGTCTTCGATGGTGTCACCGGAATACCAATCTCGGAGGAAGAGGAGGCTCGAAGAAAGAGGGCCGCCATGTCCTATGATGGACAGCCGGATCCTGCGAAGGACGCGATACGCCTGCAGCAAATGCAGAACATGAACGTGCAAGAACAATTACGCAGGATCCACGAAAAGCATGGCGCGAAGTGAGCCGGCAGGCGACATGTATGAAAGCCTCACGGGACAGCATAAGAGTAATGGTGTCTGCATGATTTGTGATTTGGTTTCGCCGTAATTGCATGGACGGAGTTCTATGGGGGATCTTGTGTTCAGGACATTTGGGTGTACACGGGACTGTCTTACCCTACTATTTTACTAAAAGGCTTCTTGGAAAGCTGGATTTCTGATACCACGACATGAATATGATAAATAACTCAATGCGCTAGCATCGGACTTTCATTGCCGTGAAGTTTAGCATTTTATGTTGGCGTCGAGGAGCTCGGAGCTCTGCCAGACACGCTGACGTGCCTGAGTTTGCCGATCGCTTGTCGGACTTTCGAGCTGTCCTCCGACATCCTCTGAATATGATACAATCGCCATCATATCTGCGCGTACGAACCTGACGACTGCCCCCCGATCTTCTTCCATATAAACAATGTCATTAACAAAGGCAACAAAGGGCGACACACCTTATCAAGTCCGCTCTTTGGTACGTAGCGGCTTCCGCAAGTTTTGCCCGCCACTCATCCCGCAGTGCGGGCTACATCTATCTGCCTATATTTGTTTCTTGCTCCCGTGCATAGGATCAATATACGCACACCTATGATATGTGGAATCGTCACTAACACTCGGACCGTACAGTACCGTTCTCTCCTCCGCCAGGGTCGCCAGTTCGCCGCATACAACTTCCGCGAATACGCCAAACGAAGAACGCGCGATGCCTTCCGGGAACACCAGCATGAGACTGATGAAAGGAGAATACAAGAGCTTGTGCAGAGGGGAATCAAGGAGCTTCAGATGCTGAAGGTGGGTGTCTAGGATGCATAGTTGGATTGGGGTTGGGTTGCATGGCGAACCGCTGCTGGATGAAGGCCCTCCTCTCGGAACCTTGGAAGAGCGTCGGGCTAACCACACGACTCACAGAGGCAAACGGTCATCAGTCAGTTCTATCAGTTGGATAGGCTGGTAGTAGAAGGGGGAAGTGCTGGCAAGGAGAAGGGGAAGCATGGGGGCATTGTCCGCCAGAAGGAACAAGGGTGCATCTCTCTGGACCAGCGCCTTCAATTACGACAACTAACACGGCCTTAGATGGGATTGATCGTGCCGGAATGACTTGTCTGAGATTCCCTCTGCATCATTTGGGGTTGCCACGGCTATCGTTGAAGGCCGGGCTGGGAAGGCCATGACGATTGTCACACGTTGCGACTTGTACTATATCAAGAGAGGGGTGTATGGTGACGGGCTGTCGTATATCCCATTTTAATCTTTAGATTTCCCAATTCGAGTCCCTCTCCTGCCTTTCCAAATGTATACGTAGAGGCGATAGCTAGGTAGTCAGTTGCGGATGCATCCTAGAAAGGTTAGCGCAGCCAAGACTTCCTCCATCGCAGCGCGTTTGCCAGGCGGAGGGCGGCCAAATGGTCGGTGTCCTTTCACTTGACGCGACGCCTTTTCGCACCGACCCCCATGCCAGTGACTTCATCGCGTTCCAGAAATCGAAGCTACCACAACGCAACTTGAAGACTATTGCGGCCATTCCAACCTAGCATGGCGCCGGTATGTGCACAGTGCTATTTCAATGTCCCTCAGCCTCCGTTCCTCTGCCTCCTTTCACCATGTACAACCAGATGCTATGACAGTCATTCTTCCCACCCGGATGATTATCAAGAAATCTTCCGCATTCCTATGACGGACATTCACGATCTCGTAGTTTGAGCTTCCCCCACATTTGCTCCGCGCCGCGTCACCTGTTCTCCGCGACCTTCACAACGCTCCTCTCCAGGGCTTTCACCGCTTTCTCACCTGCCATTATGCCTTTTCCGGTCTTCAGTGCCCCCATTTTATTACCCCTCTTTCCCTTTGTTCCCACGGAAGGACTCAGAGCTGAGTTAGCTGAATATTAGTAACTAACGTCATGTGACAACAGTTCCGCAACAGAGACCGATCCAATCGATTGGGACGCGGTCAGGTAGAGCACAATGTACTCGAGGGCCTACCTATCACCCAATGGAGGGAGGCTGAAACCCTAGTTGGACCCAATCCTGCCGATGAGAAACAAGCTGAGAATGACTCTTTCTTCCCGGAGCTGCCCATGCCACGAGATTCTCACTTGCTCCCCCTGCATTCCCAGCAGATTCTACGTATTGCACGGATGCCTCGTGCCGTCAAGCCGCAGGTGCTGCAGGAGGAAGACGGTGAGAATATGGAAGAAGAGCAGGAGCCCAAAGAGGTTCAGCATGGCTTCACTGTCAAAAAATACGTCAAAGTGCCGCGGCATCTCGAAGAGCCGGAACCAGAGTATCTTGCGAAGAGACGAAAAGGCCTACCTTCACACTATGTAGCTGATGGAGGTCCTGTTGTGGCCCCTCCGCGAAGAGAAACCAAAGTGAAGAAGGTCGATCAGGAAGGCAAGGTCAGTGTTTTTAAGGCGCTGGTACCCGAAGGTCAGACCATCGAAGGTGAAATCCTACCCGAGGATACCGCTCTTGCGGAAGCCCCGCCGGCTGCAGCAGAACCAGGGACCGTTGTTGAAGGCATCGGCGTGGTAAACGCTGAAGGTGTCGTGGTAGTGAATGAGCTCGCCCTGCAAACTCCGCCTCGTCCAAAGATGGCTCCTCCCAAGAAGAAGAAAACGAAACCTAAGGGACGTCCAAAGAAGAAAGTCGTTTTTGCCGAAGGAGCCCCAGAGCAGGAAACGCCAGCATCAAGCAGCGATCTGTTGTCAGTGCCTGGCGTTAAGCTAGAAAGTGGTTCTGCTGAGCCTTCAGAAGCAGATACTTCGATGGCAGATGCGGGTGAAGATGAGGAAGGCGAGCAGGATTCCGATGACGAGGGAGAGACTAGGGCAGCGTCGCCCACTCCCACCCAGGCAGGCACACCGGTGAAACCGCCCCCGGAGGAACAGGATCCCGAGCCTGCCGTTGTCGCAGCTGCTCTACCTGTTCAGCCGTCGTCTCCGCACTCCTCAACCGTGCCCCCTGCCCAGGAGCCTTCTGTCACCACAAGCGTAACCGTACCCGATCCAGAACCACCGAAAGACGTAGTAATGACCGACGCGAAGGTGGAAACCCCAGATGCAGAACCTGCAAAACGCGACCCCTCAAGCTCGCCGGACCTGCCTCTATCTGCGATGGCTCACAGCAGGCAAAACTCTCTCAATCAGATTCCCACTCTGCAGACTTTGGAGCCGCCACCTTCTGCTACGCCGCCTGCCCAGACTGTCCCAGCCGAAGTCCCCAACGAGTCTTCAAAACCTGTTGCAAGCGCTGCAGAGTCTGCTTCGAACCCTTCGACTCCTCAACCTGAGGCCGTTCAACCTCTGGCGGTCAGCGAACCATCCACCGTCGCGCCGGCAGTCGAAGGGGTAATTGGAGGAACGACGTCAGCAGGACAACACTCGCAGTCATTAGAAGCACCACAGCCAGTAGAGGGAAAGCCAGGACCTGACGACGAACCGGACTTGCTGGGAAGTTTGGAGGCGCACTTGGAATCTGAAGGTAGCAGAAACATGGCAGATTCATGATTCTGCAATATTTGTGCTGACTCTGAGGGGATTATTTATCTAGGCCCATCATCTGGAGATCCTGGCGCTGTGTTCTCTTAGGAAGGGCACAAGCGGAAACGGCTCCAGAAGGAAATGGAAACGCTAGGCGGTTCAAGAGGTCCACTTAACGAAGTGGGAAGTGGTACGGCTTGTGGAAATATGGAAAGGCGGGGAAATGGAGAGATGGATCCAAGAGCTGGACTCAATCGATTAGGAAGAGGATGTATTGCTCGTTGGGCGAGGGAAGAAGTGGAAATTGGACAAGCGGATCAAAGAGTCAGGCTCACTGGATTCGGAGGATCCCAATGCTGATGGGGAGCTGGACTCGTCTGAGGTTGCGACTGAGGATGAGGATGAGGAGGACGACGAGTGGCAACCGGATTCTGAAGAGGACTCGGACTCGGACTCAGATGCGGAGTGACAGGTACTTCCATGCTTCGTTGGAACTTTTCCAGTTGGTCGTTGGCAATATATGCCTTGTACAATAGTTCTCTACGGGCTTGAACTTTAGAGTCGGCGCTTGCTAGTGCACCGCTTATTTTGAGTGTCTTGGGAACAATGAACGGAACCAGATTGGTGTGTCAATGTCAATTCGATCCATTAATTACTAGCCCATGCCCGTCATCCTTAACATGATGCAAATTGATGGAGGGTGAGTTTTTGACTGTTAGATAGGTACTCCGTATCTTCCGGGGAGATTCAATTGCTCTAATACCATTGGAATCATTCACGCACATAGTATTTCAGGTGGTTAGCTCTGAGTGGATATGACAGAAGGGGGAACAGTAACTAGTGCTTATCCCGGGCTCGCGAGTTGTGAGGGGCAGCTCGTCCCCGACGGAAAGCACTCTCACCAGACGACACCGCACACAAAGCACCGCGACCTCGTCTGAATTCCTGCCCTTTGATTCGATCAATACGGCGCACCCGGAGGTGTGGCAGCATCATCTTCGGATTTTAGGGCGCCCGCGTTGAGTAAACGTCACAACAGTTGATTAGCGGCTAGACCTGCAGAGTTGTGTAGGTTACCTTGCGCTTCTTGCATCCTTCGAGGGTTTCCGTCGGCGGAGAAAGAGCTATTCGAGGCCATGGTAGCCGTGATGCTATGATTTAATGAGAAGCGACGACCTGACTGTTATTTGCACACGACATCTCTCCAGCCTACCTACCGTATATATCCTCCCACTTTCCGCGACATTGCGAGCCGTTAAAGACAGCAAAGGTTCCTCATCAGCCATATCATGACGTCTATCAGCGAAACCGTCAAGGCGCACAGGCCGGATTTGGGGCCGTATGAGGAGCTCTGTGAGTAGTAGAACAAAAAGAGAAATCGAGATTACATGAGCGTGTGTGCCCGCTGACGATTGCACACCCAGACAAGCACTTCCACGCAAACCCTGAACTTTCATTCCTGGAAGAGGAGACAGCGAGAAAGATTGCCGAGAATTTGCGGAAATTCGACGCCTATGAGGTCTTCACGGGCATTGGAGGTATACACTAATTCATCATGCCCCTCTCATAAGCTCATCTCCTCCAAGATACATCTTAGCTAGCCATATCCGGGATTCTTGCATGTCTGCAATTGCTAACCTTACTACCAGGCCACGGCCTTGCCGCGGTCCTCCGCAACGGCCCGGGCAAGACCATTCTCCTCCGCGCAGACATCGACGGCCTACCTGTGCAAGAGCAAACCGGTCTTCCCTACGCCAGCACCAAGCGAATGAAAGACGTCACTGGCGTGGAGAAACCCGTGATGCATGCTTGCGGGCACGACATGCACATCACTTCGCTCCTTGCTGCCGCCGAGGGACTTGTCAGTGCGAGGGATAAGTGGAGCGGGACTGTGGTGTTGGTGTTCCAGCCTGCGGAGGAGAGGGGAGCTGGGGCGAAGGCGATGGTTGAGGATGGGCTGTATAAGAAGGTGAGTTGGGAGTTGGAAATATGTACGGGCGTGCTTGCTGATAGAACCTAGGTGCCGGTTCCAGACTTTGCTATTTCTGGTCATGTTGTGCCGTTCCGAGCTGGTAAGACTATTCTTACATGTCTTGGATAAGACGACACTGACAGCTATAGGTGTCATTGGCACCAAACACGGCCTCGTAGCCTCCTCAGCCGATTCTTTCCAGTACGTCTCTCATCTTCATCTCTAAAGGACGTAGAATATGCGGTCATGATAGCTCACCCTCTCATCAGCCTCAACATTCCCGGCCGCCAATCCCACGCATCAACCCCCCACACCTCCCTTGACCCCATCCTCCAAGCCGCCCATACCATAACCCGTCTCCAAACCATCGTCTCCCGCGAGACTAACCCCCTCGACTTCGCCGTCGTAACCGTCTCCTCCTTCCACGCCGGCGACGCCGAAAACATCATCCCCAGCCACGCAGACCTCAAACTCGACGTCCGCGCAGCCGTGCCGCAGACGCGTCAACGCTTGCTACAAAGCGTGCAGCGCATCGTCGAGGCGGAAGCGGTAGCGAGCGGGAACCCGCAGATGCCTACGTTGACGAGGACGAGGGAATTCCCGTTCCTCTTCAATGACGCAGGTATTACGACGGCGTTGGAAAAGACGTTTTCGCAAGTTTTCGAAGTCGGACCCCACGGGTACAACGCCGATATCCCTCGCCTACAGGGCAGTGAGGATTTCGGCATTCTGGCGGAAAGCGTGGGGAAGCCGTGTTGTTTCTTCCTTTATGGGAGTATGGATCCCGAGACGTGGGATCGGTTGGAGAGCGAGCAGCGGTTGGAGGAGGTGCCGGGGAATCATAGCCCGAGGTTTGCGCCTGTGGTGAGGCCGACGTTGGGGGTAGCAGTGAATGCGTTTATGGGGAGTGTGTTGACGTTTTTGGGGGTTTAGGGAGGACCAATGGGGGGAGTGATGGTGTTTGGAAGAGGTGTTGTAGGGCAGACCTAGGTATGAAATCAATGGTCTACGTCCAATATCTTGATAAGACTAACAAGCAAGATTCCCTCCTTTGCTTTGATTTCATTTTATTTTATAAAATCCTGATTAACCGGCCTTGATTGGACATTGTTCCTGGCGGTAGCTGCGGCCGTGGAATGACTGCCTCATATAATGGGATTTTCAGGCTTAAAGTAGAAATCAATGCTTATATTCCGCGTAATCAGTCGTGGTACTTTCGACAAAATACGCCAGCCCTAAGCCAGACGACGACTGTACTGTCTATCTCAATGCAAGGGGCTCGAGGAGGGGAGATCACGTGATCAAAAGCATTTGGAATTGTGGAAGAATAGGACAAAACCAAGATGAACAGAGGGTTTATTATTGAGCCTCTGTAAAAGAACGCTATACAGGGAGGCTTTAACTACTAATCAACTAGTTACGTGCTCATGTACGGTGCCAAGTAATCTACGGGAATCACCACAAACGGAGGCAAAATGCCTCGGCATCTCTATTCCAGCTCCTTACATCTCAAATCTCTATTTCCAGAAAGGAATGACGCCTGAAAGACAAAGGCGATTTGCAAATGTCCTGCTTTAGAGCAGCTCAAAAGAGTCAATGGACACGCGATTCGTCTTCTTCAACTCTATCTCACCACGCTAGAGTAGCTGACTCGAACGTGCCGAAGTCCGAACACCCCTGCAGAGGACGTACAATCCCCAGAATTTCCCAACCCATCGCCGAGCCGAGGCGTTGAACGCTTCAAGGGCGCGTTTTGCGGGGTGGATTACTATCCTAATTGCACGACCGTTCAAAGCTTTCTGAGCTGAGGGTGTAAGCTGTCCTGTGTCTCTCCACTCTTTGTCTTCCGGAAAACACGGTTACTTTTTTGTCCTATCTGGAGAAGATAGCATAATACAATCATGGCCGCTCCGCATTCCTATACCGACATGTACGCATCTCCGAATCCAATCGATATACTCGTTAACTTTTGCAATACTGACCTGTTGACAGCAAATTCGAGATCCGGGGCAAGATTGGCATCATCAGCGTACGGATACAGACTGCCTTCCCATCATCTCCATTCCCCCGCCTAACATTCCGTTCTCCAGTTCAACCGCCCCCAAGCCCTCAACTCCTTCGGGGGCAACCTCATCACCGACACCATCGACGCGCTGCGCGTCCTCAACGAGCACCCAGACACCGTCTTCACCGTCCTGACGGGCGAGGGCCGCTTCTTCTCCGCCGGCGCCGATGTAAAAGGTGTCTCTGGCATGAATGGGGTAAGTGAATGATTTGAGAAAGGGCTCATTCGGGCTCATTCTTATTGTTTCGGGACACTTGAAGAGTTGGCTAAGGCGAGTGAAACAGGATGCGCCGACGTATCGGAATATGGCGGAGAAGAAGTTGAGCTTCTTGCATCGGTTCGCTTATGGTGAGTGGGACTTTGTTTTTCAATTTTCGTCTTTGGGGTTGGTGGTAGAAAGGGAGCATTGGATGTGTGTGTTTCGCGATTCTCTCTATCTACTTTACATTGTTTTGGATTTGAAGGCGGGTTGTAGAAGATATTGTGCTCCCCACTATTTCCCTTCTCCCTCCGAAAAGAAACCAGCGCTTTAACCTTGTTCCCCAGCAACCGAACTCCTCCGCTCCATGATCGACCACACCAAAGTCCTCGTCCTCGCCCTCAACGGCCCCGCCGTCGGCGGCGGCGCCGCCTGGTTCCCGGGCATCGCCGACCTGGTCCTAGCCTCTCACACGGCCTGGCTCCAATGCCCCTTCAGCGCTTTGGGTCTCGTCCCCGAGAACGGATCCGCCCTCTCCTTCGCCCAGCACATGGGGATCCACCGCGCAAACGACTTCCTCATGCTAGGCACCAAGTTGTCACCAAAGGAATTGCTGGATTGTGGCATGTACAATCGGGTGTTTGACAGTCAAGGGGAGGCGTTTAAGGGGGAGGTGGTACGGTTTTTGGAGAAGCAGTTGGAGGTGAATGATGGGAAGAGTATGATGGAGATGAAGAGGTTGCAGAATGCGCCGATTCGGGATGCGTGAGTGCTCTTTTCCTTCTCTTTCCTCCTTTTCTTCTTTCTCTGTTCCAAAGACCGAATGGGAATTTGAGTGCATATGGGTTCTGACATGATCATAGGAGAATGATGGCTGTCGTCAACGCCGTCGATGCGCTGGCCGAGCGCTTCGTCGAGGATGCACCTATACAGCGGTTCGCGAAGAAGAGGGCCGAGTTGGCGGCCAAGAGTAAGGCGAGGAGCAAGCTCTAAGCGCATTCGTGTGATTACGCAGAACTGTATACGATCCATCATATCTACTTCCCGCACTTGGTCTTCTCCATGATCGTGTGACATCCCTGAGCCAGCTGGCGTGAAGGAGTGAAGGATACCCTTAACCATTCAAACCAACCAGCCACCACATCCATCCTCTTCACCATGTGCCCGGTTTTTCAGTTATACATGCCTCCTCCTGGCCCACTGAATCAAGTACTCCCTCCCCTCCAACCTCCAATCATCCCTCTCGACAAAACTCCCATTCTGGCCCCTCCCCTCGGCCTGCAACACCAGATTCCACCCCACCGTCTTCTTCCCACCCTCCGTCCCATTCCCATTCCCACTCACGCCATCATCCCCATACCCGGCAAACCCTCTACCATACCCCTTCCTCCCACCACCAGTATACTCAGGCCAAACAGGCAAATCCTCGCCATTCGGATCCCCCTGATTAACAAAATGAATCCACAACGCGCTCATCGTCCGACTCAACGCCTGATACTCGGGCCAGGGACCCACGAACCTCGGGTTGCCAAATACAAACTGTACTTCGGAGAAGTGCTGCACGCCTTTGTATTCCGGTGCCAACCCGCCCTCGAAATCGGTCCACGTCTCGTTCGTGCGATTCTGCCAGGGCCGCGTGTTGAATCTGTATATGTAAGTGGGTGCGTGCGCGGAGTAGTGCCGCGCATCGTCCAGACGGGTCGCGTGGTAGAAGACGTCGCCGATGATGGCGGCGGCGCGTTTATATTGCTTGCCCTTATCTTCGAAGCGCTCGTCGCCGGTGTTGAGGGGGATGCCCAGTGAGGGGTCGTCCGGGTAGAGGCGCATGATTTCGCGGACGGTGGAAGGGGGGAAGTCGTAGCCCGTGGAGCCCACGAGGTAGTTGTAGAGGTCGTCGTCGGTGTTGATGATGCCCGGGGGCGCGTTGTCGGTGCCTTCGTCCGAGTTTGTGCCGTACAGGTGCGGGACGTGGGCGAAGTGGCCGGCGCGGAGCATCTCGGTGGGATAGTTGGGGATGATGTCGCCGTCGACGGTGGGGTAGAAGCCCGGGCCGCCGACTTTGGAGCTGTCGAGGAAGGGGTAGATGGTGGTGTAGGGGACGGCGCGGAGGCAGGCGAGGGTATCGGGGGACGAGGTGCAGTTTGTCTGGCGGACGAGCTTGTCGTAGATGGGTTGGTACCAGGAGGTTCCGTTGTACCAGGCGGTGGCTGCGGAGCCGGATTCTTGGATGGAGCGGTGGAAGAGGTTGTCGGTGCGGCCTCCGTAGGAGAGGAGGAGTTGGCCCTGGACAGTGATTTAGCATTGAAGTCATACGACTTTCAAGAGCCGTAGATGGGAGACTCACCACAGCAAAGGACCCAGCACTTTCTCCCCAGATAGTAACTCGGTCCTTGTCACCCCCGAATCCACCAATATTCTCCTGGATCCACGCGAGTCCTTTCCGCATATCCCTCAAGGCAAGATTTGTATTCCCGCTCCCCTGGATCTCAATCGAGTACATCATCCCCCACCCACCTTTCCGGTAATTGATGCTCGCGCCAATAATCGGCTTCCCGATTTCCACACTCCTCTGCACGATGTACGTGAGATTGTAGTAGGGTAGCGCACTGGTGCCGACCTGATACGAGCCGCCATGAATCCAAACCGCAATGGGTAACTTTGCATGGGGAGAGATTCCAGCTGGACGAACGATGTTGATGCTCAGACAATTCTCGCTCATGCCGAATTCGGCGTCGTCCTTGGGAGTGTGGTCGGGACATGCGTGCCCGTATTGTTTTGCTTCTCTGACACCGGTCCATGTCTCGTTCAATGACTGTGGCACGCGGAAGCGATTCTGGCCGCCTGTGTCTTGGGCGTAGGGGATCCCGAGGAAGAGGTCTTGGTTGAAGGACGCGAGGTGGAGGCCTTCGTACGTGCCATTGCGGACTTTGACCTGCGGAGCCGTTGAAGTTGCGGATATCGCTGTCGTGAGCAGCGTCCATATGCTGAGCGCATTGCACAACCAACGTCGTCCCTGTCGAGCCATATCTCCTCCACTGCCAGGCTCGCGACGGGCTCGATCCAATTCCCAGAATGCGAGAACGAGAAGCAGCCCGAAAGCCAGGACAGCGGTCAGTTTCCTATAAGTAAATGTCCGCCATGTGGTAATTCCCGCCCGCCGGCAAAACCCCGCCGCGGATTTGCCCTCGGTGTTGCCATCCTCGTAGAGGTGCAGCTGCGGGTGGGAAAGTGCTCAGTGACGATGACCGGGGTTTGCAAGGGTGTAGCAGCTTACATCCTGGCCGATGTCTGCAGGTACGAGGGCTGGAAAGGGAAGGTCGCGGGTGGAAGCCGAAGTTGGGCCATATTGACTTACAGATGCTGGTTTGCTACTTTTGGATAGCATGGGGAACACGAGGTGGCTGGTGATGGTAGAGAAGTATTTTGAATCCTCAACACCAAGTGCGCAGCGGAGCAGGCGGTGGCGACGTGAAGGTGAAAGACGCGACTACGCAGGAACGCTGGAGAATTTGCTAACGATGAAGAGTATGGAAAAAGCAGGTGAACAGTCGGGGTATAAGTAAAAGTAGGTAGTAGTCAACAAAATAAACAGAGCGCAAGCAAGCAAACAGATGTAGTGGAACCTCATCTTAGTTCCTTAGCCCCGCAAACGCCTACTCGTTCCCGTTTACATGACACTACATGTCTGACTCCCTTCGGTGGAAGCTGTGTGCGCAGGAGCAGCAGCAAGCGATGGGTTGCTCTTTCTCCTGGAGAAGAGCCTCTTCCGTTTCTGATAGAGTAGATTAGACTTGTTTTGTGAAGCAATTAATTGATTGGCACTTACACTAGCGGACGTCATGATGGAAGCCGGTCTCGCAGCCACAGGCGGTGGCGGAGGCTCCAGCATCGTTCCCGGCAACTCCACGGCAAACTGCTGCGGCGGCAGCACTACATGAGGATTGTAAGGGGTTTGCTGAGGCGGAGGGGGGACCGCATTGGCATAGTGCGCTGCTACATAGGTGGGTTGATCTGGCCTGGCGAGGTACTGATTCCACTGCGGGGGAACGGGAGGCACGGGAGGCGGTCGTTGTATGCCTTGCCTCTGCAATATCTCGGCCTGCCATTCATTGAATACCTCCTGGATCTGCGGTATCCATTCCGGACAGCCTGCAAAGTTGTACTTGACGGTCCGGTCTTTGTAGGCGATGAAGTAGTGCTCCTTGTTGTAGGGTGAGATGGCGACGTACTGCACCCACATTAGCACTTCCTCCCAATCCTCCCTCCGGAATCTTTCAATGTGAACTCACAGCAACAGATCTCGGCTCGGCCCCCTTCAGCTCCCTATCCAACCCCTCATACGCCCCATAAAACTTCCACGCAAAGTAGCCATCCGGCCACATGACGAACCACGCGCCATTTACCCCCAGCGCAGCGGACGACGGCGTGTCGTATGCCTTCTGCACCTTATCCGTCAACTCGGAGCTCACGCCCGCCCAGACGGAGCCGTGGCCCTGCGCGCAGCCAAAGTACGAGAGACCCGGGCCAAACGTGACGAAGCATGCTCGCGGCGCGTTGGGGATGCGCTTTGTCCAGGCCGCGAGGTCCGGGTAGTTGAAGTCGAAGTAGGTTTGCGAGTAGACTTGGGATGTGGGTTAGCACGGGGAGCGTTCATATAGTTGGATCCGCAAAAGGGATGTTTCCCTTGGTGTATGCGTAGATAGCTCGGTACCGTCGCAAGGCTTTCACCTGTTGTGCCTTTTGGTGGGGCACGGGCAGGCAGGATATGGGACTGATAGATAATACGCTGCAAACTCACAAATCTTCTCCTCCCCACTCAACACCCTACAAGACACATACCAAATCGGCTCGGGCGAGTTGATCTGCGGGCCCAGCGCGAGGCAAAACGGCTGCGCGATGCGCCATCCGGGGCTCATGGAGCTGTTGAACAGCTGCCGAAGGGTCGCGGGAATGTTGTAATACTTCCATGTCCGCGGGCTGTCGAAGAAAAAGGTCTTGTTGGGGCCGAAGATGAAGGTCAACTCCGACGACGTTGCCGACATGGCCGCTTTTGCATTTTTGGGCAGACTGTGACGGACGGAGCGAGGGTCTCACGGATGAGGTTGGGGTTTGTTGGATTTTTGGGTGCCCAGCGGCAGACGTACGACGGGCACGGGGAGGGTTGCCGGTGAGATTTGCTTGAGCCCTTGTTGCGGGCGCATCTTTTCTCGGCCCCAGCTTGCCAGTGCGAGGAATACGGCATGGCGGCTCTTACGGCAAGTCAAGTCAGGCGCCTAGGAAAAATGGGCTCACACAACACCAATAGGACCGGGGCAGAGGTTTGCAAACAGCTTTTATTACTCCGTAGGGGAGAATGGATGGATTCACTTTTGCTGTGTTTTGCTCTTTCGAATCTTGTGCGCCTCCCACCCTACGTCCATGCACAGAATATAACATCTGGTTGTTAGCCGTAAAACATGGAAAGCTCCTTCATGTCCTCATGTCTTTACGGAAAGTGTGAATAGTGTCCTTCTGCATTGCCGAGTTCTTTGTTGGCTCCCGACAAGCGGTGGACGCCTGCCAACGCACTACAGACGCCACACAACGACCTGGTGGTTGGAGAATGCAAATGCACTCAAGTACCGAAAGTTGAGTACCTGACTGCGCCATGGCCTACGGAATCTATACTCTAAAAAAACCTATGAGGGGAATCATGCATCCATCACAATACTATACATATATACAACCGCTCCACAAGCAGCGGGTCCCATCACCCCTCAAAGATGGAGTGATTCAACTCAACCCCAAAATCCTTCGCCATGACCCTCATCCTCTCCTCAATCTCCTCCTCCATCCCTCCCCCAACACCGACCAACTGCCGCAGCCGCGACCACCAGAAAACGACATCGCTCAGAACCAGCACGATCCGAAACCGCAGATGCTTGATCCAATTACTCCACCTCTCGCGAAGCGGTAGGTCCTTGCTCTCCGCGAGTGCCCGAGAAGCCCACAGCCCCGAGATCTTGATGCGGTTGACGGGCGAACCCAGGAACTGGTTGTTGCCCTGGACGATGCGCAGGTTGCGGCCGATGAAGATGAGCTCGCGAGGCCACTTGGTCTCGTCGCCGAGAATCTGTTTGATGCCGTCGCGCGCCTTGACCTGCATTTCAAACGCCCGCTCCTGCTGGTCCCTGCCTTGAGCTCCTTTCTGTATCTCCCTGAGGGTGGATCGGTCACCGCCTTCGTACGGCCGCATCAGCGTCGCGGACGCGAAGATGTCCGGGTTGTTGATGCCCCAGCTCGTGACGATTTCCTTTATGGTGTCGTTGTCGAATGCCAGCAGTGACTTCCAGAATAAGGCGTACTGGTGCCTGAAGTTGGGGTTCATGCGGATGTAGAGTCCATGGTCGATGAGGACCACTTCGGGCTCGCCAGAGGGTAGTCGTCGGATGAAGATGTTTCCCGGATGAGGGTCGCAGTGGACGATGCCCCACAGGAACATCTGAGCGGAGAAGAGGTCGACGATGGTGGTCATGACCCGCTTGAGGGACAACCCCAATCCGCCTTTGCCGTCCTCGCCTTGCCATGAGCGCCGGTCCGGCTTGAGAAGCGGATTCCTGGGCGCGTCCTCTGGAATATGAGTATCGAACTTGGTGTTCTTCTTTGGTATGGGTGGGAGCGGCGTTCCTCCTGCGCCTGGACTTCCCGTGTGCCATCCTCCATGCCATGTGTTTGTGATGCCTTCCTTATCCCATAGTCGTACACCCTCTATCCACTCAGCCGTCATGACTCTCTTGCTGGATAGTTCCCTATACACCTTGGGTATGTAAACGCGGCCGTTCAAGCGCTTCTCCGCCGCCACCAGTCTCTTCATCTCTTCCGCATTATCCGCTTCATTCTCGAAGTCCGTCTCCAGCATTAACCGCTCCGTGATGTACGGCACCAGGCTGTACATGGGGATATCAAACCACCACGTATACACTCTCGCGACGACCTTGAACGCCCACAGATCCCAGCCGACCTGCTTCGCAATCTCCTTCTTCTGGATCTTGACCGCCACCTCCCTCCCATCAGCGAGCCGCGCCCAATGCACCTGCGCCACACTCGCGCTCGCCCGAGCCGTCTTCTCCATGACGCCCTTGCCCTCCTCGCCCGTAAAAGACACCCCAAACACCTCCTCGACGGGCCGGCCAAAATCCTCGCGAATCACCTTCTCCACCTCGCGCCAGTCGTTCTGCGGCGCATCGTCGAACATCTTGGCGAACATCTTCTGGAACTCGGGCGGCAGGATGGCGCTCTGCATCGCAATCGCCTGCCCAATCTTGAGGTACAATCCGCCATTATATCGCAGGAGCTCGAACAGCCGCTCCGCGTTGCGCGCATGCAACGCCTCGATGCTCTCCACGAGCGGGGGGTGCGCCCGGAAATTGATCTTGTAGTCTAATCCAACTAATAATCCCGTCCGGAACGTCCGGAAACTGCGCGTGAGCGAAGAGGCGTTGAACTGGGTGTCAAGAACGTAGCCTGTGCCGACCACAGCGGAGAAGATGATGAGGCGGCGCGCCCATTTTCTGCGCCGGAGGGGAGGCTTTGGATGCGTAGGCTTATTGGGCTTCGGTTTCGGTTTCGGGAGGTCTGCTGGGTTGGGAGGACGGAGAGGCTCCCATGCGCCACTGTGGACGCGGCGAGGGAGGTTCGTTTGGAGCGTGGAGAGGCGTGGTGTCACCAGGTGTCTACTGAGGATTTGGAGAGGCGCTCGGCGGAGGAGGGGCAAGCCATGGGTCATGGCTGCTTTGGAGGGGAGGTGATGTAGCAGGAGTACGTGTGAAATCGCATGCCAGTGCAAAAGATAATTGTTTAAGCATCTCGGACGAAACCAAGTCCCGAGTTGTGGCGCAGGAGCCCCCGGTCGGAGGGATGACCTCATCGTAACTCCGTCCCGATCGGATTATTCGACCGCCTCACAGTAAATTCTGTTCACAGATGGACCTAGGGGGTAATATTTGGTTTTGATTTACTTGAAGCTTGCAACTCCTAGCAAATATCTATACTGGAATGCCGGTTGCTCAGTCCATCTTGCTCATTTCCACAACCTGCTGAAGCCTCCTGGACCTGATCGCATCTGCGCGTAGCTGGAACACGACTGATCTGGTAGACCAACATGTCTCCGTCAATCAAGAGGCGTACCTGCGGCCATTCATGACCCCTCATCTTTGTTCTGGCGCCCTTTACCCTTGTAATGTGTTTCAACACCCGCAATTCCGCCGTCTCAATCCTACCCCCCACCCCCCTCCGACGCCCTCAAATCCACCCCCCACTCCCTCGCAACCTCCTCCACCCTCCCCATCCACCTCCTAACGCACGGATGCTGCTCCGCCACCTCCCTCAACGTCGGTTCCTCCCCCTCCTCGCTCGCCCTCACCTCCCACCTCCATATCCCCTCCCCATCCACCCACTTCTGCCCCAACAACTCCTGGATCGCCAGCTCCCTCTGCGCGCTCTCCCACCAGCCCTTGGCTTGCCGATAAAGTGCCTGGTTCTCTTCTTTATTGCCCCGCAGCGCCATCGCCATGCCTTCGAATACTCCTAGTATGTAGCCGACGCGTTGGCCTAGGTTTGCACCGAGCGCGTATCCCTCGTCGAAACCTTCCTGGACGTATTGGCCTTTGCTGTTGGAGAGGCCTTCGCGGTAGGCGTCGGTGTCGAGGGCGCGTTGGCGGGAGGGGAGGTCGGAGAGGATTTCGTGCGTCTGGAGATGAGTGGAAGTATGATGGGAGTATTCCTGAGCGTGGGGTGAGAGGACTGGCGACGACGGAGCGGAGCCGTATATGTCGTCTAGAGGGTGGGCGCGGGGAGAGAACGGCGGGGTGGGAGGAGCGTTTCCGGAAGGGAGAACCGTGGGTTCGTGGGGTGGGGAGTTGTTTGTGGACATGTTGGTGAGGGGGACCTGGGTATTGGAGATCTGGCGAGGTGTCTGTTAGCTGTCCATATCGACTTCACATAGCGGAAGTTCTCATAGTGGTAGCGAAAGATGGGTTTCCTAATTGAGTATAGCGATTTTAGTGTCCGCGGGGAAGGGACCGCAGGGCTGCAGAGCAGAGCTTCGGGACATCATTCCATCCGTCTGCCAACGATGCATGCTTCGCTCGCAACACTGAATCGGCATAGATGGCATCGCCCACTGCAAGCCGGCGTTATAGACCAAAAGACGACTCTAATTTCCAGATAAACTGTGTATCCCCGATATCAGACGCGGAATCGGACGAATTGCCCTCCGACTTTGGTGCGGCATGAGCTAACTCTAAACTCCATTAACCAAAACAAAATATATATCTAGACAGTTTCTTCTCCTTAGTCAAGTTCAACCCGGCATCTCTCATCCTCCAGCATTTTTTTTACAAAAAGTAAAAAGCATTGCTACTCCTGATTCAATCCATAGCTTGAACAGATAACATCCTCTCACCCCATCTCCATCCACTATCCCCACCCACCAAAATGGTCGCCCTCACCGAAATCCGCACCCACAACGCCAGCCTCACCTCCCTCGCCCCCAACCTCGTCGCCATCTTCGTAGGCGGCACCTCAGGCATCGGCCTCTCGACGGCCCGCGAATTCGTCCGCAACACGACCTCCCCCCACATCTACCTCGTGGGCCGCAACGCCACGGAAGCCGCGCGCATCATCCCGGAATTCCACTCCCTGAACCCTTCCTCCAAAGTCGAATTCATCAAATCCGACGTCTCGCTGCTGAGGAACGCCGACGACGTATGCAGGCAGATTGCGCAAAAGGAGAAGAAAGTGAATCTGCTATTCATGACCATGGGGTACTTCACCACGAAAGGGAAAAGAGACGAAACGGAGGAAGGTCTGGATCGCAAATTGGCGCTGCATTATTACTCGCGGATGCGCTTCGTGCATTCGCTGTCGCCGCTCCTGTCGGCCGCTGGTAACGACCCGGATCCAAAGGCTAATCTCTCCCGCGTGGTCTCGGTGCTGGATTCCAGGACGGGCCGCAGCGCTTCGCTGGATTTCGACGATCTGTCGTTGAAGCGGAACTTTGGGTTGAAGAGCGCGGCGCATCATGCCTGTGGTATGAATAGCTTTGCGTTGGAGTATTTCGCCAAGCAGCATCCGCACACATCGTATATCCATGCCTCACCGCAGGCTGTAATGACGAATGCGGCGAGGGAGATGGGCCCTGTGTACCAGGCTGTCTTGAAGGTCGCGGCGACGTTGATGAAGCCCTTCTTTGTGGATTTGGGCGAGAGTGGCGAGAGGCATCTGTTCGCCGCTACGGCGCCGAGGTTTGCGCCTCTGGCTAGGGGGGACGAGGTCGAGGGCGTGGCGAGGGGGAGCGATGAAGTCATGGGGAGTGGGTCGTATGCTGTAAACTGGGATGACGAGGTCTGGGGGGAAAGTACGAAGGCGGCGGAGCAGAGGAAGGCCGGGGCTGTGGACAAGATTTGGAGGCATACAGAGGAAGTGTTTGGCAAGATTTTCGGGAGTGAGGGGAAGTATTGATGCACAAGGTGGAATGAATGGCGGCGTAGAGGTCTCTGAGTAATGATACCACTTCTTTGTGAAGGCGGCCAAATTGGTTTTGGATTATAACATAAATAGTTCACCGGACGGCCAATGTAGCATGGCCGCTATCTTCCTTCGAATATATCAGCCCACTTCTTTCCTTGCAAGTAAAAGTAAGAACAATAAGCCGTTGATACAGATTCGCCGATATGGGCTGATCCGTACCTGCAAGGGACTTTCCGTTTTGCGTCAAAATCCTTTGCGGAAAACCACCAAGTCACAAAGCTCGCTGAAGCTCAAATCGGGATCCCCTCGGCTTAGACCACGAGTAACTGCGTGAACAAATATATTAGATAGATATCAATGTCTCGTTGAATTTCGCATAATCATCAATCGTATCTACATTTCCATAACTCCCAAGTAAAATGCGCCAATGGGTATTCATTATTCCAATCCCTCGTGCCCACAATGTCCCAACCCCTCGCTCGAAACGAACACTCCTTTGTCCAAAGATGACAATGATGGTGACGATGCTATGCTCATGATAAATATCGAAGGGCTTGCGCCGCCTTCTGTACTTCCATCGTTATGCGTTATGCGAATGCCAAAGGTGTCCATGTGCCGAGTCGCAAAAGGGGAACAAATAAGACCGCTAAACCGCAGCAAAACGCCAATCCCCACCAAATTAAAAGATATTCCATGGAAAAGGTGGTCTCCGGGACTCAAGAGCACAGCTCAAGAAGTGAACTGCATAAAACCGGTCGCGCGTGACTGCATCACACGCTCACAGTCCGGCGAACACCGACCTCCGGCTTCTGCGCATATCCGATAAGAAGCCTGAAAGTGGTTCCGCGCTTTTCGCACTCGTTGATAAGCGCCTCGTCTCTCCATATGCTGTTCTCGAGAAGATTTCCAGCAGCTGCAGCATTCGGCTCACTTGCTTCTGGGAGCACGAGCGACTCGTAGCAGCGTGAATACCACCAGCGGCCTACTCGAGCGACCATATCCGCGATGCCATCGTCGGTAGAGCCCGTGGAGGAATGTTTGTTGAGGAGGTCGGAGAAGGAGACTTCGGGTTTAGGTGCCTTGGCCTGCCTCGGGGTGCCCTTGGGCTTATCCAGAGAACTGGCGGTACTGCCCTTTCGCTTTTTGCCATCGGAACTTTCGCCATCATCTGGGTTGGGCAGTCTGCCTGCAACAGGTACACCGACAAAGCACCTGTTGCATCCGACGAAGCCTTTGCGACCCAGAGCGGCCATGATCTCATCACTGATATTTCGCAGTGACACATTCTCGTCTGCTACCTGCATCTTCACCTTCAATCCGCGGATAGCGCGCCGCGCACGGTTGCCCATGTTGACGAGATCCAAGTCTAGAACTGAGAACTCTAGGTGTCCGCCAGGGCGCAGCACCCGTTTGCACTCGGAGATGACGAAGCGATGGACTGCTGAGGGAAGCGCCGGCGGGAACCTAAGCACAACACAGCCGAAGAAGCCTCGGGGATACGGAAACGGTGCCGACAAATTTTCATGACAGACATGATGATGGTTGCGAAGTGTGGACCATGGCTCGGATGCGCCCGAGGTGTTTGAAGATGACATGCCTGGTCCCAGGTTATAGACGCTTGCTTCTGGGTAGGTGAGAGCGCAGTAGTAAGACCAGTCCTTGCCGAGACCGTCAATGACGAGGACACGGTCCTGTGCGGGATCCTTAAGCTCGAAGTGAGCAGGGCTGAAGAGAACACGGCCAAAGCTGAGCCACTTGCTCGTCATCAACGCTCCAAAACGCAAGTTCGCCATTGAGACAAGCCCATCCGATTGATTTTCGGCCATCTCCATGAGCCTCGTGTCCCTATATCTGTTACTGTTTGCGCTGGCGCGATTTCTATCGGACTTGGAGGCGATGGTAGCCCGCGATTGACGTGCACTCAAACTGAGAGAAGCTGGTAGGCTGGAGCGAGTTGAATTTGGTCGTTTCTGCGGAACGGAACCGGTAGACATGCGACTACTAGTAGGAAGGCTGAGTCGGCCGGTGACGGGGTCGACTACACTCAGTCTCCTGTCCGGGTAATCTTGAATGAAGTCAGATAGTGACATGGGCGAAGTTGGTGACTGGGCGGAATGGAGGACTGCAAGTAGGCGAGATCGACGGAGGTGAAGGGATGGGTTTGACGGACCACAGGTGGCTACCTCCGGATGGGCGGAGAGAAGTGGATCCCTAGTCTTCAATGGCAAGGGCTCCAAGGACGGATGTCGACTGAACGTCTCCTTGTCTCCCGCACCAGCCCCTACCTCCAGAGGTGACAGCACTTCATCTATCAAGTCGTCGTACTCACGCCAAATCTCATCTTCCGACTGCGGTGCACCCGTAGCAGGAACCACAGCGGTACCGGATGGGGGCAGGAAACTCCAAGCACCAGAGCTGCTTGAATAGGACACCTCGGAGTCCTTCCGGGGCGGAAACTTGAAGAACTCACTCTGCCGATTGGAGGCCTCAGCGCTCGGGCTGAGGGTAGCGATGGCTAGCCCGTGAGAGAGAGGATCGAGTCCGTGAAGGACAGGATAGGGCTCAACAGGACCGGCGGTGACTGACAATGGAGAAGCTGTATCGAAGGAAGTCCTGGGGACGTGTTGATGAGGCGAACCGTTGATGAAAGGACGCGAAAAAGACCGTGATAGAGGACGATGCTCGTCTTGGCGTCTGGACACCACTTGAGGAATTCGACCCACTTGTGCGAGGCGGCTCGGGCGAGGCGGAAGTGTAGCAGGGGGTGGACCAGGTGGCGGGAAGGTGTCTGGCAATACAAACTCGGAGCTGGATGGCGCAGCTACTGGCGGCTCCGACGGTTCTACTGGGGACAAGGGTCTGAAAGGGGATGAGGGAGGTGAGAGATCGGTCAGTGGTGTCAACTCGCCATGCGAAAGGGGCGGGGGAGGAATAGCTACGGTCTCGGCGTCCGTGACTACCGTCAAGGAGGGCTGTGATGGCTTAGGCGACATTTCCCGACGGAGATAGACCTTTGGTGACGACGGCCGGTTGGTTGTTGCAAGATGTGAAGGAAATATGGGTTTTGGCGGAAGTAGCATGGACTGCAATCTCGCCTTCGGCTCCGCGACTGGTACTGAGAGATGATCGTTAAGAGGTTCTTGAGGCGTAGGCACGTCATCCGAAGCATTGTCGGCCTCCTGCATGATGCGCTCGATGTCTTCCATATCGATACCCGTGGGTGCATCAATCAACGCATAATGAGCCACGGATTTTGATGGATGTGCTCCGCTGACGGGAGCAGGTTCCACAGGGCGCGGATCAGCCTTTGAAGTAGCTTGCGCCCTCTGGAAGAAGTTCCACTTCCTCGAAGCCTTTGAGGTTGCCTTTTCTGCTTTGGTTTTGCTTGACTTGCTCTTCGAACCCTTGTCGGTAACGCTACCGGACGAAACCACTTTGGAAAGAGGACCTCCATCCATGATTTTAGAAGCCCGGGATGCCCTTCGCGTTGTCAGGGACGGTAGGAAAGACCGTTTCGTATCATCGTCGCTCTCCGATGGTCTTCGTGGACCCAGTGGCATCCTCTTCAGCGGCGAAGCCCCACGTACCGGCTCTGACATAGCAGAGGGTAGCAGCGTAGGCTTCTTCTGTTCTAAGTTCACCCCTGGAGTGTTACGTGGTCGTTGTGTGCCATCCCCAACACTATGAGAAATCTCAAGACTGGTGGAGCCGCGTATTGAATCAGGACTCGCAAGGACCTCCGTGCTATTTCCCGTTCCTCGAATAGTGACTGGCGCCAGACGTTCGAGAAAGAAGTCATCAACATCGGTACTCGCTGTACTTGTGAAACTACTCTTGCGGCTTGATGGTGTTCGATGTAAGCTTTCAGTGGTCGTACCTGCACTGGTTGACCTTCCAATGCTGCTCATCGAGCTTCCGCTGCGACCCCTCAAAGCGTATCTACCATACCCTTCATGACCAGTACCGGCGGCTGGTCCACGCCTGTGCAACTTCTTCTCTGGCTTGTTCGTCGGAGGAGGCTCCGTCTTGCGCCGAAAGAACCCAAAGCGAGACGTCTTCTCTGGGCTGGGGGCTGTGGTTTGAGATGGAGGGAGAGTTTGCTGTCGCTGGGTATCCACGTCACTATACACGTCTGGAGTGGGCTCACGGGTGGGTACACGAGAGCCAGGAAGGGGTGGGGATGCAACACTAAGACTTGGAGACGGGTTACGGGAAGAAGACTTCGACGGTAACCCAAATCGTGCTCTGCTTGACATGGTCCCTGCCATTTTGGAGTCGGTAGAGCTCGTTCGTCGATGAGAGGATGGGAAGCTGGCCATATTACTTTGGATGATGGGAGACGGTTCGCGCAATCCAACTATTTCAGCCGTGCCGTTTCGGCTTGGTCGTATTGGTCTTCGAGCTCCAGTCGCAGGTACAGGCCGATTATCTGCAAGATGGGCGAGCTCGGGGGGTACCTGCCGCTGAGACCCGATTTTAGACTGGGGACTAGGCGGTGGAGGGGCTAAGCGCTGGCTAACTTGTGCATCTTTTGATCTGGGCCCGTCAGCGACGACAGTGGAGGTGGAAGATGACGAGGTCGACGATTCACGAACTGACGACAATCCACGCTGCGGCCGGATTCTTGAATCATCTGGGGTGTTCTGTCTTGCAAGGGGGGGCCGGCCCTGCAGAGGGCTCGCCTGTCTAACCCGTGTTTTGCTTGATAAAACCACGCCAGGGGAGTAAGACGACATCGAAGTGGGAGTGGAGGATACGCTGAAGGGACCTGGAGACTCGGAATATCGCGTCGAGGGTGTTGTGGACAAAGCATATTGCGGAGTTGGTAGGGTTAGGATTTCCGTTGGGCCAATCTCATATTCATGGGAAGTATCCCCCTGTATCTCTACCTGGGGATCTGAGCGCGTCAAAATTGAAGAAGTTGCGGGCAGCGAGATGCCCAGGACGGTCTCTGAGAAAGGGTCCTTGAAGACACCAGGTAAGGCGTTTGAGGACTGCCCTTCCTCTTGAGAAGACATTGAGTTAACTCTACGTTGGGAGGGTTGATTGGCCTTTGCGATGCCGATGCTTGAGGGCTTTCTTCTGAGGACATTCGATCGAGGGCTCCCGATGGTTGAGGTCGACGAGCCTGTTGCGAGCGACGGTGTGCGAGTGGACGCCAATAATTCGGATTTCGGTAGGCGAGAAGAGGAGACCTGAGATAGGGTATCAGCAATGCGGACGTGCGATGGCACCGAAGGGGTATGTACGGTAGGAGTGCTCCCTTGGCGACCTCTGGTAGCTCCAGCTGGCTTCACCATGGGAACCCCTCGGCCGATGACAATTCTGCTCGCAAACACTGGAGCATCTCCGGTGGTTTGCTTCTTTTGCAGCTTTGAATGGCCCGGAGCGGGTAATTGGGAAGCTAAGCTCGGGGTGGGTGCGACAGACTTCTGTGGCAATCGGCTCGTTCCCGCGCGGTGGGCGTATGGTGACGGCTGCTCGACTCTTCTGGGAAGATTGCTTTGTGACTTATAGGAAGCCATATCGGTGGTGCAACCGGGATGGGCACAGCGAGAAACGGCTGATGGGGTCCTGTGCTATTGGGATTGGAGTGTGCCCAGTAACTCATGAAGGGATCTTCCAGTAAAGCGTGGTTACACGAGGCTCGAGGGGGAAGGTCAGCACAAAGCAAGGTCGTGCACTACCACGCCGGATGCTTCGTACTCTCGGTAGGGTTAGCAAGCCTCAGCTCGGGGAATTTGAGTGAGACGGTTCGGAGTGTAGCGGGTGGGTGTGCGGGCCCTGGAACCAGATATCGGGTGCCCGGGGGTGGCAAATGGACTATGAGGCAAAGACATGGGATGGGAGGCTACCCATTTAAGTCGAACAGCAAAAAGGTACGCAAAGCCCAAGAGACTGGCAGCAGAAACTCGGTGAGTTGTTGGATGTTGGCAGAGTTGCGCCACTTCGGAGGCGCCGCGAGGTGTGGCGGTGTACGATGTGTGGTGGTCCAAGCGTCCTCTCTTGAATGCAGGACAGAATGAAGCGGACGCAACCAGAGCGAGGCGGACAAGCGCAGCAGGGTGAAGCTGGGTGATATGGGCGATGTTGAGACCGTGCTACTCTCTTCTTCTTCAATGTTCAAGGGCACGGCGTGAGACGTGGGGAAAGGGGCCTGTTGCCGCAGTGGGGGAAGAATCGGCCGCCAGGTTATAGTGTGTCGTCGTTGATGACAGGCGGGACGTTATCCAAATGGCTCTTTATTCCAAGGGTGTCTTCAGCGTCTCCGTGGTCGATTCCACAGGGTGTCTGTTCTGCGATTGCACAGGGAAAATGGGGCAAGCTGACTCCTGTGAGACGGTGTGTCCTGGATCAGTGTCTGATATGTATACCTCGAGAAAGACCGAGAGGGTCGATTGCTCGACCCAGCGCGCACGTTTCGCGGTCCATGGCAGGGCCGCGTCTGCCGGCCGGGAGCTGGGTTGAAGGCATTCCGTTGAGGGGCGGCGCTTGCGGTCAATGGGCGGCTGCTAGAGGCAGAAGGGTAGAGTGGGTGGACTTTGTGGAGGACCAGTGAAGTGCTGAGGATGGGGTGGACGTCGACGATTCGCAGCCGACCCCTGCGCGAGGGATCGCCCGCCAGGCGCGGGGCATTGGCCTGGTTGGCCATACACAGTACTGTGTATTTTCTTCAACACCAACACTCCAGACGACTGTCAGAGAAGGGATTGTTAAAAAGCCAACTATTATGCCTGCTGCTCGACACCCTGCAGGAATCCACTCGTTGGTTGCTTCAGCTCCCCAAGAGATAGGAAGAGGAAGCCAGCAGAGAACGAAACGGTTCCGAGTCCCTGTCAGCCAGGGCCACCGGCTCAACCCTACCCTAGGGTATGCCTCAACCTCCAATTGCACGTCTACCGCATGACGGCGAGCACCTCTCGTGACCGTCGATGATTGCTGAATCCTGTTGTTGCATGATTTTGCGTGCTGCTGCCCAGTGCCCAAATCAGCTGAGGGTCGAGCCCTGGGATCGTCAACGACCATCCTGACGCCCCTTCGATTGAGGCTGTGCTCCCTGATTGTCCCGCCACACTGCCAGCACATCAAAACACTCGTCGCCCTCACCGAGACGTTCAGAGCAGGAGAGCAGATGCTGCAATGCCAAATTTCCGTGTTCGAGTTTTCCTCAGTCGTCAACAACGTCCATGTTGAAGTGCCGACCATGTAGTGAGGCATTTCTGCCTCTCCTGCCGCCCTTCACCCTCGTCTGAGCCGCCATCACCAAGAGACCCCTCCTACGCACTCCCATTCGTCAGTTCAAGTGTGCTACCGCTCACCCTGGACGCATAGCTTTTCAGTCACGTTATCTCTCTATCCCGGAAAGGGTATCCTGAGATAGGGCACTCTTCCAATGAGCTGCCACAGATGGCATCTCAACGACCGCTGCGAGGAGCGGGGGGTGTTACAACTGATATACCACGGAAGCCCAGCCGGTTCTGCTTACCCGTGCTCCGTCCCGTATGACACGGCCCATCCCATGGATGGTGCTATCTTGCCAACAGCCATCTACTGGATTCTGCCCCGATATCACGAACTGCCTCCGTTTGAAGTTTGAACGGAACACCAGACCAATTTGGAGCATGCTGCGCCGTGCCGCCTTGTATCCGGAGTGGCTTCTCGCCGTTGATGGTTTCCAATACACCCATCCGGAGCGAACAGTGCAAGCGTTCCACCTCTTAAGGCGTCCCGTAGGTGGCACAGGGGTGACAGGGAACCCCAAGCAATATCTCCCGTCGCCTCCTGGCATTCGAATCTGTGAACTGGAGCAGGCGCTGCTCACTGATTTGACGGAGTATGCGGGCACCACGGCACGGTACGGGGTGATCCACCACTATTGCGCGTATCCCCCATCCATGAACCATCGCGAGTTCTGGGCCGTGGTGGTAGATGCCCTTGGGGCTAAACGACTTTGGGATGGTATTGTGGAAGTGCTGATCTACGTATGGATCTGCCTGTCGTCTAGATTATGTTTCAGTACGGTTGATTCGAGAAGAAGAGAAGAAGTTCTAGCTACTAGTCGACAGTCCGATTCCTCGAGGATCATTGGCTATCCATCTCAGAGCGTGGACGGTCACGCTTTTGAAGGATATGTTGCCAAACTTGACGATGCAACATGCTTTTGATCTCTGGAGAAGTGAGTTCCGAATTCTGCACAACAGCCGATATCCTGCGTACATCAGAAGTTGGAGGACACCTTTGAGACACCACTAAAATCGCAAGGATAAGATAAAAGATGTAGGATCCTAATTTCGCCCGGGTCACCCTGCCTCGTAACAGCGACGTCCCGCGGAAACCCGAACAGCAACTTGTATGGTATTTGTTGGAACCGACCATGGATTGGGACTTACACATTTGCCGTCCCGTGACCTCTCTCAGACGTATCGAGTGGCAGACTTACAGTCGCCTGAACGAAGCAAGCATTTGCCAAAGTGACAGCATGTATCCAAGCTGTCGAGCTGCGGTGTATCCAGCTGGAAGTGGATGGGACAACAAGCTCCAAACGATATGACGTCGCAGGCTAGCTCCGGAATAGGTAAGTGTCTCCGCCAAGACGCTAACACCAGCTCAGCCTTTCCCTTGTTCGAGCCCTGGAGATGTCGCGCCAGCTCCTCTCCACTCTCCCATCAACCTCTGCACGCTTTGTTCTGCAGTTGCGCTCCCAACGCGCATCGATCGCCATCGACGATATTATCATAGTCAGTGCATCCTTCTACCGATACCGCGATTGCATCGGCCACATTGTTCAACCCTTTCGCTCGCTGAACCACGCGTCCCTCCTTTGACCCAACCTTACAACACCTCTCCTCTACACGGCACCAGTCGACGACACGTCCAAGATGCCGGAATACGCAAAGATGAAGAATGCCGAGTTGGAGGCGCTTCTTAAGACGCGCGGCCTTCCGACAGGCGGTAAGAAGGCCGACATGGTGGACCGGCTTGCCAAGGACGACGAGAAGAAGGCTTCTCAGTCGAGCGCTGCGGCTGCTGCCGCTCCCGCCAAAGACTCAGCTCAACTTGAGGACGAGATCGACTGGGATGATGATGAAGCTCCCGCTCCGGCTCCTGCGAAGCCCGCCGAGCCAGAACCGGAGACTGTCGACAAAGCCGGAGGTGTCGGCCAAATTGACAATCCCCAGGCGGTACCCAACCAGGTTGCCGACGTGGATCCCTCCAAGACTGCTGATCTATCCGTGAAGAGCCCGTCGAAGGAAGCCACCGAGTCAACCCAGAAGGAGGAAGAAAAGAAGGAGCCACCGCCCAGTTATGCTCGTGGTCTTGCCGCATCCACCATAGATGAGGAGATTGAGAAGCGGAAGAGGCGAGCAGCCAAGTTTGGACTCAAGATTGAAGACGACGAAGGTCTCAAGAAGCTGGAGCGGGCGAAGAAGTTTGGCGAGACTGGACCGCCAAAAGGGCTGGACGAGGCGCTCCCTGAGCGGACCTCACGAAAGCGCGGACGCGAAGGCAATGATCAGGGTGGCCGGGGACGGAAAGAGCGTCGGGGGGATCGATTTGGACGTCGTGGACGCGGACCGTGGGATGGAGGCGATGGCGAGTCCAAGAGAGACGCGGGTTCTTCCAACGGTGCACCCAGCTGGATGAGCGAGGCGGACAGGCGCAAAGCCGAGGAGCGGAAGAAGAAATGGGCCGCCACCCCTGCCTCGTAGACGACTCGAGATGTAAAGGTCATTCTCCACCATACCCGGTTTCGTAACATCATTTTAAATTGCAAGTGGTCGCGGATGGGAAGGGGATTCCAGGCTACCGGCGTTGCTCTCATTGAGTTTCAGGAATACAATTTATCATTGACCCAACGATGGCTCCGGCTCCTCAGAATCATCGAGATGTCGCGTCTTAAGAGCTCTTGCAGTGCAGCATTACGTGCGAAGAGGTGGACCTTGACATGACGCCTCTACGCTGTCTTCAGCTTGGCTATGCGTATCGACGTAGGCAGCGGAGAGCGGTTGGACAGGGCATCAATCCATGTCTGAACGTGGTCTCTGCAACTGATCGAATCGCGGCGGTAGCAAGACCACGATGCATGAAAGGCCGATTTCAGAGAAGCCATCTGGACACATAGCATAGTAGACAAAGTCCAGCTCATGCGGCGCTTTCCATCTTCCCGACGGCGGCGAGTTAACCTCAGACCACCCGTGGACGGCATGGCAGACAGCTGATCAAGCTGCGTAATCGTGTCAGTATCGACAGAGACCGTCCAAGCTGTGCGAGAAGTGGAATTATCCTCCAGGACTCTACCCGCGACATGGGCGTGGGAAGAATAGCAGTATGACTAATACGGGGTAAACGCGGGATTACCGTAATCGGCAACTCGGGAGTTCCCGACGCCGCGTTTCCAAGGATCCCTCAAGATGCTCAGGTCCCCAGGTACTTACGGTTCTGGATCGCCATCACAAAAAGGGGGCGAGACTCGAGGGTTGTTGCGCGCCTCGCCGTGCCCGACAACAGCTTTGACAACTCGGATGCAGAGAGCTGCCGCCGAATCGAGATGCAAATCATCAAACTGTGGTGCCAACGTTGCGACTCTTGTCCACCCGCGTTGCGGCTCCCGCCCGGGCGGACATGGCAGATGATCACTCGATCCCACGCTGCGCAAGTGCTTTTTTGGCGGCCAGGGGCAAGCGCAGCCGAACTCTTGCTGCAGCCCTGGCACCTGGGCGGTGAGCGAGCCGTCGTGACACCTTTCGCAGGAAACACCAACTTTTTTCCACCTTCTGCAAATTCACGCAGCAACAAATCAATTCGCCTTCGTCTTAAAGAGCGATTCCATTTGTTGTACCTAGACTAGCGGACACCAGACGGGTTCGGCGGTTTGCTTCTGGCCACTCGGCAGTCCCTTGCCCCTGCCAACTCCACGCTTTCCCCGATCTTTCCAATAATTTTTATCCCACCCCAAGCTCGCCGAAACTCGCAGGCCGCGGCAAGCTTCCTACGAGTGGGTCATAATCACCACGACAACCCCCTCGCTGCCTCTCCCATTCTCCCCTACCTTTTACGCTCTTCTTGACGGCTCGATTGTTGCTTTCCGACTGCTCCGACTCCCTCACCGCAGTCGTTTCCGCCCAGCATGGCCATGATGAAGGAGCAGGTCGGCGAGGTGCTGCTCGGCACCACCGAGGAACCCCAACTGTCGCATCTCACCCGCAGCGCCTTTCTCAAGCATGCGAAGAAGGATCCCGAGACGGGCGAGCACTACCTGGACGAGGAGACGTTCATCGACGCCGTTGCGCCCGAGAGCGAGGACTACGTATGACATCCCCCATGTCTGACTCGACGCTGCATGCATTGCTAACCACCGCTCTCTCCCACAGCACAAGATCAAGCGCTACCAGTATGGCATCCTCTTCCGCGTCGCCGACCGCGACCGCAAGGGCCGAGTGACGATGCAGGACTGGGGCGTCTTCCAGAACCTGCTCGCGAAGCCCGACGCCGAGTACGAGGTCATCTTCCGCTTCTTCGACAAGAACCGCACCGGCTACATCAACTTTGACGACTTCTACGAGACATGGAAGGAACACAAAGGGGAGCACAGCTTGCCGTTCAACTGGAATAGCGAATGGGCCACTCTGTACATCGGTGGTAAGGATAAGAGACATACCATGACGTACCCCCAGTTCGCCCAGATGCTCCGCGGTCTACAGGGTGAGCGGGTACGGCAAGCCTTCCTGCATTTCGACAAGAACAAGGACGGCTTCATTGAGCCCGAGGAGTTCCAGCGCATCATCAAGGAGACGGCGAGCCATAAGCTGTCCGACTATCTGCTCGACAACCTGCCGACGCTGTGCAACATCTCGGCCGGAAGCAAGATTTCGTATGCCAACGTCAGGGCCTTCCAGAACATGATCCAGCAGATGGACATGGTCGAGCTGATTATCCGGAATGCGACCACCAAGAGCGCCGACGGCAAGATTACTCGTACCGATTTCCTGAACGAAGCCGCGAGGATAAGTCGGTTCAACCTGTATACCCCCATGGAGGCCGATATCCTCTTTCACTTTGCCGGTCTCGACCAGCCCTCTGGTCGACTGGGCCTCAAGGATTTTGCACGCGTGCTCGACCCTGCATGGCATACCGTGTCACATGTAGGACTCGGCAGCATCGCGGATGCTGGCGCAAAAGCGTTTGCGTCCTCCAAATCTCTCCTTTACGACGTTCTGGAGTCGGTGCACCACTTTGCTCTCGGAAGCTTAGCAGGAGCGTTCGGTGCCTTCATGGTGTACCCCATTGATCTGGTCAAGACGAGAATGCAGAATCAGAGGAATTCGGCCGTGGGTCAGGTGCTGTACAAGAACTCAATCGACTGCGCGAAGAAGGTGGTGCGCAACGAAGGGTTCAGAGGGCTGTACTCTGGAGTGCTCCCACAGCTCGTGGGGGTGGCGCCGGAGAAAGCCATCAAGCTGACGGTCAACGACCTGGTGCGAGGCAAGTTCACAGACAAGAGCACGGGACAGATTTGGTGGCCGTGGGAGATTCTGGCAGGCGGTGCTGCTGGTGGATGCCAAGTGGTAGGTTATATGCTCTCGCGTCCTTTGGCCACGGTCTCTTCCAATTTGCGTGACTAACACGACGTAGGTCTTCACCAACCCGCTGGAGATTGTAAAGATTCGGTTGCAGGTGCAGGGCGAGGTCGCGAAGACGGTGGAAGGGGCACCCCGTCGCGGTGCCGTTTGGATTGTGCGGAACCTGGGCCTCGTGGGCCTGTACAAGGGAGCTAGCGCATGCTTGTTGCGCGATGGTGAGTGGATGACGCCATGGGGGATGGGCGTGTCGAGGAGATGACTGACTGCGTGCACAGTGCCCTTCTCGGCCATCTACTTCCCCACGTACAGCCACCTGAAGAAGGACTACTTTGGCGAGAGCCCGCAGAAGTCGCTCGGAGTGTTGCAGATGCTCACGGCGGGCGCGATAGCAGGCATGCCGGCAGCGTACCTCACGACACCGTGCGACGTGATCAAGACGCGGTTGCAAGTCGAGGCGCGCAAGGGCGAGCAGACGTACCAAGGACTGCGACACGCGGCAAAGACGATCTGGAGAGAGGAAGGGTTCCGTGCGTTCTTCAAGGGCGGGCCAGCGCGGATTCTGCGGTCGTCTCCGCAGTTCGGCTTCACGCTGGCCGGGTACGAGCTGCTCCAGCGGGCGTTCCCGATGCCAGGGCACGGCGAGGACGAGGGACCGGGCGGGCACGTCGAGCCGGGCGTGGGACTTGCAGAAGCGAAGGCGCCGTTGCCGTATCTGCGCAGTCGGAACGCGCTCAAGGTCATCCTCGACCTGGACGAGAACTTTGGCCGCCCCCGGCTGCCGGCCGGCAAGCAGTGGACGGGCGTACCTGGCTTTGGTGGGAAATCCCAACTCTCCTCCTCCTGAGTGGCAAGCATGCAAGTGCAAGAATAGCAGGCTGCCTTTTTTGCTAAAGGGAAAAACAGAGGAAAGCAAGGGAGAATGGGGGGTGTAGAGAGTGTCGGGGTAAAAAGGGGATTGGACAGAGGCTCGTAAAAAGAGGTGGCTTTCGGCACGAGTCTGGGGGCGTCTCGGTCCAATCAGGGTATTTGGTTTTTGGGCGGGCGGCGGCGCGCCAGTCAGGTTGAGGGGCTTTTTCTTCTCTCAGCCGCAGTGGGGGAAGGTGCGAACGAGACTCTTGCATATCGAGTCCCTACCAAGGACACATTCTGGGTAACTGCACACCGGGCTGGATGGAGAGACGATGGGGGAGCCGCCCCTCACACACGGCATTTCCACTAGTAATTTCCTCGTCGATAGATGGTGTACGAGTAGTCTCGTTGCGAGGGTAGACGACGGCATACACGGACGAACGAGCGGTGGGGGATGGGTGGTGAGGAGAAGGGCAGCAGCAACACCAAGCAGCCATTACACTGGCGGGTTGGGTGAATTGGAATGGGACGGTGCATGCAGCCGCCTTCTTCTCTCACTGCTCGCTCACTGCATCTGCATCATGTTGCCCTGACGCTCACATAGTTATTGCATGGATAGACATGGGGCGAGGCAGGGGACTGTACAGAATCCCCGGTTACATGGAGGTAGTCTAGTACTTGGACTGCACAGAAGGCAGCAGCCTTTTTAATCTATTTCATCGACAGGCTTCACTGTTCAGAGAGGACCGGCGTTTTTGTGCTGGGGGGGAAGAGATGTCGGAGATGCAATTCTTGGACACCAGTGACCACTAGTGAGGCGTGGAGCAGTTCGTCAGCCTTCGACCCCGCAGCCGGCATGGATGAGGGAACATTCACTACCATCTGCTCCTAGTCGACTATTCTAACTGGACTCTGGGGAGCCTCGCAACCAGGGCCGTGCCGTGCGGCGAAGGGCCAGGGAAACACGACTTTGCCGCTTCTTATTGGCAGTCGCGCCGCCTCTGCCTCGCTTTACTCTTCTCTCTCACCAATTGCAGTGCGCCCAGGGGGAGGTGAGGCTGAGGAGAGAGCGAGTGCGAGCGCATTTGAATGAGCCGCCGTGAGAATGCAGCAGCGGCAACACAAGAGAGGGAGACGCAGACTTGCCCGAGTCGTTGGTTGACTCGTCGATTCTCACGGCTCTGGTTTCCACACGCCCTTCCCCCCCACACCCCTACTGCTGCTACTACTACTACTATTAGCTGCAACGGCCACTGCTGCCACACTGCACTTGCGCCCGGCTTGCGCGGCTTGCAGCTTCGTCAGCAGCAGCAGCAGCAGCAGCAGCAAGCAGGCAAAGAAGAAGAGGAGGAGGAAGAAGAAGGAGAAGGAGAAGGAGAAGAAGCACCAGAGCACCACCATCACCTACAGCAGCAGCAGCAGTCGAAGTCAGCGTCGTCGACCCCGAGGGGGCCTTATTAGCTGTGCCTGTGTCCTTCTGAGAGAGGGTGTGTTTCTTTTTCGAGCTTGCACTTGCCCTGCCGCATTGCGCTTTGCTCGTTTCCCTCCGAACGAACCCGTCAGGATAGACCACCGTTGAGAGACGTGGTCGGCACCTTAAGTTATTCACCAACGGCCTGCTCCACTATCTATTGCTCCAGACTGCGCCGGCCCTCTCAGCGAGCAGCGAACCGAGCGACGACGTCCATCTATGCTTCGACATCGGCAGCCTTGCCACGACCTGTACCTGTGCTGTCCCTCGGTATGTCAACTTTTGTTTCTTCTGTCTTCGCCAAAGCATAAACCCCCAGAGCTGCGCCTCCTCTAAGTTGGCTTTGCAATTCACTTCATCTTCTTATCTTTTCTGCCTCTATTCTCCAGACTGCTATTTCTTTTCCCTATCAACTATGTGGTTGCCGTCTCGGCTTCCCTTCGTCACCCTGTTCGGCTGGCCCCTTCCGCTTCCCGTCATGCACTTGCTCTCCCTCCATCGACCGCCTGCTCATCTCTACAGGCCTACTCCAGCCTGACCAACAACACATCGCGGATTGCCTCGCCCGTTCGGAGCTCATGACGTTGGTTTCTCCGTCTGCACAGCGCCTTCGTCCGTTGTTGACTATAGGATTGCGCCGCTGCTGGCTCAAGACTACTGCCATATCTACCTGGCCACACTGAAGCAGCGCCCACAGCCTCCGCTGTGCACAACCTATGTCAGAGTACTACGACCCAGACGACGACGCCCTCCCGTATTCTCCCCTCCTCCAAGCTGTCAAGCCCAAGGTAACGCCCTCGCCCTCTCCCTCGCCTATCCTCACATCCACATCCCTGGCCACAATCGTTAGTCCCCCGTCATCACGACGCAGGAAACTGCGGCGCAAGACCCGTCCTACCCAGGGCGACTTTGTCCTCATCCGTGTCATGGACCCCAATCGACCCGATATCGCACAGTCTGTTGGCCAACGCGCACTTCGTTCCGAGGACGGCTCTGATACCGAAGAAGACGTCATGCATGATCCATCGGGGACCCAGGAATCTACCACGGCAGGGCCTGCTGCCGTCCAGCCTGTTGTACCTACCATGGACTTGCGCGCAACGGCGCAAAAGGCCCTCGACAGCCCGTCCGCGAGCTATTCATCGCCGTTGCATCGAGACTCTGCGGTCGACATGGATGGGCATGTGGGAGGATTCCTCGATGCAAGAAGGCCTTCCGCAGCGAGTACATCGAACGGTGCCTGTTTGTCAACCGAAGCGAGGACATCTCAAACCACAATGGCCTCACCCACATCAAACCGAGCCAGACACGACTCTCTCACCAATGGCCGCCCTCCCAGCAACCCCCTCGCCACCTCACCTTCCTCAAACCTCGCACATCTCGCCATTCCAACCCCCCGACCCACACAAATCCTCCCGGCCCTTCAACCTCCAACCTCCCCTCTACGCGACCCGTCCAACCCCTCGCCAAACGCAATGCACCGTCTCCCGTCCTTCCGCCACCTCAGCGAAATCGCCTCCGCCGCCAGCACCAGCACCCTCAGTCCCCAGGATCCCTCAACCCACCGTCCCACCAACAACAGCTTCCCGCATACCCATAGCCACGCCCACCGCCCATCCATCTCCTCGTCCACCCACTCGGGCCAGTCGCCTACCTTGTCCGCCTCCGTCTCTGCCCAACGGACCCACTCCTTTTCCTCTGCGCTCTCGCCGGAGACCCCGTTCCCACCGCTCAGCGCCACGAGTCCTCTCACGCCTGCCAGCGAGACGGGTGCGGGAGCGACGCCCAAGTCGACCATGCAGGATGTCTTTCTGAGGGGTGGCCAGGTGGGGACTTCGCTGTTTGGCGACCGGAGAGCAAGCATGGTATCGGCAACAGAGAGCGCCCGCTACGCCCAGGGTAACGCTTCTGGAGCGGTGGGCAGCCCGGGTGGGGTGAGTCCGGGCAGTACACTGTTGACGCCCGTCGAGTCCGGTACCAACGGAAACAGCAAAGGCAACGTCAACAATATCAGCGGCGGCGGCAGCCATACCCTCCCCCTGAGCGCCCTCGCCGTTCCCGGCCCCGGCCAAGGTGGCCCGCGAATGTCCATCGACGGTGCCATGGTGGCGTCGAGAACGCTACCACGGCCTGGGCCGGGTGGGCCTACGGCGGGACAACCGCTGAGCATACAGACGACGACGACGGTGCCGGCGCAGGGAGTGGGGTACCGGTGCGATTTTCCGGGCTGTAACAGTGCGCCGTTTCAGACGCAGTATTTGTTGAAGTATGTCTCCTCCTTTTCGATTCTCCGTTCTTAATTACGCTGTCAGCCTTTTCTGTTCTTTTGAGTGCTTCGCCGTTCTTCTCTTCACCAAGCGTGCTTTACGTTTGTAATCTTTATTTTCTTTTCCCTTGCATGTTGACTGTCCGTTTTGACGGGAATTCTTGGTATTCCTTCGATCCAGGTTGTTCTTCCCAGTTACATCCCCTATTTCCTCTTTGCTCTCCCTATCACCTATCCCTCTTTCTCCAAGGCTGCTTCACTGACCTTCTCCCCTTCTCTAGCTCCCACGCGAACGTCCATTCGCAATCCCGCCCGCACTACTGCCCCGTGCCTGGTTGCTCGCGCGCCGTGGGTGGCAAGGGATTCAAGCGCAAGAACGAGATGATCCGGCATGGCCTTGTGCACGATTCGCCGGGCTATGTGTGCCCGTTTTGCAACGATCGCGAGCATCGATATCCGAGGCCTGATAATCTGCAGCGGTATGCCTTTTCTTTCTTCGTAACTTCAGGGGTCGCGCGCCAGAGTTCTGCTTTGGACTTCGGATATGGTTTTGAGGATCATGAGAGTAGGTGTATGCTGATCCTCGCATCTACAGACATGTTCGTGTCCATCACGTCGATAAGGATAAGGATGATCCGGCGTTGAGGGAGGTGCTGGCTCAGAGGCCCGAGGGTGGGACGAGGGGGCGGAGGAGAAGGGTACGTTTCTAGTTTCCTCTTACGTCGTCTTGATCTTCAACATTCGATCAATTCCTTCCCAATACCGGTCTCTCTCTTAGGCTTTTTCGGCGTTTGCGCTGACGAGGACGACTGCTGATATAGGGAGGATAGACGAGTTCGTGACCGTCTCTGTGTTCACGACAACAACGACATCAACACGCCGTTTCACTCAACGCGGAAGCAGTTGCGGCGGCTGCATTCTGCGTGGTGCTCATATACAGAATCTTCCCCGTTTGTGCCCCTTTCCTGCGGGTCCATGGCGCACAGGTGCCTCCCAACTTTGAGATCTAAGGCGTTTGTGGAAGGGGTACTTCTTCCTCGGATCACCTGTCGCTATCTACATACCCCCATGATTCGCAGCTTCTTGCCCTCTTATCTAGTTTTCCTCGTTCCCCTTCTTTCTACACACACGGCTTGGTTTTCACGCTCGTGACCCTTTACTTCAAGCCCCTTTTAGTATACTTGGCTCTACTTTTCAAGCGCCTTGTTGACCCGATGATTTTTTTCTTTTTTTTTACTTTGGCTCAAACCCCGTCTCCTGTCCTGTTAGCGCTTCTTGGTTACGGTATTATACCCGCGTGTTTTGTATGTTGGACGCGTCTGATGAGCGTGGAGTTCTCGCGTGGGACATGTTTTGGGAGGCTTTCGGCATCTCTCTCCTCTGGCTTCGGCTTATTTATTATATGTGCTGCTGCTTCTCTTGCTAGCCTTGCCTTGCTCGGTTCGCCGACTTGGTGGTAAGGGGTGGATTGGTCGGTCGGTCGGTCGATGTTTAGCTCTGGGCGAGAATCGTGTTTGGTGGTGGTGGGGAGGATTTGCTGCGGTGACTGATGTAAGAGAGGAGGTGTAGTGGCTTCGGCGGCTTGCTGGGGGGAATACAATATACTCTCCTCCCTCTTCTTCTTCGTCTTCCTTGTGTCCTGGACGTGATTCAACTGCATTCAACTGCCTACTCTAGCTAGCCGTGGCTCCCACGGGATTAGCAAAATGATTGATTGAGATGGCGTGGAGAAGACGAATAAGTTGGGTTAGTAAAGTAGTTGGATATCTATCACGTCGGCGGATCTGCCTGGCTTTTTGTTTGTGTTTAATAATAACTGGCAGGTAATGAATGGCGCATGGCCACAGACACCCTTTTTCACACCGTGATCTAGATTGGATGGATATGGAAGCGTTGGATATGTAGCAAGGAAAGCAGTAAATAAACTATAGAAAAAACGAGGGTATATACATGCATCCATCCATCCATCCCCTCACTCCCCTTACTTAACCCCAGCTTCTGAAAAACCCAACAACACAAAAGGAGGGAGAAATCTACAGCTCGATGCCCGTCTCCTTGCCAAACACCTCGGTGACGCCCTGGCTGCCGTGCAGCGCGACCTGCGTGCGCGCCAAACTCGCCTTGACGGGCTTCTTGGCCTTGAAGATTTCCGACAGCTCCTCGAGGGTGCGGCGCCGCGTCTCGACGTAGAAGAAGTAGATGAAGGCGAATTCGAAGAGGTCCCAGAAGATGAAGAGGAAGTAGTACTAGAGGACATTAGCATGGGACTTGTCGGTGGAGCGTGAAGGGGGAGAAGGAAGAGAGAATAAGAGAATGAGAGAAATGAGATTGTGTAGACGTACCTTCCAACCCGCCCCCGAAAACGCAATCCCCGTCACAAACGTATTATAGAACCCCGCAATGTTGACCCAGAAGTTGTAAAACGCCATACCCTTCGCTCGACTCTCGTACCGCAGGCACTCGACAGGATACAGCTGCTGCAGCGGCGTGTAACCCGCCGAGAAGATGAAGCCGAAGATGAAGATGAAAGCGATGACGGCTTTGGCCTGACCGGGCCGCTTGATCAGGGGTGTCCCGCCTGCGTCCTTTAGCGGTTTCCCGTCGGGCCCGTTGATCAGGTTCGTGGCGACGAGGGCGCACACAATGGAGAAGATGACGACGAGGCAGGCCGTCGAGACGAGCAGCTGGGGTCTCCGGCCCCATTTATCCGTGTACATTGCGCCGAAGACGGCGCCCGCGAAACTGACGACGTTCTGCATGCCGTTGTACAGCAGGCGGGTGTGGTTATTCGTGATGCCGGCGCCCTGCAGCATGGTCGGGTAGTAGTACGAGACGGGCCCGTTGCCGGACCACTGGCCGAAGAAGCCCATGGACAGGACGAGCATGGTGCGGTAGCGCTGCTCGCGCGAGTTGAAGAGCTCGCGGTAGTCCCACCAGCGCTTGTCGGAGCCCGTCACGCTTATGTCCTCGACCATCTCCTTGTACTCGAGCTGCACGATGGGCGAGTCGCGCGAGCCCTCGCCGTGGAAGCGCGCCATGGTGTCGAGGGCTTCCTCGTGCCGGTCGTTTGCGATGAGCCAGCGGGGGGTCTCGGGCAGGAAGGGCGAGCAGAGCAGGACGATGCCTGCGAAGACCATTTGCAGCCAGATGGGGATCCGCCAGCTGTTGGTGCCCGCGATCATGGAGGTGCCGAAGGGGACAAAGGTTCCCGGGATGCCGCCCACGAACCAGAAGGTGTTGAAGATGCCCGTCAGGACGCCGCGGTACGCTGGGTGCGCCATCTCCGAGGCGTAGGCGGGACCGGCCGTCGACGTGATGGACACGCCGAAGCCCAGCACGAAGCGCCCGCCCATGAACCCGCCCAGGTTGGTGCACGTGGCCTGGATGCAGGTGCCCAGGACGATGATGAGGCAGCCGATGAACATGCCCCATTTCCTTCCCTTCCAGTCGGCGGCGGGGCCCGCCGCGAAAGAGCCCACGAGGTTGCCGATGGTGTAGATGGCGTACACGATGCCCGTGGCCGGGGTGCCTTCGTTGACGTCGAAGCCAAAGTATTCGCGGTATTGCGGGTAGCTGTTGATGGCGCCCATGAGCGAGCCGTCGTAGCCGTTGATGCAGGAGTTGAGGGTCGCGATGAGGAGGACGAGGTAGAGCTGGTGCGATTGTTATTATTGCCTTGTTCCAGTATTTCGTCCTCGAAAGAAATATTATCGGAGACCAATATACACAGTAGAATCTTTTGAATATGCGGGACTCTGAGCAGCATCTTTCTCCAGTGACAAAATTCCATGAAATGTCGTCTCAACAGCTTGGGTTATAGGAAAACACTCCGGTGCTGACCTTGAACATGGCCGGTGTCCATGGCGACACTCCCGCCTTCGCCGTCGCGTCCGCCAGAGCAACATTCTGCACTTCGCGCAGCTCCGTAGCGCTCCCAGGACGCACGACCGTGTGGGACGTTTGAGCGTCCCTCTTCTGCTCGGTTGACATGCTGGACCGACGGCTCTCAAAGAGCCACGGAATCAATCGTACGGTGGGATCGACGTTCAGAGGAGATCGCTCAGGTGCGAGCTCGAGCCATGCTCCATCCCAAGGAAACCTAGGGGAGACACACCTTATAATATACACCGGCAACGCTCGAACCACTTCTCTTACACGAACCCGGGAGCGAGATGCAGGCCCCGACCAGGGTTGTTGCTCAAGGTTCACCTCAGCGAAGACCAGGTACAAGCTCAGACCATCCGGCACGGCTGAGAGAACGGATTATTGGATGGATTCTGGTTGCAAGAACATGGCCCATCATGGCGGCGTGCCCACGCGATCTCTCATGCCTTTCTGGAAGAGGGCGTTGTCAGAGAGGGTATTTTGCTTGCCTCCGTGTCTATTTGGATAAAAAGCGCCACCGAGCGGAGTATTTTGTACCTGTTTTTGAAAGGTATCTGGATTGTGTCTGCCTCATGAGTACGACGGGCGGATTGAAGATTGCTCAGGCGTGTACATCTTTCATCCCAAGTTGAACCAGACAAGGTCATCCTCCATCGCCAACGCCAACGGTGCGGCAGTGGCACATCGCGTTTGTTCTGGAAGATGTTCGCAAAAGAAAATATTGCGGGGATAGCGCCCGTCGATGCCAGCCTTGTTGATCCAGTGGCGGGAGACGAGGGGCTGATTGGAGTCGTGTGGAGAAGAAAACTGGTGCCCGACATGAGACGGTGGTTGGCGCTCCGTGGCGGAACCGGAATAGCGTGCCGAGCGCCCCCGGATCTCCACGACAGGACCATCGACTTTTTGTCACGACATCTCCACCAGATGGAAGTACTGTTAGAAATTTGTCCGTCAATGATAGTCCAATCTGAGCGTCGCGTCTATACTCGGGAACCTGATGTGGCGGGAATGAGGAGTTGAGGGTATGTTTCTCATCCGAATGTTCCTCCCCGTCTCTTGGACGAGCTGGCACACCCTCACCGTCTCAGAAAGCCGACAACAGCAGCTAGTAGTCCAAATGCGCGTTTCAGCAATGCGATTGCAGGAACTCTGGGAGAGCCTTGAGCTGCGAGTTGAACTGAACATTGCAGCATTTTCTCTCATCCCTGCCACATCAGTACAACTCACCCTAATGATTCCGATATTGACAAGCCCGAAATCCCAACTTCTCAACTTCCCAATTCAAACCCAAGTCCCAGAAACCTGGTCACCGACGCCTACACACTACTGTGTACGCACCGCGAAGAAACAATTCCCTCCGTGTTCTTCGCAGCCTACCCTAGCTTTACGCGCCAAGGGGGCGAGTCTCCTCAATATGCGGCGCTGGACGCAGTGCTTTCGCTCTCACCGAATGCAAGTAAAATCTCAAGATCAAACATCAGCACGGGTTTGTGATTGAGTGATTACCATGCCGCGATCAAGCAACCCGAGCCTGGTATTGAGCATATAACTCAGCCGCGGATAAGAGTTTATTGGTTGGTTACACGCTGCATGCCTGTATCCTGTGTCTCAAATGAATGGCGCGTCCCTGATATTGATAGCTACACACACTCGTGTTCTACATCCAACACTTTCTAGAAAGATACACCTTCCACAATGCTACTTCTTGCGTACGACACCTTTCTTGTCCAAAGACCGGGCTATATCAATTCACTCTCTTGTATGATCTTCGGCTTGGATGCTCGAGCTGTCTTTGCTTCCAAGCCAACAGCTGCACACTTCACAAGCATTCACGCCAGTCCAACTTTCGAACCTCCCAACTGTCCCTGGCTCCAACACTTACGGTCCAGCGTGACTTTACCTTCTCGCAGGCTACTGCAGTGTATCCGGGCGGTGACACCAGTGCTATCCCGTCTCGCTTATGTATAGCGGATGGTCATTCCCGAATGGACACGGAGATCGAACGTCCGCTCCAGATGTTGCACCTTGTTTGGGACGACCACCGCCTTTTGGGTGTGCTGCTTGACTGCCTTTTACTGATGCTTTGCGTTGTTGTCTGAAGCCGTTTCTCCTGAGAGTCAACTCAGGGTCTAATAATAGTGGGCTAAGTTCATATGCGAGGAAAGCTCCTTTCTAGAGCGAACCTTTCTTTGAAAAGACTATTGCCTCCAACCAACTTGTAGAGTATCCGATGCCGATTCTGCCCTTATTGATCCACCTCTTTTCCATACTGCGAGTACAGTAACACCTCTTCAAGTTGGAAATGTTTGCTATGGCATGATGCAATCCGTTTCCTATATCTTTGGGTTTTTATTTGAGCAAAAGCGTGCTACGATCTGATACTTCATCATGTCTTAGCCCTTTAATTATCTCTTATGTAACCCAAGTGTGGCTCGTGCCCCTCTGCAACTGCACGTCACCCAAACAAACACCCCGCCAGTGGGCAACACCAACTCTCCCTCTCGCGCTCAACTGCCTTCCCACTCCCACAAACATCGACCGACTGGCTGATTGGACGACTGAGCGACTTCCTCGTACACCACAAAATTCTCCTTATCCCCGTTTCTGTCCGCCGGCGGCCGTCCGCTCCTCCCTTTCCCGTCAATATGCACTGACGCCCCAAACTTGGGGGTCTGCCAACGACCCACCAAACACAAGCCCTCTCGTTCGCCAAAGCCCCGTCAGATAGAAACGCATGGTGGTAGAAAGGGAGAAGCAGCAATGCACCGTCCTCGCCCTGAACCGAAGTACAGCTTTACGATACCGAGTGTGCATGACGATACTAGGCTTGACTGTCGGATCTATCATCCTGGATCGTTGGAGGAGGGATTGCAAGATGCGGATCGGTCTATGTCATTGCCGTCTGGTGTAGAGGATGCCGGAAAGCTGGGAATTGGTGTTGGCGAGGCTGAGTTGGGTGAGCACGCCAGCACGCGCAATACGAAGTGGAGGAGGAGAGGCATCGTAGTGGCGCATCCGTATGCTCCCCTCGGAGGTAGCTACGATGATCGCGTGGTAGGCATCGTGGTGGAGGAGTTCGTTCGAATGGGTTGGATTGTAGGGACTTTTTGTTTCCGGTACGTATGTGTTCGCGCGCTTCGTTGAGTGAGGAAAATGGTTCGGCACGCAAGAAAGAAGGGCTTTCATGCTGACGAACGGTCTGCAGAGGCGCACACGAGTCCCAGGGCCGCACAAGCTGGACAGGCAGACCCGAAGTGCGTGATTACATTTCGTTTACAGGCTGCTTCATGCTCTACCTGTCATTCCTCCACCCGTGTCCCTCGTCATCGCTTCTCTATTCCCCATCGCCACTTCAGGCTCCCTCGTCCAGCACCTCCAACGACTCCACGATCATCCTCTCCGGCTACTCCCACGGCAGCCTAATCCTCCAACACCTTCCCCATGTTCCCTCCATCCTCCAACACTTCGTCTCTCCTGTACAAGGCTCCGCAGCAAGCGAAATCGTGCTTCGAGCAAAACGGCTAGCCGAGCAAACGAATACAGAATGGAAGGCTCTAACTCTAGCTCGGGCAAAGGAACGGGAGGAGGAACAGGAACGGGGTCGCGAAGCCATAGCGAAGACGCACGCACACGATAGAAATCGATTATGCGTTACCATGGGCGGAGAGGAAACGGCCCCAGAGGTGCGCAGGAGTAGTCGGGAGATCCGGCGAAGTATAGAGGGCCGGCGCAGTCTGGAACTAGGCAGTCGACTACGGGGACTGAGTTTCGGCAGGAAGGGGTTGCATGATGCTCGAAAAGGGATAGAAGTCGAAGGTGGAGAAGAAGACGACGGAGCAGGACCTGACCCCAGCGAAACGCAACAGAGTGCTTCGTCCTCGAAGAACACCACGTCCATCCCGACCCCTTCACACATCTACTACCTACTCATCTCCCCCCTCACACCGCCTCTGTCCTATTTCCTCGCCCCGGGCCTCCACTCCCTACCCTTCTGGCCGCGCCGCGATAATGGCAAATCCCATCGAGCTGAATCCCTCATGCAGCACGACTCACTGGTCCTATTCGGCGACCAGGATGTTTTCTCTTCCGCCAAGAGGATACGCGCGTGGGTGGAGCGGTTGCGTGAGGGAGGCGGGAAGGTGGAGGCCGTCGAGGTTAATGGGGCAGGGCATTTCTGGGTTGGGGAGCAGGTCGAGGCGGCGTTGAGGGGAGAGATTAGGAGATGGGGGAGTGCGGTCTAGGAAGGCTGCTGGGGCTGTGGCGAGAATAGATACAGGCTCGGACGAAAGCGTGGTATAGAGCCTTGATGCACAGGACAACTGCACTTGAGTCTTCTTGCATTCCCTGCCTCATTCTTTAGCTCTGAGCCTAGCGTATGGAAATGCACTGGCTCATAGCCGACGAATCATCTACCGGCCAGACGCGGCATCATGTTAACAAAAAAGGTCGAGGCAAAATGAATCGAGTACGTGAGCTTCCAGCCCTGTCGGATTAGTGCAGTAGAACCACAATTGTGCCAGAAGCTTTCACACTTGCTTTTGGTCCCTACTCTGTGTTCTGTACCAGAGATGGATGGCAAACACGAGACTAGTACTGGCAACAGCAACGGGCGAGGTGCGCAGGTTTAACTGGTTTGAAAAACTAGGGCATTAAGAATTATTTTGCCCACGCAAAGGCCTATCAAAAGAGGTGTGATATCTGTGCACCTCGTAGCTGTTCAATCGACCGTGGACAACAGCAGTACAGAGACATTGCGCCGTGGTGTCCGTCAGACGTCGAAAGCCGCAGTACCAATAAAACTACGGTGTTATCCTAACCTACCCGTTTACTTATCCCTCATTCCGCCCAATACTCTAGCCATCAGAATTGAACGAGATCGGACCACACGTCCAAGTACTTGCATCCGCCATCGTACGCCGCCTTGAAGTCGGCAAAGCTGATCACACCCTCCACATCCTCCAGATCAATCTTGAGACTTGGGTCCCTTTCGCGAGCGGCAGCCAAACTCATTGCGCGGCTCTCCGCACCCTTGAACACTGGATCCAGAAGTTCATTGAGGCCCTGTTGAATCTGTTGGTAAAGTATGTCCCGGTAGAGTCTCTCAACGGGGTCGCTGGATGCCAGGTCGGGGTCACGGAGACCCTCAGGGAGGACGAGGCCTTCTTCTTCATCGAGATAGAATCTGCCCTTTTTCCGTCTCTCTTCCATCGTCTCTTCAGCATCCATTCCTCGCTCGGCAAAGCCTTCTCGCAAGGCCATGTTCCTCGGCATGGCGTCGTCCGTGTTCTCGCGCAGGGTTGGTGATCCGGAGGGTGCTGGAGCGCGGTCTGCGGCCATTGCCAGTTCGTCTTCGCCCGGGGCATCAGGCTGATAGATGGCGCTTAGAGATTTATTCTGATCAAGGTCGGGCAACAGCCTTCGCAATCTATCCTCGTTCGCCAGCTTGTTGCGGATGGATTCCTTTTGGATTGCATAGTGAGCGCGGAACATCTTTAGGACGTCTTTGCGGGTTATGTAGCCGTCACCGTCAGCGTCGTAGAGCTTGAACAGGTTCTCCAAACGCTTGTTTTGGCTTGAGTCGGGTTGCCCGTTGTCGCCCAAATGGGTCCCGTCCTTGTTATAGAAACCATCCAGGCCCTTGACGAACTCCGCGAACCCGATTATTCCGTTGGAATCGCTGTCGTAAAAGGCAAACAAGCGGTCGTATAGAAGATTCTTCTGCGTCGGGAAGTGAGGGTATCGTGGAAGAAAGGTACGATCGAAATTGGCTCTATCGATTCCCCAACCAATACCATAATCATCGCCATCCCACTCTGTTGCAGCCAGGCATCTGAACTCATCCCACAGTGCGTCGATTCTTTCCCTTCCTAGATTAGTCTCCTGCTCTAGGGATTGCTTCGTTGAGTGACTGAGAAATTCCGGCATTGCGCTAGGTTTCCCAGGATAGATGGGTTTCTGCCGAGGTATCGTGAGAAAGGGAGCAGGTATCTTGATCTTGTAGAAGATGTGTGTCATCTCATGAGCAACCGTGGCCTCACAATCAGAGCACAAATCAAAATCCCAGCAATTGGCGCAGTGCCATCGGATCCCATGAGGCACTCTGCCACAGGCATTACACGCTACTCCTCGGTGGATGATGTTCTCGTTGTTCACCCTTTCTTCCGCAACATTGTAGATGGCCGCTTGTAAAGCCTGCGCTTCCGTGTACGCCATTCCACTGTTTGGTTGTCCGTAGATTGGTTGAGCAGCGAAATCCGTGTTTTGTTCTGCTACCCTGGCGACTTGCCGTTGGATCGCACGTTGAATGGCTGCCTCAGGAAAACTAGACAGGTCTATATCGACGGACGCCGGCAATTCACTAGGGTCCGTAGAAACGACTGTTGCGAAGACGCTGTCGAGAAAAGCCTCTTGGAGCTGATCTATGCGGCCGTCGATGGCTTCAGGTGTAGCTGCAGGGTCAAGTTGACGAGCGAGTGCCCGTAGCTCGTCCTCTGATGGGATACGGTCGGGTCCAAGGAGCTGGCCAAAGAAGTCAAACTCGTGCGGCGGTGTGGGAACTTGTTCCCTTTGCGCAAGGGGGCGTCCAACAACGCGGTTACGGGTGCGTCGGTTGGGCCTTCGAATTGTCTGCGTTCGATGCAGTTCTCCCTTTCGTGCAGGCATGCAAAGGCTGGTGTAGATGAGGTAGGCGGTGCAAGCTGCTGCGGTCCCAGCGAGGAAGAGCGCAATGGGTCGGTGGAAGGAAGACAACGTGGGAGGAGGCGACGCGGCCATGGTGGGAGATAACGATGGCGGTCGAGGGAGGAACGGCGGAGAGCAAGGTGCTCCGGGGAGCTTGCCCTACTTCACCGGCATTGTGAGGCCTGCGGAAGGTGCAGGTTGATTGGTATTGCGGCTTCCCACGTCCGATTGAGCAGCTTGCCGTGGCAGGTGTATGGCTCGAGATCGTGACAGCCCCACCGTCTAGAGAGTATGATGCTTACGACTCGATTTTCGAATTCGGCCGGGATTGTGGTCAAAGATATTGCACCAAACAGGTGTTGTAACCTACGGAGGAGGTGTAGCGGGGGTTCGGGCGGGCTGGAAGGCGCAGTACAGGAGGAGGGTTATGGTGAACCTCGGAAGACAGGATACAATGGGCGATAGATGAGGTCAGGGCTGTGAAGCTTAACCCGCTTAGTCATCCTTGCTCTCAGAGACCTCCACGGTAACCCAAGCTGTTGAGCATGTTGTGTCACAATTGCATGGCGAGGTTGTTACGGTGTCACCCTTCAATGTCGGTTTGCGATTGATAATTTTGTTTTCATTTCGCTTTGAGCAACCATAGTTGATATTGCTCGGGATATCATACAGCAACAACACCCTTTGAGGTTGCAGCTCACTGAACCGGCCCAACAGAAATAACCAGAGCATAAATAATAGACTGAGGCAGAAAGCTTCAATCTCCGTCAACCCTCTCTCGAATCATACTGATGGATTCTATCTCGACGCTACCAGGCCGCATGGCCACCATCTATGCGCAGATCGGAGCCCGTCTACCGTTCTGTTCAGTTGACATTCAGTGGATAGGAACAAGAATCTTACCATGAAGCTGCTCGCATCGCTGATCAGAAAGACCGCTGCACCGCGGTACTCCCTCGGATTAGAGAGTCTTCCCAGCATATTCTGCTTGGGCCACTCCTCTCGCCGCTCAGGAAACTGCTCGAACAGCGCCTCCACCATCGCCGTGACGATGTAGCCCGGAGAGATGGTGTTGACGCGGATATTGTATTGGCCCCATTCTGAAGCTAGGTTGCGGCCAAGCTGTATGACGCCCGCCTTGGAAGCATTGTATGCAGGACAAATGAGTCCCTGGTGGGTGCATTTAGTAGGAAGACCCAGGGGAGGTTCGGGATACACGCACCCTATTCGCAATCGTTCCGCTCATGCTAGCAATAAGCACGATGCTTCCGCCATTCCCAAACTTGATCATCTGCTTCGCTGCAGCCTGGGCCGTCATGAACACACCAGTGATATTGACCTCGAACATGCGATTGGCGTCCTCGGCCGTATACTCCAAGGCCGGAGTCTCCTGCTGGATTCCCGCGGCAGCAATCAGGCCATCCAACCTGCCATGCTTCTCTCCGATCTCTTCGACGATTTTGTTCAATGCTGGGACATCTCGTACGTCGACCTGGCGGTATTGCAGGAAGGTTCCGAGCTCTTTCTCGGCTCGCTCCGCGATGGCCTTGAATTCGGGCGCTGGCTCGGGAAGTCGATCCAAGGCATACACTAAGCGTGATGATTAGTTTCCCTTCACATGTATCCTAGAGATGATTGCAAGAACTAGATATACCTATAGCTCCTGCCTCCAGCAATGCTTCAGCTTGCGTGAGACCCAGTCCTCTTGCACCCCCAGAAACAAGAACGACCTTTTTGGCCAAGCTGAACTCAGGAAGACCCATCATGTACAATCGCGAAATTCGAATTGCAGTAGAGACAGTTCGCCATGCGCCCGCGTGGGCCTCACCTCCCATTTATATCACCGCACCGAGCTCATTCGCTGGCCCTGACCCTGGCCCAGGCCTCAATCGACCAGTGCCGGCATACCCTTTCTCCCTGCCTTCCACTTCTGCAAACGCATCCGAGCAAGTCTAGCTACTATCATGGTGGTGTTCTGGGGCAATGTTTGCGGGGAAGCTCAGCGCCGGAATTACCGGATTCAGGTATCCCGCCTATGCCTACGCCGGGGACCCTCTCTATCTCTCATGTCCCCGCTAAGGTGAATGTCCGTTTGCAGAATTATAGACAAGGGTTCCGGGTGGAGATTCCACAGCCTGCCACACCTGATATGGATTATCTCCGCCCAGATGTGGTTCAAGATTGGCCGAGCTTGTGGAGTTATTCACTGCGTTTTGATTCCCACACGGTTGTAGCACATAGACTCCTTCAAATGAGCCTGTTAGAGATTCCCGTAAGTCTAAGAAACTGATAAACTGAGGATATGACCACCCCTGGGGAGGATACAAGTAGCAGGCGGGGTAATGCAAGTTGACTATAACAGTGCAGAGTGACAGAGCATGGATCTCTATCCAGGGTGGGACAATCCGAGGCTTGATATATTAATATTACTTCTTCCCTTACAAAGAATACCAACATCCCGTCAACAACAGTGTTCGACTACGATCACAGAAGAGACTCCAGCAGCTGAGATTGGTCAGTGTCTGCGTTTGTAGGACCGCGAAAGCCGGGCAAAGTATACAGGACAGTTACGCCGGTGCCGACACATCTTCCTAGTCTGTGTCCGTATCGTGGGAAATCAAGAGATTGGGATCCGGATCCCCATCGTCATCAAAATATCGTTGCTCCGAGGTCAATCCGTTGCCTGCCTGGGGAGTGTGGCTGCGGCGACGAGACTGAAAAAGACCCTCCACATTATCTTCGGCAGCGGAACCCTCCGTGTCAGATACCTGGACCATTTTTTCCTTCCCCTTCTTGCTTGGTATTCCCAGCTTTTCTTGGAGTATTGGTTTGGCTTGCTTGAGCGTTTCTAATTCGGCTTGGATGGCGCAGACAAGGGGGTTCCAGTTCCTGGACGAAGCATACTCTAGCTTGTCTTCGAGATAGGTAATAGTACTCTCCAGTTCCGCGATGAGGCTCTGAGGATCTCTCACACGTCCGCCCGATTGTTCCCGTACTGTTGATACATAGCTGGTCACCTTCTGGACGATGTCATCCCAGAACGGAACCCCTTCCTCCAAAGCAGCTCGTTCTCTGTCAACTTCCTGCAAGACTGTCGTCAAACGCTTTTGCTCATCCTGCCAGTATTCGAGAGCCATTTCCAGTGTCCGTCGCTCTACCGGGAGAGAAGAAAATGGTGTGCTTGAAGTGGGAACGTGCCTGGTGTTCGGCGGTTTGGCGAGAAATGTCTGTATCTCCTTGTCCAGAAATGAGAGTGCGTTCTTATAAGATGATAACTTGGCTTCAACCGAGTTCTCCACATCTGCAAGTTCATCGAGAACCTTTCGATGACGCCGTTTCAGCGAAGCTAACTCCTCTTCTTTCAACCTGATTTCGCGTGCAAGCCGAGCTGCTTCTGCGTGAAGTGCATCCGACCTCGCATCATGGCTCTTACCCTCGATGTGCCTGATTCGACCCTGAAGACGCGACCGTCTCTGATTCCAGTCTTCTAATGTGTCTATAATCCCTTGAAGCTCCCGAAGATCCTCCTCAAGATATTCATGTTCTTCAGCTTTTGTGTGCGCTAATCTCTTTAATCGGGTACGGATGCCTCGTCTCGCAGCGCCTAGCTCTGGACGCCTCTTTATGCTGCCGGACCTGGGGCTCGAGGAGCCCTCATCCCTCGACTGACTACGCAGACTGCTGAGCGTCGGTGTCGTACTACCGGTAGATATGGCATAATCCCGCGCAGAAGTTGCATCCACTTCTCCTGTATCGAACAGCTGTTCCGATTGCGCATCGAGTAGCTCCTGTAGCTGTTGCTCCAGGTAACGGGCTTTGCGCTGGATTACAAGCAATCCTTCGGGAACGCGACGGAAAGTGAGGGGAGAGCTCCACAACACGGTAGAAGCAATCGGCGGCGGTATAGGCGGCGAGGATGGAGGTGAGTGGTAGAGCGGTAGCTCATGCTCGTGAGCATGTGGATCTTCAAAAGATTTCGGGATTGGCGATAGGAAACCCGAAACTGAGTTAAAGAGCGACATCTTGTAGAATGTAAAAATGATAGAATGCGCTTTGGTGTTTGTCCGCCGCAAGGTTTCTCGTTCCTCTGTTGTTGACTCCGAGAACAGTGATGATCGAATGCCTACCTAGGGAGGCCACTTAGTCAGCTGCGCTTGCCCAGGTGAGCCTCGAGCTTTGCCATGTGCCCTCTGCTAGTCACTGCCCGTGATGCAGAAGTGCAGCTGCATCGCCCTAGGGAGACGTCGAATCTGTTCTTGCTTCTTGCAATCTAGATAGTCTTCTGACCGTTAGTTTAATAGAGGGACGCATCCATCTCAGCGCCTTCTGTTTGATCTAACAAGAAGTCCATGATTACTCTGGGATCATTACAATATAGATGAAGGGCAATTGCGGTCTATCCATAATAAGAGAAGACGAAGTCTTTTACGGTGGGTAAAGAAATAACGGAATAGACCACATTTTCTCATTTTTGTGTGGCCGCCATGTTCGCGGTCTGGTGTTGATGTTCAACAACTTGGGCGCGGGGAAGTGGGATGAAAATGCCAAGTCTCGCTTAGCCGAATAGGATTGGCTCCATCCACCAGGGCATTATCGTGAATTTCGACTTCCCTCATTATCTCGAAATCGAGGACCCGTTCCGACACACTAACCCCCAGCATCACCTGTACGTTCCCTACGATATTCTCACGTCGCAAAACATAACTCTTGCTGACGTCGCATCTTAGCAGCGTCCAACACCCGTCGACGTACTACATCATGGCTGACGCACCACGCGGAGGAGCTGGTTTCGGAGGACGGGGAGGAGACAGAGGCCGTGGCGTAAGCGATACAAAGCGACTTTACAATATGCATTTTCCTGATGTGAATTGCAGCGTGGCCGTGGCCGTGGCCGTCGTGGCGGAGGCAAATCCGAAGTGCGTACTTTGCGATAGAAATCCGGAGGGCGAAATGTTGACAAACGGCATAGGAGAAGGAATGGCAGCCCGTCACCAAGCTTGGCCGTCTCGTCAAGGCCGGCAAGATCAAGAGCATGGAGGAGATGTATGCGCTCGAACCCGCGACTCATGGGATATCTGTTGACGTTATCCTAGCTACCTCCACTCTCTCCCCATCAAGGAGTACCAGATCGTGGACTTCTTCCTTCCCAAGCTCAAGGATGAGGTCATGAAGGTACGGCGCATAACACATGAGTTGAAAGGTAGTTTCTGTGAAGTTACGGGACTGACATATTTGCGTACAGATCAAGCCCGTCCAGAAGCAGACCCGTGCCGGTCAACGTACTCGCTTCAAGGCCATCGTTGTCATTGGCGATTCCGAGGGCCACATTGGTCTCGGTATTAAGACCTCCAAGGAAGTCGCGACCGCGATTCGCGCCGCCATCATCATCGCCAAGCTCAGCGTCGTCCCCATCCGCCGTGGCTACTGGGGTACTAACCTCGGCGAGCCTCACTCGCTCCCCACCAAGGAAAGCGGCAAGTGCGGTTCCGTCACCGTCCGTCTTATCCCCGCTCCCCGTGGTACCGGCCTCGTCGCCTCGCCCGCCGTCAAGCGTCTCTTGCAGCTCGCCGGTGTTCAGGACGTCTACACTGCCTCGTCCGGCTCCACCAAGACCCTCGAGAACACCCTCAAGGCTACCTTCGTGGCCGTCGCAAACACATACGGTTTCCTTACGCCCAACCTGTGGAAGGAGACCAAGCTCCAGAGGAGCCCGTTGGAGGAGTACAGCGACGTTCTGCGCGAGGGCAAGAGGTACTAGGCGGAGGAGACGGTGCGAGGTGTTAAAGATGGATTCTTTTACTGCATTCCCGGGCTTTTCAGGGGCGTGGAGTAGTGCATTTGGGACCCTATCTATGTAACTATCGGGATAGGCTTGGGTCACCAGTATGAAAAATGACTTAACTTCATGATCATGGAACTTGGCTATGATTTACCCGGAGATGTGAGGTCAATTCGCACGGAGCGTCCTATGGAATACCCCACGATATGAAGTGCAGTGTATCTGCTCACCTAAACGCTACACATCTGCCAGTGGTCACGCCTATGGCGCAAATCTACGTAACATGGACTTGAGGTAACCAAAATTCAGACCTGCTGTCCATTGTGTGACCAAATCATTGCATGCTTCTTACGCAGCTCAATGATGGATACTTAAGATCCATGTCAGTTGGAACTCTGGAGATCTTGCCACTCCCATGATTAACACCTGATTCCCTGAACTTTCAGTTGACTGATATTCTACTCTCTCGGTGGCTTAATAAAGAGCGTCTCAGCCCTCTTCGGTTAATGCGGGTTCTATAGGCAAGTGTCATAGAGTCCAAGAATTTTGGGTTAGAATGAGACTCGGACTCCAACAACTGCAGACCGCATAGCTTCAAATCAATGTCCAGATTGGCAACGGCGGAGGGTGTAATCTAGTCTATGAAAATGACATCTTGAAAATCAAGGTCACATATAACCAGTAGCTCGAAGTGAAAACCCGCTATGGAAACGAAACCTGGAAAATCTGCAAAATCTGCGTCCACTTGCGAAGGCTGCAACCCCCTTCTCTGCACCTCCTCATCCCCATCAATACTCCCCACCCCCTCTCAACAACGTAGCAAAGTGCCCACCCTTCTTCCGCCTCAATTCGTCAAACCCGCCTTCCTCCACCACCCGCCCCTTATCCAACATAATCACCTTCTCCGCCACAGCCATCATATCCCTAGCATGCGTGATGATAATCACAGTCATCTTCCTCTCCCCTACCTTCCCCTTCCCCTTCCCTTTTCCTCTACTCCTACCTCCCTCTCCTGCACCCCGAACCACCAACCTCCTCACCGTCTCCCTCACCACTCCGGCACTCTCCACATCCAACGCACTCGTCGCCTCATCCAGGACCAAAATATCCGGCTCCCTCGCCAAAGCCCTAGCAATGGCAACGCGCTGGGCTTGCCCGCCGCTGAGACCTGCGCCGCCTTCGCCAATGAGGGTTTGATAGCCCTGCGGTAGGCTGCTGATGAATTCGTCGATACCGGCTGCGGTTGCCGCAGCCCGGATGCTGTCCATGGAAGCCAAGGGCGAGTCTGGTGGGAGACCGTATGCGATGTTTTCGGCCACGGTGCCCGGGAAGAGGACAGGTGTTTGGCTGACGAGCGCCATGCGCGAGCGCAAGGACGCCGTGTCTAAAGCATCGATATCTATGTCGGAGACAGTGATGGGGGAGGGTGACAAGGAAGTGCTGTATGGGCTGAGTGTGAGATTCTGCGTTGGCTGGTAGAGTTTCAGGAGGAGGGCTGCAATGGTGGATTTTCCGGAGCCGGAGGATCCGACGATGGCAGTGCAGCTTCCGCGAGGGATGTGGAGGTTGATGTTTCGGAGGACCTTCTGCTCGGGCCTAGTGGGGTAGGAGAAGTCTGTGTCGTGGAAGACGATGTCACCTGCCGTGGTGATCTGTGTAGTACCCTTCAGCTCGTGGGAGTTGGTGGGAAGGTTGGCAAGGCGCAGAAGCCGAGATGCAGCGTCGCGGGCAATGTTGATCTGGGGGATGAAGCTGAGTAGGCCGGCTACGTGGGCGGAGCTCATGAGGAGGATATTGAAGGTTCGGTAGACGCGGGTTGTCGTGAATTCGCCATTGGATAGGAGATATGCGCCGAACCAGAAGCACATTGTACTAACAAAGAAGACGCCGGTATAGTTGAGGCCGAAGATGGAACCCGTGAAGATTGCTCGCTTGAATCCAGTCCTCAGTGCTGCTTTGGTCACGTCGCTGAACTTCTTGCGGAACACTTCTTCGAGTACGAGAGAGCGGACGGTACGGATATTGGTGAAGGTCTCGTGGAGAACTTGGCCTACGACCTCATCTGCTTCGTTGGTGTGCTTCTCCCACAGACTACTAGTCCCATTGTACGCTGCGAAGACAAAATACAATACTGGTCCAGTGGCCATAGCCACAAGGGTAAGCTTCCAGCACGATATCATCGCCCATACCACGGCGATACAGATCATGACGATGATAATGATGATGATAGCCACGAATCTGCCTGGGAGATTGCGAGCCTCTTCACCAAAATTGTCGAGACATTCGGCCAGGATGGAGACGCTGTTCTCGTTGTGATCGAAGAATTCCCGCGGTTGCAGGAGGATACGTCTCATCGCTTCTGTCTTCACGGCGTTGGCCCAGGACTGTGCTGCCGCTTCAAAGAAGAAGACAAAACCATAACTCGCTGCGCTGTCAATGACGGCGATCGCGAGAATGGTGAGCGCATAGATCAGAGCAGATCTATATGCGCCAGTTTCCTGCCAGAAAGTCGACAGAAGCTGAGCGAAAATGTAAGCGAAAACGGGTGTAGCTACCGCATGCACCACGGCAGATGAGAAACCAGCGATGAGAACAAGTCGTGAGTGCCCTTTCAAGCTCGGCCAGACCGTTCCGAGTATCTGCATCAGAGTGAGAGTTTGGATCGTGTTCTCCGGTGTCTCCTCAGCCCTTCTATGGCGTTGTGATAGCCTCCTCTTCAGCTGCTTTTCTCGGCGCGGAGATAGTCTGTGGACCTTACGTTCCTGAAAAGTTTCTACTAGCGGGTTGTTGGGGCGAGTAGGCCGCAGGGGGCGGGCTTTAGGGGGCCGCGGTGACGTAGGACGGACTGGTGATGAGCGGTCTGGTCGCCCTGAGTGCGGCGAGTTCGTTCGTGACGGAAATGGCGGCCCTCTGGAACCTCGTTTGCCTGCTGTGACCGCCTTCGCAGGAAGTGGACGCATTTCTAAAGCCGTCGACACAGTGTGATCGTTTCCTTCATCCACTGTAACCACTGACGCTCGCCGAGAACTGTTGTAGGTGGGAGAAGTATGATACATCACACTCCGTCTGGGACTCAGGAATGGTGACACAAACTGGCTGGGACCTGTGAGCGATACCTGACTTGGCGAATCGTGAAATGCCCAGTCTTCTCCATAAGCGTCCACCAATTCATCCGTGTCGTGCTCCGCCTCATATTCTGAAGAGCTATAATAGACATTTTCCCGCTCTTCCTTCTCGTTTTCCTCTTCTTCTTCTCTTTCGATCGGACCCGTAGAGAGGAAGGTGTGAAACGGTGAGCCAGCTTCAGCTTCCATATCTTTCCGGTAGCCTTTTTGCACTACTTGAGCCTTCTCCATGATGTATACATAATCTTCTGGTTGAATTTGAGACATGTCGTGAGTGATAATAATCGTCGTTTTGCCTCGCCGCCAGTTTTTGATAGCTTCAATGATTCCGGCTCGTGTGATGTAATCCAGGGCACTTGTGGACTCATCGAGAACGAGGACAGGCGCATCTCGCAAACGCGCTCGAGCCAATGCCACTCGTTGCTTTTGTCCTCCACTCATCGTGTTGCCTTTGGTGCCAACCAGGGTGTCGAGCCCATCGGGCACCTCGCGAAGCATCTGCTCGAGGAGAGCAAAACGTACGGCCTCGTCTATCTCTTTGTCTGAAACGTCGTCGTTTGGTTTTCCTAAGGCGATGTTCTTGCGAAGGGAATCCCTGAATAGCACACTGTGTTGTTCCACGAGCATAACGTTCTGCCGTAGCCAACGCGGATCCAGAGTGCTTATCGAGTAACCGTCGAGGAATATGCGGCCGCTTGTGGGCCTGTAGAAACGCACAAGTAACTGTCCAAGCGTGCTCTTCCCAGACCCACTTCTTCCAACCACGAAGATTGTCTTACCCGCGGGGAAGAAGAGGTCGGCTTCTTTCAAGGCCATCTCATCAGGACGTGTAGGATATGAGAAGGAAACCTAGGGCCTGTTAATGTTGAACGAGAAAAGCATGCGAAATACCAACCTTGTGAAATCGGATTTCTCCTTCACACTCATCTGGCCGGTCAATGCCTGAACCCTCATTGCCATCAAATTTGGACATATGTGCCATCACATTTCTCAGGCGCGTAGCGGCGACTTTCCCTTTTTGCAAGACAATGAGCTGAGGCATGAACTCCGATATTGACTGCACCGCCATCAGTGATGTCCAGAAACAGGTCAAAACTTCTCCTGCGTTCTTCTTGCCGGATGTAACCAAGTAGCTGCCGTACCAAAAGGCCTGGAAGAAGATGCTAAGGTGGTAAAACTGCATTGCCGCTATTTGCCCGGCTCGGAATTGGGCTTGTCTTTTGTAGATATTGCCCGCAGCGGCGATGATTCCAGTATACTTTTGGAGCTCGAGTTTCTGGCCATTGAAGCATTTCACAGTTTCGATGTTTTGCAAGGCGCTGATGACATATTTGAGCGCTTGTTGTAGCTTTCCCGCCTGTTCGTGCGCATGTTTAGACAGTCGCTTCGACAAGAATGTCTGCACCAGATAGACGAATGGAAGGCTGCCGATGATAACGAGTGTCAGGTCCCAGGAAAAGTAGAAGGAGACAGCCAATGAGGCAACGCATACTGTAAAGCATTGCATGATCTCGCCCAGTGGCTGAGAGGTAGATAGCTGAAGATCGCGTATATGCCTAATGTCGGTCAATACGGAGTTACCAGTGCTCTGTTGGGACTTACGTCTGAGCTGTTGACAGAAACGCGGCGATTCCATTCTCACTCATGTCGTACCAGTCCATGTCCTTTCGCAACAGAGACTCGAAGACGCGCTCCCGAGCGCTACGTGCCTGAAGTTCACCAAAGGAAAGAAAAAGCATGAAATTGAAGCTGCTCAAGATCCACAACGCGGCGCAAACTGCGGTCAAGTATATGCAAAGATTGGACCCATTGTGAAGCAATTCGGAACCAGATATTTGTCCCGATCCAAAGCTCGCAAACTGTCGAAACAGAAGGCCAAAAAGAACGGCAATGGCGGGGCGAGAGAGTGCGGCGATCACAGCAGTGCACACTGCTGTACTCAGCAAAGGGAGATGCCGTCTTCTCGTGAACCAGAATAGAGCGATCCAGCGCGTGTTTTTGGCCACTACATTATGCTTGTCGTTAGCAATTGATGCCTTTTCCAGATCGCCGGTTGAATCCGAGCCCTGAGAAGTCGTCATCTCGCGAGCGACAGTGAGTGTGGAAATAGCGAAGACTCTAGAGAGTGGCGGAAATGAAAAAGGAAAGTTGAAATACACGCAAGTGGGAAAGATTGGGTACACCTTATGGGAAGTAGTGGCTTAAGCTCTGCAAAAGCTTTGTTGGCCCTTGGTATTGTTCTAGTACCAACCCCATCACCATCTACACACGGAACCCCAACACGCTTTCACCAAAGGGCGAAATGGAGCATAGCCGATCGCTCAGGACAATATTCGAAATGACGTGATGTCAGTTACTCTATGTGGTGACGCCAGTGATGATTGTGTAAGTAGTGGACTGAGTCCGGACAAAATCGAGCTCTTGCGTATATGTGCATGATCCCCGCTCGCCGGTTGCTTCTCAGCGTCATATCGGGCATGCGCATACCAAGCGTCGCTGAAGAGCATTTCGATTGACCGAAGCAATGCAGGCGTGGCAGTCTGAAACGACCATGAAGATTGGTCATGCAGATGTTGGTAAACCAGGTGTAAGCTTAGCTTTCAAAAGTGCCTATTTATTTGCCACCGGCATGCGCTTTTTCATAGATCCAGTCGTTCAGTCCTTCTTTGTTTCTGTGATTGTTAGTGCTTGGCAACTTCGAGGGACTCTTTTGCAACATACCGCGCAATCTCAATGGCGTAAAACTGCATGCGCACAGCAAATATCGTTTCTTTCTCTCCGTATTCGGTTTTGGGGCTCGCACGGAGCATGGTGCCGAAGTTGAAGTCGTCAATCTTCTTCTCGTATTGGTTGATGAAGTTCCTCCACTTCTCCTTGCCCTCCTTGCTCTTCATCTCGTCTTCGTTTATGGTAGCCGATGCGTCGAACTCAGGGAAAGTCTCCTTGAAGTGCTTGTAGATCTCGTCGTCGATCTTGGTGAGCCGCAATTGCGAGCCGCGGACTTTCTCGAGGATATTCCAATATGTCTCCATATGTTGGACGACTGTGCTCCAGAGTTAGGCACAGTGCGGATGCACTCGGTTCATTGCATACCTTTGACAGCGAATTGCTTCTCAATCTAAGTGTTTGTCAGTACCAGGGAAGCTTGCGAACGAGGCTAGAGCACACACACATCCTCGAAGTTCTCTTGCTGCTCGGGGGTAAGATTCAGGCCGCCGGCCGGTGCAGCTGGTGCAGACATTCTGTAGTAGTGGGTAGGTATTATACGCAGACGGTAATGATCTGGTGTATCGTATTGAAGGGTGGATATCCGAGCCTGGTGATGAGAGCAATGTCGTTGAAATAAAAGTAGACGGCCCCGCAACACTCCGGGGCTTCCGACCGACCCCGCGGCTGACTCAAGACCAATAGATTTCCAGCACCAACCACGAACTTCCAGACACGACGAGCAACGTCTCTTAATGTCCCCACCACTGCGAGTGAGTACATGCGCCAATGGAAATAGCACGCGTTAATCAGAGTAGCATGAATGCATTCGCGTACCGGTGACGGCTTTAGCGGCCGTTGGGCCTCTTTTATTCGCCGCAGAAGGGCCTGTCGTCCGTTGTTATCGCAGCGACGACGTGAAGAAGTTCACATATGTCGGATCGAAGAGAGTTTTCAAGAGTCATGCTATTCATGGCATAGCGGCCCACCAGGTCGACCTGAATTCCGTGACCTTGGCTATATGGGGAGGTCCCCTGATACGTTTCCTCCAGTTCGACCCGGTTGCGTTCTCTAGCCGTATCGACCTTGGAGGCAATGGATGGGGCAGTTCAATAGCCTCTCCCATTGTGCGAGCACCGGACTGGATTCTGGACCTGTCGCTCCGGCCTGCAAGCACTTCCAATCTCACGGAGGGAGATGTTATTATATGTGCTGCGGTCACGGCCCACAACGCACTCATCGAGGTGACTGTACAACAAACAAGCCAAGATGAGGGGGGTAAAAGCACACTTGTACCACGGCTCTCAGAATCGACTTCCAGTTCACGCTCGATCCTCTATTCGGCACATCTACTATGGGATTCTGACGACCATGTACTAGTCGCAGCTGGAACCGCCTTCGGAGAAATCATCTTCTGGTCCTGGACAAAAGATGCCATCAAGGGCTCTTATTCGTGCATCCTCCGAGTCTTCCTCGGTCATGAGGGATCCATATTCGGAGTCCGCATCTCGGAAGAGATCAATGACGCCTCTGGAAACACACAGCGATATCTTGCCAGCTGTAGTGACGACCGCACGATCCGCATCTGGGACCTGTCCGGTATCCAAACCTGCAGTGCTGTAGCGCACTTGGATACGGCAGTTGCAGAGGCCGAGAGAACGCGGCACACTGGATTCAGCAGCGAAACCTTCGATGCAGATATCTCAAACTCGCCATGCCTAGCGATTGGCTGGGGGCATCTATCGCGAGTATGGGCAGTTATCTTTGTGCGGTCGCGCTGCTCCCCGAATAGTATCTGTCTGCTGTCTTCAGGGGAGGATGCAACTTCACGAGCTTGGCAATTCTCACCCAGGCGCGGCAGCTCACAGGAGGCAGACACATCACCCATCAAACTGATACAAGTGGGAACAGCGGCCTATCACAGTGGGAAGAACATCTGGTCGAGCATCGTGTTCGGCTCGGATCAAGGCGCTCAGCAGGTCGTCTGTGGCGCTGCAGAGAGCAAGATCACTGCATACCCCCTCCCTACCTTCGAGGTCGTGGGTAGCAAGGCAGCAGAGGATATTGCCGAATATACTCTACAAGACATAGTCTCCATGGACCAAGGGACCAGCCTCGCTCTGCAGACCAGTCTCAGCAATCTATCGCTCAAGCGAGTGAAAGCTGACGACTTCATCCGTGCCTATGCCCTCCTCGACAGCACCTCCTTCCTGCTGACCACGAACACCGGCAAGGTGTTTCTGGAAACTATCACACCCGGATCTGACGGCCATGGAGCCGGCTCAATATCGAAGTCGGAACTCATACAACAGCTTGACGAAGGGTCTGGTCATTCGGTGTGCGTCGCTGAGCCTTCACTTGGAGTAGGCTTCGTCGGTGGAGCGCGAGGCGGTATTTACATGTACCACAAAAGTGCACCGTCAGTACTCAAGAGAATATCCACTGTCCAGGGGAAGATAGGCGACCTGTTCATCGGCCTTAAGACTACGAATGACTCATTCGTGCTTGTTGTCTCGTTGATGGGCCGTAACGTCGCTCAATACATACACATATCGACTCCCCAAGGTGGGAAGCCACACTCCATTGTAGACATCGTCGATCTTGTCCTGCCCGAAGCAGTGACAGGCACAACGATAACCAGTATGGCGTGGATCCCGCTCTACGGCGGTCCCGCATGCGTCGTCCTCGGTTTCAGGGGCGGTTCGGTCGCAGGGTACTCGCTACCTTGCTCTGCCGACCAAACTGATCGGATTACCGCATCTGTCACCCAAAAGTTCCACGGCAAAGAGGCAGTCACATCTCTGCTCTGGTACCCATGCCCTGACCCCTCCTCTCCATTTCCATCAGAAGGCTACCTCATCTCCGTCGGCCGCGATGGTTGCTGCGCAATACACCATCTCATACTCTCCAAGAAGCCTCATGGATGCACTCACTGTGACTTCCAGGGCTACGATTTCACGTTCACACTGACGCATCATCTCCCCTTCCCCTTCGGGCCCACCCTCGAAGGCTTGTACCTCGATGACACCAGCAGTAACCTCTTCATCTACGGCTTCTCCAGCACAAAATTCATCCTCTACAACCTCACCACGGAGGAGGAAATCATGAATGTCGAGACGGGCGGTGCACATCGGAGCTGGGCTTTTCATCCTCCCTCGTACCCGTACTATCCCCCTGGCAGCGAGAAAGGAAGAGAAACCGTTGAGGGAGAAGAGGAGGTTGGTAGTGCTGCAGGCGGCACACTCGTCTGGACCCGCGCCTCCACCACCCACATCTACGCTCCCCATCACCTTGGTGCAAACCACAGCGTCATCCGCACAGGTGGCCACGGGCGGGAAATCAAGGCCGTAGCCGTGTCCCCGACAAACGGGCTCATAGCTACAGGCGCAGAGGACACGGATATCAAGCTCTTCTCCTACGACATCAACAGCGGTGATGGAAAGGAGAAAGATTTGCGCGCCCTGCGTACATTGCGAAAACACAAGACAGGGATTCAGCATTTGCAGTGGTCTGACGATGGTGAGTATCTGTTCAGTAGTGGCGGTGCGGAGGAGTTTTTCGTTTGGAGGGTGAGGAAGTTACCGAGATGGATTGGCTACGGCGTCGTTTGCGAGGCGGAGATACGAAGGGAGAGCTTGGACGTCGAGGTCCGGTGTTTGGGATTCGATGTGCGAAGGGAGGATGATGGATTCGTGATTGCCCTGGTATTCTCCGACTCTACCATTCGGGTACGCATTCTTTCTCTATCTTCAACCCCCCTCGATACATCCGGGCAGGCAGTACTAAGACAGACAGATTCACACGTACAACACCTCGACATGCTCCTTCAGCACCGTACTACGAACCACATACGCCACTTCGTGCCTCACGCAAACCGTCTTCCTCTCTCCGACCACGCTCCTGACCGCCGGAACGGACGGCCACGCAGTCCTCTGGCCACTTCCACTGGACAGAGTGAGGCAACAAGACGACGGCAACTGCAAATACCACTCCCCGCTACGCCTCCACCAGAACAGCAGCAAGACACTCGGCACCCACCCTATCCCGCATACATGGGCCACGCTCCTCGTCTCCGGCGGCGACGACGGCAGCATCGCCTTGTTCATCGCCACCCCCCAGTTTCCCCCCTTATCTCCCTTTGGCACCCCGTCTCTTGCTACCACCACACCCTCTCCAACGGCCATGACCATCCACCCACCCGCCATCCTCGCTCGTGCCCACGCATCGGCCGTCACGGCCTTGGCCATCATCCCCGCCTTCTCCTCTCTGTCCTCCAAGTCTCACCCTTCCCCCTCACTGGACGCCGCCTCCACGCCCGAAACGCACACATTACACGTCCTCACATCCGGCACCGATCAATGGCTTCGTCTGTGGTCTGTCAGCGTTAGACTGCCTAGCGAGATAGGAAAAGTAGGAGAAGGAGAAGCGGCAGGACCCGATATCCGCATCCAGCGCGCGGGGAAACTGAAGACGCATGTGGCCGATGTGTCGAGCATGGCTGTGCTGGGGTATACCGCTTTCTCCTCCTCGAAAGGCGGGGACACGGAGGGTCAAGAGAGCACGGGTAAGGGTAGGGGTGCGGGTTCGGATACGGGTACGGGTAGCGATGCGAGAGTCGTGGTTTGTGGTGTTGGTATGGAGGTTGTAAGGGTGGGTGGTTGTGACGAGGATGGCGAAGGAGAGTAGACTAGAGTGGAAAAAAGACGGAAGAGTGATGGGTTTTCGCATTCGGATGTATGTGTTTGGCAAAGGGGTGTATAATCCGGCTCAGGTGTGCCTCACTGCAAAGTCGAACGCGCAAAATTACAAGTCCCACATCATACATCATCACGGCATATGTGACGTATCCATCACACTCGATTGATACACATAGTCTTTCATTGTTATTCCATCCAGATCCTTAGGTTGCTCAACAGGATCCTACCCCACCCCTCACGTAACTATATACACCCAGTTCCGCCTAACCAGACATACAATCCGACTCCATCCACTACATGCAGTAAATCAAGCTAAACGTCAACCGAGCCGCCAGAAGAACAAAATAAAGGGGTATAATGAGCCCAAGGCAAACAGGTCAGAAAAATCAAAAGAGGATGAACGAAAAGAACGAAACATTAGATCCAGTCCAATTAACCCACCCGCCCACAGGACGGAGCGAGGAGAGAAGTCAAGCAGAGGAAAAATCTTCGCTTGTCCATATGCGTACTTGCTTGCGTATGCAGCCTGACGTGTCAACAACATATCGTAGTTGACGAGATGACGCGATTGAAGAAATATAAAAGATCCGGTCAACATCATGCTTTTGGGATGGCAGGCCGTCCCTGAATCGTGGTCCCGTTTCTGAAATCCACAGACAGCTCCAGGAGGTCCATTCTGAACTGCCCCAGATCGACCGTGGTGCTCCTAGCATCGCCCGTACTGGCATCCGAAAGAAACTCCTGGATCTTCACTTGCGCATTCGCTGCTTGCTCCAGCTCCCGCGTTTCCTGTAAAAGCAACAGGACGCCGATCCTTGCAAAGTCGATCGCAGTAGTGTTACGTGATATCGAGCGAATCGGTACGGATGATGTTGATGGGGACGGCGACGGAGCGGGAGCTCCGGTTTGAACGGTGTTCGGTCTTACTTGTCCTGGCTCTCCAACCGCCTGACGCCGACCCAATTGACCAATGTCCTGCGCTCCATGTGGTGCATTAAGAAGAGGCAGAGACTTCGAGGGTTCAAGCGTGGTCTCGACATTCAGGACTGATCGAGCAGCCAGTCCATTGAAGGTGATCAACGCGTTTTCAGTGTTGCAGCTAAGACCAAGATCTGAGAATATTGAAAGTAGCGTCGGAGGATCCAGCGGGATACTGAAGTTCTTCTGTGCACTTTCGAAAAGCCGGGGAATTCCCGAACCGAGGGTGGCATTGTTGGCAGCTCCCGAAACATTCGTGGTTGTACACGCGGCATCTCCTTCATTCTCGCAAGCCCTTCCGGTGAAGCCATTGATACAAACGCAATTACATGAGCGGTCTGCGTTCAGAATGGCCACTCCCCCGTTCCGGCAAGTGATGATCCCATCGCATTGGTTCTTTGGCGCGCTTGACGTCGGCGCCGGTAGATTCGGGAGGTTGCTCGCTCGATTACCGGCATTAGGGGTTTGAGACTGTGCCTGCGCCTCCTTCATATTCGGTACAACAATCAGCACGATAGGGATAATCACCGCGGCGGCCACCAGAAAAAGCAGCACAATGAGCAGAGTCACAAATGTCCACATGGGCAAACCGCAACAACGGCGACGTCGAGTTGGCTTCTCGCCACTAGACACTGAACTTGTCCGACCATAGCCTCCGTCTTTGTCCCCGGGCCATCTCTGATTGTTCGGCGTTCTGTTACCGGTAGGGGTAGCCTCTCCAGGCGGGGGGAATGCAGCGAGCATGTCGGACAATGTCCCGGACTGCCGCGTTCGTTTTTCTGGCGCACCAGCCTCCCAAAACTCAAGCCCCAGACGACTGGCCGTCTTTCCACGGTCGAGATTTGCGGCCAGTCTCGTGGCTCTCTTGATCAGCTCAGGCAGGCTTGTCAAGCTGCCACGTGCCTCAGCATCGCGGACCGCATCGACATCAATGCGCGGGGGTCGACGTTTCCCCACACGGTCACCAAAAGACGTTTGCTTGTCTCCTGGTTGCATAGGGTGCATGGAGGTCACAAAACCATCCCTCTCTGGATCACGATCCAACGCTTTTCGCTGCATATTCTTGTGCCCGGACAGAGATTCCTCAGAGGAGGATGAGGGATCAAGTAATATGGAGCTGTTGCCGAGCGAAGGGCCCTGCGATCCTTGGGCTGCTCGCCCAGCCAGTCCATCTCTCGCTGCTAGAACTGTGTTTCCGATCTTGGACAGGTTATCTTCGTCTACACCAGGGTTCTTCTTGACAGACGGGTTTCTCTTCTCGCCAAAACTCTCAACAGATTTGATAGTCATCAGGGACGGCTTTGTCCTTCTTCCCAGACTAGCTTGCCGAACAAGAGTGGGCTGAACCAGTTCGCTCTTTTCATCGTGATCGCTTGCCCTGGAGTTTCTTCCAAACTCGCTGGTCACGGTTTCGTCATCCTCAGAGCGGACGCCATCGTCGTCATCTTCCCGATAATACTGATCGTCGTTGATGGGTATAACGGCGCTCGACGCGAAAGAACCGCGATGTGAACGAATCGTATTTGATCGCGTCTCGGATTCTTCGGCTATAGGAGAGACGAAGGAGGATTGCGTGTAATATGAAGGTGGTCCTCTCCGCGCTGAAGGTGGGGGTCCGAGGGTAGGTAGTCGGCGTGGCAGGGGTTGCACTGCTGGCATAGGCGGGATGGGGACGGGAAAGTCGGGTATCGAACCAAGGGAGGACGCCTCCGATGCGACTGAGGAAGTGGTGAGGGGACGCGATGACGGTGCGGCAGATGTCGGCGACAAAAAATTTTCACTTTGGTACGAAGAACGGTACACGTCGGGCGGATCGGTCTCTTCTGCAAAGTCATCGGACACAGGACGAGGTGGTCTTCGAGGAGGCGGCCCTCGATTCGGCGGTCGTGGCATGTTTCGAGCTTCTGGCGCGACGCTCGTCGTAGGTGTTTTCTTCGTAGGCAGCGGCCATTGGGGAGAAGGGGAGCCAGCCGAACGATCATCTTCAGGAACCAGCTCTCGTCGTTCCGTTGCTTGCGGTCGAGGTGGAGAGGGCTGAGAGACCAATTGATCAGGACGCTGGGGCAATCCAGCTATTCTCGGCCTGTCTGGTACCTGTCCTTGCGGGTTCGTAGCCTGTAGCTTCCCTCTCGCTGCACGTACGGAGCCCTTTTTAGTTTCGCCCCCCATCTCATTCGAAGTGCCATACGGCCCGCTGGCTTGACGCGAATCGTAACTCATGTATAAAAGGACACAATGTTGGTTGTGGGTGGTGTCTGTGGACCGACACGCGTCGTGATGGAAGACTGGCAGGAGAAGAAAGTAAGTGGGTCGTTCGGGGCGATCGCAAACGGTCAGTGGAACAGTTCCCACTCGCACAATTCCAAATCGTGAGGTAAGGCCAAATGGATTGTCTCGAGAATGAAAAGGCAATTAACAGAGGGGTACAAGTTGAGCAGGGCCTGAGGAGGGTATACGGCCCTGAGGGGAAGCGGTGCCGGAACAGTAGCCCCGTTACTTCAGCGATAGTGGGGCCTGGGATTAAGTTGGCTGAGGAGTCCAGTACCCTAGTTACAAGATCCGAGTTTTGGGACTAGGAATCAGTTGAAACCCTGTGCCTATCACGATCAGAACACATGGCCAGCATAACAAAAAGCGACCAAGGAAGCAGGGTGTCGCAGGAAAGCGAGGCAAGACAAAGACTGGGGGCAACAAGCTGAAACCGTGACTTGAGTGAATAGCAGCGAATAGGTGCCAGAGCATATAAGACAGCAAAGGCGCGATGAGAGAGAAAAAGGTACTTGTAACATTGAGAGTAGCAGGATGGGGGTGGGGATTTCCAAATGCGGGTTTCAGAATGGAGGGCAGAGACGTACACAATGACGCAGCATTGGCGAGGCTGTCGGTCAAACAGAGGCGGCGGGAGGAAGGAGCGTGGTATCGAATCCGCGAGGCAAGGAGATGAGACTGTCAATTGCAGCTGTTGTAGCGTGATGCGTGATAACGGCGCAGTGTGAAGCTGAAAAGTTATATTTGTGTACCGAGCTGAGCGGTGCAAAATGGTGGGGACAAAAGAACGAGCGTGGGGAGAAAGGGAGCGACAAAAAGACCAGCCGGGTGGTCAAGAGGGAGAGAGCCTCAGGCTCTGTCGGACAGGCTTCTCCCAGCGCCTGAAATCAACAAGACACCGCCCGTGATTGATGGTGGTGAGGAGGTGATGCAGGACCAGAAAGGCAGTCAACTGGAAGAGGGGGAATCGTGGAACCGGAGACGCACGGACCAGCGGTGAGTCGTGGGTCGCGGCTGCCTCTGGAAGCGAAAACGCCATGCGGACAAGGAAGGAGCGGCCGCGCAAGGGTCCACTTGCCGCAGATAGACGATACCGACGCTCTGATTGGCTGTCCAGCATGGTGCGACAAACCGGCCGTTGGCACGGGCCACTCGCTCCCGTGCCCTTCACAGAGCTTCGCGTGCGACACTCCCGCGCACGCCGCCACGGAAGGAGCAAAGAAACGCGGATATCGCGGGCGGACTATTCCTAGTTTTTGGGTCCAAAAGACAGCAAAAAAGCATGCGATTTTGCGAGCGGCATAATGGAATTATCGGTCGGCATCACGGAGGAGCAGGACAAGAAGCCGAGGGAGGATTGCCTACTAACACCACTCCGTAACTATTATTATAGCGGAGCACACGGAGACATGCAGCATGAGAATCACACACCTTCTCCGCAGATTCCAACAAGAGTCACGAAAACCGTTCCTGGCCCCCTGCATTTCCTTTGCGCGTTTGAAGATGACAATCAACTCCTCCCTCCCACTCTCTCCCTGCAGCCATCGCATCGTCGCGGCGGGTTGTCCTTGCTGTCCTGCTTGCTCGTTGCTATATCGCGGCAGCGTCATCATGCCCACCTGAATGATGATGCTGCCATGAACGCTTTTGTTGAAAGGGATACCTACTCCCGGTACGGAGATGCGGCCTGACATTCGCATCCTTCCAGTGCGGCAGGGCTCGGCGGAAATGAATCAAGGGACTGCCAGTTATATTAAGGCACAACCCGAGCTCCCTGGGTAATCGGCCACAATAAGCATCCGCGAATCAATCATTTGTCACATATGTATGTAGTCAGCCCCGAGAGTCCATGATGACGTGCGGACGCTGCTGCCCCCGCAAACAGAACTTGTGGCTCCGAATCCTCTTGTTGACCATGAGCCTTTGAGAGCGAATGTCGCACGGTGTCATGAAGATTCGGCCAGCACAACGCCATGCACATGGAGAAGAGCATGCTGTGACCAAGTGTGTATCGTTGCTCTCAGCGGTTCCATGGTGTCACCTGCCGGATACAAGTCTCAATGGCGTACCAGTATATCTGGACATGCATATCGTCGAAATAGAGACTGAAGGACCCGAAGGTGAGTTTCGCTTTGTCTCCAGGTCTAAAGAAGTCGTTCAGCAGCGATGGTCAAAAATAACCTCGACTGCTGGAAAGTTTTGAGACACATCGTATGACGTTTGGTTTGGAATCACGTGAATGTATATTCACTGCTGCGCAAATCCTATACACTTCAGTAACAATACAGCATTTGGCTTGGCGGGTGGGGTTACAAATTCCAAGCAGCTCCACTCGACTCCTTCCTTTCTCAGATCAACATCCACACCTCCCTCCTGTCTCTTCCCCGGCGAGCGCCTACACGCCACGGTTCCCCACTCATGACCGCTGGCACCGTCATCCGTCGCCGAGCCGCAGGTCCTCCATCACCTCCTTCCACATGCCCGTCCATTTCTTGCTCCTTATCTTGACTCTCCGTAGCCGGACTCGCAGGCGAGCTTTCGATATCAGATCCAGACTCCACAACGTGCTGGGTACTGTCTCGTCCCGAGGTGGTCGGCAGGCCGTAGGAGGTGGCAGAGCGGCTGCAAGAACCGGTAGCTCGAACACAGGAGCGCTCGCTGGTGTAGACGAAGATGGAGGAGAAGAAGTACGTGACGAGACCGACGCTGCCGACTGCGAGGTACACCACTGCGATCTAGCAACGATCAGCCAAGAAGATTGACACATATTCATCACTTCTGTATAACTCTGCAGAATGCGGTTCCAGCAGATGGAAGTAAAAGGCAAAAGATACCACTTACCTTATGACCCTCCTCCCATCGCGAACCCTTAACAAAAGGCGTACACACATATACCGTCAATCCCGCCAAAAACGTACACCAAGCCCACGCCATCATCATACTTGGAAACTGCCACGCAAAAAGCATCACCCAATGCATGACGCTTGGTCTCCCCTTATATCTCAAAATCACGTATCGTATGCGGCGCACTTCAGCGTCAGGGAAGTGGGAGGTGAGTTGCTCTCTATTGGGTAAGTCGTCGAGTATGCTGCGGGTTTGGATGGAGGTGACAATGGCCCAGATGGAGCAGATGAGCGAGCTGAACCATAGGGCGGTGGTGAGCCAGTGGGGGGAGGGGGTTTTGGTCCAGCTGAGGGTGGCGAGGCTCGCACCAGCGCAGAAGGTGGCCTGGTGCTTGTCAGTGTTGCTGTCGGTGTGATAGGAAAGGCAAGGGGTAACACAAAGGGAGAAGGGAGGAAAAGGTGTAAACTTACGGCGACTTGTACGGACTGTAACTCGGCATATCTGCTCCCAGTCAAACTAATCAATCCCCTCCAGTGTCTTACCAAACTCGACTCACTTATCAAATTTCCAATCCCTGATCAGAAACGCCAATGCCCGAGGATCACCCCCCAAGTCCCTCATCTCGCTCAACGGCCGCCAAGTATACAAGTAAAATGTGCGACGATACGGTGCCATAACCATGGCTATGAGAATTTTGACAGGAAGACGAATCCATGGTACCCAGGATGGATTTTCATGCGGTGAAGAAGGCGAAGAGGTTTGTGGGCACGATGAGGTCGGATGAGCCATCCGAGGTGCGAAGAGTGCTAGCTGGATATTCAAGGACACTTCAGGTGAACAGGTTACAGGTAATAGATAGGGAAAGTAGTGAGAGAAATGCTGAGGGCTCAAGGTGTGTGTTTGTGGATATGTGTGTGGATGCTGGCGGTCGCAGCACACCGCCGTTGAAGAAGAACGGCAGGGCCTTGGGTGCTTGCATCGTAGCTGCCTCTTTCTCCCCGACCACCGACAGCCTCGTACAGACTGAGGTCGTGACGAAGAATTGCTGATGACATATGATGCATCATATATCACTGATGACTGAAGGTCCACCGTTGCACGAATGTGCCGCGGGGTTGTGTTGGGGAGTCGTGACCAGCGATGCTGCTCGTGATTCTGAGGCTCTCCCGACATTCTGGTAACGAAGCCGGGCTGCATTTCTCCGAAAGAGCCTCGTGAATCCGTTGACGACAACTGCATTCAGGAGGTACCTAGGTATAAGGGGCAGCCATCGTAGACGTCACGTGCAGACGACGTCTGCCAACTGACAAACGTATTTACCGGATCATGAATATTTGTCTACGCATTGAAAGTATACTATATTCTTGACCCAAGACACATACAAAAAGAAGCCCTAATAAGGTATGGGGTATATCCAGGGCACACACACTACGCCGCCGGTCCAGGAGAAGCCGCGCCGGACCTAAACCCTCTGCCACCAGCATCAGCGGAAGGTCTTCTTCCCAAACAAACGAGAAGACTTACGTATAGCCACCCCCATGCGGGTGCAACGTCGCCGACGCCTGAGGCACATACGTATACTGCTGCCCACCACCACCATTGAAATACTCCTGAGCCGACCCTCCCCCTCCATTCACAGGAGAGTACGGTTGCGGCGACGGCAAGCTATGCAGACTGATCGCCGCCTGATCCAATTTTTCGTACGCAATATTTCCCGCAGGAGCACCGGTTACCCCAACCTCTGCTGGTCCGGACGCTGGACCCACCCGCCTGGGAACCTGGCCACTCACGTCGATGTGCTTTGCCCCAACGAGATTCTCCCACGTGGCCTTTGGTGCTCCAGGTGGACAATCGTTCGGATACAGGAAGGTGGTGAAGATGCGCCCAGCGGACGTCTGATCCAGATACCGTCGCAAGCGTGCCGGCCCGGCCCTCCCAATACACACAAACACCAACGCCATGGCGAAGATCGCTGCTCCGACAGCCAGAGCCAGAAACGCGGGTATACCGTAGACGAGTTTGAACTGAATCCGTCGCGTGTACAGCTTGACAGGCACCATGACGGATGATTGAGGTTCGTCGCGTTTTGCCAGATTCTGCAGCGGTGGGGAAGGTAAGTGGCCTTTTGTACCAACGACGGCATTGGCGCTGATGTCCGTCCAGATGAGGTTGATGATTCTAGCTGCGTCTTCGGGGTTGCGGGAGAGCTGTTGCCATTTATTGTAGAGAGCCATGTTCGATCGTCCAGTGTAGTCCGGAATGCCCCACGACGCGGACACATCTACTGTATCAAATTCGTATATGAAACCTATGATCCGCGAATAGAAATCGACGCCTGGCAGATTTTGGGCGCCGTTGGTGGGTGCCCCAATGTCTGATGGATCCACATATCCTGGGAGGTAGAGGTGCTCCTGTCGCGCTGTCGTTATGTTTGGGTGATTGGCGTGTTCCGGAATTGTGATACCCCATACCGGATTAGCGTAGTTTAGTCGCAAGGCGGATTTCTCTACTGCCCACAGAGGCTTGTCCTCGTCCTTAGCATACTGCTTTGGTCTGATGTCATCGATTTTCAGAGATGACAGGCCTGCGGTTCCATTGTAACGGAAAGATACCGTCTTGATGGTAGCCTTCGCCGCAGTCGCACAAGAATACAGAGGGACGGTCCATTCACTCCCCGGGTCGAAAAAAAGGGAAGAGGTTCCGTCCTTTCGTCTAGCTGCGCCAAGCAACATACCGCAACCGACAGCGATGTTCGACATGTTAGAATAGGATCTGGGGTTGGCATTGGAGCACTCGATAGCTACAAATAGAGTATCAGGTCAGGCATACCGAGATGGAAACAATGGCGTGTCATTACTTACCGATCTCCGAAAAGTTGGCGGTGCTGATTTTGAAGGGGTTCGGATAGGACGTGTTGCCACCAAGAAGACTGCCATTTAAAGCGCTGGAAATCCTATTAGTGGTGCAATCTTGGTGTGAAGCTTTTACACTAACGTTGAAAGATTTAGAAAGTCGCCGTATGTCTCTTTCAACATCAATTGGTCGTGTCGAGGTCTGAAAGACCCCAAACCCTTCGTCTCAAGTGGGAAGGTCTTGTTGACTTCCGATTCCAAATATTGGAATGCCTTGGTATAGCGCTCACTCTTCGGGTTCGTGACGTTGAGATATACCATTGTCAATGCGTTGGCTAGCCAGCCGGCGAGCTTCGCACGTCCTTTGAGGTCTGCATTCTCCCATGTTTTATTTGCATCGACTGTGTGAACATGTCAGCAGATGCAAGCCAAAAGGGACATGCTGCCTTACACCACGGCATGGCCTTGTTCATGTCGGCAAATCCGCCCCGGTCAGTAAGTACCAAGTAGTCAACATAGATTTCGTCTGGATCCTGAAGGGCGAAATCCAGTGTGATGTTCAGGTCGACGCATGCGGTCTCCGGGTCAATGAACAAGATGTCTTCTTCCCACGCGCTGCCATACGGTGTAGGCGTAGGTACCGTGTGGTTGCGAAATCCAATCCCCCCAGTCTTTGTATCCACCACTAGGCCGTCAACAACATCCCATCTATCATTCAGCACCATTTGGGAGAGGTGTCGATAGTCCCCAACTATGCGCGTAGTGTTGCCCTTCCATCCGTATTCGTTCTCTGGTATGGTTTTATACGTTCTCCACTGAATATCAAAGATGCTCGACACAGTCCGGCCTAGTTTGGAGACGCCAGCGCTATAGATCTCTGTATAATTCTTGGGAATGCGGTCATCATATCCCAAAGGTAGTTGGCCCTGGTAATTGGTCGCATTCCTGGTCTCTTCGATTATCGTTTCGGAAAACGGGCAAACTTTTGGAACAAAATCCCAACACCATCGCGAGAAGCCCAAGGCGTTGTTTCGGGGGAGAGTGCTTTCAGCAAATCAGCGACGGAGTAATGTGCCCACGATAAAAGAGTACACACCCAAGACCTATGGTTGTCTCATCTTTGGCGTAATTGAAAGGAACCTCCTCGGCTCCATTTCCTGCAAGGACGGACTCGTATAGCCCAAGAGGCGTGACGATTGACGCGATCGAAACGAGCAGGACAAGGAGGAGCTGGAGCAATGCAATAAAGCGAACGCTTCCTCGAACGCCCTTGGCGCTTGCAGTGTCCGTTCTTAAGATGGTAGGCCAATGCGAAGAATGCAGAGCGCGGCCGACTACCGACCTGCAAGCAGTATTAGATATGGCTTGGTAGAGGAGTGAGGCACTAACCATGTTGCAGCGCTGTTCTCGTTTCTCAAGAGTCCAACAAGAATGAGTATAACCAGCATGGGAAGGATAAGCTGCGCTGTCGAGTTTGTTAGCATACGTGGATATTGCGAATGCATAGATCAGATAGAGTTGAGTTCGACGAACCGACAAACACGCCAGCGGCGATGATACCGGCGACGGTACCGACAGTCAAATCCTCGAGTCTGACCATGTTGTCCCTCGGCAGCGTACTTGCGTTATGGATTCGTTCGCCTTTCTTTCCCCGCCATGTCCATCGAGGAGATGGGGCACGGTATATAAAACCGTGAAGAGAAACGGTCCCTCAATTCAACCTGCATTGTGGCGCTTGATGCCAAGGAGAAGGGCCTTGACCGGTCAGTTTGTGACTGGACTTCAAAAGTGCTGTATTTACGCCGCGGTCGAATTCAGTCCTATTCGGGATTGAAATACGAAGGTACGAACTTTGCAAAGGCGACCGGAAATCATGCGGCTGAAACAAGCCTTGACCTCTGAAGGAACGCCATAGCTTTCGCTGGTCTTAGCGGCGATGAGTGATTAGTCGAACTCTTACCCAGCCAGCTACTTTCATACACAGTAAGTGCCAACATACTCTGTTTGAAGCATGCAATAATGTCCACTCTCCAAACCGCATCATTGAAGAGAATGCGAAATAGGTGTCCCCGCTTGACATTGGTTAGTAAATGAACGTGCGCCAATTCGTCGCAAATCTTCTCACAACGGCCCCCAAATATACACAGTATGCATTGCACAATTCGTTCCAAGATCAACACACTGAGCAGCTGTGGATCTGACTGATGACAGTCGATCGCATTATTCCTGAAAGGACCAGAACCGGGGCATCAGAGCTGAAGCCAAGCCTTGTCATGTCGATCCTCGTAAAGAGCGAACAGGCGTCTTGCTGCCATCGCTGAAGGTCTTGAATTAATGCCATCGGAGCCTATCAGATTAACGGAGCCACCCCTGCAAAAGGTACACAGTAACAGTAGCAGTACGAAGGATGCGATGCGCTGTCGCTAAATATGGAGAGTGCAAGGCATTTGGATTGGTTCGCAAGGTGATGGGAACCATGTACTCTCAACTAGGCTTCCGTTTCAGTGTAATGCTTCTAATTTTTCCTGTCTAGCAGTGCCCAAGAAGAAACGCTTCGCGCGATGCACAATAGATCCCAGTATGTATATGAGGTATCATAAAAAAGAGCCGACTCCGTACTCAGAAGACTCCCCTGGAACGGACCTTAGAAGCTCAGCCCTATCAAATACGGGTGATTCGTCCATGAGCGGCTTTCTCATGGTGGCTTTCCTTAACTCCAACGCGGCCAGCTGGTAGGTCCGAGCAGAGACCATTCATCTGTTTCACCGGAGTCCGGCCAAACGTCGTTCTTGGACCTCGGACAAGGCCCTACTTCCACTCAGGAAAGCTACCAGGCCAACAATTGCGGCGGCAGGCAGCGTTTGGAAGAGATTCCAACGGGTGTAGTATAGGAAAAAGATACCTTCCATAGCTAGGATGGAGCCGAAGAATAGGGCATGCGGAATAGGGGCATTGCCCATTGCCTTGCCTAAATGGTCGAGGTTGGCGCCCAATGCCGCCCAGACACCAAGCAGAACCGGGAGCGCAGCAACCACTGCCGCAGCGAACACCAAGGTAATGATTTTGGGTGGGGATCGAGGCTCGGCGCGGAAGATATGATGAATCTCCTTGTCCGCAGCGTAGCGAAGCGGCTTTTCCGGAACGGCGAGCGGTACGTTCGGATCCCGGGTTATGTTCAGGTCAAACACCTTCTTTTTGTACGGTGTAGATGAGCCAAAGGATCCGATGACAATTGAAGCTTCAATTGGTTTGGAGGACGTGAGGAATTGAAATGATAAGTCTTTTTGAGACTGGCCAGGTCAGTGACGTCCAGCATACCCAGGGCGCGAAGCTTACCAGGTCAAGCTTGCCTTTCCCATTCTCCTTGACGCTCAGTACGAAAGATTCTTCCAGCCCCGTCACCGGCTCCCTGATAGTGAGAAACGCCTGATGGGGCCGTTTGGCCTGCTTGCCGTCGGTGGTGGTGAGCAGAAGTTTAAGGGTGTCGGATGCACCCAGGGAGATGGGTTTTGGCAGAGGGGAATTAGGATCCAACCTGCAAGCAACAGTCAATATCTCTACAAGAGTGGAAAAGTAATGGAGACATACTTGTCCTTGGAGCCAGCTCCTACACCAGCACCTTTAGCTTGCACGGTCAACGTAGCATCATCGAAACTCCAAGAGGATGCGGCGGCGACCAAGGAGGCACTCGACAGCAGCAGCGACGGCAAAAGTGACGTGAAAAACCTCATTGTGGTGTCGATGGGAGCCGTTCGTCGAGCTCCGTACGGAGTATAGCCACTTGCAGCCAGTACAGACGTAAGTTGTCCTGGAGATACGTCGGCCCGAGATTTCGAGTGTCGCTAGGCTAAGCTCATTTGAGGGTTACGGGGTCTTGGCAAAGACGGGCGGCCTCGAGAAGGCGAGGTTGAAAGTCTAGCGTACAGGAGGTGCGTTGGCTTCCGCAGTAAGGACTAGACGGTGAAATACCCGATCCTGACTTTGTTATGAGATCGTTGGAGGGAGTAGTCGGTAGGTACAGCACGCGATTGCATAGACCGTCATCCCCTCCCGACTCCCGCATTACCCATTACGGCATAGCATCTCCCCGACACCTCTCCCATTCGGCGGAAGCGTACTCCGTACCTAGGCACTGTGCTGTCTTACCGTTAGTAGTGTCAACGTTCCTGGTAGTGATAGGGAAACGGTCTATTTCCTGAGTGGAGAACCATGCCTGGCTCGCATTGACTCTCAGGTTCAAAGACGTGACGCAGATGCCAGAGACATCAATGATACTTACATCCTGATCCTCTCATGACGCGCTTTGTGTACCCCAGTAGGAAGCGAGCCATAACGGCGCCAAAACCCGCAGCCCTCGTGACCTCCAATCCACCAGACAGCACGAGACAGGGACCACGACTGGATCCCACCTTTGTTATTCAGCACTTGTTGGTTGCCGCAAGTTCGCCGAACAAGTCCGCAGGTGCCCTGCTCCTACTCGATCATCGCCATGTCTAGCAGGTTTCTGGATGCGACGCGTGACCCCCTTTTACCACTGTACTGTGGTAGGAGAAGCAGACAGTCTGTTGCTTGTCTCAACATTGCCCTCTTTCTTCACCTTCGACCCCTCTGTTCTGCCTCTGCCTCCTGATCCAACCGACTGCTCTGTGAATACTGTGTACACAATCTCTTCTTACGACCGACCGTCACCCACGCTAGGCCCTAGCCTCCTCCGAGACACAGGAACGAGCGCATGGCGCCTCTACGTTCCCCATGTCATTCCTATCCGACACGGTGTTACCTGGCACTGGCAGATTACCCCTAGAACGACCCTCCAAAGGAAAGAGCGGCCGAACAAGCCTCAGGAAGAGCCGCAGCCATGCCAGCTTCGTGGCCTCGCTCGTGCGCTTTGCCAGAGACCCCGCAGCAAACCTGGAGGGGTTTGCTACTAACACCGCTCATGACCCCATCCAAGTAGATGCCAAACGGGCCGTCAAGGCCGCCGAGGAGGATCGTAAACAGATTTGGTATTTGCGGTTGCGCAATGTGAGTTGGACCTCATACCACCAACTTTTGACCTTTCTGACTGTTCATCGTTCAAGGCCGAGACGTACGAAGAGTTCCGGTCCGCAGCGACAGCGCTAGATACGCTAGAAGGCAACGACGTGTGGAAGTGCGACGATGCCTCGGACGAGTACAACGCTACACTCGTTGCTGCCCGCCTAAAGCAGCTCGAAGAAGCTCGCATCAGCTGCGACGTGACGAAGATGCTGTTTCTGATTCGAACCTCTCTCACACGCGACCTCGGAGGAATGGGCGACCTGCGCTTATACAAGCACTCCCACATTGGGACCAAGAGGCTCATTGAGAGATATATCGAATCCGCACAAAACCTTCTTGCTGCTCTGCTCGACGTCTCGGCCAAACAGGGTGCCAGCTGTCCGGTCAAGACCAACATCCTCGTGGAGCAGCTGCTGCTCGCTCGCCAATCTTTCGGCAGGAGCGCCCTGCTACTCTCCGGAGGAGGAACTCTCGGCATGAATCACATTGGCGTCGTCAAAAGCCTCTGGGAGCAGCGCCTACTGCCGCGTATCGTATCTGGCGCCTCTGCTGGGAGTATTGTATGTGCGGTTCTTTGCAGCAAGACCGACGAGGAGATTCCGAAAGTCTTGGAAGAATTCTGTCATGGCGACTTGGCCGTCTTTGAAAAGGAGGGCGAAGAAGAAGGCTTAATGAAGAGGATCACTCGGTTCCTGAAATACGGTGCCCTGTTTGATATTTCCCTCCTGGGCAGCGTTCTGAGAAATCTGCTGGGCGACATCACCTTTCTGGAATCGTACAACCGCACGCGCCGGATCCTGAACATCACGGTGTCGTCGGCTAGTCTTTATGAACTCCCGAGGCTACTGAACTATATCACGGCACCCAATGTAATGATCTGGTCCGCTGTTTGTGCTTCCTGCTCGGTTCCGTTCATATTCTCGGCCGCTTCATTGCTGGCGAAAGACCCTCGGACGGGCAAGGAGGTTCCATGGAATCAAACTCCGAATGCAAGCTGGATCGACGGCTCTGTGGACAACGACCTGCCCATGACTCGTCTGGCTGAGATGTTCAACGTCAACCATTTCATCGTCTCTCAGGTCAATCCGCACGTTGTTCCCTTCCTAGCAAGGGAGGAAGATACGATAGCTGCAGACGCTCAACAGCAAGCGGCCGTTTCAGCAACTTCGACCTGGATTCATGATCTGGCCAATCTCGCCAAAGAGGAGGCATCGCATCGCCTGCAATTTCTTTCCGAATTGGGCATTTTCCCTAACTATCTGACAAAAATTCGATCTGTCATCAACCAGCGCTACTCTGGAGACATTACAATCTTCCCGTCGATATCCTACAGCCAATTTCCCAAGGTGCTGAGTAACCCCACACCGGAATTCATGCAGCAATGCCTTCTTACCGGCGAACGAGCGACGTGGTCCAAGCTATCCCGGATACAAAACCACCTTGCGATCGAACTCGCATTGGATGACACTCTCCGACAGCTTCGTGCCAGGGCGGTGTTCAGCGCCGAAGAGCCGCACGTACGATTCCACGATCCCACTCGACCGCGGAGCCATCATGGCGAAAACTCAAGACTCTCCTCCCGTCATAGACCAAGCACGAGTCTGACAACAACAGGCTTACCCCATTCTCTACATCCACCCTCCCCTATCAAGAAACATCAGCTGGTTCGCCTACCATCATCTCACGTGGTCCGACCGTCACAATCACTAGAGTTTGCTCGAACCGACGCACCTCCAATTCCCACACAAACGATATCGGCGTCACCCAATGGGAATGGTACTTCATCGGTCAAGATGCCTGCAGAAAGCGATATCTCGCTATCCCCACCCGGTTCGTCCTTACCAAACCTTTGGCCCAACAATGGCCCCCTGTTCCCCTTCGCATCGCAACCTACAACCCCAGGTCCCCCGCCTTCCCATGTAGTCCACCAGAACAGCTCCTTCCCACCCTAGGAGAACCGCAGATCGGTTCAGGGGCTATCTATCCATCCGAACCGCTACATAAGTACTTCCGCCACCCGGGACCTTCATCCAGCACCGCAGGGCACATCTCGTGACTCCGCCAGGACGGGGCAGGCCATGTTACCGCACGAGCTCCCAGTGCAAGTTGGACGACGATCCAATCGGTCGGTGAGCAGCCGCAGCCATGTGGCCAAACGAAAGTAAAGTCGGACTTGCAGTGGTGGTATCCGTCCGACTGCGACTGATTCCCTCACGTGGGCAGAGGCGAAGAGGGCAGATGCGCCCTTTCGATTCAAAGGGGACTCTGCCTAGAGAGGAAGATATCGAGTGGCCCACAAAGAAGCAGAGGGGTAGCGCTGATTTCCCTGTCGCGAGTAAGGAAGTTAGTGAGGAAGGGGGAGGGAAGGGGGGATGATTTATGCCTGAGTCGAGCGTTTTGGTATCACTGTATCGGCGCAGACTTCCATTATTTCGATCGCATGAAGCATGAATTGCATAGAAGCAAGAGGGGAGTTTCTGGCGGCCGGTGGCATTGATATATCATGATTGGCATTGTGTACTTGGTTTGGTCGTTTTGCTTTGCATCCCTGGATTCTTCCTGTTCTCCTGGATACCTAGATTCAATCAATACACGTTTGTCGAACCCTAGTGGAGTTTTAGTCATCGTGATCCAGTCTTCACCATGGCCGAACATGCTGCTTTGTCGAACAAGATGGTGAATGGAGTTTGACTAAGTAGAGCAAGATTCTATTCAGACATGTACCCAGTATACACGCCTCCGAGAAGCGATAACCCTGACCGATGGATAATCTCCGCACGCCAAAGGACGCACCATGAAATGCTGCTTGCAACCCAAAGGAAAATCACTATCAGCGCTGCTGTCCCCGAACCCGGGCTGAGCAGTACGCAACTTAGAAGTAAGAAATGCTGAGGTAGATACCACAAAGCTGAATAACCAACGCAGTCTCGATCAAGATATGCTCCCCGCATCAGTCGTCGCGGTATCCCTAATCCTCTCATTTCGCCGTCTTCTGCTTCTTCTTCGGGCGCTCCACCAGTTGCTCTTCCTCCTCGTCGCCCGAGGCATCCCCTTCATCTCCATCGGCCATCTCGTCATCGCTGTCAGATTGATGGTTCTCGTCGTACTCCTCGGCCACATCGGATTCGGATTCGGCCTCAAAGTCCTCGTCGACGCTCTCGTCGTCCTCGTCGGCACTCCCGCGCGCTGCACCGCCGTCGTCGCTACTAGCGAGGTCGTCGTCTTGTAGAGCTGCTGCAAGGAGTGCTCCTGACTGGGGGCTTTGTTAGCTCACGTACGTATTTTGCTTTGGGTTCAACTTACGTCATCCGCCATCTCGTTCTTGGTTTTGATGCCCTTGGCTCGGAAAAAGTTCTCGAGCGGTTGTTGCTCTTCGCTATACAGGAGTTAGATGCTGCCAAGATATACCGTAGCTTTCCCACTCACCGATTGATGTTGCTGAACTGGTGCTCGGCCATGCCTCCTTTCATGGTAAAGGTGATATCGAAAGTCCTGCTCGCCGCCATGGCACCGCCAACACGCGACATCGTCACCGAGGCGATGTTATCCATACTGATATACGTCGCGGGTTTCGGCACGAACATGAACGCCTTGTCCAAGCAGAAAAGATGTCCCTCGTTGGCCTTGATGGAACACTTGACACCGGCCTGCTCGTGGTGACTGACGAACTCTCTTGACGGCTTCGTGATGCGCTTGCCTGACAGGCCCTTGAAGATGTCGGAAACGACCATGGCGATGGGTGCTTCGTAGTGTGACTGCAATTTATCCTTGTATTTGGTCTCCAGGAGCTCGTCCGTCATGTTCAGGTCGAGGTTGACTTCCTCATCTCTCTTGAATTGCATCACGAGGAACGGATACCGCGTCTGACCTTGCCGTAGCGGGGGATCCAGGCCGATTGTGATCAGTGTGTGGATATCGTCTGGCTTCGGCAGAACCATGAACTTCTTGACTGCATCGTACTGGATCTTGTAGTCGTATGTCTTGCCTCGCAACCTAAACGAAGTCTCGAACATATCAATATCAAAGCGTCCTCTGAGACGAGGTTAGCACTGTACAGACATAGAAATAGGGCGTACAAACCTGGGTGTGAGATGCAGAACCTCCAGGAAGCTGGCAAATGTGTCGCCAGCCACCTCACCAATCTCAGCCTTGTCCATCAAAGTCTCGTAGAAGAGTTGCGCCGCGTTCTGCTCCTCTGCATCCTCACCGTCCGTGACCTCCTCGCCATCCTCGTTCTTCTCCTTCTTAGACGCCGTGCCAGGTATATAGAAGCGCATCTCCACAAGCTGGTCCTTTGCACCGGCCGACTTCTTCCCCCGCCCGCGAGCGCCTCCCAGGCCATTCGCTTTCGCATCCCCATCGGTCAGAGAAAAATCCACCGCTACCTCGTTCTTACCCGCCAAGTTCGTGTTCGAGATCTCCGTGTACGGAATTTCGAAAGCCGGTCGGTTCGACACGTTGAAGGATAGCTCCGCCTTGCCGAACTCCGCCTTCCCCCAGTTCCAACCTCGCAGCGCGTGCTCCTTGTTCTCCAGGGGGATGCCGTACCAGACTTTGAAGAGCTTTGCGACGCGGTCAAAGTCCTGCCGTTGTCAGCAACCGATTCCACTAATGTTCCCTTTTCATGACCATGGCATACATCCTGCTTGAAACCGTCTAGCTGAATGACTCCATCGGCGCGAGTTAGAAGCTTGACTTCGTAACCCCGGGCCGCTCTGCTCCACTGCGCCGAGAGTATCTGCTGATGATCCAGGGTAAAAGTGTCGCCGCCGCCAGAGGGTTTCCATCCCCAGCCAGACTCCGCGAATCGAGCGACGCCATGCTGTTTGGAGAGGTTGAGGTAAATGTCGTTGAACGTCTCCCTGGGAAAATGTGAGTGTTGCTGATGAGATAAATGCGGTTTGACTGATTCTTACATCTTTGTAAATGAGCATGCAACGTTTATTGTCTGGAGTAGTTCCGATGAAGGTGTTGAGAGAGATGGCAATGTCTCTGGCTCTGCTCAATCTTGTGGCGGTCGGCGAGCGTTCATGGGAGCTCCGCGTCGTCTTGGCGCGTTTTTGTGGCGCGTCTGTGGCTGGTAAATGCGGCTGGTAAATGTGGCTTAATTTTGCGGCCGTGTCGTCTGTCCGTGGAACCCACGTCTACTCGACCGCCAAGGCCTCTCACATTCACCATGCAGCTTTCACCTTCACCTTCATCTTCACCTACTTCGCGAAAACGCACTCCGTACACGTGGGATGCATTCTACTCGCACCCCTTAGCACCCGCTACTGTGTTAGATTCTGTCATTTCAGGGTTCTCGCTACACCTCCTTTCGGCCAACATCCTCAGAATACCTTGCAACAGCTCTTGCAATAAGAACATAGGGTCGAATTCGTGCTTGCCTTTTCGCCTTACTATCTACACAGTCTCAGCATCATCGCACTACGTGCAGTGTGAAATGCTTTGCGAAAGAGCATTGACGTGTCCGCGGAGGCACGAGTTCCAGCCGCGCACGACAACACCTGGGCATGATTGAGTGAGTCTCAGCATCATCTGACAGTCCCACTCATGGGCATTTCGAAAACCACGATCTCGATCCAAAGTCCCACAGATGGGATTTTCGGAATCCCATGATCGCGATCTCCGTACCTGACTTCCCAACAAATCGTTAGTCCCTCGCTGCCGGATGAGCCTGCCGGCCACAAACAATAACAGATGCAGGCTCTCAACCATCACAACATCATACCCCAGCGAATGATTTTGGACCCAGTCACAAACAGACAGCATCCAGGCCTCTCATTAGCCCAAGTTGCGTGATTATTTGGCACCCTCTTCTGTCTACCCAACGGCTATCAGCATTCACGAATTCCCATGCAAGCCCCGCATGCCCATGTGCCGTCCCCTTCTGCAGGGCCCAGCCAAAACCAGCTCACCGACCCGGAGAAAAGAAGCGGATCGTCGATGGCCAGCCCACGTGGATTCCCTCGCCCAATTTACGTCTATGAAGTTTTCACGTCCGATGAGAATTTGAAACATCCGCAGAGGACATGTGAGGAAGTTGGAAAGAGGTCCTCCAATGAGTTTCCCCAGACTGTACCACTGACAAGGCGACAAGATTGTGTCGTGGGTAAAATTCAACAACCCGAGGTCTCTCTTGAGAGCAGACTGCCGCATCGTCGATGACAACCTGCAGAGTAATGTAGGTCTCGCAGCAGATAGAGTCAATGTACGGAGTACTCCGTACATATGCATGGTACGCTTATCCCGGGCGACAAGAAGCAGGAAGCATACGGGAGTCTTCCCTATCATCCCAGGACAGGGTAGATAGTGCTGGACCTCTCCTGACCATGCCTTCAAGCCTCGTGAGGATAACTGACCGACCATGGATGCTTCAGTGTTGACAATGTGGACACGAGACCCCTGATTGCCCTCATAACGCCAGAAGTGGGGGCTCGGGTGTCATCATCCGGCAAGCTGTCTGACAGTCTCTTTCCCATGCCAGAATCTCGATGCCCATATCACAATTCGATGCTGCCCCCATCGGGACAAGGCACACCCAGTGTCACAGCAGCAACAAGGGGTAGCGAATCACGACAGCTCTTCCCGCAGCAGATGATTTGTTACACGGAACGGAGCATCTCGATGACAAAAAAGTCAAAGTCGCAAACTCGCAGCCTGCTGCCTCCCTGCGGTGGATGGCAGCCCAACGTATGAGAGATGAGTGAACCGCCCATCGACATATTTGCCCAACATCGACACAGAGGCAGCGCCTTTGCCAATCGCACACCAAGCACGTCACCGGCCCATGTCCCCGCCCGCTATTGCTCTGCTGGCTCTACTGTGTGATACTCTGCGTCAGAACGCTGCACAAATCAATCCCATCATCCATGCCATGCACCACATTTCTCATCTGCGCATGGGCAGATTCTCACCAGACACACGCACCACCCCGCCCACATTCAATTCCCATCAACGAGTCCCCTCCGGCTGCCCAAATGCGATGTCCCCATTCTAACAGGGATGTGCCGCACCCTTATCTACCTCTTCAACCAATCACAATTGCTCCGCAAGCCATCCCTGCACCGCATCGCCGATCTGGTTCGCGCGGAATGCGAAACCGTTTTGCCATGGGAAAGTGCGCATGGGGAATTTTAATTTCCAGGCTGCAGCGGCTGTTCTCTGGTAATCGTTACTAGTACATTAGTCTTCCGTAGGAGGTTCGTTGCAGGACTGAGCTTGTGACACGGTGCGATACGGTGACTATTCTCTTGTCGAAAGCCAACTGCTTGCGTCGACCGCTTTCTTGCGAAGGGGGCATACGATTCGAGGGAGATTGGGTTCTGCTTTGTTCCTTTTTTGCTTTGTTGTGTGAGGGGGTGGGCTGGCGAACTTCGGCGGGGAAAGGGGGGAGGAGTGGATGACGTCATCCGGTCAGAAACTCATCGTCTGCTACCACTACAATGTACACAGTACAACTAGAAGAAAAGAGCCATAGCTTTTTACTACATGAAAAGACTCGGTACCGTGTAAATCTCGGTACAGGTATCGACACGGGGCGTGATGACATGAGAACCTGTATGATTGTCGGCCTTCCTGCGCTTTCCATCTCACTTCTCCCGTCCCTCCCTCAGTGAAAGAACCCATGTACACAGTATTCTCGGAAATAAGTTACCAACTCCCTCTGGAAATAAAACCGTCAGCCTACAGTGCGTACGGGCGAAACGGAGAAAACGCTCCTACTTGTGTTGTGTGCTTAACTCCCTTAACTCCTCCCCTTCAAAAGGCCGCCCTAAAAGCCGTCGTACACTGTCAACCACAGCACACAGCACACGGTACCTAGGGTGTGGGGCCAGGGCCTAGGCCTCCACTCGTAGTCGCTTGTACTGTGTACACTTTATAGGGTATCCTCAGCTTACAGCTTCCTTACTATGTGTTGAGCTATTGTGGGACGCAGGCCAGTCGGCATAACGGTCCTGACTAGCGTGTACTGTGGTTTCTCCGAGATATCCGATAGCGATTGCGATGGCAGAAGGTCCAATGCCGTTCCGTCGAGCAGCGGGTCGCCGCGGGAGTTTTTAGCGCAGTGGATGGGAAGGAGGGGGGGCGGTGTGGTGGCTTGTAAGTACTATTGATTGTTCTTGAATGTTGAGTTAGTGTCCGCGGGGAAGGAGGGAGACGGGCCGATGAGAGCTCGGTTTAGTTCGGTTCTCGAGAGGGGAAGATGGGGCATGGGACAATAGCTCGACCAGAAGGGAAGGTCATTGCCTCGAGAGAGGAGTGAACCTTGGGGGAGAGAGAGTGGGGAAGGCGGGTGGCGGAAGTCAGAAGGGATTCTCGAGCTATTGACCTTTGTTGCTCAGGAGGGGAAGTTTTGCGCAGCTGAGATATGGGAGTAGGGATGGCACAGTTGAGAGATTGGAATAGGGGTGGCATAGCAGCATTCCATAGTGTATACAAGAGTTTGCAGAAAACGGTGCTTCTCAATTATAATGCTACATCCTCTGTCCGTTGGGCAGAGAGGCCATCCACCCTAGGGGTATCACAATCTTCGAAGATCCAGCTTCGAGTGACAAGATTGAAAACGTTCGACTTGATCAAACCGGCCAATTCTCGCTTTCATTTTCCTTCTCCGCTGATCAACTCGACGACTGGGTGCTCCCTCTTATTCTTCCACTAACAGTTTCTCGCGCGCGGCTTTGCTCTGTACAGCGGTGCGTATATTCGATCAACGCCAATCCTGGGTGAAAGCGACCTTAGGACCCGGCTCCGGCAGTCCAAAAGCTGACCGTGCATGCAATGGAGCGTTAAGATGTGGTTGTCGGTATAACCTTGCAGTGGCATGATAGCTTTTTTGTCCTTGTTCCTTCAGAGTGGGGAGGTGATGATAATGTCTTCTTTCTTTCATAGGAAACGGAGCCTTATGAGAAAGGACGTTAGATGTTGCTTTGGATGCTCGGTAATGATTGCAGTTTGAATCACCAGGCTAATAAGATAATGTGCTGTTTCTCTCCAATATGTCCCGGCAATGCGTGTCGACTGTCTGTGTCAACCGGCAGAGACGTAGCCCGTCATGGAGGCGCAGTGGGAGCAGTAGTAGAGGTTGGTGCCGAACTGGATCATGCCGTTGACGCCAATGGAGGTGCGGCGGCAGCGCGAGCAGCAGAGTTGGGGAGGCGTCGGGCAGGTGCTGGTTGACGAGGAGCTGGAACCACTTGACGAGGAGCCGGTGGACGACGACTCGGCGGTGCCGTTGCTCTTCTGTAAGGGGGCAGGGCTGGGCCGGGGAGCGTGGGCAGCCTGGGTCTGGAGTTGCAGCAGCTTGGAAGCGTCCATGGCGGCAGGTGCAAAGGGCAGCGTGCACGGGCGCCAGGCGAGGAGCGGGTTGTGCGGGTCGGGAGAGATGTCGTCGGTGTAGGCGGACAGAGGAGTATTTGGAGTTTCGGCCGAGTAGCGACGTGCTGAGGGAGGGACGTATGTGAAGTAGCAGGTCGGGATGGTAGAGGAGGACGAGGAGGAGGAGGTGTTGTTGTGGGAACAATAATGGAAGTTGGGGCTCATGTTATGGGAAGCGGACAGCATGTGCTTAGCGCAGCACAGGCAAGATCGGATTGTTCTTGGGAGATCGAAGAGAGGGATATTGAAGGGGGCAGAATGGTGCGGCGTCTGGGCGGAGCAGCTGATATAAACGGTTGACAGCTAGGTAGGCCTGGAGGGGGGACCACGCAACGGGCGAGGCACATCCATGGATCTGATGGAGTAACGTTAGGCTCATGGCACCGGTTGACACAGCACAGCAAAGCCACAAGCACACGCATGCACAAAGCACGGTATTGCCCAGGTGTGTACGCGCAATACTGCAGTACGGAGGAGAGGAGGAGCACCACCAAAGTCTCCAGCAGGCGCGACTCGGCCCAGAAGCTGCCCAGCCGGCCGCGCCAATCCACCGCCCATCAAACTCTCCATCCATCGCCCCCTCTGCCCCATCAAGCCCCAAAAAGACTCGTGGCTGGACCATTCGCGCAGGCGGTCCAACTGCGGCGCCGAGATTGGCTGGATCGGGCAGCCGCTGCGAGAAAGGCAGCCCTGGAGATAAGCAGAGAAAAAGGCTGCAGAAAACGGTGGACAGGGATTGGCCGCGAACGGACTATTTTCTTTGATTTTCGCCCGACACTGGCCAGAACCGAGACCACTCCCCCTCCTGCAATCATGAGTGGACCGCCATTCCGCCATCGCATTGTCCATTTCTCCCATCTCTCCATACATATCCCACTTCTCCATCCTCGTCTGCCTCGGCCCTCCACAGCTGCTGCGTCTGCTTCCTCCTGCTGCTGTACGTTCGCGGGACCCCTCAACGCTGGTAGAGCACGCCTTCTCGCCCTTTGGACCGGAACCAACTCCCGAACCCGTCCATCAAACGTCCGCGCACCGATGCCGGGCCGAACCGTTGGCGAGACTCGTTCGACTGGACGAGTCACGCTCGTGGCCTGGTCTGGACCGGCGCTGCAACACGCATCGCCTTAAGTTCTACTACTTGGTATGTATTCACACAACACCCTGTTATCTATCGTGATAGACGGCTGTGTGTTCTCAGTATGAGCTGCGCATCTTGACCTCTCTCCACTTCAAGCCCGGGCCGCTGTGTCGAATGTCGTGTACCTTCGTCGGCGAAACCCTATTCTGTGAACACATAGAACGTTAAGTCTGCGCCTTGCGCCTGCAGCTGGGCGTTTAGGCGCCCATCATCTTGTGCTCTACATCCACACATATTACTCTAATGCGGAACGGTCAGAGGGGTTACTTCTTTTTACTTCGTGCGGAGCTGTGCTTGGAATACGCCGGGCAGCACAGCCGGATGACACGCCGAAGAAGTGCCTTGTTAACTTATAAGACTGGCCCAGATGTCTGAAGATATACTGTGCACAGCTGATACGCCTTCCATAGCTTCTTTGGGCTTTGCCGCACACAATCGCCCACAACATCGCCTCGAATGGGAGTCCATAAGTAAATACGCCTTGAACACCCGTCTTTCCACCACTCCGCAGCACCGTGATAACTGCCGTGTGCCTCCAGACCTCACGTACGCCAAAACCAAAGTCCGTCTCTTGTGTCCCCAGCGCCCTCCGTCAGCTTCGCACAGACAGGCGGCAGCTGTATAGATCTACTGTGGTGGTGCACCAGATTTCCTGTCTCCCCCGCTTTCAGTAGTAACCACACAGTAGACTAGCCACTGCTACTCCGTACACGACAACAGTTCGCAAACGGTTTTGTCCCAAACACCTCCACCAATCAGCTTTGCAATCACGACCCAACCATGGCGTCATTCTACAAGTAAAGCAGCCGTCACTACCCCACCTTGCCCATCGCGCCTCTGGATGGCTCTGTACATCTTATCCAGGTACAGTACGCTGCCCCGGCTTGTGGACCGTAGTGCACTCGATAACCAGAACGTGAACTGCTGCCCAGGTGTTGTAGATAAGTGCTTTTCCTCTGCGACGATGCTTTCGAGTGTAGGCGAAACGAGCGCGTGCGCGGTTGGAGGGGCAAGGCGAGACATTACCCCTCCATCTACCTATCCGACTTTTTAATAGGGCCCCATTCCCTACGATATTTGCCTGCTCAGAAATCAAGCCATCGTCATGGCATCATGATTCTGTCGCCGCACAAATAATCCTTAAGAATTCCTCCATCCTCAGCGGGCCGCAATTCGCCAAGGCAACTTCTGCAAGCAGCTCTTTTTGTGCATCTAGGCCTCCGCTGCCGCCCAACCGCGTTATCACCAACTCCCCCCACCATAAATCTTCCACCGCGCTCCCCTCATACCAACCGCAAACACCACCACCGCAACTATCATCGCAGTCAGCGTCACAATGGGCAAGCCTCCGAATCTTTACGCCTTCGAAGGCGCAGACGACCTCGCTTCCAATCTTCGCGCCTACGTTATCGACGCACAAAATAGCGCCGTAGACCGCCATGGAGTCTTCCGCGTCGCCGTCTCGGGTGGCTCCTTGCCCAAGATTCTCGCAAAAGCACTCCTCGAGGTCAAAGACGACAGGAAAGTGAACTTCGACAAATGGGAGGTCTTCTTCGCCGACGAGCGCGCCGTCCCGCTGGACCACGAGGACAGCAATTATAGGCTGGTGAAGGAGGAGATTCTCGACAAGATACCCGCAGAACTCGGCAAGCCGACCGTCTACCCCATTGATGTCAAATACCTCGATGATATACAGGAGATGGCCGATCAGTACGAGCAGACTCTGGTCGGCGTATTCGCAGCTCGCGACAGTGTCAAACTTCCCATGTTTGACCTGCTCCTGCTCGGCTGTGGGCCTGACGGGCATACCTGCAGCCTGTTCCCCGGGTCTCCGCTCCTGCGGGAAACTGATGCCTGGGTTCTTCCCATTTCCGACTCCCCGAAGCCGCCGCCCAAACGGATTACCCTCTCACTTCCAGTCGCCTCGCATGGGATCAAGATCGCTTTCGTCGCAACCGGTGCCGGGAAGAAGGATGTCATGAAGCAAATCTTTGACACAGAAGAGGGCCGGCAGCTACCTTGCGGCCTCATCAATACCTACGCCCAGGACAGAGTCAGCTGGTTTGTCGACTTCCCGGCCATCGAGGGTGTGTCTTTCCCATCCCGCCGTGGCAGCCTATAGAGCTGGCACGCACAAAAGAACCCCACTTTCGGAGGAGTCTCTGACGGCTTGGGAAATACCCAGTCGACCTAACGGACGACCCATATCTGTTCTTATGTTTCTCGAAGGATATCCCGTATGCCTTTGCACGCATTGTGTGAGCCGGGCTGCTGCACTCAAGATCAAAGTTCTAGATTATGAACCTATGAGCGCTGTGGGCAGTCGATATTCGGTCGCTTATCCCGCACCTGGCTGTATTGTCCCAGCGCTCATGTACTGATTTTACGTATTCATTTATGGAGAAATGCAAAATTCAAGCCATGGCACGTGACCTTGTACCAAACCCCAAACCAATCTTCCCGGTGTTTATCCGGCGCTAAACACCCTTGCGTGTTTGTTTGGCGGATAACTGCCCTGCCGCTTTCCAAAGGTTCCGACTTCACCTCCCCGTTATTGTTACACCGCACTTTCAAATGCCGATACCCTCGCTGACTTCGTCACTGAAGACGCGAGTCCAGAGCGGGAAGGCAAAAGAGTCGAAGGCATCAAAGGTAAGCATTGCTTGACACTCCCAGCCCCGAGCAACATCCAACTGAATCTAGTCTTCCCCCAACCCGCCACCCGAGAGCCGCGAAGAGCGCAGTCGAGTCCGGGCTGCGACAACTGCTTCCATCCACCATACCTCAGCCGTCGAGGGTTCTAAAAAGCAACGCCATCTTCCGCAACCAGGGGAGCTGAAATACACTTCCTGTACCGGTCGAGATGACACCACCAGACGACAAGCGGGAGCAGCAGCGATGCTGCCGCCTCCCCTCCCTGCTTCGGCAAAGTCCAATGACACCACCTCCTCCAGCGGGCCAGGAGTCTCTGGCGTTCCAAGTCGCCTGAGGCCCCGTTCTATGTATCAAACCAGCTCGCATGGGCTTCTTCCCCAAGCCTCTGTTACCGGCACTACAAGGCGCATGATGGAGCAGGGTGTAGAGAGGCCCAGCACTGCACATTCGCCGAATATTACTCGGTCCCAATCCCTTCGCAAACCCGGTTCATCAGCGCGAGTTGCACCGCCAGCTTCCGCTCGCACACACAGTCGGACGCAGTCGGTGGACACGGCGGGAATAAACAATGGGATATCCGTAGAAGCCATGGGAAAGAGGGAGAGGCCCCGGTCATCAGTTGTACCTCCAGGTGACCTCAAAGGTGCCGCGAATGATGTGCCAGTCGATTCGACGGAGCATGCGACTTTGGATAACGGGCGACACGCAACAATAAGACGGTCAGGTAGCGTCCGCACTGGAGCGACAGCAGGACATGCGTCCGAGTCCGTAAGCTTGGCGACGAGAGCCGGCGGAGTGCCTGAGAAACGGCCCGCTTCGAGAGTACAAAGCGCGAACGCCGAACAGAATAAGAGCCAGTCGCGGCCCGCATTCACAACGCTTCAGCAACACTATACACCTAGGAAGGTTGGGAAGGCTCCGACTTCAACGTTCTTGCGTCCCCCTGCGCCTGATGTCGAAGCGCACGCAATCGCTCCGGAGATGGCTGCTGTCCAGGCGGAGCTTCTGCAATTACACTTACTGCACGAGTCAGCCGACCGTACAGAGAAACAATGGGAACTAAACGCGAAGAGAAAGCTTCATCGCAGATTCGACGAGGTTGCCAGTCTGCATCGTGTTATGCGAGAGAGTGAGCTCAAGACGCAAGAGCAGCAGAATCTTCAAGCGCTGACTGAGTGGAGCGCTTCCCATTCGTCCTGCAGCTTTGCGGAACACATCCAGATTCTTTCTGGGCCCCTCCAGGAGCTCCCATTACTGCTCCACCCTGGCGGTCGGTTCGAGCGTCTAGTGTCCGGCTTCCAACATTGGGTGACGCGGGTTGAGGCTATTTGGGAGGCGAGGGAGAAGGATTCGCCATCTGCACCTGGTAGCCTGACATCCGTTGAGGCCCTAGGTGACAGCTGGAGAGCCGACAACGCATCTCTGACACGGAAGCTGACGAGCTTCCAGCGCGACCTCGCTAGGTTAGCGAAACCGCCGCCCGAATCGAGTATCGCATCCATTGTGAGTGCCTGCTCGCAACTGGTGGAAGGGGTCTTGGAAGAGCTAGTCATCATGCAGAAGATCCAAGAGGACATTGTCAAGGCAGAACAAGAGTGGGTCAAAACAAGCCTGCAAATCATCGCCCGAGATATTGGAAAGCTACTGGACACAGAAGAGGATCTTGTGGCTTGGCGACAGTGATAGACCAAGCATCAGACCGTTACAGGATTACCTAGGCGGATATCGTTCGATTTGAGTAGGCTGGATTGAGGGTGGTCACTGAGCCATGAGGCCAAACTGGTGCAAATTCGTACTGCTTCCCTCGTTTCCCGCGTCCATCCAGGCTGTTCCGAATGTTACCACCTCGTTCTGGGACTCCAATGAGAGGGCCACGACAACTACTATAGAGTTGTGCGAGACATGGGGCAATACACCTCGGTTTGCCCGTCGACTCCAGTGTGCAGAGTACAAGTGCCGGCTCATACAACAGTGAACCTCGTCTTGGCATGAAACAGCATGGCGACGACCCTCCTTTGAACAATGATAGCGCATGTGCTGCAGGCATGTAAGCATGTATAAGCAGCCAGTCAGTCAAGAAGGGAAAAGCGTCTGCCTTTTACCATCCAAATGCGTAGCCGTCACCCTTGCCAGGTCTATCTACTTCCCATCCCGCATTAGTCCCAGGTCCCCCCGGAGTCTCACACCACTTGATCCTCCCAACATAGGTCACTGCGTTTATTCATTCCGCCATGGCTTCATCGAAATTTCCTGGAGTCCAACCGGCGTCGTGGTTTCTATCTGGGAGCTTGAAGGTGCCACTCTCGAGGATCATTGAAGAACGACTGGCAGACAGTATGCATACATCAGGCCCTGTAGCCTGTTCGAGCCATGTGACGGCTGATCTTCCTGCGATCACATTAACCCTCCCGCTGCCGCCCTTTGCATTTGACACTCACCATCATCTGGACGCGTCCGGGAACCGTTCCAGCTGGGTCTGGGTTTGTGAATCACGCAATGCACCCCATGACCCTCATTCCCCCACTCACCATCAATTGTGAGGTTCATGGTGAATCGGGGGACCTTCTGAGATTTCAAGTTCTAATCCTCTCCTCTCCTACGTGGCAGGCAATATGCACTCCGCCTGCACGCTCGCCGTGGGATATTGCAATGTGATTGCATGAGTGTCAGCACGATTGCACACTTTGATGACTCATCCCCGCTGTTTGAGTTCCCAATCGGTGCGGTGGCTACTCTCGTGACACTCGACTCTCGTGACATTCGTTAAGAGAAAAACAATTGCAGACGACATGCTATTGCATTGATGGAGCTCACTCCGTCTATCCGGCTGAATCCTTTTGAACCTGGGCTTGGTTCCCTGTTGCGCGAAAACACCACAAGATGATGACCAGACATCATGCACAAGCGCGGAGCTTCCACTTGACGCAGTCAAAAACCAAGAGGAATTGCTCGGTGTTGAGCCAGTTAACGGAAGCCTACTTGATAAGAACGCTCGAGTGTCTTGCCGGCTGTGCAGAGCACTCCCCCACTCTCAAAATCCGAAATTCAACACATCTCTCAACCACTCCCACTTTCGCTGGCTTCGGTGTTGATTTGCGCACTGTACAACGACTGATTCCTCACCGGCACTTACTTGTTGAAGCAGAAACCTCTCTCTCCAAAATAGTCGCAGCATAGATGTTAGTGAGGACGTTGGCGACTCAGAGGCTCGCATACCACACGTCTAAGTTGCGACAAATGTGTTTGGCTTCATAGTGGTTGAGGATATTGTTCAAGCTGCTCTGGCTTCAGCGATAGGTGAGTCCAAAACAGTCATGTGAGGGACAAACCCATCTGTCGCACTTGGACTACAGAGGCATCGGTATCCGCAGTACTAAAGCATTAGTGCAGATCGTCTCCCTCGAGGTCGATAGAACTCAGAGGCTTCGTACGATGCGCCTTGATACTGCCCCAAGCGCCTCACCACCGTTTCGTGACCAAGTACGCGCCGCCCGATATGAACTGCAGATGCGACCCTTCCGCGCGAAGTGAACAATCGCCCACCAGCTCGCAGTCACCTGCTACTAATACGGGGCTTCACAGTCCCTGCTCGCGGGTGAGCCACCTAGACCAGACGCCGAACCAACTTCTCAGCAGCCAGGCAATCATTCACCCGACCCCCTCAGCGTCCACCCCTGCGTCCGCCTCTCTACCTCCTCAATCTCCACCGCAGGCGTTGCCACCTCCGTTCTTACACTCCAAGAGCCTTCTTCCCTCCCCATCTCTCCTAGGCTTCCAACCCGCCCCAGCTCTCGCATCTGGCTCTTCAGCAGCTCAAACCGCACACCTCCAAGACCTGCAGCACCAGATCACCCTCAAAACCCTCGCCTTCCAGACCCTGCAACGCGAATACGACGCTCTCCTCACCCAACTCTCCCAGCATCATTCCCGCTGCACTGCTCTCGAGCAGAAACTGTCCCTCTCAGACGCCGAGATTGCCTCGCTGCGCGACGAAAAGCAGCGCATACAGTCCCAAGTGATGGCGCTGGAACGCGAGGTAGAGGAGTTGAAGGAGAGCAGGGAGGAAGCGAGACGCCAATTGGGCAGGAGTGGGGCGCAGTATGTGAGGATCGTGGAGATGGCGGCGAGGTTGCAGGCTAAGGGGGTGGAGGAGAGGCGGGAGTGGGAGGAGGAGAGGGGGAGGTTGGAGGGGAGGATCAAAGTACTCGAAGAGGCTGTTGTGAGGGGTCAGGGAGATCGTCGTATAAGGACTGGAACTTCAAGGGGCAGAGAGGTCAGCGGGGATGACGAGCAGGGAGACACGGCGATGGACGTTGATGCTTCCTCTGCTGATACCGCCGCACTTCTGCCGAGCTCATTGGCATCAGCGGCAGCATCGACACCGGCATCGGCGGAGAACGAGATAGTCAATGTGCTCCGAACGGAGATTGGCAGGTTGAGGGCTCGGACGACGGTGCTGGAGGACGCACTACAGGTGATGAGGAGGGAGTGTGTGTCTGTGCAGACGGCGGCGAGGGTGGTTCTCGAGTCGGGAGAGAGGATGGAGAGGGTTGTGGGGGAGTGTGTTGGGTAGAGGAGAGGGGGTTCGTAGAATGGTGGTGTTGTAACTTGTGGCTACTGTTGCTGATGGCGCTGATGGCGTTGCTGGCGTCAGATGAGGGTTTGGGGCTGGAGGCCTGGGTATGTGGCGGGACAGCAGAGGTGGCTACAGATAAGAATCTGATTCTGAAGCGGGTTTAATTGATGGCTGAACTTGTGAAGGATGTTGAGGAGGTAGATGACTGAGTGAGACGTCCCTGGATGGGTTGTCGCTTGTTCTACCAGGTCTGTACAGTAATGGTCTGTCAGTCAGGGCAGGCTGGCTAGCTGCGTTGCTGGAAATTACCGTCCTTTTACGTCGGTCTATGGGATGACGGGTATATGGCAAGATGTCACGACTTGTCTGGTATTTCTGGATATACTGTAGCACGGCTGCTTGCCTTAGCCCCCCAGATCGTCCACCGCAGCATTGACGATCCGCTGGATCTGAGTCCAGCGTCGAAGCAGCGTCTCCTTCTGCTCCGCCCTTGGCCTCTCATCTGCATCGCGAGGCTTTGCGTCGACATCAACGTCCAGCGCCTCGACTTCCTCCTTGACGTCCCCGATCCTCCGCTGATACTTTTTCAGGACGTCGCACAGGTACCTGTCGACGACTTGCTGCTCCGCTTCCGTGCCCTCGTCCGCGCCAGACACGAACGCGGCGTAGCGTCTCGCGGGGAGCGTGAGGAGTCTCAGGGCTGCCTGCGTGCGGTGGCACGTTGTCGTTACCACTCCTTGCTTTGCTCGAGTCGCCGCTTCGGTTCCGTCATCATCATCATCGTCGTCGGCACTTTCTTCCGCGTAACCGGCTCCGAGCGCGCGCCTAGCGGGGATGAGGGTGTAATTGGCGTAAAACCCATCTTCTTTCAGGACGGCGGATTGGCTGGGGGACAGTAAAGGGAGGAGTAGGTGGTCGAGGGGCAGCGAGTCGTGGGCGTTTCGGGGCCAGAGGATGAAGCCGTATTCGACGAGGAGGAAGGACGAGGTGTGCGTGCCGTAGGTGACGTAGATTTCTGCGCCGGCTTCTATTGGGTAAGGCAAACGGGGCTTTGGTTAGAGGGGCTGAAATCGGGTGGATAGGGCGAGGGGATGGATGGAGGGAGAGGAAGGGGTCGGAAGTTAAGACAGAGAAGGGGGGGACATAGGCGGGAAGACATGGGCAGGGAAGGATGGGACCGAGGTACAACGCACTGTAATCTCTATCCGCGTAGACATAGTACCCCTTGGCGTCGTGCTTGGTCTCGCATCCGCGGTCCGAGTGGTTGAAGTAGTCCATGAAGGGGCACATGGCGTAGCAGTCGTCGGGAGTGAGGAGGGAGCGCTTCTTGGGGAGCCGAGGGCTGGCGCGAGGGAGATCGGGGTAGTCCCAGTAGACTAGCAAATTTAGCAAGTTCCTATGGGAAAACTGATGGGAACATACAGGTACGCGTGTTTACTATCAACCATGTGTACGTGAAGAGGTCCTTTGATATGGACGGTATGCTGGGACGTAGAGTATCGAAATCAGCATCGAGCTTGTGGCGCTGCTTTGCGACGAGCGCTGCGAATCGTCAGTATTCATCACCTCGGTCTCTTTCCTCTGTTATGGGAATTCGAAAGGTCAACAAGACAAGGACAAAAGAAGGAAAATAGGAAAAAAGAAGTCCAAAGCACCGACCCTTCGCATCTTCTGGTAACAGCTCCCTCGCCCTCTTCCCCCACAGTATCGGCAGGATAGCCTCGAATTCCTCTCTGCTAGGCCATATATCCTGCCACGGTCTGTACTCTGAGTCGTTTCCAGAGTACCGTAGGGCAAGATAGGCGGCGAGTTTGCCGTGGACGGTGGCGTTTGCGGGGAATTTGTAGGAGCGGAGGGAGGGGGATGCGGCGGTTATCATGACCGCGTTCTTGACGTGGGCTAACAGTTCGCCGGCCTGGATGTGAGATTATTGCTGGTTTTTTTTCTTTTGGGGAAGATTGAGGTGGAATAGAAGGAGAGTATGAAAGATAGAATATAATGAGGAGATAATACTAGGACCATGTTATGTTTAAAGGACATGTGCTCATGTTCATTTGGCACTACCGACAAGTCCGATGTGTGTTAAATGGTGAAGAGAGAATTCTTGAGAAATCGGGAACTTGAAGGGAACATTGTAAAACAAAAACAGAAAGGAGAATTCAGATACTACGAGAAGTGATGGATGAAATATGAGAAACAGAGTACTCTCAACCTACCTTCAAGTCTCTCGCGGCCACGATTCCCATTCCCCGACCAATAAATCTCGCTGGCGCAATCCCGTGAATCTCAACGCCATTCTTCTCTGCCCATGCGACAAAGCGACAGTGCTCCTCTCCAGGATCCAGGGCCATCTATACTCTCTCCTTGTTGGATATATCTTTTAAAGATGTTGTTGTGACGCATATATAGGGAAAGAGGTTGACATTTGAGTCAACGAGCTATCCGCCTTAGGACTAGCTCTAATGGCGCCACACACTCGCCGCCACACTTCAGCCACTTACTCCGCCTTACAGTCGTGCGGCAAGCTAACCTGTTCCACCGTGTTATAACAATTCGTGTACGTCATCAGTGTGTTTCTTCTTATACCTTTCTTCCATTTTCTAAAATATAGCCAGTAGCCTATACCAATAAAGTAGTCGCAGTTGCTCGTCTTCTCATATTCACATCCCTTTATTTAGCTGTGATAATAATCCGATATTTCAATCAAAACGTCGTCCCTCAAGGCTCCCTCACGCCGCGCTGTTGCGTCACTAGCGCTCCTCACCGTGATCTCCGCCATCGAAAAACAGCGCAGGGCAAAGGAGACACGGCAATCTGGAGAAGAGCAGCCATTCGCGAAGCAAGATATGTCTGGCGAGTTGCAGACTATACCGGCTAGACATGGTGTTGCTACCTTTGTGCCAAGGGGTAGGACGATCAAGATAATCAATACGTATGGGAAGCAGGTAGTTAGCTTATGGGCTTTTGCGTTAGGGGCGCCGCCGGAAGGAGAAGAGGTGGATGCGGGGGTGGAGGAGGAGTTGGAGGAGAAAAGGAAGGAAGTGGAGAGTGAGATTCGTAAGGGAGAGGAAAAGACGGGAAAATCGGAGTCTGCAAGCAGGAAAGCCTCAGAGACAGTAGAAGATTCCGACCAAGATGCAAAGGAACAGAGCAAAAAAACAGAAAAAGTGCCAGAAGAAGCTGAAGGTACTGGAGAGGCTGAAGATCCCCCTGAGGTAGCGCCGAAAGACGGGACAACTGAATCCGAAAAGAAGGCGACCGGGAAACGGACTTGGTCTTCTTACCTCCCTTCGATACCCTACCGTTCCACGGTAGCCCAGGCCAAAACTGGAGCGGTCACTGGGTCCAAAGCGGAGGAGTCTCAGAAGGAGGCCGCTACGAAGAAGTGGTCTTCGTATCTACCTACCGGCCAGAGTTTCTCCAGTTATGTGCCCAACGTACAGCTACCCGACTCAAAGGAAGTGATTAGCGCTTTCAAAGCTAGTGTTCAGCGTGACCCAAACAAGAGCTATGCCGAGCAATTTTATGATTTCTCGCGGACGCCAGTAGGTGCGGCGACCTTAGCAGGTAAGTTGTGTGAGGTGCTCCAGACATCCTTCGAAGTTCTTGTGAAACCCCTACCTTGTGAGTAGGAACTGACACGTCTCATAGCTGCCTCGGGCAGTGGAACCGCGTCCTCCCTCTACGCTGCCTACAATGCCTTCACGAAAATGAACCCGTCCAAGTCGGATCAGCCGCCGATGGAGTACCTTTCACTGCCACACACACGTGCAGCAACCCACCATCTCGCCCCGGAGGTAGACGATACACTGCTTACCAATCTCCGTTCTCCTATCATGACTCTCGTCGAAGATACCACCCCCGGTGCGCACGACACATTGACCGCTGCATGCGACGTCAGCCTGTATGCCGCACTTGGCGTTGATAAGCCGGAAGAGCATGGCAGCTGCGCCGAAAACCTGGTACTAGCGTTGAAAGAACTGAACGAGAAGGTTGGTCTGAAAGGCACAAAGGCTGTGGGCGCCGATATCACCGTCTACATCCAACCGTCACCTCTTCACCTCTTCATGAACGCACCCATCGAGGTCGTCCCGAATGCGCAATCTGACGGATCATGTGCCCATGGTATGAAGCTCAAGGTTGAGGAGCCCAAAGGCAGAAAGCGGACATATGTTCGTTTCCGTGCTGAACGGGATGTCGTTATTGTGATGAGCGCTTGTCCCATGGATGTTGGACCGCAGAATGGTGCGAGGCCGATGGCTGCGAACTTTGTAGTGGAGGAGATGACGGAAGAGGAAATGGCTTCGTCTGTAAGTTCGCTGAAGAACAGAGCCACACAAAGGACAGCTCAAAAGGTGTCGCCACGTCCAAAGAAGGAAGAAGAGAGACCGAAGCCTGTCACCAAAATGGGAGATACGGAGAAGGAAACCATCGAAGCTGCGAGAAGGGACAGCGGGACTGATCTTGCGCAAAGTGACGCTCGGGAGGTAGTGGACTCGAAATTGGACAGTACAACTGAGAAGTCCGCGAAGCAGAAGAGAAAACCGAGGAAATTGGAGAGGCGTTCTGGGAGTATTGCAGGTCCGCCTGCAAAAACTGCTACTTGTTAGGTTTGTGTTTTCCCCATGGATTCCATGTTGCCACATCTGTACCCCGAGCATGCACATGCGTAATAGTATTTCCTGTTCCGCTTCGTGCAGTCCGAGCCCTTAATGCAGTATCGATGTTACATACCTGGTCCATATGAGGATCATGGCTCTTCCCCATATGTCAGTTCGGCAAGAGCGCTGGATGGGTGAGCAATGAGGATTAAGCACTCTATTGAAGATATTGCTCTAGCGTGGTCATCTTGTGAATATATAGTGGTTTTCAGAAGACTAGCGTTTTCCTCGACATCGTCTTTCAAGAAGAGCTATTCGGATGACAGTTGATGGAGTGGTGAATAACATTCATAGCAGGACGAAGTGTAGTTAAAGTAGACTTCGTGGATCGGACAGATGCTAACCTTTTTGAGAAGGCGCACCTCTGGAAAGGGGTTATGCGGCGAGCAAGCTCACAACGTTCGACAATGCTTTCGGTCGCGGGTGTTTACAATGACCGAGGCCGTTATTTTCTTACCCACTACTAACTCAATAATAATATATTTAATACTCTACTTATATTAATAAACTACGCTATAACGTACCTCACGGGCGAGCTGATCACACGGGCGAGCTGATCACTATGCCAAGATCCCACCAAAATGTATACTACACACGAGGATATCACACAACGATAAACAGTTTTGAAAAATTATAGTAGGCTGATCTATTTAGACCCTACTTCTGCTTCCTTCTGACATGTTCGCGAGTTATGCCCAGTCTTGCCGCAACGTCTACAGCATCGTTGGGTAGGCTCACCCTCATCAGCGTGCACCCTCTTCTTCACCTTCTTCCCATTATCACACACTGCAAACTCCTTAAGCGTAGCTAGCCATAGGCTCTCTTCAGCTATTAGTACTCCTTCATGCTGTACATGCTTTCTTTTATATGATTTACATCATGTAGCAGCTTCATTTGCTGCTTGAAGCTCAGCGATCTCTTTTTGTGCCAATACCAGCTTGTGCGCTACCAATGCTGTGCCCTTCGCCATCTTCTCAAAGGCCTCAACCATGCTAGTTAGCGAGCTATCTAGGTGTCTCTGAATTCTCTCCTTCACCAGCGTCGATTGGGACCCAAATTCTAGGAGATTGCTTGGTGTTTACGACTTGCCAGGAGTCCTCATTGATAATAGAAGGTGAAGGCGTACACAACTTGATATCAAGCTTTGATATTACCGCTTCTGGATTAAAAAGAACCAAGCCAGCACCTCGAAAGCCTCCTTGGATATTGCTTTTAGTGATTGTAGCCTTAAAAGCAACAATAAAACAAGGTAGGAACTCAATCTTAGTGATATGAGTGATCCAGTTACGCATCAGATCCTCAGCTTGGTATCCATATACCTTCTTCAAGGGCGAGAAACACCTGACATCAAGTGGCTGTAGGAGGTGTGACGAGTATGGAGGCATACAGAGAGTGATAATCTTGTTATCTTTGCAGTACTGCTGGAATTCGAGCAAGTCGTAGCTCTCATGGCCATCAAGAATAAGTAGACATATTGTATTAACAGTACGCCGCTTTGTATGCTCATCAAAGTACTTTAGCCACTGCAGACCAAGCTCATTTGTTGTCTAGCCATTCTCAGAGACTGCGATAACCTAATCGTGAGGTAGATCCATCTCCTTGTATCAGGCAGAGAGGTGGTGCTTGCTCTGGAAGATGATAAAGGGTGGGATCGCCCAACCCATCACGTTGATACTCTGAATGACTGTCATCCACTCCCGGTTGCCCTGCTGTATGCTCTTTGGCCTGCCTCGACGTCCAGAGCCTGTAACAACTGCTCCAGTTGATATCATGCCTATCATAAAGCCAGACTCGTCAAAGTTATAGGTATCATCATCTAGGATACCGTACTTCACTTTGGTATTCTCTACAAGCCAGAACCAGCCTTGTATAACCTTGGGATCCTCACAGAGAGCTCTCTTATAGTGGTACTTTCGATTGAACTTAATTTTAAGCTCTGGCTGGCACTTGACAAAGGTTGCAGCCCAGTTCTGGCCGACTGGATCCCGGTAGCACTCAGCCAGCAAGGAATAAGCTATATCTTTAATAGCAGCAAGCTGGGGTGGAAATCCTCATGCATCTAGGTCCAGTATATGCTGAACAATCACCTGCTCCTCTGTCGGAAGGAGCTTCATTGAGTTGGGCATACAGTCACATCGAAAGCTGATTCCAGCATGTCGGGTGCTTAGTATACTTTGAGGGATGTTGTAGATAGCTGCAGCATATTGTTGGGATAGTATCGTGTCTTGTTTGATAGCGCAAAGTGCAAACTGTAGTTGAGCTTTAGATTCTGGTAGCTTGTCAGGTGGTTGAGATATCGTGATTATATTGTGTTGATGGTACATTTTGGTAGGGTCTTGGTATAGTGATCAGCTCGCCTGTGTGATCAGCTCGCCTGTGAGATACGTTATATATCTAACGTATGTTTTTAAGAATATATAATATTATTAAGTATAATAGTTAGTATATTAGAGATAGTTAACGTAATTAAACTAGCTATAAATTACAAGATACAACTAACAATTTATTAATCGTGCTTTATCGCCTCTATAATTCTCGCCTAAAACGCTCCTTGCACTTTTCCTCGCGCTCGAAGAGAAAAAAAGTTGTGGAATAAATATCCTCTACAGCATTGTAGGACGCTTTCGGTTGAACAGGAGCTTTTGTGCATTCCCGCATGCGAAGTTTTGAAGGTCCTTGGGAGAAAGGGCTCCTGCTTGCGCAATTTGGTTTAGATAGGTACGTGCTAGTGCGTTCTGGCTGTAGGGATAGTCGACCGAAAGCATGACTCTGTCCATAGGCATCCAATTCTGGACATTTTTCAGCGAGGGAATGTCAAACATGCCGGATGTCGTGATCCAGACATTGTTGCGCATGACATCGGAGAAGTTGCGGCCCGTAACCCAGAATGTGGAAATTCTGTCGATGCGCTGGAACATGATGGGTAGAGTTTCGCCTGTATGTCCAATGATGACCTTCAAGTCTTTGTGCCTGTCAAAAACTCCGGCTCCAAGCAGTCGCAACAGTGAGTTGGCCGTGCTGGAATGCCATCCGAGTCCATAGGTGCCAATTGCTGCTTCTGCAGCGGGATTCGCGTCAAGGCCACCACCAGTATATAGAGCTTCTTTCATAAGTTCGCTGGGAAATGTTGGGTGGATATAGATTGGGACATCTAAATCGACGAGTTTGGACCAGAAAGGATCGTATGCAGAACTGTCGTAGAAGTTTTGATCCACATGATTATCCACAAGCGCACCAACAAATCCTAATTGATTTATGCAACGATCAAGCTCATTGATAGCTGCAACGGGATCCGCCATTGGCAGTAAAGCGAATCCAGCAAGCCTATTCGGATGCGCTTTGATTGCCGTTGCGAGCTCGTTGTTGGCGTCCTGGACCTGACTGTTGGTCAAATTTGCGCCAGGTGAATGCGAAACGACTTGAATGGCGATCCCATTGTTATCCAAATCGGCAACACGGCCATCGTACAGATCGGAGAGTTGTGGAAGTATGGCGTTGATAAATCCTTCCAGGGGGTGATATCTAGCAGGCTCGGAGGGTAGGGCGGCCTTGGATGTCCAATGCTCCTCGAGTGTGATGGCCCAGGGGTAGCTCGCGTTTGCGAAGCAGTTTAATTGATTATACCCAGAGTAAGGTTGCAAGTACATTGTGGCAGCCTCGGGTAGGTAGGTCGGAATGTGTGGGAGAAAGATAGGTGGTGTGGTACTGTGTGAGGGAAAAGTGGTTGAGGTTCGAAACGAGGTTCGAAACGCGCCGAAACGCGATGTCATTGTTGGTTGAATACATTCGCGCACAGTCGCGTAATGCTTGGCGTTCCTATCCTGAACGCGATTTCCTATACAAATCGCGAAAACGCGTTATACCATGATGTAAGTTACTTCCTAGGCTTCTCGTCTTGGTTAATGGTCATGGAATTCACCGATTGGTACGGTGTAATCCGTCAGCGCTACAGTACGCCCCGGAACCAGTCAAAACAACCGAACCCTTGGAATGAGATAACAAAGCGTCAGCTCCCCGCCATCTGCGACCTTTGACCTCCCTTCTACCAAAACACCCATTTCCTGCCCCTATGCATGCTTGAAATCTCAAGTAGCATCGAAAATGTGGAAATCAGCTTTGGTGCGACACGTCTCCGCGCCCCTCCAGACATCTGGATACGCGAAATACTAACATGACCTATCTAGTCTCTCGGCGTCTTAGCCGGCCTATCGCCATGGCTTTACGACCGCTACCAGATCTTCTCCCACATGATGGCAAACCGGCCAGGGAAATTGATCGAGATCAACGCATTCAAGTCACATGATGTGCTCTTTCAAGACGCGATCCGGAATTGTGAAGATGTGGTGTTAGCTGAGAAGGGAGGGATTGCGATCCTGAGTTGTGATGCTGGAAGAGATAATTGGAATACGGTTATGGTGAGTATATTCTATTGCGTTCGTCTTCTTTTGCCCGCGACGACCTGAGGGATATCTGGATCGCCCACGGGAGGCTTCAACTTGCAAGGGAAAACCAGAAATCAAAGTTAAGAGGAGATTCTAGGGAACATTTAAATCCTCTCCCACCCTCCCCAACGGCGCCATCCATCTTTTGACCTACAGCACCGACCCCCCTTCCCTCCGCCCCCTCACACTTCTCGACTTCCCCAACGCCCAAGACTTCCACCCCCTCGGCCTCTCCTGGGACCCGATCTCATCAACCCTCTATGTAGTCAACCACGCCCACAACGCTTCCGTTCTGGAAATTTTCTCGCCCGTCGATCTGGCTGCCGGAACCGCTACGCACTCGCGCACTCTCAAGCATCCGCTCCTGCATGCGCCGAATGCAATTCTGGATTTGGGTGCGGGGAGATTGATAGTGAGCAACGACCACTCCAAATGGCTGATGGCGAGAAGGTCGAAGCTGCTAGCGCAGATGGAGACTTGGAGCGGGATTCCGGGAGGAAGTGTCGTTTACATCGACACAAAGGATCCGCGCGCTGAGGAGAAGGGGAAGGTACTTGCGTGGGTGCCGTTTGCCAACGGGGTGGAGAGATTGAATAAAACCACGGTGGTAGTGGGATCGAGCTCAATGTCAGGGCTCTACTTCTACAACATCACCGAGGAGGCCGATGGCACAGTGGATTTGACGCCCAGCGGCTTTGTCCGCACCCCTGTTGCTGTAGATAATCTCTCCTTAGAGGAGAAGACGGGGAAACTGCTGGTTGCCGGACACCCGTTTGCGCCGGCGCTGGTGGATGTGGCGATCAGAAGAGGTTCCTGTAATAGTTCTGATTTTGATGGGGAGGTCAGCGAGAAGTGTAAGTGCAATGCCCCAAGTTGGGCGGCTGAGTGGAGTGAGGAGGGAGGTCTTAGGGTGCTGTATCAGGGATATGCAATCTGTGGCAGCACGACTGCTGTGAGAGACGGAGAGAGGAGAATAGGAGTTGTTACAGGTTTGTATGATCGAGGAATCATGGTCTTCAAGCAATAGGGGGACTGGAGCAGGGATACAGAGCAAGCCAAAGGATGCTGGATCTGGGTTTACATAATGATGTGGAAAAAGGGGTATCTACTCAATTGACAATGTAAGAGACAGTTGTCCGAGGGAAAGCTCGCAAAGACGCTAAAAAAGATGGAACTGTTCACCCAAGGGCAGGTGCTACATCCAGTCCGTCTTGAACACCGGTGCGCCGATTAGATCCTGGCATTACTGCCGCAAATCACATTACAAATGCAAGAAGTATTCGAGAAATCCGGCAAGTTTAATCAGGAGGCTCCTCACTTTCTCACTCTCGCTTCGCCCTCGCTCGCAGAGTTCAAAACCGCCCCGGTGCTCCCTGGTAGTGGCTCAATCTTCTCCATATCGTCGCGCTGACGCTCGACTACCGGTGCGGATGCCGAGCCAGCCGCTTCGGGAGAATTCTGCCACTTGGCAACGTCCTTCTTCAAAGCCTCCAGCTCTCTTTGGAACTTGGTCCCGTAGTAGTCGATGTAGTATGTAGCCCCGTTGTAGATACTCCACATGAACACTGCGGACAGGAACACCCCGCTTGCCCATCTAGACCAGAACCAGATGGGGCATGGTAGCATGGTGAGGCAGGCATAAATGTACTGAATGAGCATGAACGCCGGTTCCTGCAGAGACTCAGGAAGAGAGAGCACTATCTTTCCGATCCATGTCTTGGCATACGATCTGCGAAGCCAGGTGAAGGATGTTGGACGCCCTGCAGCAATCTTCTCCCTACGGCGGACTGTGATGAGAAAATGATAGCTTAGTTGCCATATTGCATACGGCAGGGTAGCCCACATCATCATGGACGGCAAGCCGTAATGCTGGGGTGAGTCAGGAGCCGAGAAGCGAATGTTGTATATTGCAGGATATCGCTCCTTCTGATACTCGGGTGACAGAAGGTGGACGAGACAGTGAAGGGTGGCGCAGGGCATGATGTGGATGAAGAGGCTACGCCAATCAGCGTTGTCATATGCAACCCGTGGACGGACGCATGATCACTCACCTGACTACCTTGTCCATGGAGTGGAATACTAGAGCGTTCCGCCACATAGCGATGGCAATTGCGTTGTTCCCATAGGCAAGGCAATAGGAGGAAATGAACAAGCGCTTCGAGTTTGGGAAGACCCATATGCTCAGAACCACCAGAAGGTTCACAAAATAACAAAGGTCAGCCAAAAAGTAGTGATAGCTGGAATGTCTGATTAGCTCGAGATACGAAGAGAATACATCTCGGGAACATACCCTTTCTTGTGATAGCTGTAGTAACGTAGTGGCATGAAATAGAGCAGTTGCGCGGTGTACCAGAGTGGGAATATCTCCGGACGTGCGCCAACAATATATCCTGATATGAATATGTTCATGACGCCTGCAATGAAGGAGGCTTTCTCCCGTGCGGTGACAGTTGCACGGTCGTTCCATCGTTCAGTTATACGGTTTACCGATGTTCGCACTCGCTTGCGGTATTTGTCGAGCTGTTCCTCTGCCGTGGGTACACGGAGTCGCCATTCTTCCACCATGCGGTCCTTCGTGTTGTTCAACCGTGACTGCTGCCTCTTGAATCTTTCCCTTTGAGCCTGCAAGGAGCTTTGTATCCTCTCGACGCGCTGAGGAAGGGCAAGATTCTCGATGAAGTCGAACATAGTCAGTCGCTCTAGGGGCGGGAAGAAGGAGCCCTCGTCTGCGTCAGAGAAATCATCTTGATAGTGGCTGCTCGAAAACGAGGAGTTTCGAGTTAGACCTGTCGATGATCCTGCCGAGGGCACCGAAGTGGTTCGATCTTCTCCGACAATAGCGGAGCCACCGTGGGTAGAGTCGCCGGGGAGGGGGTTTGAGGAAAGGTGGGAGACGCCCGAGAGCAATGGCTCTGACTTCGAGGTTGGATGCGATGATTGCGCATCTAGGTCGGACATGTTGCTCGCTTTTGGGAGAAAAGCTGCGACGAGCTGAATACTTGAGGGTGGAATCGAACCGTAAGGTTGCGTCTGCCATAGCATATCGTCAGTCTCCACACACTATGGGAAGCCTCTGTGACCATGCATGCATGTTGTTTACGTAGAATATTAGAGAGATGGGTGCATACTATGTCTGTAATATCGTCTGTTATGCTGCAGATCTAGCAGAGTTCTGCGTACATTTCGGAAGAGAAAAAGCCAAACCCGTCCAGTTCGACAGCCTTGGAGAGCTTCAGTGAGGTGGAAGAGGGGCGCTGGAAGCTTGGAAGCAGTTCAAGTTGACCAACATCGTCATGTGGGTCTTGGCACTGGCTGTCCGTTGAACCACTGAGAGCATTCGCGACGCGCCGCAGCAACGCGCGACGTGCGACCCACCAACGCAGCCAGTGAACATTCACCGCTGCAACATTGTTCTGCCTACAGCCCGCCTACCCTACTGCGCTCAGCGGAACGGATAATCTGGGGCGCGAATAGCGCTTGTTGAACGGTCGCAGTCAACATGGGGAAACTGGTACAGCTGGAAATCAACAGTATGCGCACCCCGCAATGAAGAGAGAGTTTTCAGTTATTGACAGTGTCCAGACTTCAAGTCCTATCGTGGTCACCATGTTTTGCTCTTCGGTGATTCGTACTTTACGTCCATCATCGGGCCTAATGGCTCCGGCAAGTCCAACTCGTGAGCATCTACAGGACCGGCGGCACCTTATTCTCTTGGCTGATCCCGCTGCAGCATGGATGCCATCTCCTTTGTTCTAGGTATCAAATCATCGCATTTGCGCTCGACCCAATTGAGAGACCTCATCTATCGCGGACGCGTGATCCGCACTGCCAAAATCAATGCGGATGGGACGGCTACCGAAGCAACCGGCGACGCTGATGGCGAGACACAAGAGAACGGAAGCACACAGACGAGCAGCCAGCGCAATGACCCTACCTCTGCATGGGTCATGGCCGTTTTTGAGGACGAGATCGGGCAGGTTCATAAATGGAAGCGTACAATTACAGCTGCGGGCACGAGCGAATACAGGATTAACGGTCGCGTTGTCAGCCAGAAGGCATATAACGATGCTCTAGAGGAGCAAAGCATTCTGATCAAGGCTCGCAATTTCCTTGTCTTCCAGGGCGATGTTGAGAGTGTCGCATCACAGAACCCAAAGGAGCTCACACGTCTAATCGAGCAGATATCGGGAAGCTTGGAGTACAAAGCTGAATACGAGAGGTTGCAGATTGAGGCTGAGAAGGCGTCGGAAGACCAAACAAATCAGCTTGTAGAGCGAAGAAAGATCAACGCTGAGATCAAGCTCTACAAGGAGCAGAAAGCCGAAGCCGATGAGTATGAGAGCAGGGTCGCCGAACGCGATGAGGCCATAGTCAAGCATGTCCTTTGGAAGCTCTATCATTTCCAACAAGCTATTGAGAACTCTACCGCCGAGATTGCGAAGCATCAGAATGAGCTCAAGGAGCACAAGAGGGGAGTAGAGAAATACGAAAGGAGGCTGGAAGAGGCCAGGCAGGCTCAAGCAAAGGTTAGCCGCGAAGTCAACAAGTTGGAGAAGAGAATCAAGGAAAAGGAGAAGGAGATCGAGAACGCTCAGAACAATCTCGTACCCATTGATGAGAAGATTAAGATTTCGGCCAAGGACCTCAAAAAGTATGAGGAGCGCATCGCGTCCTTGAGGAAGGACCGGGATACGCAAAATCAGCTGATAGAGCGATACAAGAAGGATTTGGCCACTGTACAGAAAGCTCAGCAGAAGTGGGAGGCTGAATTCCAGGCTGCTGCGCAACAACAAGGCAAGGAGCTTTCCGAGCAGGACCTCCAGGAGTACAATCGATTGCGAGGCGATGTCACGAAGCAAACGCACGCAAACCAGATCGAAATTAACAAGCTGGAACGCGAGGTTAACACCGACAAGGACACGGTTCGGAATCTTAGACACAAAGTCGAGGCACTCCAAGGTCATGTACAGAAGGCCGAGGACGAGATAAATCAGCTGCAAACCCAGCAGAAGGACGCAAAAGCCAATGTGAAGGAGTTAGAAAAGGAGAAGGCTTCCAAGCAGCAACAATTCAACAAAGTGCGGTCCGACCGCCGACAGGCCGAAAATCAATACCATGAACTGAACGAACTGCTTCAGGATGCTCTCAGAAAGCACCGCGAGGCCGACAGCGGACGTCGCCAGAGCCAGAAAGAGATCGCAGCGCGTGAGGCTGTAGCGCAAATGAAGCGCATCTTCGGCTCCGGCGTCCACGGACGGTATGCCGATCTATGTCGCCCGAAGCAGAAGAAGTATGAGACTGCGGTTTCGACGTTGCTAGGCTGGCACCTGGACGCTGTAATTGTCGATACCGACAAGACAGCCAAGGAGTGCATTCAGTACTTGAAGGAACAGAAGATCGGGCAGTTCAACTTCATACCGCTTGACACAATCGCGATCAAACCTGTAAACCCGAACCTGAAGGGCATGCATCCCGGTATGCGCCTCGGTATTGATTGTATTGACTATGATCATACCTTCGAGCGCGCCATGGCATCTGCGTGCGGAAATGCAATCATCTGCGACGACATCAAAATCGCCAAACACCTGTGCTTCGAAAGACGCCCGCCTGTTGATGTCAAGGCCGTGACATTGGACGGCACCGTCATCTCAAAGGCAGGGACCATTACAGGTGGCCGCTTAGCGACAGATAAATCCAACCAGCGCTGGAACGACCAAGCGGTTGAGAATCTCTGGAAGGTAGTAGAAAAGCAAAGGGAGGAACTTGCTAAGCTGCCCAAATGGGATCGGCGAAACATGGAGGAGGAGGAGCAGCTGCAAGCAGACTTGAACGTCCTCGAGGATCGTATCCGCAGTGCGCAAGCGGATATCAAGGCGTTCGACCGCAACATCGAGAGCAAGAAGAAGGAACTGCAATATCACAAGCAACAGCTGAAGGACTTGCAACCGAAGTACCAAGACGCTGAGCAACGGCTCCGCAACCACGAGAGCCAACTTCAGAGCTACCAAGATGCTGTCAACCAGGTCGCTGATCAGGTCTTTGCCGCTTTCTGCCAGCGTCTGGGCTACTCGTCCATCCGCGAGTATGAGGATCAGCAAGGCACGGTTCAGCAGGAAGCCGCCGAGAAGCGCGTCGAGTTCACCAAACAGCGTAGCAAGCTCCAGAACGTGCTCTCCTTCCATCAAACGCAGCTGAACAGTATCAATGACCGTATCGCCGCTCTCAAGGAGAAAGCTAAGCGCGACGAAGCGAACGTGAAGGAATTCGAGGCTGAGAAAGACGAACTGCAAAATTCCATCGACGTGCTCAACGCCGAGCTGGAAACGTTCCAGGAGAAAGTGTCAGAGCTGCGGGAAGCGCTTTCGGAACGAGCAGCGGTGGTGAACACAGCGCGCAAAGAGCTGAACGACCGCAGCGAGCACGTCCGGGCCGACATCAAAGCCATCGACGCCGAGGAAGCCATCATCAAGCGCACAGCAGCGAGTCGATACGCCCTGCTGCGGAAATGCAGGATGGACGAGATCAAGATCCCGCTTGCAGAAGGCTCCGCGTCACTGAATCAGCTTCCCATGGGCGACAACCGTCAAGATGCCGATGCCATGGATGTAGACGAGGATCCGGACGCGACACAAATCCATCAGCCCGAAGTCGACGACTACGGCATCATTGTCGATTTCGATGGTCTGGACCCCGAACTCAAGGAGGTAAGTACCCCAGTTCATTGCTGCTACCGTGCTGCATACTAATTCCCCTGTTTCCAGGACGACTCCCCCGCGTGCGACGCCAAACTCCAAGAAACCATCACCACCCTAACCAGCACCATCGAAAAGTCCAACCCCAACATGCGCGCCGCCGCCCGCCTAGCCGCGACTCAAACCAAGCTCCAAGAAATGGCCAAGGAATGGGAAGCCTCGCGCAAAGCCGCCATGAAAGCGAAAAAGGACTTTGAAGACGTCAAGCAGAAACGCCTCTCCCTGTTCCAAAAGGCCTTTGACCACATCAGCGGCGAGATCGGAGATACCTACAAGGATCTGACGAAGAGCAGCGCGTTCCCGCTCGGTGGCCAAGCGTACCTCGACATGGAGGATTCCTCGGAACCCTACCTCGCGGGCCTCAAGTACCACGCCATGCCCCCGCTCAAACGCTTCCGCGACATGGAGCATCTCTCGGGCGGCGAGAAGACCATCGCCGCGCTCGCCCTGCTCTTCGCCATCCACAGCTATCGGCCGAGCCCCTTCTTCGTCCTCGACGAGGTCGACGCGGCGCTGGATAATGTCAATGTCGGGCGCGTGGCGAGATATGTCAAGGAGAATGCGAAACCGGGGATGCAGTTTATTGTGATTAGTCTGAAGGCCGGGTTCTTCCAGGAGAGCGAGAGCCTGGTGGGCGTCATGAGGGATCAGGCGAGGATGAGCTCGAGGGTCGTGAGTCTGGATGTGAGTTTCCTTCTCTTTTCCCCATTTCCCCACATTCCTCCCTGTTGCTTGTTGGCGGAGTGCGTCAAAGGCAGAAACTAACCTGCTGTGCAGCTAAGAAAATATCAGCCTTCGTGAGGCCACGGGGATAGTTATGTCGGTGAGTGGAGTGAGACAACTGCTGAGTACTGCACGGATTTTGTCTTTGCTTTCTCTTTTCGGGGCCCCGTTATATCCAACAATTTCCCCGTTTCCATGGCATGTCCTTGCGGTTTCAATGTGGAACAAGTCACCGGGTATTATTATGGACAAGCTTCAGCGGTGATGGAATCTTGATTGCCTACTTCTAGACGGTTCGCTTTTCATGAGCGCAACTCAATGTTGTATGTTCCGCTAATAATACATATGTGAATGATACCACTCGTGGAATTCTAGTCGAGTCTTTGCCTTTTAAACACCGAAGATACGCTTCAACGAGCTTCATACTTTCATGGTCATTATCATAGTCATCGTCACCATCGTCATCTTCTTACCCCTGGGTGCTCCTGGCCCCAAGAGGAAAAGTGAGAACAGAGAGATGGAAGCAAAATATCGAACAGAGAAGAGGAAGGAGTAAAGCAGGGCTCTTCCCCGTCCTCCTCCCTTTACTCGCCCTAACCCTGACTCTGCTGGCCCCAAAACTGGAAATCGGGACCAAGCCCACTTGCCATGTACATACCGCCCATAGCCGGTGCTGGTGCCTCAAAGCCCACCCCCGCTGCTGTTGCCCCTCCGGAAGCCCCCAAACGCGGTCCTGCCGGGGACGAGTGCAGATTCGCAAACCCGTTGCCCGGCACTCCTGGAAACGCATTCAGCAGCCCCGCATACGGCACTCCTGCGCCGCCGGGAGCGGCACTTTGAGCCCAAGTCGCAAGGTCGAAGTCTGCGGCTAGGTGTTGGGGGTTAGTGTACATGGCAGGGTCGCCAGGTTGGGTGTCGAAATGCATATGGGTTGGCATTGAACTGAAGGCGGTGGCAGAGGGGTTGGTGGTAATGCCTCGGTTGGCAGTTCCAGGGTTAGCGGTGCTGGGGTGGGAGAATGGGGAGTGCGACTGAGAGCGGGCGTAGTAGGCGTTGTGGGAGGGCTGGAGGTCGGATAGGTCCTGTGCAGGGAGGTTAGCTTTGAGACGTACTTTGAGAGAATGACGAAGATTTGGTTTGCGTATTCGGGGCTGATACTGATTCAGAGCGTGTGGAGGTTCGGGCGATGCAGGAATGGAAAAGACAACTTACGACTGGATTGTCAGCCCTCGCCGCCAGCTTTTGCAGAATATTGAAAGCGACGTGATACGCCCTGCCAGCCAAGGCATTTGCGCAGGCCATGGCCCGCAGACCCCCGAGGATTTTCTTTACACAAGTCAATTTTTCGGGACGTTCGGGCGATATCTGTATGGTCACCGAGAAGATGTCCAGGAGTAGCGTCGTAATAGCTTGCATGAGGAAATGCACCATGGACCACCACGGGGTGACATAGTAAGCCCTTATGCCGATCTGATCGGCGCCGTCTGGCAACAGACTGGCGATAGATGCAGCAGCTTCCACGCACTCCTCTGACATCCTCATGTTGAATTCATCGGAGTCTTGGGACTGGCTTGGGACGTGGCGGTCGATTCGGCAAAGGCAGGGTCGAGTGATGAGGATCTTGGTACTGTAGTAGTTATATGCGAGCACCATGCGCTCTTGCCGCCACTCGTCATTGACTGCGGCTTTGGGCGACATAAAGTCCAATCCCGGCGTGATCGAGGACGCCCAAGCATCCAGCCGACCCAAAAGGCCCGTCACATTCTTCTGGATGGTCGGCCAGGATTTATTGACCGTGCTAGCACTATACAGATCCGTCAATGCGGCCGCTGTAATCATATCCACCGTGACGAGGTTCCTGAGATAGGTACCGCAGTTGGTCGGTTCATCGCCCTGCGACCAAGCATTAGAATGCCTTCGGATGGCGGCAATTTTCTTTGCACCCACGCCAGATAACGAATCTTTGCGCACATGGCGATGGCGCTCGTTCAGAAGCGATGTGACGATGGATTCCTCGAGGTCGTCGGCTGCTAGAGGCAGTGGGAGCGGCACTGAGCATTGGTAGTCGAGAGCTGCGCTTGGCCGCCCCGTGATTGTGCATAGGATTGTCTCTAAGAAGTGGAGGCCCCACCAGATGCGTGACCTGGTCTCTTTCTGCACGGAAGTGACGCCCAGGTCATCGTTGCGGATGTGCAGGCCCATGGCGTGTCCAGCGCGGATCGCCATGCCGCTCAACATCCACGAACTGGGCGTTTCTCAGTCAGTTCTGTACGAAAAATTGGCCGAACGCTAGGTAAAATGATGTCTCAAGGCATTTCGGACCTTTGAAGAGTCTAACAAATAGCCCAGGGTGCAGAGACGGAGGGCAGCAAAGAACAAAGGCCTGTATCAGAAATGCAGACATCAGTTTCACGCAAGGTGCGGCCGTAAGGAGATTGTGTAGGCAACTCACCTGTTCACATGACCTATGGTCAAGTAATAAAAAGATAACAGTCCTGTGAGCTGAAGCTGGGAAAGGTCAGTCTGCGGATACCACCATGGGTCTTTGAAGGCGAGCGCCCGCGCCCTCGATTGGTAGATGATATGGTCTCTCGCTGCGTCCTTGTTAAACAGGGGCGTGATTGATCTGGAAAAAGAGATACTGACCGTCGGCTCGCCAATCTGCTTCGGCCAGGTGCGAATAAACAGCGCCAATAGCGAAGACGAGGTTGAGCACCGCAAGCGATCGTTCCGACAATGTTTTGGGTGTTTGGCTCCATGGTGAGGCATAATAGTTGTTGAATCTGTTGTACAGACTGAGTTTGTCTACGATGGGGAACGAATTGTGTACAGTCTTCATGTAGCAATCGAGGAGCTGCTTAGCCGACTCGTAAGGGGGCAACTCGGACGGATCAACGATGATATCCAGCTCTAGGGTCTCATTGTCCATGTAGAAGTCCCACCCGTTAGCTGGTTTCGTAGATGCAGGGTTGCCACTGCTCTTGATTGAACGGGGTGCGTCATGGGGCGCTGCAATAGCCTGGTCGGCGGTGGATGGTGGCGTGTATGATGTCGTTGGCAGGTCAATCTTGGGATTATCCGCCAGTTGAAGCAGGCGCCGCACCACATGTATCTCGGAGGTCTTGCCCATGAAGCCTGTTGCTCTCGATTCCGCGGTTTCTAGCGAGTCTTGATCCGTAACGGCCCCCTCGTAACTGGAACCAACCTCAGCGAGAAGGTACGTCTCGCCTCGCTCGTCGTCGGCGACAAAGGAAAATTCCGCGTGAGTCGAGCCGGGGCCGCCATGTGTGGCCGGGGCGTCGATGGCATCGGCCGTGGCATCTTCGAGGATGGCATCGATTTCTCTGGAGCGGGAATGGCCGAGCTGTGAGCGCAGGCCCCTGAGCAGGCGTACCAGGCGTTGGTTGTCCTCGGTGAGTCTTGTGCGGGGTTAGCGGAAAGCAGCGACGGCAGAGGGCGCGAGATGGATTGATGACATACTGCTTGACTCGATCCTTGCGAGCAGGAGCGTAGGAGCAGGTCATGCCGTGCTCGCGGCAGCTCTGGCAAGCGGGATGATCGCCGTTGCACTTGATCTTGCGAGTTCGACAGGCGTAGCAGGCGCGGGGGACGCGCTGGCGGCTCATGGCACCATAGCGACTCGAGTTTGGATGTGGCGGAAGTCGTGGGATGGCCCTTTTGCTGGGTGCTGCCGGAGGTGCGAAAGACATGCAGTCGAGGGGGCGGCCCCGTCGGGGTGAGACGGTCTTATTGACAGAAACGGGGCGTGGGGTTGGGCGAGGAGCAGCGCGTAGGGTTCCAACAATGGCCATCGAGTTCGCTCTCTACATTGACAAGAAGAATAATGAGAGAAAGGATGACACAGCGTCTTGATGTTGGTACCTTTTTGCCTTGGAGCTTGACTACCGCGGCAGTCTAGTCGCGCCAGCTGGGTTGGGTGAAGCTACTGTAGAGCGCGCTGAAGGCCGTGGCACCGTGGGGGAGGGCGCGGGAATCCAGCCGCGGAATGACGTAGCCGTCACTCGACAGACGGAAAACAACTGTTATCGAGGTCCTGTTCAGTTAGTACTGTGTATGGTTGTGGTAAAGGCACCTGGGGCAGTTTGTCAGTCCCATGGTGCAAGTGTCGTTGGAAGAACGAATTAGGTACAGGTTCGCCTCCAGCTGGTCGCCGTCCTCTGTTGAAATGTGGCCCAAGTGTCAGCCAGACCAGATGACGGTAATACAAGTACGGGACGCTGAGTGGCTGGCCATGTGAGGTCTGGAAACTTTGGATCAGGGTGCTCCCGTACTTGTAGATGCAAGTAATTCCCTACGAACGGCCTCGGGAGGCTCTGCCGGAGTCACGTGCCGTGACAGTCTCCATACTTTGTTGGATTCCCCCCTTCTGGTGCTTCTCTGGTTCGTTGATCGGCTGCCTGCAACCACTCTTCTCTCCCCAGGTCCCCTTTTGGATAGATACCTACTGTGTACTGTGTAGACTATAAGTGTATGGACGAGGTGAAGGACAAGCTCTGGGCGCCCAAGTCCCCGAGCACCTCCCGAGGTCCACACCCCACCACCCCTCAACCACCTCTCAGATGTCGAACCCTCCTCTCTCTCTCTCCTCCCCCACCCCAAAGCAAACCCAGACTATTCTCGAGGCACACACGATCGCCTAGCCTTCCATACGCTCATTCGCACCCCCCTTCCATGGCCAATAAACTCTCGGCCGCTGAGAGCCACTATTTCACCAGTAACCCGCCGCCCAAAGACCTCCGCACCACTACTACCCTCACACGCGAGTTCGTACGCCGCCATGCTGACGACGGCCGTCGCGTCGTCCTCGTCACCTCGGGAGGCACCACGGTCCCTCTAGAGCTACAGACTGTGCGCTACATTGACAACTTCTCCGCCGGCACGCGCGGCGCCACGAGCGCAGAGTTCTTCCTCGAGCATGGCTATGCCGTCATCTTCCTGCACCGCCGCTTCTCCCTGTTGCCCTTTTCGCGTCACTACTCGCACAATGTCCGCTCCTTTCTCGACTTCATGCAGGAGGATGACGGACGCGTCGTCGTCGACTCGCAGCATCAGGAAGAGATGCTCCACGTCTTCCGACAGTACGCCCAGGCCAAGCAGGACGGCAAGCTGCTCATCCTCTCCTTCGTCACCATTTCCGAGTACCTGTGGAATCTGCGCGAGGTTGCCCAGCTCATGCGTCCGCTAGGCTCCAATGCCCTCTTTTATCTCGCCGCTGCTGTGTCCGACTTCTTTGTTCCCTACGACCGCATGGTCGAACACAAGATACAATCCAACGAGGAGTTTACCCAGAACCCCATCATGGGAGACACGGCTGCTCAGACCAAAGGAAGTGCTGTACACACTCAAGGTAGAAGCTTGATTATCGATCTCGAGCCCGTGCCCAAGTTCCTCAAGCAGCTCGTCGATGGCTGGGCGCCAGAGGCCATGATTGTCAGCTTCAAACTCGAAACCGATCCCAAGATGCTCGTCAAGAAGGCCGAGTACTCACTCAAGAAATACTCCCATCATCTAGTCATCGGCAACCTACTCACCACCCGCAAGTGGGAGGTCGTCTTCGTTTCTGCCGAGGAGGGCTTGAAGTGGATACGCGTTCCTTCCCATCGAAGGGCCAAGAGCTTCTCCGGCGTCGAATCTCTGGTCGGCGCTGCTGAACTTGCTGCTGAACTTGCTGCCAAGAAGGATGAAGGCAAGCAACCAACCGACTTTATGGAACATGTCCCGCATGGCGAACCTGCCGTGGAGATAGAATCCATGATCGTTCCTGAGGTCGAGGCATTGCACACGAAACTCATAAAAAAGGCCCAGCAGAAAAAGGTGGAACAGAACGGCGCGTAGGGAAACCACTCTTTTCAGTTGCATCGGGATACCACAAGGCCTTTGTAACTTGTCCGTACATATTACTCCCCGGTTATGTGGGTCATCTTGGGCGGCTGCATCTGTGACGGCAAATCCGAACCGACCTATCTAGAGTAGTTTAGAGGTCACACATGCACTCGGCGACTCTGGATGACTGCTTGACCATGCGCCTACAGTGCACACGGTTACCGAGTTATCGTTATATTCACATTGTATTTGTTCTCCAGGGCTTCGTCTCATCTCGTCGATGGGCTTTGTTGAGCTCTCAACACCAAGTCCGCGTTGATGGATATCGCGTCGACTGATTGAAGAAACTGACAGCTACACCGGACTGGCATGTCGTTGGCGGAAAAGCAAGTCAAACCCCTTAGGGGCGGAAGACCACGCGGTCACTCCTCATCAGATGTCCATTATTCGCTGCATAATTGTTGGTCGACTGGTAGAGTCGAAGGCATTCACACTCATCACGTCTTGGCACCCAAAAGAGAATTTGACTCTAGGTCCGTCGATAACGGGTTCGCATTTCCAAGGTGGCTTAGGCAGAGCTCCAACGATGCAACGTCGACTTTTTATGCTGGTTACACTGTCGTTCCCCGCCTCCGATTTCGGTTTGTGTTCCTTTCTCATGTTTATACGAGTCTCCTATTAGATGTTCTGCGCATGGGTAACCGCCCGGGTCGATCGGTATACGCTGCGATCTGTCACAGACTTCGCCTTTGAAAATCGCAACCAGCCCTCCTCGCTCTGATCTCGCGCATACGCCTCAGCATTAGAGACCGTCTTGGCCGGACATCTCATTCTCTGTTTATTGTTTTGCGGTTCTCGCTCAGCCTTTCCGCATCGGGGAGAGTTACATTCCTAGCCTCCAGTACTACATATCTCTCGCAGCAAGGCGCACTGCGTCACCGGTGGCTTTCCCTGTACTGCGTCAGCCGATGCACTGCAGTCTTCTTCCGATCTTCGATTGCGTTTTCTCGTCCTTTTGGTTCCGCTCGATACTTTGGAATCCGTGGCGGTGAGGGGATCTCTGAGAAAGGGTTGTATGGCTTCTATCGCTCCCATGGATAGCAGTGTCGGCGCAATTTGCTTAAGAGCGCTGCCAAACAGATGCCAATCCATTGAGCTGCCCACATGTGGGGACGAGACCGCCATCCCTTACAGCAAGCTTCTCGCCTAGGACTCTGTTCTTGTGGACCACACAGGTAACCGCTCGCAGTGTTGGATAACGCGGATGTGCAACAGACCCCACTGGTTAGGCCCAGGATAAGATCTCTGGAGATCAATACAGATTTTAATGCAGGGGTGGGGTCCATGTTACGCTGACCCCGGGCAAAGCAGATGCTGGAGCCAGCCTCTCTTGATCTGGGATGGCCCTCAGTTTCCTCATAAACAACATGTGTCACTCCCTTGAACCTACAGGCGGGGAATGCGTGTATCTACTGATCTGACGTTATCAAGGTTCCCTTGCCCACTGAATCTCAAACTCCTTTGAGATTCAGTGGGCACCCAATCCTACGCTCGCCCTCAATACCGTCTCAACCTTCATACTCTCTCAAGGATATCTCTAGCGGATGGTCACGACTATGGCATCAACATCTTTTACTCCTTATCATTCATCGCCACTTGCTTCCTCTGCTGAGCACCGCGCATCATCGCCCTCGACCCTTCGACGCACTGCCAAACTCTGGGACGAATACGAAAGACGAGCCATCGAAAACGCAAAGAGAAGGGAAACAACATGCGGAACTCCTCTTCAAACCCCGTCATCTCAGCGCTTCTCCAACGGCACCTTGGTCGACATCATCAAGAGCTACGACCCAACCGCATCCGCAGCTTCAACCCCTAAACTCGACTTCGACTTTCCCCTCCGAAACCACCGACACAGCACTCCTTCCACATCCGTACCCACAACCGGAGTTGCAGTCGCGATATGTAAAGCCTGCAAAGATCCTATTGATTCTACATCCGGAGTCTGCGAAGCCTGCATGAAGACCATAATCATTTCTCCCTCTTCCAGCCCATCTACACCCCTCCTGAGTCCCTGTAGTCGAAACTTCGCATCCACGGACCTCCCGAAACTACATAAAGAGTCCGCTTCCGGTAGCACCACGCCGGCCGCTTCCTCTTCTCCAGGACGGAAGACCTACCGTCCAACCTCGCAACTCACCGATCCTCCTATCCGGCTCTCCTCCCTACACGCCCTCGAACCCAAGAAGCCTTCGCCCTATTCAGCAACAACCTCGTCCCAGCAATCGACCCGTAAAGCCTCCCTCACCGATCCGAACGAACCTTTTCTCCGCCTGCAACTTTCTCGGAAACCGCTCCCTGCTACTCCCCACCCCTTAGCGCCAAGCACACCATCCTCAGCTGGGCGTCCTTCTCCAGACTCGGGCAGACGCAAGCGCCCCTCGAGTTTGAAGCCGGTTCCTACGCCACCGCAGCGTGAGCAGGGGCATGGCCACGCGCACGCGCATTCCGTGTCGCATCTTCCCGCGTGGTCTCTGCACTCGTCATCATCTCATCCGTCGCCTCATTACCAACCCTCTACCAGCCTTCACCACCATCCCGTATACCACTACCCTGGCTCGACAAGAACATCTGCACCCGCCTCGCTCAACCGCGCCTCCTACATCCAGAATGCAGTGTCCGCGTGGGATGACTGGGATTCTGATGATGAGGAGGAAGACAAGGTTGGGCTGGTGGGGTATTGGAAAGGAAGGGTTTGGAGGGGGAGTAGTGGCAGTTTGGCAGCGGGTGGTCATGGAGAGGAGAAGCAGACGAAAGCCCGGGGAAAAAAGAAGGCCAAAGAGGGCAATGGAGCGAAAAGTGAGGAGGAGGAGGAGCAGTCAGGAGCAAATGGGAAAAAGGGGAAGAAGGAGAAGAGGAGGAGTGTGTTTGTCAGGGTGATGAGTTGTGGGTGGTTGCACGGTTGTGGAGGGGAGGGGCGGTAGACAGTAGGTGAGGGTAAAGGACTGGGAGTAGGATATCGAAACTGCTGTTTGGCCTTGGACCGTTTTCATCGGAATAGGGGCAACGAATGAGGTTTCTGGCGTATTCGTTTATGAGAAATGGGTTATGCGACGCACATGAGGTAACGACGGGAATGGCTACTGGGACAAGGAACAAAAGTATGGAGCACACGCGGGATTCTCGAAATGGTTTTCGATCTCTACAGGCTAGGATATCCTACTACACGCTCAAGGCTCATGTTATAAGTGATTCTCGGCTGCGCTATGCAAATCTCTCCCCAACCCGCCACCCCTTCACGAACGCCCTGACCCCTTCCACTCCCTCACTCCCTCATCCCAACCCTCATTCTCCGCCACGGCCCACTCCACAGCCGCACCCACGTCTTCCACAATCTTACTCGGCCGATGCGCCGGCTCTGTGCCCTTCGTGTACACCCCCGTCTCCACCAACACACTTACCCAATCCGTCCCATGCCCGCTCTCGAAGCTATTGCCCCCCAGGATGTCGCTCTCCGGATTATCGCCCACCATGTACACTCTCTTGAGGGGGCCCAGCTCATCCGGGTTCGCGCCCGCTCGCTGGACGAGTTCGCGTCTATGCGCTATCAATATCTTCTCGGCGAATTCGTACGTCGGGCGGTGCGGCTTGCCCAGGACCGTCTTCTTCAGCTCGACCCCGTTCCTCTCGCCGCCCGTGACGGCTGCCCAGACTCCCTCGAGGGCTGCGCGAAATCCGCCCTGGCCGAGGCGCGGGAGGTGGTACTTCGCCGCCCAGAGTAAATCGGGGTTACTGAAGAAGAGCGGGGGTTGGGAATCTCGCTGGTAGCCCTTATTCGGCAGGTTCGGGTCTCCGTTTCTAGGGGAGAGAGTGCCGAGGATGCCGGCATGGGAGAGCAGGACGTCCTTCACGATTTGCGTGTCCAGTCCCCAGTCGCGGGGGTCGTTGAAGACGAAGATGGCGTCGATCTTAAGCGACTTGGAAGGGTTGTGCGGGTCTATGGGAGCGGGGAGCGGTCGCGCGAATCTGCGGTAATAGCCGTCGAGGAGATGGTGGCTGAAGGGCCAGATGTCCGGATACGCGACGAGGATGTCGCCGGGGGTGACGACGGTCCCGAATCCGTAGTCCTCGGCGACGAGGCGGCACTTGTCTTCGTCGCCGCCGAGGACGAGGATGGTCTTGGATTTGTAGGCGTGCATGTCTGCGAAGGGGGTGTGGGATTGGATGAACATGGATGTAGTGAGGGGGATGTCGAGCTTTTGGCTGAGGTCGCGGACGCGGTCAGATTCGTGCTTGCCGCCGCCGTTGGTGAGGAGGATGAAGGGGATGGAGTGGGATTGGAGGTAGGAGAGGGCGCGGTGGGCGGTGGGGAGGGGGTCGGAGCTGCGGAGGAGGACGCCATCGATGCTGGGCAGTGTTAATGGTCATGGAGAGAGAATCTGGGTGGTTCGAATTGTTATACTCACTCAAAAGCAAATCCAAAATCTGGTATGCGGGTGGAGGGAGCTGAAGTGGTCTGAAGTGGGCGACTCTGCGGCCTTGGTAATCGATATGCAGCACAGGAGGAGAAGGACGGTAGGAGTGAAGGAATTCCCTGGCGGGATGTCAGGAGCCTGTAAGCTCTACATATTGGAGTCGCTGAGGACGCCATAATGGGGGTACAAGTAACGGTATTAATAGGAGGACAGAGCAGAGCCATGGTGCTCATCCTGAGGTCGATCCATGGATGTCCGAACCCCAACAGCAGGCTATGGTCCGAAATGGCTTAGCGTCTCACTCGCTCCCGCAACCCTCATATGACCCCGGTCCACATGCATGCTCGCCGCCACACGCGACGTCATTGCATTCTGCAGTCGGTGGTTGTCGGGAAAAGGAGCCGCAACAACGATAGTCGCCGCGACTTCTTGCTTTCCCAAGGACGCAGCGTAGCCATGCTGATACACGACATCAAGTCCATTTCAATTGAACACTTCCAACAATGACAGACGCAAGCAGCAGCACCTCCAACCCAGGCAGCTCCAACCCAGGAAGCTCCAACCCGGGCAGCTCCAACCCAGGCAGCTCCGACCCCTTCTCGAGCTCCAACCCCTCCTCGAGCTCCAACCCCTCCTCGAGCTCCAACCCCTCCTCGAGCTCCAACCTGTCCTCCGCTCCAGCCAGCTATGGAACCTCTCCCCCCGACCTCTCTAGCCTCCTTGCCCGTCCGCCCATCCGCCGCGCCCGAGCCCAGCTCAGCTGCACGCCTTGCAGAGCTGGTAAACTGAAATGTAACCGCGAGCATCCCGTATGCGACCAGTGTGCCAAACGCGGGAAACCGGAAGCTTGTCACTATGTTCCGCCACCGCCCAAGAACAAACAAACGCACAATATGCGCGGCCGAATTCGAAACTTGGAGAACCTCGTTGTGACTTTGATCAACCAGAACGCACAACGGCGGCCTAGTGATGCCGCTCAAAGCATGCAAAGTGCGCCATCGGTGGAAGGATCGCTGAATGACGTTACCACGAGCGAGGGAGGATCCCCAAAAGACGTTGCAGAGGAAGAGCCCCCTAATGTGGACTCCTTCGGCCAGTTGCGCATAAGTCACTCCGGCACCGAGAACTATGCGGGGCCGGGGCACTGGTCAACCATACTGAAGGAGTTTGAGGAAGTCAAAAAGACCTTGGACGACGATGACTGGGCCGATGAGGAACAGCAGGACGAATGGGATTACCTCAGTGCTCGCTCATCCGTCACTTTCGGACTGCCCAGGCCTGTGAACAAGACGTCCCTCATCCAGGAGTTGCAGAGCATAGGAAAGGAGGTCATAGACCGCCTTCTCCCTCTATGGTTGAACAGCGCGGATCCTCTACTCTTCATCATACACCAACCGACTTTCATCAAGGATTACAACCAATTCTGGAGCGACCCATCTAGTTCCTCGGTCATGTGGATCGCTATGCTGTTCAGCATCATGGCTCTCGGGATTATCGTGGGACCTCGCAATCCAGGAATGACGGATCCTAACAAATCGCGCGGTTCGCAGGGCCCGCTCGAGGACGACAGCGACAACCTCGTTCGCGCCGTAAACAGATTCCAACAACTGGCCTCGTCAGCTATGGTGCTTGCTGATATTGCAAAAGCGCAGCCCTACACTTTGGAAACCCTCATGATCTACTCAGAGTGCGACTTCTTGCGGAGAGACGATCACCATACAAAGGCGTGGCTGCTCAATGGGGTCGTGGTGCGTGTAGCTCTACGCATGGGCTATCACCGAGATCCTAGCAACTTCTCAGGTGTATCTCCCTTCCACGCAGAGATGCGAAGACGCATTTTCAATACACTTTACATGTTGGACACTAAGATAGCCTTTGTTATCGGCCTGCCAACAAGTATACGTACGTTCGACAACGATGTCAAGCCCCCACGGAACTTGTACGATACCGACATATCCCCGGAAATGAAGGAGTTGCCGGAATCAAGGCCAGATACCGAATTGACGCCTGCTTTATACAATATCACCAAGCTGCGGATAACAAGAAGCCTCTCAGAGGCAGTCGAATTGACGCAGAGGGTCGTTCCGCCCAAACGTTCCGATATCAAGGAAGTGTACAAGCGCCTGGAAGAAGCCCATCAGTTGGTGCCCGAGGTGCTACGTATTCGCCCGTTAGAGGAATACGGTGAAGACAGCGCGGTACTGATTCTCGGATGCTTCAACATAGAGCTTCTCTACCAGAAGGCCCGGATCGTCTTGCACCGCCACTATCTGATTGCCGGTCAGACAGACCCCAGATTTGCCGAATCGCGAAACATATGCGTGGAAGCGTCGAAGGCGTCGCTGCAACATCAGATGACCATCTTCCGCGCATGCTGGCCGGGAAGCCAACTGAACAGAGTATGGTGGTACATGTCGTCTTTCAACACCTATGACTTTCTGTTGGCGGCTATGGTGTTGTGTCTGGAGTTATATTACCTGCAAAAGACGGATAGTTCATCACCCGAGATTCCCGGTCTACTCGAGTTACTGGAAGAGACGCGCAGGATTTGGTCGAACAACCGTAACCGATATCGAGAGTCCTTCAGAGCAGCCCAAGTCTTACAAACCATGATCACTAAATGCTCCTCAGACAGCGAATTACCGCCAGATGCACAAGCAGTCCTGGATGATTCTGACCAGAGATTCACGCAAGCACACATAGAGAAAGAATGCGCGCCGGGAAGTGAACCCGAAGCCCTCCCCCCGCCGATATGGAACACGTTCTATCCTACCACTGGAAACCCGCCCGTTGAGCAGCCTAACATCCCCAACATTGACTGGTCCGCCTGGGACGCCACAATGCAGGGCCATTCAAATATGCTCCCCCAAAGGAACTGGGCCGCTCCTCAACTAGATCGTATGGAGGAGATGAACCAATGGATGGATGTCACGGAGGACGCTACAATTGATGTGGACGCTCAACTAGACAACATGCATGAAGGAGTGTTCCCTTTCAATCGCCCTGGTTCAACGCCATATGGCTCGACGCAGAACTACTCTTGGCCAAATTGGTTCCCGACGTAGAGCTCTCGACTGTGCTCCTGGCCATAGCGCCTGGCACCGCCCGCCACTAGTATTGTCCAACTGAAGAACCTTCCTCAGCATTGAGATCTCGCTGGCCCAGAACGGTGTGGGTCTTTCCGACTGCCATATTGTGAGACGGTGAAGGCGGACGGCAGGCTCGAGCATTGTGCCTAGAACGGTCTCGGTCTTGAGGCCCCTTTAGCAGTCCATATTGATTGTCAGCCACAACAAGTAAGCAGGAAGAGAGGGACGTCCTTGAAGAGGGTCGTGACTTTGCGCCGAGCGGGAGAGGAAGAAGGTACCCAATGCTTTGAGCTTTGTTGCGTAGAGCTATCCAGTAGCACTTCCACTCACGGGGACGGTATTGGCACGGATTCCCAGGAGTATCTCTGGGTGTACACGTCCATGGAAGTCTGGCCCAGGGGAAAACCCGAGTCCTAGTGGGATGCATGCCCCATCAATGCCACCACGTGCTGGTCGGAGGGGGAGTTCTCGAACCAAGCGACCACCACGGGGCCCCAATTGTGCGTTGCGGCGTTACTGTGTAAAACAACTGCATCTTTCGGTACGGGAAAGCTTCTAGAAGCATTGGAGCACACTAGCATGTGGACATTTTGCCCAATAAGCGTGGGCGCGCGAAGTGTGAAGGCAAGAACCGCTCGAGGGGAGCTAGGAACAATACTAAGGGGAACAATACTATGGTCCCACAGTCTCATGGCCACCCGACCAGCTCAACCTTAAATCTATTGCACAACACCAAAAGAAAGTCTTTATTCTGCGCCACCAACCAACCCTTGACGACTTCGACGATACTTCCTTCAATTCTCAAAGAATCGCGGGCGATTCCAAAAGCATAAATAGAGGCATACTTCTCACCTCAACTCTTCTTCTCCATCCCAGAACATCCGATCATTTGCAAACAACCACTCATTACCAACCCAACCAACCAACCAACCATCAAAATGTCCGGTGGAAGCTACCAGTGCACCGTCATGAAGTCCGGCGGTTCTTACCAGTGCTCGGTCATGAAGTCCGGAGGCAGCTATCAGTGCTCCGTCATGAAGTCCGGTGGATCTTACCAATGCTCCGTCATGAAGTCCGGCGGCAGCTACCAGTGCTCCGTCATGCGCTTGTAGATTAGCCGCTCCCCGCGAGCGCATAGTCTGCTGAGAGCGTCATGATCAGTGCTATCTGGAGCTGAACTACGGGGCCGGCTTCAGACAGTATCCTCAGCACAGACGAACACCACCTGGCCCCAAAACGTTTCGAAATCCGTCCAATCTACACTTCGATTCTCACACCTCGACGACTTCGACAACTTGTTCTGGGCGGCAGTCTTCTCAAGACTACTCTCGAGACTGCATTTGCCATGGACGAGCCTACGATCCGCACCGTTTCGATCCAACTTTGCGACGCGTCTGGACACGGCTCACGCTCGGCTTGTCCCTCTTGGTGCGCCTTCCCCCGACCTTTTCTCACCACCGGTTACGGCATATCATTTTGGGAATGGGCGGGGAGTGGGACGGCCGGGCTGTTTTCGGATATACATATCACTTTTCTCCCCATTCCGCTGAATCCCCTCGGTTTGGCTTCGCGGGATTCTGGCGGCGGTTCTTGCTGGATGACGGGAATTAGTTTCTTGATTGTTTCGGCGCTGCCGTTGGGATAGGGAATGGAAAGTTTTATCTTTACGACTGCTGCGCCTTGCTTGTGATGTGCAGTGACTCTGAAAGTGAGCTTCTATCTGCGTTGGTAGCTTGTTCGTCACCCTTGAGTGCTCCAACTATTTTCCGCCCTTGCTCCAACAATTTCTGAAGCCATGCTGCGTAGCCTCATAGTTCTGATTTCCTCGTCGGTGTTCGTTTGCTAGTACTGTGGTCTACTCTTTTTTTGTTCGCTTAGGCGTTCCGTTAAGCATTGTTCATCTCGCCGTTACTATTGTTCTCCCCACAACAACGGACATAGCAAACGACAAAACAAAATGTCCATGTAGGCACGAGGGCAGACACGCCGTCTCCAGACACAGCTTATTTAGACTTGTTATCGTAGAGAGACTACCGGTATTCGCCGAACTTTATTGATCGTTAATACGTGGCCTATAACCATGCTCTCCACGGCAATCATCAATTCTTCCTGTCTGAAGGACTCGGAGATCTTGTCGCGTATTGCAGTTCTCTCAGTGCTTTTCGGCGCGCCAACTCGAGAATGAAGGCGGCGTTTGCGAGTAGCGACTGGCAAGGATGGACGCAAAGTCGGTAGACATGCTGGATTGGAGAAACAGCATCCCCATCCCAGGTGCACAGCCCGGGAAGAAGAAGACAGCACCACTAAGAAAATCCTTACGATCGATGGCTGGGAAGCTTACTCTGCATTGCATCGTCCATGCGGCCCTACCGACGTTTCCGCTCTCAAATCTGAGCCTCATCACTTTGAGGCATCCAACAGGAGGATGGCTCCTTGATATTCCTCAGCATTCCTACATGATCCTTACGGCATCCTCATCTCCAAAGCCGGCCAAACACTTGGGATCATTTCGAATAATCGCAGAAGGCAACTACATCGCACGCCTCGAGGATGACCGCCCCGGCTATCTGACATGCGCCCCAGTGCCCGACTTGCGAAACTCGATCGGATCGCCGCCTCGCAGACGACGTGCATCCACGCCCATCTACGGAGTACTAAACATACCAGCAAACATGTTTGGTCTGCACTTTGCCGTGCATGTGGCTGAGTCGTAAGCGTAGATGAGGCAATCTATCCGTCCGTGGACCCCATGCAGCCCTACGGAAGCATCTACCTATGTATGCATCTACTGTGTACACAGTACAGTACCTATGGCCCCCAACCATCTTATATTACTCACTCACATCCTGAAATACTGGCGCGTAACCCTCATCCATGGGTTGGATTGCCGTCGTCATGGGAAAGGATATCATGTACCAACAACTCCGCAGATACCAGCCATACGTCGCAGAATGTGCGGAACTGGAGGCGGCGTGTACGGCGGCGTACGGCGGCATACCTATAATGCAAACCATGTTAAGAGGCACGACTTCAACCTCATGATGTTGTTCTTCTCCTCCCTCCTAGGCCTGCAATCACACGGGAGGCTGAGCACCTGCACCGCCGCACAGGCACCGTCGCTGATGTGAGCCTCAACAAACGATCGAAGTTGGCGAGGCAGCGCAGATGTACCTATTTATGTGGTAGACTAGTTGCGATCTGACGAGAGCTAGCTACCGTGTACACATCATATTCTTGTTTTGGAGCCGCACTGTGCCTGTTCCTAAAGTTCCTGGGCGTGTGCCCCGTCAGCTGTGTTTCTCTTATATCAGTACCAGTTTCCTGTCCTCTCCTCGTCACCTTTTTGTACTCTATCTTGTCTTTTGAAGTTTGGTCGGTCACTTTTCCTTCTCTGTGATACTGTCGACCTGCTTTCCTTCAGTTTCTTTTACAGCACGCTTCCCGAGAGGAGAGGTGGACACGTCAAATCTCTTTACATACTCCTTACTGCTCAGTCACGCTTCCCTCTCGCCAAAATGAAAGCCCTCCTAGCACCCACCCTCCTCATCCTTTCCGCCTCCGCCGCCCTGGCCACGGACAACCCAGACCCTCAGAACGATGACAGCAACGGCGTGGTCAGCATCCAGATCGTCGAGCCAACATCCACCCCGACGCCAGAGCCCTTCAATCAATCCCCACCTCCACCGAACAACTACGATGAGCAACCACCTCCGAACAATGACGTTCCTCAGCCTTCTCCGTCGCCTGGTGATGAGGGCGAGAATCCCCCACCCGAGCCAACCACGACCTGCAGCAGCGGTAACGCAGACTCGACTCCTCCCCCAACAGAAGGCGAACTTCCCCCTGCATGCTCGGAGCAACCCTCCGACTGCAATTGCACAGAAACCCCTCCGGAACCCACCCCAACAGAAGGCGAAGGGACCGACAACCCTTTACCATCTCCTGACCCGTCCAACGGCAACAACCCATCCGAATGCACGCCTTCAACCACAACCCTCACCATCACCCTGACCGCAGCCTCATCCTCCACTACCGACGGCACGGCGCTCTGGCCCTTGACCAACGCGACGGACCCGTATCCAGGACCCACCGTGTATCCAACCGACGGCACAACGCTGGTATCGCAGAACCCGCCGCCCGTGGTGAATGCTACGGATGGCATTGTTCTGCCGCCGACGCCCACGCCGCCGGTGCCCACGCCGCCGAGTTCTGGGAGGCCCGACGACCCCCTGTTTGACGGCGCGGCGGGGAAGATGGGCGCAAGCAAAGTCGGAGTCTTTGCCGCTGTTGTTGTTGGGTTGTTGGGATTCGCATGGGGGCTGTAAATGAGCTGTCGCAAGAGTTTGCTACGGCAATTGTATTATAATAATCGGTTTAGAACTGGAGTTAGGACGGTAACGGGTGGTGTTTTATTTGATAGAAGACAGCTAAGAAACAATAGATGTGGCTTACTACCAGTGTTACCTTACTTTGGACGCCTGTTTGAAAAGAGCGAGTGAGCCGTTCATCGATCTAACTCCCTTTAACAGACCGAGTGAACATTTGCCCGGTCCAATAGCGTTGCAAAAGACAGAGTAGCTTGTTCTCTGCTTTAAAAGAACGCTCACAATACCGTGAACCTGTTTGTCTCTGCTAGAGTAGTTGCTTGAAACCCTAGGGTTCCCGCTCGTATAAGGAGGCGAGCTCATCGCGACAAAGCGAATGAATGCATCCAGATCCAACTACATTCGCATTTGAACCAAGGGAAGAAGTTAGCAATGAAACATGCACTGCTGTGTGCAGCCTAGTAGTCCTTGCCGAACTTGTTGTACTTCTCATGGAGTTCCTGTCACATGTTAATATCAGCGTTCGACAGTGCTACGGCACAGTCTCTTCCGACGGAATATACCTTTGGCAGCGTGACATTGGGAATGACGACCTCGTTCAAGGCTGAGGGAGCATCCCTCCTTCCCTCTTCAAGATGCCCGTGCGGAGCATACTTATACGGGCCTTTCGTGGTCGGGTCATTCCAGGGCTCGCTTCCGGGGATCTTTGCGACAGGGCGCTCGTCGGAGGTGTGCGTGGGCGAGCGAGCCATGAGGACGTGAGTGCATGCTTTCGAGTATGTCTCTCTCAGAAATCGAGGTGGAGCAGCTTACAAAAGTGCCATCCGGCCAGACTGAAGATTCCGGTCATGACAGCAAACAGCACCTAACCGTCATGTATTAGCAGCCACAAAGCTTTTCTGAAGCTCTCGCAGAACCATTCGGACATACATAGAGCTCTGGATCGCGCCTGGCTGCGTCTTTGAGCGCTTGCTTGTCGGCCTGTATGTCGTCGGGTGCTGCGGATCCTGCTGCAAATCGGCGAGGGGCTGTGATCACGCAAACACGAGGAGCAGGTCGAAAAGCATTGCGGACGACGGTACGTTTAACAATCGACGACATTGTGTCTCCAATTGGGTTGAAGAAGGTGTGTGTTTTGTGGGTGAGAGGGAGGTTCACCAGGGTTGGATAGCATAGTGACGTCGATCAACGAGAGCTACCCCCGGTCGATGATCCGTTGCGCCAAGCCGCTCTCGACTGCTTCCGGGAACCTAGCCATACGGGGCTTAGCGGGCATCATCACCTGCAGGTCCCCAGTTCGCATCCCGGCATTTGTCAAACCCCTTTTAACGACGACACTTATCAAGCACCCAGGCGTACCGTGCCGCCTTCACCTCCGTCGCGTTGGCGCGCATGCCCTCCCATCATCTGCTCGACGCTTAGTTACAGAGTTCATTTCTCGCCGCTCCTTCCGTTCTCTTCGTTGCTTTGATAATCTCCCCAAGGGGGCTATCAACTTACTTTTTCCCCACGCGTCACTTCACACGACCCCTCGCCCACCATTCGTGCCGTTTCGAAACCACCATTCGCATTAACAATCTCGGGACCAATGTCATGCATCGGGGCCTAATGAAACTCTCGCCACATAAACTTCAACATCTCGCTCTTTCACAATGACAGTGTCAGACGAACCTTCCCCGCCCCAGTCCGCTGCCGACAACGGCCACAGCAACACAGCAGGAGCCCAGCAGGCAAATCCACAGCGTCGAATCTCATCTGGAAGCCGCGTTGCAGGTATCACCGGGCCTGTGGGAGAACCGGGGCTTCCACCTTCACGGCCCTTGTCCATCGCCACTACACAATCAGGAAACCAACGACGGTGGTCGCAGGCGCAATCCTCACCGCGCAGGGGAGGAAACATGCAGAGCGTGGTAGGAGCATCTAGTGTTTCCGGCAGTATGGGGGGACACAGCCGGCCGACGACATCTGCAAGTAGGACACATGTCCCCCTTGCTGCAGCCGGCTTCTTTCGTCCCATGAGCTCCCAACGCCTGCAACAACAGCGGAATCAGCGACCCACTTCGCTACTTGGACACAGCCAGCTATATGCGGACGCAACCAACGATTTTGGAAGCAATCCATACCGGCAGAGTGTTGGGTCAAACAGCACCACAAGGGGCGTGCTCCCAGTCGGACTCCACCACGACCCGGACCATCCACCACCCTCACGTGGTACAGATGTGACGGATCGTGACCTTCCGGATAGAACAACTGCAAACACAACTCCTACCGGGGCCGAGACGGTGCGCAGCAGGGGAGAGAGTATCACTCCTCTCCAGAGACCCCGCCCACAACACCTAGACCTGTCTCAGACACACAACGATTCCGCAAGACTCCCGACGCCCGGGAAATCTCCCCGCTCTTTCAAATCCAGCTTCAAATTGCCCAGTCGCGAAGGCCGAAGTTCACGCAGGAACTCGCAAATGCGGCACTTGGAAGGTCATGAAAAGCTCGAGTCGGCGGAATCGACACCTCGGATAGCACGAAAGGAGGCCGTCAAAGATGCTGTTAAGAAGGAGTTGGGGAAGAACTACGAATATTTTACCGGAAACACTGTCTTCTGCTGGGGTGGAAGACTCCAAAACACCCGAGAGCGGCCTGTGAATATCGCCACTGCGCTCTTCATACTGCTCCCTGCAGGACTTTTCTTTGGTTTCTCGTACAGTTTCCTCTCTCTTGGAAAAGTCGAGTAATGAGCTAACGATTAGTAGAGCACCATGGCTATGGCTTCATGTCTCACCAGCGATACCCATACTCTTCGCATATCTCCTTTTAGTCTGTATTTCTTCATTTTTGCATGCTTCCACTACGGATCCGGGAGTGAGTTCCATGTTTATACACGCACATATGATAGAACTGACAAATGTTAGATTCTTCCTCGAAATCTACATCCCTTCCCACCCCCTAATCCTAATGAGGACCCTCTTAGCATAGGTCCTCCAACTGCGGACTGGATTTCGGTCGTATCAGCCGCGAAACCCAGTGTGTGTATGGAGGTACCTACCAAATATTGCAAGAGCTGCAATATCTGGCGGCCTCCTCGAGCCCACCATTGCCGCAACTGCGACAACTGCGTCGAGACGCAGGATCATCATTGTGTCTGGCTCAACAACTGTGTTGGGCGCCGCAACTACCGTTACTTTTTCGTCTTCGTATCGACTGCGACGATGCTTGCTCTGTTCTTGCTGGGAGCCAGCCTGGCCCACCTGCTTGTTTGGAGGCGGCAAAATAATGCGACCTTTGGAGACGCGATCAACAAGTGGCGTGTTCCGTTCGCCATGGTCATCTATGGTTTCCTCGCGTTCCCGTATGTGTTGAGCTTGGCTGGCTACCATCTTTTCTTGATGGCTCGCGGCGAAACGACGCGAGAATATCTCAATTCGCACAAATTTCTCAAGAAAGACAGGCACAGACCTTTTACGCAGGGCTCTTTCTGGAAGAATTGGCTTGTTGTCTTATTGAGACCTCGGGGCCCCACGTATCTGCATTTCAAGAAGCAGTACGAAGAAGGCGACCAGAGGTTCGGAGAACGCAGAGGAAAGCGGACTGCGCCTCTTACGAAGGAACAACCAGGTGGTGGCATGGAGATGCAAGATGTCCACCCTGCTCCAGCATTTTCTGTATCTAGACCTGTGCACCGCGAGACCCCTCCTACAATGAGCTAGATATCATTCTGTAAACCAAGAATATTTACTTTAATACTTGATATACTCATCTTAACTGGGTAAAGACGGCGTCAACGATGACAATATTTGTGCCAAACCTTTCTTGTTGCTAATCTGGCGAAGTGAAGGTAGGGAGGTCAACCGAGTGAGTGGGGGAAGCAGTTTCAGGATACGCCAATGCTACCGGTCAGGCTACCTTCTAAAAAGTGCTGCAAATATTGCCAGGCAGCTGGGCAAGGGTTGATAGCGGTCTGTCTCGATAAAGCCAACTGTCAGATAACTGCTTTTGTGGCTAAGGGCTATGTGAAAGTAGACTGGTCTTGTGTGGAGCAACTACGGCAATACTGCATATGCGCAGCGGTAAGCGGAGCAAACAAATCCCTTTGAAGCTCTGGACCGTCCCTTTCATATGGACCCATTGTCAAATTCGCGCAAACCGTAACTGGGATAACGGAATGCGAGGGGGTGCGTTACCGGGTGGAGAGGCCATCTATAGCCTATTTAATTGGCTAACAGCTGACTTATCTAAGCAGAGAGTTGTAAACACAGGACCTCAGGTCATCCGTGAACTCTCCCTCACCACGGCAGATTCAGAAGGCGAATTCCAACCCTCAACCTTATCGGCCGTCAATTCACGGTGCCGAGGGTCTCTTCGTCTGGGCGGATTAGGTCCGTCTAAAATCCAAGCCGTCGGTCGCCTCTCGCCTCTACATCTTCGAAGTGTCACCGCCCGCAATCCCTTTTGTACAGCGGTCGTAGGACCGCTTCGCGTTTAGCGACACCCCTTTCACACCTGCTTCTTTCACCACTCACCACAGCGGCCCATCTCTGCCTATCATGGCCGATCGGAACGCGTCTCCTACCTCAACCTCATCTGCCGACTCTTGCACAACCGTCGAAACGGCGCCGCAGCCACCTTCCCGCTCATCATCCGCCGCGTCGCCCGAGATGTCAACCCCTCCCACTAGCCTCGGAGACGAGGCAAGCGTTCTCTCGGATCCAGCGAAGGCGGACTTGAATACAGAAATGAATGCTGCCGGTCCCGTGTCTCCAGCGCTTCACGACGCGGCCGCGGCACAACAACCCACTCCTGATGCGTCTACGGGGAGCAGGCGCCCGGCAAGGAGTTCCCGCGCATCCGTCACCACATACAATGTCCAGATCCTCGCCGGCACCGCCATCCATACCCCTACAAAGTATTTGGAAAAGCATCACAAAAATGTGCTGCACGGATCGCTTGAAGATTTACGGAAGACCAACCCGGCGCCGTCGCCCAAGCGGAGACGGTCCATGAAAGCCAAAGTCATCAATCTTGACGATATCGATGACCCGGCAGAGGCTCAGCTCGCTATCGAGGCGGCCCAAGCTGCTCAGCGTCGGAACACATCTCGGCTGGACCTCCGCAAGGAAGCTTTCCGGAACTTAACTGCTGCTGGCGATGCTGTTGGCGCCAGAGGCGCCGGAATACTATCTACTGTTAGAAACACAGTGCAAAATGCGCTGAGGGGTGCCTCGGCGCTTTCGCGCTCCCAGAACGATCAGTCCGATGATGCCACGGATCAAGAGGAGAAGCAGTTCTTGAAACCTAAAACAAAGAATTGGGAACATCAAGGTCTCTACATTGGCCAGGAGCGGACTTTTGATGCCAGGCGCAAAGAGTCTCAGAACCGACTTCGCGGGAGGGTTGTAAAATCCAAGGAAAGCAAGATTCTCCCTCTGCCCATGTTTGCTGGCGAGCGCATGTTGAGCGGCGATTATCAGCGGGATTTCAAGCTGCCATATGACGTCTACAATCCGCTTCCGAAGAAGGTCAAAGTGGACGGGTGGACGAAGCTCTCGAGGAGTGAGTTCAATTGTCATTCTTTGTTCATCTGTTCAAATAAGGCTAACGTACGTCAAGATCGATTTATTGGAGATTCCGCTGCTCTTTGGAAGCGGGAGAAGCAGGACTCTTCTTCGTGTACCTGCTCTCCCGAGGAGGGATGCGGAGAGGCTTGCCATAATCGCATCATGGCATATGAATGCGACGAGACTAACTGTAAACTCACGCCTGAACAGTGTGGCAATCGGCCCTTTGCACAACTGAAAAAGCGTGCCAAGGGCAACAAATATGACTATGGCGTCGAGGTCATGGAGACTCCTGACAAGGGATATGGTGTGCGGGCCATGAGGACTTTCGAACCTCACCAGATCATCGTCGAGTATGCAGGCGAGATTATCACCATGGAGGAGTGTGAGAGGCGGATGAAACAAGTCTATAAGAAGGACAAGGTAAATGAGCGGAGGAAGTGGATAGTCGAGATACATGCTGACCGTGTGTAGTGCTATTATTTGATGAGTTTCGACAACAAGATGATCATAGATGCCACTCGCGGCACCATCGCCCGCTTTGTCAACCATTCTTGCGAACCCAACTGTGAGATGATCAAGTGGACCGTGGGCGGCGAGCCTCGAATGGCTTTGTTTGCAGGTTCCCGAGGCATCATGACTGGAGAGGAACTGACATATGACTACAATTTCGAGTAAGCTTTTTGCATTCGGAACTTGTGAGTCGAGTACTGACATCGAATACAGCCCTTTCTCACTGAGGAACGTTCAAAAGTGCTGCTGCGGTACTGAGAGGTGCCGTGGAGTTCTTGGTCCTAAGCCTAAGCACCAGGCCCAACCATCCCTTGCCTCCACTTTCCTCACCGGTACCAAACGCAAGTTACAAGAGATGTTTGGTTCTGGTTCCGGTTCCAGTAGCACGCAATCCTCACCAAAGAAGCGTAGGCTCAACGGCATGAATCATGCCGCGCTAACCAAGAAGGAGAATGCTTTAGCCCAGAATGTCGCAGCGCAGGAGAAGGCTAAGAAGGAAGCTGCCGAGCAGGCAGCACAGAAGGCCTCCCGCGAGAATCGAGCATTGCGTCGTTCTTCTTCAATGACGCTTACCACACATCGCTCGAAGACGGTGCATACGACGTCGAGGCGCTCCCTTCCTTCACTGTTGTCGAAGCGCCAGGGTGCTCTCGCTGCAACGCAGCGGACTCCAAAGGCTTTAACTCGTCAGCTTCAACACAAAGCCAGCGTCGGGAGTCTGGGCAAGCGCGTACTCACAGGGAAAGTCGCCAAATTGTCTGGTTCCAGAAGCTCGGTCCTGAAGCGCAATGTAGCCGCTAGGAAAGACAAAGGCGCAGCAGAATCGATGATGCCGCCGAGGAGCCCAACGCCCGAGGATGATGTGGTTATGATGGACGAGGAACAAGAAGACGAGACCATCAATATCACGCCTGCGAGTCTGCGAAGCGCAAAGAGAAAGACACTTCCGCAGACGAGCTTACCGTTTGGTTCTGCCAAGCAGACTGCCAGGCGGACTTCTAAGCAGAGCGCTACGCCGGCATCGAGGGCTGCAAATACTGACCCATTCGAGGTCCCCGACTCCGACGACGAGGGTGCTGTAGTAGAGGAGGCCGAGGGCAGTGAACATCCCACTCCCAGGACTAAGCGTAGAGACACCATGGGCACTAGTACTACCGCCACGCCGTCTTCAGCCAAGGCTAAGAAGACCCCGACAAGGAAGATCGCGGTCGGTCATGCGCCCAGGGGAAGGAAGTCGATTGATGCGACGCATGTCTGGGAGAAGAAGACTGGGAATGTGAGGGATAAGAAGACGGGGCGGTTTTCGAAGACGACCATTTAAGGGTTGCGCGGTTGTAATCGGAGATCCGTGGGCTTCACTAACCCGGAGACTGGTAACACGGGGTGGTGGATGGGATGCGGGTACGCTGGAACTGTGACGGGTATGCCTATATTTGTGGTGGTCATGGAATGATGGAGGGAGTCAGGCGTGTTTCTCTTGAGGTGTCTGTATGGCTTTTTTCTTCTCTTCCTTGACCTGGGCCATTCATCTTTCGGTTGGCCCTTTCGAGTATGCTACCCCTTTTTCAGGACAGAGTTATGTGGGATGGATGGATGAGATGAGGGAAAAGTGAAGATGGCGGTCGGGGCCACTGGATGGGCTAGGTGCCGGTGTATGGCGTGTCATCGTCGGGTCAGGGTCAGGTTTCTTCCGTAATACGGGGTATGGTTCTATTAACCTTTTTCTGCTTGTTCTTCGTGAAAGCTTATGTTCCATTATGATAGGTAGCGGAAGCGGGGAAGTAGGTCGTTGACTTCGACAGCGCGTGTAATATATTCCTGGGTTGGATTCTTAATTGGATGGCTATCTGAGACCGGATTTCTGCTGAGATGGTGTGGTGTGCCCTGGGGATGTGGTATGTGGAATTATATGCTCGAATGCTGTTTCATCTTCATCTTCATGCTCAACTGGAGATGGACGGGACTGGCGTATCGCGTTGAGCGGTTCGTCCAGTGTAATCGGCATTCAAGATCAGCAGAGGGATTTCCATGACGGATTGAGCACTGGAGATGTGGAAAATAATATGGCAAATGCCTCGTGCGTAGAGTGAGAAGGTGCTCACGGTGCAATGCATCTTCCACGCTTCTCCACGTCTATGTGATAAGGGATACCGTATGGGTTGACAATTTTTCGGGATGCCTGTTGCATTTTCAAATATGCAGTGATCATAAGTCTACCGCCGTGATGTGATCCTTAATAATTTTTACCATGGATTCGAAAGAGCAATAAAGAGCACATGGGGATAGCCTCACAGCAGAACATATATAAGGACGCATGAAGGAATCGCTAAATCATATATAGATGATGAAAGTTATCTAACCGCTCCACACAGCGGGACCGGGAGGAATATACTGCGTTACGCCGCCATAGACGTTGATCTTGATTCCAGGGTCGGTGGCCTTGTACGCGCCAGGGAACGACACCAACGGGCCCGGGTTTCCGTTGCCACCGTTGGTGACGCGGATCTGGGCGCAGGAGAGGTAGAACTGTGCGCCGTTGGTCTGGCTGGCCTGGTGCAGGGCGATGTGCTCGACTCGGAGGAGGTAGTCTCCCGAAGGGGTGCTGCGGGGAATGGTGACGGAGACGGTACCCTTGTCTATGAGGATGATGATTAGTATGAGCTTGCACTTCCGCAAGTAGGAGCACACATACTCAGACTCGACCACTTCAACTGGTTGCCCTGGATCGTAGGCTTCTCTTCATAAAGCTTGAACCACACATTGCCGCTGCCATCCCACGTGCTGATGTCCTGCCCGCTAGGTGCCTTTGCCATGTAGAACAACAGGGGTCCTTCGTGGAATATGTTCGGGCTCACTTTGAAGCCGACAGTGGAGCCTGCAGAGACGGTTTGCGTCTGCACGCCGCGGACTCCGTTGGTGTAGCATCGGATCTGCTGGGAGGTTACGTCGGTGACGGGCCCGTTGGACTGGTAGTTAAGCGTCTGCCGGACATATTGCCAGTCGGAGGTTCCTGTAAGGGCGGGGAAGGTGTCTGTTGTTGCATTAGGCGTGTCGACATCACGAAGAGGAGGAAGACGGACAGTGTGCAGACACGGACCCCACGGCCAGGGAGAGACCGAGTGCGCTGGTGAACTTCATATTGATTCGTTGAGCCCGAAGTGATCCACTGAACTTGACAACATCCAAAAGCGATCTCCATTGTTTATATACGGCCTTTGGGCCAGACTGTGCGCATTGCAAAACTGAGTCGTGAAATTCTGGGGTGCCTTGGGGGCAATCTATACATATTAGGCGGCTTATTGAACTGGCATGCTACCTTACCCAAGATGGTAATTGGAGATTGAAGCCGGTGTCTAAATCCTGAAACTACCGGCTCGCGTGAGCACGCGGGGCCCCGCGATTCGGCATCGACGGGACAAAAGTTTGGTTTCTATTTCCTTGGGCTTCAAGCGGTATCTGGTGGCGGCAATGCGGGCGCAATACGAAGCCTATCGTACACGCGGGATGACGACATGTCTAGGCTCAGATATCTCTCGATGGGCGGGATGGGCGGGAGCGAAATCGTCGCCGACCCAGGGGTCGCCGGTCCAAGCCAAAAGCTTTCTCTATCAGTGCCACCAAGGCCTATGGAATTGTCCACTGGAGGGATATTGTTGCGAGGAGGGATCTCTGTGTGTCCTCCTGAACCATGAGATGGCAAACGGGTACTGAGAGCAACACGTGCCCAAGTCGATCCTTAGGCGGCCCTGGTGCTGGACAATATCATTTTTGACTTTGTCGTGGACATCGATCCTCAGCATACCCTCCTGCTCGTTCCGTGGTCCCGGAGTAGACAGAGAATCGCACGAAGTCTATATCGGGCACAGGCGCAGAGCTTGGCCGGAATTCGACCCTTCTGTCCCGGTGGAGGCTACGCCAGCGCTTCGCTGCTATCCGGAAACCATGCAAGCAGGGGCTTGCCAGGAGCCGTTGCTGTTCAATTGTTCGGGAGACTCACGAACCGGGTCCTCGTGTCCCCGATCACTTGCTCATCTCCGTTTCTAGATCTCTGATTTCAGCGCCTAGGCCTTGCACATCGTCCTGGCCCATTATTTGCGCGCTTGTCTCCAAGTCATGGATGACGCTTTCTAGTCCCCGAACTAGAGTTTCGATCTCGGCGCGTTGCGATGTCACAGTGGAAACGAGCTCGGCATTTGCTTTCTGTGTCGCATCGAGCTGCGTCTTCATAGCGGCCGATTGTTGCTCAAGAAAAGGCATGAGATGTGCGAGATGTATTTCGGATGGAGACAACGTATGAGGTCTATTGTTCGGTTTGTCAGCCTTCATGCAAATAGATCCATCGGGCACAACTCACGCCCTGGGAACTTCAATTGGGCCACCATTTGCATCTTCTTCCGCCTTTTTCTTTCTCCGCTTCGCATCTTCTATGCATTGATCCAGCCCATTGAGGGACTTCACCACATCGCGCTTCTTTAGAATCTCCTCAAAGTTCGCTCGCCAGGCGCGGTCAAGCTGGTCAATGATTTGGGTTCTGATGCTCTCAAGCGCGTCGGGATTGTACTCTGCAATAGTCGGAAAACACGAGGCGAAGTTGTTGGGCGAACACTTGTCCAGGGTAGATTTCACAGCGCCGTCGAAGACCTTCAACAAGCCCGCCGCGCGGGGTCCGGGAGTTTCTGCAATAGGTGGTGCGGGCGTCGGCGAAGGGGAACGCAGTTCTGGATTTGTGGCCGACGGCATTGCGGACCTCAGTAAAGTTGGGCAGACGCGTAGCAGAAGAATGCGTCCGTGGTGGTTTGTTTACGATCTTGCCAAGGCCACACGTGATCCATTCACCCCTCCCGAGGTCCACATCGGTTCCACCTCTTCCCGTACTAAACATCTCTTTTCCTCCGCTCTCGATATCTGATATTAGATTGTTCATAATAAATAACAGGCATGCACTCGGTGCAGAGAGTGCCGCCGCTACGTATCATGAGGACGAGGTTCTCCAACTGTGTTTAAAAGAACCTGTCTGTTTACTTCGTCAAATTCGCTGGGTTTGCCATGGAAAGCTCGTGAAATCATGTATTTGGTCCTATTTGTGTTTTCTTTTCTCTCTGGCAAAGTTTCGATTTCCTTCTCCTCACATGTTCGTGGTCATGGAGACAATCCTACTTTCCCACTCATCCGGGCCTCCCCCTTTCAACATCTGTCCTGAAACATTCTTGAACCTCTTGAAGTGTTGGAGTTATCTAGCAGCTTCCATCTCATGTACAATCAATGGAGCAAGCACGTGTGTAGCAAGCACTTATTCACTATAAGTACTTGCTCATTTCCATCTCATCTGGACTCATGACCTAGGTCCAACATGAAGTCATGATTGCACAGGATGGCTCTTTACGACGTTTTCAAATTTTTCCGCGTCCTTGGCATCCGCAATGGTCATGGCCGACTTATACCCGGTCGTATCCCGCGACCGATATTAATTCGTTCCATACTTCCATACTATAGCCCCTTTGAGGATCATCTGGTTTTACTATTCTACCAGAAATACGGAGTATCCTACACATACTCCGCCACTCCAATTAACGCTCTCCGGGCATGCGGCTCTCAGTGGCCCCACCAGTGACCTCGAAAGTCCGTTCAAAAGGATGACGACCCTGAATAATCGGATTACAATTCCACTCCCTTTTTCGAAACGTAGTAGGACACGATGTTGGCCAAGGCTTCCCTCGTTAGCGCAGCGTTCGCCATGATTGTTGCGCTGGCAGGAGGAGGCAATGGACTTGCCGTCGAGCGCCAGGACGATTTGCACTGGGTGACAACATGGACGAGCATGCCTCAGCTCGTTGAACAGAATAACATGCCGCCATCGCCATTTGTACGGACTGCACTATATAACTAATCTGCCGCCTACTAATTCGTGGTTCAGAGCTCCGGTTCCGCCATGCGAGATGCTACTCTCAGACAAACCTTTCACGTGTCCGTGGGCGCGCCGAAGATCAAAATCGCCATCTCCAACACCTTTGGCGGTTCCGACCTTCCCATCACTGCTGGCTCAGTTGGGCTTCCAACTGGGGCCGTCGCGGGAGTCAGCGGCATTCAAGCGTCACCTCTGGCGGCTATCACGGTGGGCGGGAAGACTAGCTTCACAGTCCCCAAGGGGCAAGTTGTTGTGAGCGACGAGATTGATTTCGAAATGAAGCCTCAGAGTATGATCAGTGTAAGCTTGTATAGCCAGCAGGGGCAGAGCGGGAGCAGCATTACAGGACATCCTGGAAGTAGGACGACTAGCTGGTTTGTGTCTGGGAACAAGGTCAATGCGACAAGTTTTAGCGGCACGCAGTCCGTACATTGGTATTTCGTCAGTGCTGTTCACGCACTGGTTCCCAAGGATACTCGCTCTCTCATCATTTTGGGTGACAGCATCACCGACGGTCGAGGCAGCGACGATAATAAAAACAACCGGTATGTCTCATCCCTCGCATGACTACCTTAAGAGCTCTCCACTCACATTTTGGCTGCATACAGCTGGCCCGATCTTGTCCTTGCTCGCCTCCAATCCTCAAACCACACCAACATCGCCGTCTGCAACCAAGCCGCGGGGGGCAACCGTGTCCTCAAGGAGGGTCTGGGTCCATCACTTATCTCCCGCTACCAGAGGGATGCTATCAACCAACCGGGTGTCAAATACGTTATGATATTCGAAGGCGTCAACGACATCGGTAACGATGCCACCTCGACTCAGGCACAGACAGCCGTTGGCGACGCCCTCATCCGCGCCTTCACGCAAATCACCTCCGACGCAAAGAAAGCTGGCTTGATCACCATTGGTGCAACGATTACGCCTTTTGGTGCTCCAAGCCCCGCACAGCAGGGCTATAGCGACAGGAACCGCGAGGCGACGAGGCAGCGTGTGAACAAGTGGATCCTGGAGAGTAAGAGCTTTGAACATGTTGTCGACTTTTCGAAGATGATTGAAAGTAAGTCGACACCTGGGCAGATTGACAGCAAGTTCCATGGCGGAGACTATCTGCATCCGAATGCTGCCGGATATAAGACGATGGCGGACGGGTTTCCGCTGGAGATTTTCAAGTCCTGAAGGATGGCGTAGCAGTCAAGAGTAAGAGGCACATAGAGCCTGTAACAGAAATATTGTACACCGTACAAGTTAAGTAAGTCCAATATGGCCTCACAGGATGCAACAGAAAAAGAACTTGCATTCATCGCGCCTTCACCTCTCTAGTAGTGGCTCTGGCAACCGCAATGTGCTTGAAGACCTCCCATCGAATCGTTTCGGACGTCTAATTCATGGCCGTGATGGCATTTCTCCCAATTGTCATCCCGGAATCCTCATGATTCAGGGGCAAGCTCCCACGGTGAGGGGTAAAGAGTGGGGTGCAATTCCGAACAAGGGTGAGCCCCACCACTCTGTTCTTCCCAAGTGGACTCAAAATAATTCATATGTAGATGAAAAGCTGTGGTAAACTCGTACGGATTGACACGTACGTAGTATTCACGTAACAACTTCGATGTATCCATTTGCACTGATGTGTCAGACTTCAGGGGCACATAGCCGGGTCAAGTCCCATCTTCGTCTAAACGCCAAAGTCACACCCGTGTGTTAGCCCAATCCGTTGATGCACGGGCAAATGTCCTGTTTGATGCCAGCCCTATCTAGGCAGTAGACGTGCTTTTTGAGAAGAGATAGGCTCTCAGATCCTCAGCCAGGCGTCACTGTTGCTCTCCGCACGACGTACATAGGTAGCGGCCTTCAAGGATGACTCGGATCAGCTACTGCTTCCTGGAAGCGAGGCACAAGCGTCTAGGCCGGCAATGGTAACAGTTTCGGTCTAATTGACGTGGCGCCGCAGCTTCTGATAAAATCTGGACTCTTGGGCCAACATAGTTGTCATTCTACAATCCCAGATTCTAACTACCACACGAAAACACCACCACAAGTACGAAAATGGGTGATAACACTCCCACTGACGAGCCCTACTGGCTCGGACGTGCCTCAGAGGAAATTCAACGTCTCGTGAAACAGCACTTCATCTGGACCAAGTATTTGCCCTTCCCCATCCCTATTAAAAAAACCATCTAACAAAACCCCAGAAGCATCGGCTACCTGATCCACCCCATCATCTCTGCCCGCTTGCCCCCAAACGCCCGAATTGCAGACATAGGCACTGGGACTGGCATCTGGATGACCGAGGCCGCCAAAGTCTCCCCCTCAACTTACCAGTTCGACGGCTACGACATCTCCTCCGATGCTTTTCTTCCCCAAGAGTCCCTTCCCTCCAACGTGACTCTCCAAATCGGCGACTTCAAGAAGCCCTTCCCCCCAGAGCTTCACGGCAAGTACGACATGATCGCCATCCGCCTCATCATCATCTCCATGGGCGGCGACGTCTGGCGCCAAACGCTACAGAATGTCCTCACGTTGCTGAAACCGGGCGGCGCTATCCAGTGGATCGAGGGGAATTTCTTCGTCTCTCGCGGGTTCAGGGGTGCCGGCCCTATGTCTTCTCCGGGCCATCATCTCACGCGCATCCAGCGACAGCTGAATTCTACACTGAACCAACGTTTCGGATTCGACTTCCCCGATTTTGAGGAACTGTATGAGGGGCAAGGGCTGCAGGAAGTGGAAGTTGAGGTGTTGAGCACGGATAGATTGGTTGAGCAGCGGAGGGAGTTTACGGAGATTGGGATTGGGGCTGTGATGGGAGGATTGGGGAATTTGGCCAAGGCGGGTGGGGACGGGTATTGGACTGTGGAGGAGGTAGAGGAGTATAAGAGAAAGGCGATTGGGGATATGGAGAGTGGTGCCTATCTGAGGTGGGATATCTATGTTTCGGTGGGCTTTAAGGGGAAAGGTGGTGAGAATTGAGAGAGGACTTAGATTCTGGCAAAAGGCCTATCGGGCCCAAGCTGTCGCATTCTTAAGAGTAAGACATTAGGAACGGTCTCCGTAACATCCATAGAGCATTGTCTGAATGTAGACTCGTGAATCGATTTCTATGTATGGAAATGCTAACTACTTCCATTGGAACTCATGAGAACATAGTCATAAGGGAGGCTGACTGTTATGATAGGAAATCTTCAAAATCAATGTCAGGTAAGGAAGACAGCGAGCTCTCCTCTCCTTGCAGCTCTTTGCGGAGACATCACAGCGGAGGACGCTAGCTCTGCCTATCGGACATGTAGATTGTTAAGCACTCCTCCAAATCTGTGCAAAACCTGGTCCTTGGTCAGTATTGAGTTAGTCACTTCTAGACCCAGTTTCTGGGGCTCAAGTATCTGCAACACATCAGCCCATCTTGGATCGATCTTCCCGCCTGCTGGAGCTCCGCAGATTCCTATCGAGCTTTTCCCTCCATAATGCGTGAATGTTCGGATCGTGAGGATCGACTGGCAATCTTCATAATTCAGGAGTAGAGATGCATAGATCTCCCAAATGTATCTCCAAAGTTTGTGTTCGGCCCTTTGTGTTTTGTGCGGTTGACTCGTTCGGCTTATTAGTCCTCACATGAGTCACAAACGAAAAACTACTATGAGCACTCAATCTACCGCTCGCTGCCTGTTGAATCATACTTTAATGACATCGCTGTTTATGTGTGCGCTGAGTTGAAGCATGACACGCTGTGGGGCCGTAAGAGATGGCCAACGACTGTCGGTAGAAGGCCCAAATGGTGCCTTTCTGTGCATACGATCGAATCTCATACCCGTGTGAGGGGATTGGGATTTCTGCGCCAATATGGTACTCTAGGACAAGCTGGCAAGCTCGGGTAGTATGGGTTGTAGGGGCCCGATCGTGATCTCATCTGGGATGCGGAGGTTAGGCTCGTCTCGGAGCGCTTTTCGAGCCGGGTACGGCCTCGAGGGTTTCGAAAGAAGATGACGTGCGGGAGAGCGAGGACTGTAGCGAGTCAGCAGATGCGGATTTGACCTGTGATACCTGGATGGCAGCTCGTGGGGCTCTCCCTGCTCGGAATTTTGGCGGGCTGCTCACGGGATGCGCCTGCTGTTCGAGCGTTTTGCGGAGATTGCAATTCGGCCTCGCAGTGTCCCATGTCGTCCTTGTAGATCTCGGAAAGTAGGTACCCCCATAATCTTCGTGTGCGGGCCTCAAGTGCTGTGTGCCGTGCACTGCGAGATGGGTGAGTTGCAGGTGGTATGGTGTTGGGGGAGCCGCAAAAAATAGCAAGCCGCCCGGCCAGGTCATCAAAGAGATGAAATACGGTCATACGCCCACACCACGCAACGTACCCCTTCCATGGATCTCAGGGCTTGAAGAGGAGACTGAGACCCATGTTTGCTAACTCGTGGAAATTCTAAGATGCGTTCTAATAAAATACGTTACTCTGCAGATAAAATATATCTCAGTGGTCTTAATGTATAAATACCTAAAATACTTTTAATAATATTTAGACAGAACACATTCTCGAATTGGTCCGCGGCACCCTCACAAGGCGTAGGGACCCCGCGGGCGCCAAAAGAAGGCAAAAGAAACAAAAAGGAGTTCACGGGGCTCGAACCCGCTACTCTCCCACCCTCCGGTGAGGGATTTCCCTGTACACAGTTAGCCAACGTCCTTACAACTATACCGGAGCCACCCGGGCCTCCCCGCACACTGGATGACGCCAGTGTGGGATCACTGGCGATAGTTTTCCAACAATAAACTGTTTATATAGGCCAAAAAAGTCTTTTGGCGGAACATGAGCAGCTACCGGCGGGTAGTAGTCCAGGCCACGGCCCATGTTGGCTGCCCCAATCACCGTCCTCAAGGCATCATACACCCGTTTTCACAGTAAGGTTCCCACCTCCTACTGCACGTGCAGGCAGCATGCTGCTTCTGATGGATTTCCTTTCGTCTTACAATCACTCCTGCTCTCGAGACGCACACTCGCATTTCAGCGTATGATCAGCTGCCTTTGCATCCCTTTCCCAGGAGTCGATCCTCTCACGGCACAGCCTCTCCCCGGCATTAGAACGTGATTTGCAGTCTGAAGAAGCGTGGCCATAGCGCCCTCCTCATGAGCATCGCGGTGTGTCGTCCTCCGCTTGGCGGCCGCCCTGATTTTGTTGTTGTTCAGATTTGTTCCTCCTCTCTCACTTTCCCTCTCCCCACCACCCCACCATCAACACCACCACAACCTTCTCTGCGCTTTCTTTTGGCGATGAGGAGCATCTTCTTGTATGTTTGGATCACCTCATTGTGTTTTTTCCGCCTTGCAGCAGCTGCAGCGGCGTGCGGTGAGGTGGGGGAGGGTGGCTCACGCACACCATCGAGAGCTTGCTCCAGCAACCAACAACACCAGATTGACACGGCACGCACGCCAACAGCAGGTAATCCATCCCAGACGACGAGCTTGCTCTCCATGGGGAGCTGGCAACTCTGGCATCTCCGGTCGCTGTAGAATAACCTCTGCTGAGGCTCCCGACCGCCAGCCACCCCACCAACGCGACAGCGGCGAAAGTAAGCTTCGCTACGCCCACACTCTACCAGCTCAGAGTTGCGCTCGATTGTCATCCAGTAACTCAAGGGTCACTCATGGCTTCGAAGCAGCTAAGACTTCAAGGCTTCTTGGTCTGACTCGTGAACGTGAAGACGCGCCGCCACATTGCGTGGTCTTTCAGAGTAAGGGCTTGAGTCGGCGACGAGTACTTGATGACTGTTCTCTGACCGGGCAAGTATTTCCGCTTGGTTTCGTCCCGCCAGCTAATATGTCCGCATATGTGTCCATGTCTTGAGACCTTCACAGCCTCTCGGCAAGGTTGACTTCGGTCCTCGGTCGCGACGAAGGGCACCTCCAACTGAACCGGCAAGGCTTCCTGAATGCCTGGTCTGGGAACTGAGAGGCCCAGAGCAAACATTGGACAACACACCCCGAGATTTGGGTTGCGCAGCATGAGTGTTACCAGCTTGGTTGTGGACGACAATGACATACTGATATGATCGTTTCCGGCAAAGGGGCGAGCTATGGCGACACTCTCCAGAGTGTTGAGAGTAATTTGGAATTCTTCGTTCATGAACAAGGCAAGCCCTTCCTCTGCAATATCTCTTACTGACGTTTGAACTAGGTTTCCATCGGGTGAGCGGTCGGTGGGATATCATATCGCTTCTCAACAATCAAGTAATGAACCATAGGACCTTCTCCCAATGATAGCTCTTACTGACGCAGTGTTCCAGGGAACCTCGGTGGATAAATCGGCGGACGCCCGCTCAATCTCTGTTCTTCAGCCACGTAAACCCACTCCTCGGGAGAACTCCGCTCACCAAATTCCAGTTATACTTTCCGTGCGAGGGTGGGAGGGTGGACTTTACCATTCTCTTCAATCAGATAAGCTCCTTCCCTCGCCATGACTCCGCTAACTAGTATCCAGGTAGCCTTCAGCGGGTGGGTGGGTGGCCAAGTCGCGTCTTCTTTTGAACCAGGTAAGCCTCCTCCGCTATAACGACTCATGCTGATCAACACCTAGGTATTCTTCAGCGGGCGGGTGGGCGGTATCATTTCTCTCCTACAATCAGGTAAACCCCTTCCGCCACGAGAACTCTGCTGACCAGTGGCTAGGTATCATTCAGCGGGTGGGTGGGTGGCCGAAGGATATTGCTCTTTTGTTGAACAAGGTGATCTCCTTCCCTCGCAGGGACATATGCTGACTGGAGTTCTAGGTATTTTGAAACTGGGAGGGTGGGCGGCCAACGGATATTCCGCTCTCTTAGAACAGGTATTCTCCCTGCATTGAAAGGACCTCGCTGACCAGTATTCCAGGGATTTCATCTCGTGGGAGGGAGGGTGGCCGACGTTATCGCTCTCTTTTAAACAGGTAAACCTCTTCCGCCACAAGAATGTCACTGACCAATGTTCCAGGTATTTCTTGTTGTGGGAGGGAGGGTGGCCAAAGAACATATCCGTCGCTTTTGGATCAGGTATTCACCTTTCGCTGCACGAACCTAAGCTAACAGCCGTTGTAGGTATATACTTCAGTGGTTGGGTGGGTGGCCGAAGAACATAACCGCTCGAATTTTATACCAGGTAATCCCATTTCCTCGCATGGGCTCTTGCTGACAGCTGTCGTAGGTCGATGATCAGTGGGAGGGTGGGTGGTCCACTTGCAACCGCTCGAATTATATATCAGGTAATCCCCTTCCGTAGCGATGGCCCATGGTGACAAGTTTCTTAGGTATGCTTCAGCGGGTGGGTGGGTGGGTGGGCGAACCGACGTCCTTTTGAACAAGGTAATCCCTTCCCTCGTCTTAACTCATACTGACTGCTGATGCAGGTCCATAGTGGGTGGGTGGGTGGCCAATGTCTTCTCCACAGACGCTTTCCTTCGAACCAGGTAACTCCCTCCCCCATCCCAATTCATACTGACCTGTAATGTAGGCATACAGTGGGTGGGTGGGTGGCCAAAGTCGTGCAGCCGCTCTCTTCTCAACCAGGTAATCCCCTTCCGCATTCGAACTCATACTGACTGATGAAGTAGGTCTGCAATGGGAGGGCGGGTGGGCACATTATCTTGAGTTCCTCATTGCGAACTACTGGTAAGTACTCCGAGCGGGTAATGAAACTCTCGCTGACCGTAGCGTAGAAAACCTCATCGGAGGAATGGGGATCGATCCGTGTCGTCCCTTAATCCAGGTAACCCCGTCCCCCGATGGGGACTGATACTGACTGGTGTACTAGGTAAACCCTAGTGGTTGGGAGGGTGGTTAATGTGTTGGAGATTCCCGACGCAATATCCGGTATGTGCCCTGAATCCACCATATATGCTGATACTGATCGTTGCATAGTCCGAGAACCAGGTAAGTGCTCCGGCAACCTTTGATTCCGGTGTTCTAGCAACACCGGGGAACGCTAACTTGAGCTATCCATGGAGAGCTTGATTCCGGTTCGCTTCATCATGAAGTGAGGACTGGCCTATATCTTGCGTCTCCTTGACAGCACCTGAAGAAACAGAGAAATGAACGCTTACACTAGCTGCAATCCTGTTCAGTGGATTACTGGTCTTGAAGCGTTCGACACGTGGGTGCTACTGGCTTCATCTTCATCGGTGCTGTTATATTCAAGTCTCCCAAACTTCGTGTCTGAGCTTCTCATAGTTCCGTGGCATCGAATAGGGAGAGTCTTCCTCGTGTGGAGACATCTTGAAGAGTAAACAGCTAGGACCGCCACCTCTTTCCAAACCGGCATGCCTGAACCTGTGGCTGCTTGGCTGAAAAGTGCGCGGACATTTTGTGGGTTAGGCGATATCTTTTTTGGGGGGCTCAACAAATCCTCTTCTGACATCTCCACGCGGTGCCCCCTGGACGTCTGCCGGAGACGACTAACGCAGAGAGGTATGATCTCACTTTGGCGACACGACAAAAACCCTCCGCCTCCCGAGATCATCCGAGTAAGATACTGTCCGCTGCTGCTGTCAGTAGGTGTCCGGCACCCATATTCCCGAACCCAGCAGCTGTCGGAGCCAGCAACCACCCATTCGGAAGCTTGTCCTGGGACCCCGTAGGCGTGGGGCGCAGCGCGGTTGAACTCGTGGATGACGTCTGGAAATTTGAACTACGATCTGGATGGTGGCTAGTGGCACGGAAGCTCGAGTAAGTAGCCAGGTTCCCATATTCGGATAAGCACTGACATCAGTAGAGGAGTTCCACGGGTTTCGATCGAGTCAGATTCGAACTCGTCCAACCATCGATCGACCAAACACGGTACAAACGGAAGGTCACGACGCGAGGGCTGGCTTGGTTTGGACTACAAGAGGAAGTATCCCGGATATGTTCATCCATGCCCCGGCATACGGATTTTAGTATTCGACGTGGTATAGGCAATCGACACTGTAGCAGGACAAAGCTCCATCTCTTGCATTTGCTCATACACGTGAAGTGTTATGTGCATGGATTCCGGGCCGGTATACAGCCGTCCTCGAACATTGTTGACATGTGTGAACGGTGCCATCCGGAGAGGTTTGTGTCTTCTCATACCGAAGCGGGACTCCCGAAAGTACTTGTGTGCATGCTCGTAGACTATGATGGTTTGTTGCGTGCGGCATTTCCTCGTGTTCTGGAATATCTCGGGGTGGGGAAGCGGAATTTCATCGGCGGATTTGAGCCCATATCATCGGAAAAGGCTACTTTTGGTGGGAAACATATGCGTATCCCTTCCAGGACATGCGGGGTGGCCGTGGAGTTGCTGGGGGTAATGGTGTTTAAGAGGTGAGGTTGGAATTTTGGTGTTGAAGCCTGAGTGGGGCTGACGCTTGGCTGGGAACGGTGTCAGAATTTTAGCCGCGCTGGGACCACCTGAATTCCACGTCGTTCAAATGAGAGATCCTTCCCCCATTGCTTGTTTCATCAAAATTCATCGATTCTTTCGGTCTGCGGATAGTTCATAGCCTTGCTGCACCGGTTATCATCAGGAAGGCGCACAGTGTGCCACTATCGTAGAAGTGATCTTCCTGCCATCATTCAGGCGCTTTTCATCTGAGAGCCATCGCGAGCCAATGCTTTCGACCACAAGCCTTGAGCAGAAGAGTTGGAGCTTTTGCTGCACGAGTCTGCGTCTCCAAACATTAGTCAAGTGTTTCAGTGTAAGGAAAGCATGTTCAGACTGATCTTCTCCGCAATACTTGCAGAGAGCCCTGTGCCTCTGCCAAAGCTGGATCATTGATATCTTAAAAGTTGTCCAAATGGATTATGTGATCCTATTTCATGCGGTATGCTGGGCAGGATCATTGGCTCTGCTGGCCTAAGACAGTGCCATAGTTTAATAATGGTCAGAGCACTCCCCGCGATTCTCTCCATCTGTTCGTGTTTCTGATTGAAGAGCACAGGGCTTGAATGTCACAGAGCCGAATGCACGAGAATAGTGCAAACTGTAGACTTCTGAAAATGAATAGAGGACACGCTCAGTTCCCATGGGCGTCAAAGGACACCTGGTAAACAGACTGGACTGCAGACGCAGGAGAGATCACCAGAGCAGGAGTGCCATGCTTAGCTCCCGTCCCTGATTCATTTGCGGCATCGAATCATTATGGCAAGGTGAGAAGGACCTTCCTCTCCCTCAAGCATTCCTTTGCTTTTGGCGGCGGCCTGCAGTACACTTCCTAGGAGGCTGGCGGATTCTGTATGCTTCACGACCTGCGGCTCTTGGCCGAATGGCACCGACTTCATAGTCGGTTGTTTGTTCAAAGCCTGCAGAATTATGCTTGAATCTTCCTGCCGACAGAAAGGCCAGAAAAGAACATTTGCCACTGAACGTGATACAGTAGCTCATGGCATGGCGATGATTATACTTTGAGTGGCTGCTCGGTCTTGGGGCTTGGTTGTCTCAGTTCTCGATCTCCACCCTTGCCTTCTGCGCCCTCTGCTTTCTGACGCCAGGTTATCGACGCTGCTCACTGCTTCCGCCGCACCAGATGGATGCCTTTTGAGAGCTTAAGGATACGGCGATCACTACACATTCCGCGGTATTTGTACGATGGTATGGATGCTTTTCAGGATGTGCACGCAGGGGGGTTATCTTCGTGAGCTGGTCCGCCGCTTCACCTTGGCTTGTGCGGAACCTCTTTCTTCTCCAGCGACACCATCTCCACGATCAACCAGTTGACGTCGGAGATTGCTCCCAAACGACCGGCTTTAATCCACGAGAGCTTGCTATCATGGGCCTTCTGAGTCTTTCAACCGCTGGCCACAGCATACTTTGGCGATCGCCTGGCGATCCAGACAGGTGCGAGCCCGCGGCTTCTCCTCGCACCGACGCGCTCCTCCCCATCCAGCACGGTTGCCGACAACCTTCGAAGTGCCTTCTGAAGCAAAGGAAGGGACTTGGAACAGGCTCGAATACGGTTCAGCAGTGCTTCCCGATGCAGTACTGCGAGAGCCACCCAAGCTTGTTGCTGGCTGGATTGCGCCTTCGCATCCTCATCACCTCCCTCACGCAGAACAGCAACATCACGATCGAAACGCCCGGCTACCATAGTATACAGCTTGACATCTTGAGCTTCAGCGTCACGTCTCTTCTGCTCTCGATGCCCGCGCCTGCAGCGACGCGGGAGACGCCGGACGCAACACAAGTGACAACAGGCTCTTCTGCTTAAGCCCCGCGCCCTCCAAAGCATGCTCACTTCATGTTGCCGTACCAGCGGTCTGCCGGATAGCAAAATAGCATGAAGAGGGATCTCTGCGGCAAGCACGGCGTGCGCACAGCTGCATGCTCGCAGCAAACATATGCACCGCTTCCTCTGGCTTGGCGCCGGGGCATCGCAAGTCCACGAAACGTCTCCATCGGCAACAGCCCGTGGGATATGCGGCGGCGCAGCCTTGTTCGATTCGCATACAAACATTCTGCAAGATGGAAAAGGCTGGAAACGTTGCTGAACCTCCTAAGGTCATGCTTGGATACCCCGATGCCTGCGTCGCCACGAGGCATTAGATGCTCTGCGAATGACACCGGCCTTTCAACGCGCTGGCGATGCTGGAATGAGCAGAGACGCGGTCCAGAGTCGTACGATGCACTCTTCCGTCGATGGATGGTTTAACTCAGTGTCAAACCAATATGGAGACGAGCGCTGACCACGGAAGGTATCCCAGGAGAAGCCTTCCGGCTAACGCCCATCGACTGCTGATATTCGTACTGCGAGAGCGGAGTTCTCCCGAAGCTGTAATGAAAACCATGAGAGGAAGGAAACCGCCTGCGACTTGGGCTGATTGACTGCCGGTGTCTGCAACATTGGCTCATGGGCTATGGCTGCGATGTGCGATGCTATCTCTCTTTCCACTGAGGATCGATGCCTTGTTCCACAACCAGTACCTATTCGAGGTCGGCCCCACGGTTCGTCTGCGATCTCCTGGGCACGTGGGCGAAAGTCCGGCGCAGCATCATCTTTCCACAAGGCACAAATCACAGAATGTGCCGCTTTGATGCACTCCACGAAAGGCAGCTCCCACCAGCTTCATTGGGGAGCCGAAAGCGAACGGTTCATTTGTGCGATATACGTATGTGCTCAACCGTCGACACCAGACTCTGTTTTGGACGAATGCCGCTCGATAGGAACGAAGGCGGGACCGTATCGCCACCAAACGTGATTGACGAAGGTTCGTGATGCCACGCCATCGGATGACGGAGACTTCGGTAGCTCTCCAAGCGCTGTAGCAGGAGCTAGAGGAGCTGCGAATACGACGTCGGCCGCTGCAACGGGCCAACATAGGCAGCTGTCTTGGGAGCAAGAACGGTAGCAAGCAAGCCGCATTTACGGACAGTGCCCACCGGAGGGGATATGGCCATATAGGGGAGAGCTCTGTGGAGCGAGAGCGTAGCTGACAGGAGCCAGAGCCTTTGCTGGGAAAGGTTGGCGAGAAAAGAGCTATCGTAAGAATCCGGAGAGGAGCCTGGGAAAAGAGCCTGGAGGCAAGAGCCTTGGATGAAGAGCCTTGGAACAAGAGTCTTGAAACAAGAACCGGAATATGGACCTTAGACACCATGTAGCCTGGAGCCACTGGACCTGGAGTCACTGGACCTGGACGCACTCAACCTGGACCCACTCAACTTGGAGCCAGTGGACCTGGACTTAAGGGGATTGGAGCCATGGAACCTGGAGAACCAACCTGGAGCCACGGAATTCCTACTCTAGGGGCCTGGAACCAATGAGCTTGGAAATAGGCTGGTTGTTGCATAACATACTGTTTCGAGAAGTTGAGATTGCAACACCAGCACCCAATTCTTGAAGTGATCCAGCATCCGCGGTAACCCGATCGACTATGAGCCTGTTTGTTCCTCAACTATCTCTTTATGCTCATACGCCATTATTACCCCTCGATCTCTGAGTCCCACGTTGAAGCCACGTGAGTACTCCCCGGATGTCCATGCTTGTTCAACCTCTCGAAGTTGCGCCATTGAAACGTTCAATGCTCTACCATCCTGGGATTGGCGACCGCGCATATTGTTCTGAGACTCTGAGTGTTGTTGTCAAGGGTTTCGTATCGGTTTTCCTTCCTTGCTTCTAGCGATGGCCAACTCCGCGGGCTCGGGAAGCGAAATATCAATCACGCGCCATGGAAGGGCAACAGGACGTCGTCTCTTTGTACGTCCTTACGGGATACCACATGGAACTGAATTGCTTCAAGCTGGACCATTTTCCGACCTGATGACCTTGGATATCAATTCCATGATTTGAGGTGACAGATCTTCGAAGATGAAGTCATGTCCATGTTCGATGCCGGCATTGGCATATCCAACCCGAAGAACCGTTATCATGACCTTCCAGCAAGTATGCCGGGTTGAGGGTTCTCGGAACGAGATCTGTCGCCTTGAGTCTTCGCTGCCTCCCTCTTCTACCGCTTCTCGTGACGCAGAGGGTCCAGTATGGTACCAGTCGACTCTGTCTGGGCAGCGGGAGCCTTTGCCTTCCCCCGTTGGCCATCTCATATTGCTTGTCTGCATGATTTTGCATGCGATCATTCCTTTGGGGCGTCGGAGCTATCGAAGAGGCAGAGTCTCATCTTGTCGCGTTTCTATGGCTTGAGTCATTCGTTCGATGCAAAAGATGCCGCCAAGTTCGCTTGTGTGAAGGTGGTAGTCGGGGCGGTTCGGTACTTGGGCTCGTCTTTGTTCTCCACGTCAGGGCCTTTGTTTCGAAGACAGTTCGCTCCTCCTGCGAATGACCTTCGAACCTACTTCGAGTTAGCGTATTCACTCTGGCGCTGGCTTTCCCGGTGCTTTACCGAAAGGAATAATGTTCGAATTTCTAGCCGCTCGAGCGGTTCCGAAGGTTTCAAGCGACTCATTCCGAGTCGTGGGGCTCATCTGGACGCGGTCTCGAATCGCCGGAAGGAGTATTCTGAACTCGTACGTTCCATATCATACCGTTGTTGTGAAGAGATCCTCAAACATGGGACGCTGGTGTTGAGCAGACTCCGCCGAATGACCAACCCGATCTTGCCTTCCTCGAGGCACGTTTCTAGCCGCTTGTGAGACTATGCTTGAGAGGCTGTCCCAACCCCGAAGCACTTTGAGTCTATTGATTTTATATCGGGGGCCCCAATGTGGGCTTGTGTACAAGTTGTAGAGCAGGTCGTTCTGAAGGAGGCTTGGCGCGTCGTTGCGCGGAGACCAATCGCCCGCCAGCCGGCATCAACTCGCTCAGGAATCGGCAATTATTATAGAATTGATGAGGTTGCGGAACTAGGCGCGACTTCATGTAAAGCTTCATCCCGGGGCGCGAGTTCTTGCTGTTGGGCAAGGTCAGCCGAACCTTCAAACTCAGCTTCCCTAACTGCATCGCCGGCCGAACGGACAGCTTGGTTCGGTGAAGGCAGCGAACATGGCGCTGGATACTGATATCGCTCTCCTATATCCCTTCTTGTTGCTGCTGGAAGCCGCAAGTCGGAGCCGCCGAAATGGTGGGCCAAAGAGTTACTTTCCAGGCTGAGCCGAAGCCGCCATTCTCGCCGCCATGCCAAGTGTAAAAGGGGCGAGGATGTTTTCGAGTTCGCCGAGCACATACGTGCATGCCGCTCTCCGAGTGACAAAGCCATTGTCGTCGTCGTGGTCGGTGTTGGTTGTGTCGGTCTTTGTGGTGGTGGGGTTGTCGAGACAAAGCCCGGGTGGTGTTGGCGGCGAGATGAAGGGCCCCAGCGTGAGAAGCCCCAGCAGCCGGTCGCAGGCGTGGAAATTCCCTACGCCAGGCGTTGGAGACTGTCATGATACTGCTTGTGCTGCTCAGCGTACCGGAAAATGGTATCAAATGCTTCATAGCAGGGTCCCCGAACCGGAGCGTACTTGGTGTAGGAAGGGGCCGCGGCTGTCGGCTGAAGCAGGAGCGAAGGATGCGAACAGCACGGCGGAAGGCCTCGCGATCCAGCCTCGAGATTGGAGCACAGAAAGGGTCCCGCTCTCTCTCATTAGCGCTTGTAAAGCTGTCGAACGACTCTTCTTGCCGTCTGTCCTCACCTTTGACGTAGAGAAAGTGGTTGCGCTTCAGAAGTGAGAGGCTTGGGTACAGCCCACAGCGGCGGCAGGCGCCTCACCTCCGGCAGCTAGAGCGCCATATCAACATCACGATGGAGCGCAGAAGCAGGTCGTCGTCGTCCTGGCACGTATATTGAGGTCTCACGCTACCTCTAGTGTTGATCCTTGATCACAGTCGAGCGGATTGAAGGTGGCGTTGGCGTTGGCGGCCTTCGCTCGCAACTCGATCACGACAGGAAAGGAAACACCAAGTATATCACTACTATGAGCGCTTGATCATATTATTCGACTGTGCCGCTCTCCCTCACTGAGCCTTCTACGTCCTCGACCGGCCTGGCCGCTCAGCCAGACGACCGTCGTGCTTCGTCGAGCAAAATGCGGCCGCCGCTCCACAACACCACGCCATGATGCCTTATCTGCTTGAAAAGGCGATGCCTACAATTGTGAGGACGTAGAGAACATGAACTGTAACTCCGGCAACAATTATCTATACTGGGACTCTGGCTCATGGCTCTCCAGAGCAACAGCATTGAGCACCACATCACGCCCACATATACACGCGTACCCACAACATGAACAAAACCATGGCCACCAGCATCGCCTCCAGCCTCCAGCTCTCCACAATCAGATTCTTCTTCCTCAACCGCACAGCAAGCCATGCGCGTCAATGAAAAAGCTCAAGGTGTTGACAAAAATTCCCTGCCGACCCGAAAGCCAACAGGAGCCGGTCAAGTTGATAGTTTTCAACTGGCAATAACACGGGCTCAGACGAATCTTCACTGCCGCGCGTAAAGCCCTTGCACCGGGATGGAGGAGAGAAGGAGGGTTGGGGAGGAGGAGCGCTTTATATACTCGTCGGGGAGCTGGGCTGACTAAGAAACTGCAGGTGCGTCACGTGGATTGGCAGCGCCGGCCCCGGGGAGCTTCCACATGTTTGGTGCGCCGGATGCAATTTGGAGTTGCCTGGGGCTGGTCGGATTGTGCAGCGGCAGTCATAGAACCATGCGAACAGTCAACAGAAAGGGACTTGTGATCTGGGATTACTCCGCTTAATGGAGAGCTTCAAGGGGCTCTTGGATATCCTCAGAGTCAGGCACTCGATTACGCAACTTCAAATCCTGCAGCTTCTCTCATTGCTCAGCTGAGGCGGAGATTCATGGAACCAAGCACGAGAGGCACCTCTGCGATCTGGGATTATGACTATCAAGGGGGAGCCTCGATTTGTCCTCAACTGCCTCAAGATCAGGCACTCAAGCACATGCATTCGGGCAGCTACAGATACTCCATGCATCTCCCACTGGCCTGCAGGTCCGCCCAACATCAGTTATAGTTCCCAAATGCGGCCCCAGACCGTCTTACACCAGCTGTCCCCTTGCTCATGGATGCCTTCCTTCAGTTCCCTTGTACAGACCTGACTTCTTCCTGTGTACCATTATCTCCGCTCTCTCGCTCGAACGATCGGGACCCGCCAGAAGTGCTGCGTCTTCTCCCTTGCTGAAACGACTTGGTTTATCGTTCGACGTTAGGGGTAGGGGACTCGAAAGCGTTGCTCTATGGTCGGTCAAGTCAGCATGAAGCACAGGTTGCCGCTGGAGCAGCAATGAAGTTAGCGCCGTGTCTGCTTCCGAATGGGACCTCAGAGGTTTTCGTCCCGCAATGTGAGAGGGGGGGATAGCGTACCTTTTGGAAGACGCAGTCCAGACGGGGACCTGCCTCCTCGTGAGGCCAGAGTAACGTTTTGCAAGCTGCCTCTCCTTCATGCGCAGTCTGCTTACTCAAAGCCCTCTGCCGCCATGTGTATCAATCCGAGCCTGTTTTGGTGTGATGGGTCATAGTCCTCCGTCACGGTATGAGGGTTCGTTGTGCAGTGGACGCCGCTGTCGCTGTTGCCGTTGGAAGAACGCCACAAACCCTTCACGTCTCGTTGCTACACCTCTTCCGTTATGTGTATCAGTCCAGGCTTTCCCGCGGTGTTATGGGCCAGGATCTTCTGTCGTGGGAGGGAGGGGGTACCGTCGTGTAGTGAGCCGTGCCGTCGCCGTCGCCGATGCGTTACCCCCTCAAGGCCTACACCTCTCTCGGCCCAGTCCCCCAAATTGAAGTGTCGTGAGAGAGACTCTCTAAGCTGCTCCTAGTCATCTTGCAGTTCTTGGGGTGGTCCGACTTTCTGGTGTGCCGTGTCGGTGTAGGCCGTATCGTGACGCTGCCCGTGCCGCCGGTGGTGTTACTCGAAGCTGCGCTGCTTTCGACCATGTTGAACAAAATGACTTGCGTAAAACGAAGGAGAAAATAATCTCTAGCCAGTCATGAGCCTCCTACTGCTCCTCTGGCTGCTCGCCGCCGGCGTGTTGCCATTGCCATCGCCTGCAAGAGCCCCAAACGAAGCCACTCCCCCTCGCCACCTCTCCCGGCCACCGCTCCTGCCGCTCCGCCCTCCCACCAACCAACACACCGATATCTCCAATCTTCATCCTCGCGCTTTATAATGCTCTAATTCAGTACATTATCCAACAATCTCTAAGGAGCTCAAAAGCTGCATGGCTCAGTGGCAAGGATGCCTCACATATATTTCGTACAGTAAGTGCCCTTCTCTCCTTGTTCGATTCTCTGCCTTGCCAAACACACATTTAAAATGCCTGCGGGAGCATAAAACATATTTTTTTGTCCTTTTTGAGGGCAGGGAGGAAGTGGGTTCGAGTTGAGGCTGTGGCCTTTTTCCTTTGCCCCTCCTTGACGATTTTGCAGGGAACGGTCCACCTTTTTGCTCGGGACAGCCATTTCATAAGTGACGTTGCGCTGACGAGGACTATAGGGATGGCTGGGAGCTGAAGATGATACTCCATGCTTCCTACCGCAGCCAGCTTGCTGTTGCCGGCACCTCCGCAAGAGATCAGAATCTCGACTCCGCTGCTTCTTGTCCGAGGGCGTCCACTTCCACGGAACGGTAGATGAGAAGAGAGGAAGGACAATTCTGATAGACTACCCTAGGGTACCACCCAACTGCTACTTTTGTTCCGCAACTCTTGGTTATGAAACAATCTCTACAGAATAGATCATTCCGCTGTGTCAGAGTTTTCAAGGGTTCGGTTCTCGACTAGCTGCCCGTATTGATTTCGGGATGGATCCACAGATAACGCAGGACAGATTGGTAAGTGGACGTGACGATAAACACAGCGACTACAGAGGGCATATGCAGCATAAGCTGTGACTCGGGCTTACGCTGTAGGGAAACATACAGCTGCATCAAAACTCCCCCGCAAGAGTCAGAAGCAACCCAAACCCCAAAAGAGGTGGCACGATGTTGCCAACGGAGGAAGAGCATGTTATATAAGTATGCAATGAATTTCTCTCTGACGCGAAGCCACTGTTCATGTGTGCGCATAACCCCCATGATCCGCACCCGTGCGATCCTGCTGCAATCCCAATAGTACAGACGTCAAGGTAACAATGCTCAGCTGTAGTCTTAGCAACGGCGGACCGTGCTCTTCATCAACCACCTCCTCGAACTCGTACTGCAATCTCTTCAACGCCACTTTCCAAAGCGCCTCAACCATCGCTCAGGGAGTCCTCCTCAGAAACGTCGCAATTCTCGTGGTGCACGCAATCATGGAGGTCCCGCAAGAGACCTTCGAGGCTCCGCTGAGTGGGCTCACCATCGCGCTTCTGCTGAAGGTCTGTATGCTCATCAATATAAACGCTACAAAACAGTTTCAGAAGGCTTTCACTTACCGACCCAGCTATCGAGAGTAGACCTGACTTTGCGTTCGAAAGCTTGCAGCAAGTCTCCTTGCTCACCTGACTCACCACGAGCGGTCGGAGTCTTCAGGTCTTGCGCATCCTGCCCATCGTGCAGCATGTTGTACAGAGTACGCTGAAAGTTGAACATGATTTCGGATTTCTCTTCGTTGGTAAGAACCTGGGTACTGTTTTTGTCATCGCCATGGGGTTTCTCGTCATCGTCATGGGGTTTCTCGTCTTCATGAGGATACAGATCCTCCGAATTCCAAACCTGAAACCAGTCGTCCCCATCTTGATCCTGCGAGCGCTCCTCGTATACATCGCCTTCAGAGGACGACGGCGACTCATCATCGGTGTTTTCAAGGTCTGTAGAATTGCCTCGGTAATGCCCAGAGAACTGTGAACCATTGCGGAACGAAGAGTTGAAGTAGGGTCCATGGAACGGCCGTCGGTTTGCAGGGAAGCCGGGTGGGAATTCCGAATGTGGATGGTCTATTGAACGCTCGCGCGGCTGGGCACCCTGATGCTTCTCCGTGAAGTACGAATCAATTATCTGATTGAGCGTGCGGGCGCCTTCGCAAGCAATTTTCAGTTTGATCGCGTTGGGCTGTTGTTGGGTGCCGTGGGGTGAGAATACTTGGTCGAGGAGGCGCCTCAGTGTGTCCGCGGCTTGCCAGGCAATCTTCTCCTTGTCCAATTCGTTGGGAGGCGCTGTGTGAGAAGGTGTTTCGGAGGCATGCGCCGACGAGGCTGTGACACCAGTGCCAAGGACGGTAGCATCATGAGCAGTTGCTGCACCACCGATGCTGACCCGAGCACCTGACGGAGCAGCGGCATGTATCGGACACTTGGTGGGAAGAGGAAAAGGGGGAGGCCCTCCAGGAGCCTTGTGAATCAGAGGGAGGAAACCAGCCTTCGCTTTGCCATCGTTGTGCGACTCCTGCTGGCCAGCATCCTTGCTGTGGTCTCTCTTCCACCAGGTCTCATTGAATGTGGAGTTGGCGTGAACGTAGTCTTCGGGGAACTTGTCGACTAAGAAAAATTTCCTGAAGTTGTGGCCTGGGGAGATAAAGTCTACCTCATAGAGAACAAACATGTCCTTGAGTCCAGCCAACTTTGAAACATGGTACTTCAACTCGGCGTTGAAGGGCACCGAAGTCGGTTGAGATCCATTCGTCGGATGAATGACATTGAAGCCCTTCATATGGATGTCTTCGAGCCAGTTGGTCAGGTTACCGTTCTCCCAGCTCTTCTGGACATGATCCCACGTTGTTTGGTGCACGGTTGCGGGAAGAACCTTTAGCCACCAGCCTGCAGGAAGATAGCCGTCCGCCCCTTGCTTTGCAGGTGGCTTTGTCTCCAGGTCGGGATTCAGGTGAAGTGGGGACGGAGTTGGGGACGGAGTTGCCACCGAAGGCTTGGAGGTCTGAGCTTCTTCCCCATTGACATCCGGCTTATGAACCAATATCGAAGCCTCAAGTCGGTCCTGTCGAGCCAGACTCTTTGCTTCGCGCTCTGGAAGGACTCGAAGCAAGGTTCGAAGGTTGCACAAGGGCTTTCCGTCGTCGCCAGTAGCCCACAGACGAAGTGGATACGGTTCCGCTTGGGGAGGGAACTTCGTCAGGGGGAAGTGGTATTCCGCGTGGGTGACGTTGAAGAACTTCGGAGCTCGATACTGGAGCTCCAAGGGACCCCAAGGAACGACAACGTCTTTGGAATCCTCAGCAGTGATGACTGCCAAAGCGCTGGTATGCGAAACATATTCGAGGCCAGGACCTTCGACGACCACGGAGGCAAAGAAGTCCTTGGGTGTGTAGTAGCTCAGGCGTGAGTAGAACTTGAAAGGTGCCTCGAAAGGCTCGCCGTGGCCTTGATGCCTGTTTCCAGCTTGTCAGTATCATCATCCATGGGCATGGTGTTGACTTACCCGGTCACTTCAGCACCCTGTTCTTTGTGACCACCTTGAGAGGCAACAAGCCGCACGAGGGCGGCCAGGAAGAAGGCACTCTTCATAGCTGGCGAGGGGCCAGTGCGGCACGGAAAACAGAAGAGGAGAGGATAGCAAGCGGACACGAGAGCAGAGTGTGAAGGCGGAGAGGAGAGAAGACTGCTGTGGCTCTTTCAAAGCACTGTAGATCTGCCTTGGGTGGAGAGTGGAAGAAAGGAGGAGGATGAAAAGCTGTGGGAAGAGAGGGACGGAAGAAATGTTTGCATCATTGTTCCGCAGAAGGTCCATGTGGGTTAAGAAAGGAAGCGACAAAAGGTGCAGAGGAAAGGATGGGCCGACAGAAAAACAATGGGGAAGGTATGATGTACACAGGTACACAGAGGTCGCCCGCCTGAGAGTTTAGAGAGGCAAGTGTCATCCAGCGCCTCTGAAATGGAAAGTAACCATACTGACCACCTAGGTAGGTACATCCGGGACGAATGGACACTGCAGCTGGAGGGTACTCTCAAGACCCTCCTCCAGCTTCTGAGAAACCCACATCGAACAATATCCGGCTCAAATCTCTCCAGGAGGTGTCAATTCGTCCCATCTCTTTCACAGCCCCACAGATTCCAACCTTGTCAAGACTGACAACATTTGAAGAAAGGGATGCGCACAGACCATCTCAAGGTTGCCTGTGAAAGGTCAATTCGAAAGCATCCATCTGCGGGCGCGTACTTAACGCTTGAGACGCGTCTTCGGCCGTCGACATCATATCCCAATCCTCTCTTTCTCCATTCAGTTGAATCCAGAATGGCTAAGCAGGTCAAAGTCACAGAATACCAGACACGCGTCTACACCCTTCTGCAGCAAATACCCGAAGGACGCATCACATCGTATGCTGCCCTAGCAAGAGCGCTGAATTCGTCCCCCCGCGCCGTCGGAGGTGCGCTACGCAACAATCCATTCGCGCCCGAAGTTCCTTGTCATCGATGCATTGCAAGTACAGGTGTATGTAGACAATTTCCCCACGACGGAGTCGATCGCGAGCTGACAGGGCAGCAGTTTGTCGGAGGTTTCAAGGGCGATTGGGAAAAGGTCCCGAGCGGTCAGAATCAGGTTTCGAAGCTGAAGCTGCTTGCCGATGAAGGTGTGAAATTCGATGCGAAGGGGAGGTTGGTGGAGAAGTGGCGGTGGTGGAACGATTTCGATGTAGACAAGCTATGAGCCGTGGAACTACTCTGCAGATTCACGCAACAGTCGAGGGGAATAAGAGCTCTTTTTACTCCCGAAATCATGACAGTTGACCACTGCACGCACCGACACGCAAGAGAAAAGCGGCAATGCTGGAGACAAATGAGTGCTGGAGAAAAGTGATGCACGGCCCACTTGAGCTCTCTCTCGAGGAACCTAACCCCACCCAATCTTTACCAACCTGTTTTCCAACACATCCATCATAGACTATTGACGCGATGCCTCCCAAACGCAAAGACCTTCCGAAGGCCAATCCAAAAACCAGAGCCAAGGTCAGTGGCACGCACGGGATACGCGATGCTGGTCGATCTGATGATGAAAGCTGCAGGAGCCCCAATCCGAGAGCGACTTTCTTGAGGCTGCCGACGACTTCGAACAAGCTGCTGGGAAATGGCGGGCTGGGGACGCTGCGAAGGCCCTGAGATTCTACAACCGTGCCATTGACACCTACAATACCGGCTTGCAGCGGTATCCGACCTCATTCGATCTTGCATATAACAAGTAAGTCACGTGAAATGAACGTTCACTCTTGGCGGATCGGAAATCAGGGCATACTGAGGACTTTTGACTAATCCAATCAGGGCGAATCTTGAATATAACATGATACAAGATGAGAAGATTGTACCAATACTGGGCAGTAGGATAGACCTACTTCAGGAAACACTCCGGTCCCATCGGTTTGCAATGGGATTGAACCCGGAGATTGTCGAGATTGTCTTCAACACGGGCCAGGTCTTGACATCATTGGCAGAAGCCCTGCTTGATACTTGGGATCCCGAGGCGAGAGCCACGGCAAGACAGTTTCTTGAGGAAGCAGTTGCACTCTTTACCAAATCTCTGCTCAAACAGCAAGAGGAGTACGAACAGATGCAGACTGGCATTGCCAATGCGCAAGCATCTCAGGAAGAATCCGCTCGGCTGGTGCCATCTGGAGATGTGCGAGAAACTGGCGCGAATTATAGGGAACCATCCTCCATATCTTCATCCGTGTCTGAAGCGCCCGAAGAATGGGCAACAGTAGTGGAACCTGTCACCCCAGATACCATATTGGATACCTGTACTGCCCAACTTGGAGCTTACACCACTCTGCTTGATTTATACAGTACCTCGGACTATAGCAGCATCGAGTTGCAAGCCTCGCACATTTTGAACACAGCACAGAACACGATACCCGCCTACATCGACCGCACAGGCACCTCTGCAATCTCAACCCAGCATGAAGAGCCTGCCCCTGGCCCTGTCCTCTCAATCGGCTCTCCACCAAGTATGGAAGAACATACATCGCCTAAAGAAGATGCACTCCTGGCCAGAGCCAATTTCTATGCCGCATTGGTCGAGGTCAAGTATCGGAATGATCAGTGCACAACTCCAGAGTACGCAAGTGAGACGGAAAACATCTACGCCCCTCTGCTTCCTACCGAAGATACAGGGAAGCTATCTTTGAGTCAAATGAATGCTCTATCCGCCTACGCTGACGCCCTCTTCAACATAGCATCAGCCATATCAGACAGTCCACGCTACACTTCCTCATCGCAGAGCTTCTCCCAGGACCTCGACATCCAATGGACAACACTCACACAAGCCCAGACCATACTCACCAAACTGTCCACAGGCCCGCATGCCAGCGTATTGCCATTTTCCCAACTCTCCCGAATTTTCCTAGCACGCGGCGACACGGACCTTTTCCGCTTCCGCCTTTCCCTTCTCGAATCTGCGAAACCAGCATGGGTGAAGAGCAAGAATGTCCTCGTTTCCAATGCAGGCGTCTTCTACCGCGGAGCAAGGACCTATGCTGAGAAGGCAGGCGTGGTAGACGTGCACAAGACGGCAGATGCGAAGGCAATTGTGGCGGAGGTTTTGAAAGAAGCCGTGACTGGGTCTGGGAAGAAGGATGAGCGGTGGAAGGTGAGAGCGGAGGATGTGACAAGGGTGTTGCAGCAGATGGTTGAGGAAGGTGTCATTGACAAGGAGAATGCGGAAGGCGTGGTTGGGTATCTCTGAGGGGTACAGACCACAAGGTAGGAGTGGGTTTCCATTGCTCCAGCGGAGGTCGAATGCGACATTCTATGATGGAGTTAGGCCAATCATTTGAAATGTGAGGTTTAATCTGTTTCTTTCTGGGGTTCTTGCAATCGTTTAAAATGATAAGAGGCTGCATGTGACCAGGAAGGGCCATAAAAGAGTGAAAGCTCAACCTCGACTTTCACTCACTCGGGATTGTTGCCGAACAGCACCCGACCTTACAAAATCTCGTCGTCGACATTCGCACTTTTGTCTTTTCTCTTCGCCACAACCAACACGCTCGCTCCACCACACCCGCTCTCAACTTTGCCGTCGTTACACGTCGAAGGCGCTGAGCGCACCCAACCCGCACATTCACGCGTTGTATGTCTCGTCGAGCAGCGCGCGCGTGGATACACACCAAACTTCGCTCCATGTAGAACGAGCCTTGATCGTCAGTACAAATGCCAAAACGCACGTATTCGCGACGCAACATGTCCATGAAGCCCGATGACAAAGACAAGGGGGACATGGAGCGCTGGAAACGCCAGAAGAAAGACGAGAATCCGAGCCTACCCAGCGACGCTCGAATGCGATTGAATGATAACAAGAAGAAATTACGACGCCCATTCGGTGGACCTATCTCGATATTAGACGGGGAGACCGGACTTGGAGAGGTTGAGTTGCCAAAACCCAAAGGGTTGATTGACCGGAGTTTGGCAAACAAGTGCCATGAACGCGACAGGCGTACATTGACGAAGCCACACGAGAACGTCAAGCGGCTTACTCCAAACAGCGCGATGCACTCACTATACGGAGGTGATCTAAAGGCCTTTCTATCAGAGCAGAAGCAAAGGCAGGAAACGAAGAACAGACTGCAAAATCGTGAACTGTCATCCCATGGAAGTCGCTCCGAGAAAGACATGAATGTAAAATGCCCACAGCCGCAGCTGTCTGCAAAGAAGGCAAAAGAGAAAGCCATGGCCGCTGATTCAAACGGAGCACCTCAGCGCAGGCTCGCCAGGCCACTTTCTGCGTCAGAGTGTACGACGACGACAGTCGCAGACAAGGATACTCATGAGTTTGGGCAGGTTAGAATTCCTCGGAAGCCTTCGAATCCTAAACGATCGTTCCACTCTGAGCAGTTTCGGGGCTCTCAAGGATCACCTCTTTCCCACCAGAAGTCGCCTTACATTCCCAGAAGCAATGAAGTGAAAATTTTGTCATTACCTTCCAGAGATATCCTCAAGCGAACACTGGACTCAGAATCCAGCGAAGCCAAGTTGTAAGGATCTCTTATTCGGTATGTCTGAAAGACTCGCACTAATGCGCGGCTTCCAGGTGGTACGTCAATCAGACCCAGTCTCCACTTCTGCGTCTACCCAAGGATATTCGGACCAAAATTTTCGAACACGTCTTCGAAGAAGGCCGTACGATTCATATCGGTCTCGATGCCTTTATCAGCGAGAAAGACCGAAAAGAGAACCCTCACTGCAAGCCCGGATACTGGAGAAAAGCATATTCTGGTCACCTTTATCTAGCCAGCGAGAAGCGGTATCCTGCGGATAGGAAAGTTCCCATATCTTTCCTCAATCGAGTATGTCGCCAGATGTACCGCGAGACGCGGCTTCTTCCTTACAAGTACGACACTCTCTCTTTCGATTCCAGCCTCGTCATGAACGCCTTCCTCCTTCTCGATCAGAAGCTCGCGCACGCGCATGACGAGATTCAAAGCATTGTCGTAGGACCCGGTCCACCGGAAGAGCTGCCCCAGCCTAACCTGCTGAAGTACTTGGGTGGATTGGTAGTGGCTGTTCGCAGGGTGTCCTGGGGTGTTGAATATTACCAGGTTGTGCGCGGAGAGACTGGGCCGCGCTTGAAGACTATGCGGATTTAGAGGTTTCGTTGTAGACCTCGAATCCTACCGTGGAGTAAGAAGACGAGCTGGGGAACGGATCGGCGGCAACTCATGTCACTTCGATATCGGAAATCAGACGTTCATCTCTGGCAGTGTCGTCAAGTGATTGTCCTCAGTCATATGATTCTAGCCTAAGAATACAGAAGATTGCGTCACCGTTGCATGTTATGGCATCTACTGTGATTGAACGAATACTTGATTGATCCAAGTAGCAGTCCACAGACCTAGGGGATGATTCTCTTCGTATACCTAGGTAGCGCAGGAGCTCGAGGTTGGGTGAGCTGAGTTGACTGAGGCTAACTTCAAACGGCTACCGTGTTTAGTCAGCTGGCGCACGGTATCACCTGATGCACGATTTTCGAGAAAATCAAAATATACAATTCGAGGCTGTATAGGTCAATACAAATTATAATATCACGAGATTTCCTAGAGTATTAGGCAATCGAGTACAGAGAATAATCCTATGCTAATATCTAGTTACGATATCTCTGAGGGAGGTTGATCTGCTGTCCCCGACGATTTGTCACCTCCGAGCCTTGAATGACCTCAAGAACAGATTGTTCATTACTAACAACCTCCTAAGGGACAGTAGATTATTGAACCCTCCTTTTTTTAGCCTGCTTAGCAAGTAGGATGTCCTTTTTGAGTTGTGTAGCTGCTTCCCAGGCATGCTTGTTGTCCTCTATTTCTTGCCTTTTCTGAGCCTCCTTCTTCTATCAGATCTCTTTTTGAATAGTCCTTGTACGATATCGCTCTTCTAGTATCTGCTGCTTCTCTGCTTTCTCCTGAGCTTTACGCTTAATATCTTCTTGTTTTTGGAGTCTCTCTTGCTCTGCTTCTGCTTCTTTCTCCCTTTCATGATCGTAGCTTCGTTGAACCTTGTTCGGGCTCTAGAACAGAGCTCCACCATCCAGATTAGGTAGATTATCAAGCTGGAGAGCCTTGCCCCTCTGCCATCACTTCTTCTCATTCACTAGTGCTCATTTGAGGCTATCATTCTCGTTTTTCAAGAGGATATTCTGAGTTGATAGCGAGTGAATCATCTGGGATAGCTGATGGGCCTTAGAATCATATACATCATCAACTACTGCCCTTAGAAGCTTAGCAATCTTTCTCCAGTCCTCAGCCATGATAACTGATTTTGAGCTCTCACTAGAGGAGGGCCGATCTGCCTCAGGATTGCTGAACCGGCTAAGGATGATCTGGAGGTTGAAAGGATTGAGACCATAAGTTTCAAAGCCAGAGAGGATGTTTCTTGTTGTAAATGCCTTCTCCCATGCTGTCCAGAACATACGGAAGAAATCTCTCTTTGTTATTGCAGAGAATCCTTGGGATTCATTCATATATCGTACGATCTCTAAGTTGTACACTTGTGAGAGTGGGCCAAACAAGCAGACATCAAGTGGTTGCAGAATATGAGTACTGTGAAGAGGATAGATAGCCAGGAGGATTCTATTATCGTCGCAATACTTGATGAACCTTATATTCACATGAGATCCATGCCCGTCAAGGATAAGCAGTCGATATTGCCATCATGGTAGCTTCCTCTTTATCTCTCGATCAAAGATTGACTCTAACCATTGAAGCCCAAGGTAATCATTTGTCTATCCACTAGGAGATGAAGCAAAGAAAGCCTTGTGTATCGTAGGATCAAAATCCTACAACCATGAGTCTTGGATGTTGCCTGAAATAGCTTGGTAGATAAGGCCTGGAGATAGCGATGATCCATCAATGGAAATATAGGCAATTGTTGTAACATGAGTGGCAAGCGAGTCGGTCAGATAAGCGAGTCGGTCACTAAATGCAGCCCTCCATCTCCGTACGTGAATATCTCAACACCACAACAAGCTATTGCAGTGCACTATAGCTTAAATTAATCCTCTACCTCTACTGCATCTTTCTTGTATGTCCGTTTGTTGTGCTCTGGCTCACCACACTTCTTGCAGCATCGAATGACCCCTATACTAGCACCCACTTGCCCTCTCTCCTCACACCTCTCTGCCTCAAGCTGAGCCTCAGCATTCCTCTGAGCTACTATCACCTCTGCTTCTGCCTGTAATAGGGTCCCTCCCCTTTGAATCCACTTTTTCTTACGCTTTTTATATTCAGAAGCTGCCTGGCAGGCCTGCTCAAGTTTAGTGATCCTGGCGGCCATCAATACCTGTGAATATGCCATCAATTCTGCTCCTTTTTTAAACTGCCTCACCATCTCAATAATCAACACTGGCGAGGAGCTCCGGTGCCTTCGAATCTGGCTAAAGATAAGTGTTGATTGAGCATCTATCTCAACTGTGTTGCTTGGTGTTTTAGATTGCCAGATGGGGCCTGGTAGAGCCAGCGATGGGGTACAAGGCTTTGCTTCAAGCTTTGATAGCACCACCTCTAGAATGTGTGGAACTAAACCAGTTGCTCTAAAGCTTGATATAATGTTTTCCTTTGAAAAAGCCTTATCAAAAACATTAGAAAAGGTAGTTAAGAAGGCTTTCTTGTCGATATGATTGATGTAGCAGTTTGCCAAGACATTGATTTCCTTCTTGTATGCCTGCTTTAGAGGAGCAAAACACCCTACATCGAGCAGCTATAGGATATGGGAGGTATGTGGAGGTATATAGAGGGTGATAATCTTGTTCTCTTTACATAGTTCCTGGAAGGCAAGTGACTTATGGCTCTCATGGCCATCAAGAATCAGCAGCCGGTGACTACCAACTGTCCAAGCCTTAGTATGCTCGATAAAGTGGTGCAATCAGGCTAACCCAAGCTCATTTGTTGTCCAGCCGTTGTCACTAACACCTATCCTCCAGCTCTTAGGGTTATGGTACCAGGCCTGGTCATGGTGCTTTGCCTTGAAGATCAGGAAGGGTGGAAGTGGCCAGCCCTTGGTGTTGATAGCAGTAATCAACGTTGTCCACTCGTGGTCACCAGGCTGCACCTGCAGTGGTTTCAGTCACCTCTCAGATGCCGTTACTACTTTTACTGTCTCTCCAACACCTATCTGGAAGCCAGTCTCATCAAAGTTGTAGGTATCTTCATCCAGGATACTGTACTTGGCTTTGGTATTGCGTACAAGGTTAAACCAGGGACCAATAATCGCAGGATCGCTACATTTAACTCTCTGGTGATCGCGAAGTCTGGTTATCTGAGATTTAATCTCAGGCTTCTGGTGGACAAGGTTCCTAGCCCATTTTTCTCCAACCTTCCCACCATCACGTGCAGCCAGCAGTTGATCAGCCATATCACGTACGTCGCCAAGTGTAGGGGCAGATCCTCGTACATCAAGCTTCTGTATATGTTGGACTATTGTCTCCTCCTCGTGCTTAGTGAGCTTTGAAGAGTTGGGATGGGTATCGCGTCGGGCAGCTGTTCTGGCGCATCGGTCA